CCATGATAATCTTAAGTATGGCAATTTCGACAGTCTGGAAACAACACTGGTCATTCATTTTCCGAGAAGACAGATCACAAAGTCTCACATACAACCACCTCAAGAATGCCATGTGGAAAACTTTATCTGAACGCATAATAGATGACAGCCAAAAACACAAAAAAAACAGCATATGGATACACAAAGGGATAGTGGACTGGACGTCTCAGAACGTCCATATCACCTACCCAAGTATACATATTGCTGAATAATACATCTCATTAGCATCTGCTCCTTACATTTCAGTGAAAAATTTACCAATGTCATAAATAAAGTCAATTTTGATCATTTAAAAAAAAAAAAAAAAGCGAGGATTCAAAGGATTGACGGCCTATCGTGGAAGTCCAGTCAAAAGAGTTTGTTGGACGCAAAGGGCTCCAGATACATGTATCTGAGCCATATAGCGCATCAGATGGTATAGGTCAGACTACAAAAAAAAAAAAAAAGATGGCGTAGGTCAATGCAGCTACAACTTGAAGACGAGCCCGAAGGGGTCTAAAATGTGCACTGTGACGTCCTGGATCCCTGAAGTGAATAGCCTGTAGTAACGTCCTACGCACGCAAAGGCTATATAGAAAACTGCCGCAGGTATGGAACAAAGCTAACGGGTTTATACCTACCTGATACCCCAATTCATGTGTCAAAGCGGTCATACCGTATCACCATAGCTAAGGTCATAGTTCTCTTTAGCACCTGAGTTGGCAGATTGAAACTTTCTACTTCTGTGCTTTCCATTCTGCGTTAATTTCCGTCCTTTGTACTTAATTGTCTCAACAACTTCTAAAATGTTTGCAGCGCAAATAGCTGATAGAACACGAATAAGAAAAAAAAAAAAAGTTTTGGACGCAAATATTTTGTTTCCTGATACCTTTCCACTAAAAATTTTTGGTCTAAGAGGTGACTAGCTGATTTTCCCGTCTTCTCTTTCTCCAAACGAATGGGAAACTATGACACAGCATTTGCATATCTACAATCACGCATACCACGCAAAGGCAAATATAATCTAGACCACTCTCTTTCCACTCAATGAATACAAGAAAGGAGATTCTCTTTCGGCTGGCTGGAAATCATTGCATCTTTGGCAGTCCACAGTACGTCAAAACTTTTCAAATGCCTGATTCAGCAATCCTGAGCCCATCACTTACCTTGGACATCTATCTGGCCACTTTGGTGTTCAGTTTAATATCTTTTTGTTAATCAAGTTTCCCCAAGTACCATGAAACCGAAACTTGGCACTGTCCCTCTTGATGTCCAAGGTAGTATACTGGTCTGGTCACTACGGCACGCTCCTCCCAAATTTCAAGATCTCAGATATCATGAGAAAGCAAGGCAACTGCACATACATGGATAGTCGCAGGAGCTCGGTATGGGATGGAAAGACCAATTGGGTGTAGAACTAGAAGACAACAAGTTACAAACCATACTGGCTGCTCAACGGTACTACATATGGAACTCTGAAAGGGTTCTTCCGCTACCCATCATTTTTTTTGAGTCTGAAAGCCGAAACCAATGAAAGTTATATAACTACCAAGAAGCCACCTAAAGCTAATCTCAAACGTTACGAGACAGAAAATCTTAGAGACTAAGCACTCTAGAATGCCTGTAGCTCTCTCTAGCTTCTCCCAGGATGCCAGGTCGGAAATAGTTAGAAGAGGAGCAAAGGCTCCGGTACCTTCCATGAAGAAGAAACTGAACATGGCACCACATGGCAGACGAAGCATTGGATCAGTCAACACTGAGCTGGTATATTCAGCCCCTGGATACATACAACAACAGCGAGCAGCAGCAATTCTAAAGAGGGCTCTTAGTCCGGAGCAATCGTCTTCGTCATCCCTAACAGCTCGTTGGACCACGTAACTGACGTAGATCAAATATCTCAACAACTGGGTGCTTTGGCGGGGTATACCAAAATCAACAACTACACCAACAATACGAGAGATCTGCACCTCGAGATTGTCTTTCAAGAAGACGAAAGGTCCAGACAAGCAGTGGAAAAAGGTGCTATTATCGATGGCATCATATCGAAAGGCATGCCATGGATTGATGCTGGAAAAAGGAGAACGATAAAAGTAAACCTTTCGCATATTACCTCTCAACTTGTATAAAACACTTGTTGAGGATCTGAAATACGCTCTAACTCCGTGGGGCGGTCAAGCAGATACGCAAATATACGGACTGTAATGGACACTGGTTTGGAGAAGCCTCTGTTATCATAGATAGAATGGAAGACGACATCGAACATGCCGGTTTACCCGAACTCTCGAGAATGATCTACATTGAGAAAATGGATACACATATAACAGCGACGTACCAAGGGGCACCAAAAATATGCTTCCACTGTCGATTATCCGGCCACGAGAGGAAGGATTGTCCTAATCTACAGAATGTACAATGTTACCGCTGCCAAGGTTATGGCCATATCAGCAAACACTGTAAAAACAGAAAAACCGCCAACAGATTTAGGTTTCTGCGACCGAAGTCTCTGACATAGGCACAGAAGATCAGATAAACACACAAAAAGTAGCAGAAGATGAAATACATCAAGATAATGAAACAAGCGAAGTTGATAATGTAGAAATATCCTCAATGGATTTAGAAGAAAGGGACCAAATGCAAGAAGAAAACGTCCAAGGTGATAACGAAACCGCTGACGACCAACAATGTGGTGCTGATCAGGATTCCAATATAGGAAACACTGATGCAGGCAGTTCAGGAAGACCGGAAAGCGTCAACAGGATACAAATTGAACCTTCTAAAGCAAAGAACCTCCAAGACGACAGCACGCCGCTACCACTCGGACCAGCACCACCATTGAAGAAGCCAGTGCCTACGCTGGCTAAATAGGCCTTTCGCGCATACTATCGTTACACAAAGTCTTCACTCTATGGTGATCTGGGTGCCGGTTGATCAACCACCGCCACTTTGCGGTTGGTCTATAAAGATAAGCAGATTGAATTCCGTAAAAGTGCCAAACGCTAGGCCTAGCGACCTTAGGCGTTTCTGGCGACTTAAGCACGACACTGCGATGAGCATTACGAGCGTCGCCCACCACTGACAGTCGGCCCCAACCTGAGCCTGTTTGTGACCAATGGCGCCTGGGAGGCTTTCTGGAAAGCCGACATTCCGCACCAAGCGAGAACAGCATGGTGGCGGTGACTATGACGTAGCAATCTCTCATGGTAGCCGACTCGTGAAAATCCCTCAACATAAACTGGTAGTAAAAGCTGTAGACTCGCTCATTGCTACGACGGTACCTAAAGTGTACGAAATGACTGTTCGTTGCCTGGAGGAAGAAGAAAGATCCGTGGAATCCAAGAGCCCACAGCATTCACCCGAGGTCCAAGAGGTACTCGAGGAGTATGAGGATTGTTTTGTCGAAAAGAAATCTCTCGGTGTGATACAAGGTGCTGTGCACAGGATCGAAACGAAAGATGAAAATCCTGTGACGAGTCGACCTTATCGTATGTCGTGGAAGGAACAGAAGCAATTAAAAATGGAGCTCGACCAGTTGTTGAGTGCTGGCCTTATCAGACCCTCTGATGGTGTTTGGTCTTCACCGGTGTTGCTAATACATGATAAAATCCCCCACCGACTAAGGCTACACCGTAGACAGCCTGACGTTCATAAGTCCTCGAAATGCTATTTCTGCAAAGAGGAAGACGAGGACGATTTTATCTATTTGTTGGTTGCCAGAGGAAATGGCCAGTGTGGAGCCAAGCACTACAAGAATTAGTCCCCTCCGTGAAGCTCGAGTCCCCGGCTATGGTATGGAAGATACTCCTTCTAATGGACGGTAGCAGCATCCGAAAGGCTTCTGGACCGTCCATTCTATCGTCTTTTGGCTTAATATTAGTCTCTATTTGGCAACTCCATTGGAAGTGCAGCATTGAACAAAAGCGATGGGTACCTGAGGCCTGTCTCTGGGCTATCCGGCGTAACAGATGGCGCTGGTCTATGCAGCTACCACTTGCTGAAGAGCCCGAGGAGGAGCACAACACCCTTGTGGCGATGACGACCTCCTGGTTCGAAGAAATAGAGGAGTTTCGAATAACGTCTTATGCGCGTAGCGATGATATAAGAGACTTTCATAAGTACGGCGTCCTTTTGGATAGATATTACATTCCTGACAGCCCAATGCCAGTGTCTGCAAAAACTTTTCCTTTTCACCATGGCTAATACTATGGCATTGGCCGCATGTACAGCAGCTAGCTGCAAACCACCTCTGTATAGTTGTCCTTGAGCTTTCGTTTCCACTTTTCTCTTGATTATACAAAACCTTAGCTATTTGCGGAGCAAATAGCGTAATAAAACACGTATACAAAAAAAAAATTTCTTTGCAAGATGTAAACAAGATGATATCAACCTGTGAAAAGAGAGAAAGTTCGATTTAGGGAATCAGGGTGCTCCACAATGAGCCAGTAAAAATTTATTAAAATTAGCTAAACACTATTGAATGGGCTGGTTGTTGGCGGTTGTTCAACCGTTGAAGTGCAAGAGAAAGGAAAATATTGACATTTTGTTTTCATCCCTCAGTTTATTTCGAGAGTAATTTCCTGTTATTGTCACAAAGTTATAAATCTTGAGCACTGTCGTTGATCATAGAGAGGAGGTCAGTAGAAAATTGATGAAAACGATAGTACGATACTCACATCCGATGCAAAGCCTAAAGTCTTTTGAACAGACAATTTTCCGTCTACTAACTTTGATGTAATATATGCCGCTTCAAGCATGGGAGACTTCATCACATCCTTAACAGATGTTTGGGAAATCTTGCAACAACGAGCACACGTATATTCAGATGTAAATCTTACAATCAATGTTTACCGTGTTATAAATGATGAAATTTTATTTATTTTTCATATGAGATATTACATAGTTCTTTACAGCATCGAAAACAAGTCATCGTTTCTAAGCAGCAACGTCAGGAAGAAGCTTGTTTGGTCGGGTGAACCTAGTCGGCCTTTCCCCTGTCAATCTCATTGAGTTCAGTATCTCGAGGAAGTTTAGACATGCCGCCATATCTCTATTCCATACTCTGAATTTCCTCGAGAAGTCGTCGCCACTACTCTTCATTGGTGCAGCTGTACAGTTGAAAAAGATATTAAATTTTGTTCCTAATCGTGCAATAATTTTTGTCAATGCAAGTTACCGTAGCAATCCATGGCATGTTACTGTCGGGGTTTCTTTTCGACGGTGGGGTCTTGGATTATCGACCGTCAAGAAGGTTTCCAAGGATTTATGACCACAAGACGGGCAGTGTTTTGAAGTACAAAACTCGTCCATCAAGTACACGCTAAAGCCAGCTTTGCGCATAAGTCTTCGCCATCCAACGCCACGGATTGGCTCGTGGTACTTCTGGTGCTTTGCTGACCAATCGCCCATGATGAGGACAGCATCACCACCGAATTTTTTTTTTAGTTTTGCGATCAATTTTTCGTTTGCTATTTGAAGTCGTATATAGCTAGAAATCTTTAGTTTACGATAAATTGCTTGCTTGTAATGTTTCTTAATGTTTTTTTGTCAGCGTTGCTTTCTGTGAGATACTCTTTAAAAAGAGAAATATCTGTGGTTCGTGGGGACACGATTTTTGATAGCGAGTTTTCAGCAGCTTAAAATTTTCTGGTGTACTCTTTTTCAAGTTTTCCCTTATTTTTTTGTAGCGTTTTGTTTTTCTCTCGTGGTGTTGCTCCGTTATAGTGTAACTGAAGAAGCAAAATATACATGAGTGAAATACAACACAGAAGAATCACGTTCCACTGGCTTACCGCAATTTGACCTGGGTTGTTGATGTTGAATTTTCTTGAAGGCAAAACAAAAGGTCTCTGCGTCCAGGGTCTATGGCAACACATTGGTCTTGGGTATCCAAGATCTGATCCTGTGGGAGATCTTCAATATACGTAAATTCTTCTTGTTTTCCTTTATTTGGATTCTTCTTGCGAACGTATCCGTGCCTTTCAGGTTTTTTTGATTGCTTGGCGATTGAGATACACTCCATCCGTTGTCGCAATCCCGTAGAAGGAACGGTTAGCTTGGCCGCTGAAAACACTGCATTCCAGATTGCAAACTTTTTCCAGTAGTAGAGATCCTCCTGATTGACGTTCTTAGAAAACAAATCGACTTTTTCACCTTCATTCTCAATATTCTGTTATCCAGAGTCATATGGCATGGAATATTGGACTTGCGTAATGGAAAGCACCCAGGGATTTTAAATCCTTGTGTTTCTGAGATATGAGCTAGTTGAATAAAGGCATTCATATGAGACAGAGCATTTATCTTGATATCTAGATAAATGTTGTCATCCTTGGAGGTATATGCTGCCGGATACGCCTTGAAAAACGGGCCCAATGTCTTGTAGACTTCTTTGATAGTGTCATTAAAGTTCTCAATGTCAATCATTCTTGAAGAAATGGCTTCCTTGAATTCTTTTAGCAGATCAAAATTTTGCTTTTTAAGGGCTTCTGCAATTTGTTGTTGAGTACGACCCTTTGCCTGAAGTTCTTTTGTCAAAGTAGCTTTTCGTTCTTTGATCTTCAACAAGTTATTCGTGACGCCGCGAATCCACTGGCCCAAATGGTCTTCGATATTATTCAAGTAAGCGGTAAATATCTTGCGTGACTCATATTTCACTATCTGTTGGGAGTATGGTAGACTTACGGGGCTGGTTCGGGAGATTGAACGGAATTCTTGAATGTTATTCGATATAATGCTTCTCAATTTTTTTTTTTCGGATTTTCTCTATGAGCATATCCATTGCTTCTTCGATGAATTCAATAGAAAAATGTTCTTCCACTCGAAACGATTTGTCGTTGTTCAATTCTGCCAGCAGAATGAACTTGACAAATTGGTAGGTTTGGGTTTCCAGAAGGTTCACAATGAGGACCAAGCGTTCCAGCGAGTCGGCATATCGAGGATTGACTGATATGCTAGCAATCGATGTTTTTAGTTGTGATTTCGCTGTCGCTCATGTTGGAGAGATAGATGAAGAGTAAAATGTGCTTTCTGAAAATTATTTCGGGTGCTTTAGATCACCGTCACCATCAAAACTCCCCCTTTTTCTCAAGCATATCTTCTCATTAAAATGCTACCTCATGCTGGTTGGAAATTATGCTAAACGTCATCGATCATATTTCCAAGCTGCATTCTCTAATGTCAATCCTAAAAGTTCTACAGATGATATATCCACTTTTGCTGAATATTCCAATCAATGCATTCATCCAAAGTGACAACAAAAGTGTGGGACTTCCCTTTAACCTCAAAACGGAAATTCGCAAGTAACTCTTTATGTAAAACTCTCGAGCACAATTCGACGTATCACTCAATTCTAGATAGCAATTCCCTTGGTTTTTCATTCTTCCATTCATGAAATAAAAAAGTCTGATTGTCTGCTAATTTGTTGAGTAACACGTTGGACCCGTCAGGTATTGATTTATACATGTAACACAACTGTATATTCTAGCCGTAGTAATCCGATCAACGTTGTTTAGATTGTCAATAACTCTGACCATGCGATGAATGACATACGGTAAGTAGGTGATACCCAGCCTCATTAACGGAGCATAAACAAATTTGGATATTAGGCGGCGAAACGATACTCGTTATCACAAAGAACAAAGCAGGAGCAGCCAAGTACTCACATCTACCACGAGTGATATCCCAAAGTTCGGTTGTGGGATATGGCAATTTTCAGGCATCTGCTGGCGAATATCACCATGTCATGAAGGAGGGAGCACATGAGTTCAACAGCCTTTTCTCAACAGAAATCAGATGCTAGGAGCGCAGTAATCTTGAGACGATGTTCATGCTCCGTCGGCGGAATGACTGCCATATCATAAAGGAGAGAGCACTTGGACTTGTGAGCCTTGTATCAACAGAAATCGGGTTTTGCTAATCATGTTTTTCCGTTGAGGCTATGTTAGCGTGATGATCATCATGTCAAAAAAGGGACAAAGAAAAAAAGTCAAGTTCGGACATTGGCTCTTTAGTGATATCCCAAAAGTCGGTTATGGGATATAGCAACCTTTAGCATCTGTTGGCAAATATTGCCATGTCATAAATGAGAAAGCACAGAAGTAAGAGTCTTGTGTCGACATAAAGTAGGTATTACTCGCAGTGCCCTTGAGGCATATTGGGGTTCTGTTGGGCGAAATAATCACCATGTCATAAAGGAGAGAGCACATGAAAGTAAGTGCTCTGCTTCATCACCAATTGGGTGCAAGGGACAGTAACCTTGGTGTAACTACAGGCCAATTTCACCAAGAAAGCGCTGCACAAATTAAAGTACCGATGATGTCAAAGGGGAGATCTTTTATGGCGACACATCAACGACAGTAAGTTATAAGGTTATAGAAATACTAAACGTAAAGTTAGCATCTGATCAAGGAAATAATATTGCATAACCAAGAGTTGTTTGATGCGAATATTCATTTTACGAGTGGATATTCGTTGACAACAAACTATGTTTAGAATGACAGTTTACCATCTCAACCTTTTTTGAGGAAGGTCTTGTGAAAAAAAAAAAAAACCACCCCTTTATCATAAAACAACCACCTTGATTGATTAGGAACGGGCGGCGTAACGGCTATGGACTCGTTAAGGGAATGCAATGAGTAAATAGGTATTCTCAAGCCCGAGATTTGGTAGAGTAACAAGTTTAAAAGCTGGACATCAAGCTGCACCTCCTCAAGAGTATCCATTACAAATCTCTGCTATCAATTTCCCAAACTCTTCCTGGCCTCCAACTCTGTCACCGTTTCTCAAGTGTCCCAAAGTCCTCCCAAAGTCCTCCCAAGTCTCCCAAGTCCCAAGTTCCTCCGAAGTATCCAGGGTTGTACAAAGAAGACGGCCGTACTAAAGTAAGTCATGGTAGAGAAAGTTGCAACGCTAAATCATTGACCAGTAACATAAATTTCTCTTGTAGGCTCTGAAAGCTACCATACCTGTACGGTCGTCTAACCCGCCGGGATGGCTACCGCTATCCCACCCTTCGATACTTCGGGTAAGTTTGATTTGGAACAAGATTGCAATGAGACTATAGAATCGCTAAATTTACTTTGTCATCCATTTGACCAAATTAAATATACACCTGTCGTAAAATTTATTCTCAATTTGTGCTAAATAAACAGTAGCCAGTTACTGGTGTAATGAAAACTCAAAAAGTATCAGGTATAAAGGGTGGTGTGACGTCAACATAAAACGTTTGACCGTTTCAGTACGATATTCTGTTCCCTTATTGTAATGCTCATTACCATAGGCACATAAGCTGTCAAGTCTGACGTTCACTGACCAATTCTTAAACGCTTGAATAACTGTTGAAGACCGCCTCCGCCATGATCGACAGGGCTTCTCAACGATCTCATTTGGTCATAGAAGTGATTACTGATAAATAACTCACTAAGATGATATGCAGTTGGCTGATTGCGCTGTAAAGGAAAGTTGTCATTGTGCCAAGTTGGTTAAAATGATGATCGACATAAGCGCCAAGGCAGAGCCAAGCTGATAGAGTAAAAATGTCAAAAATTTCCTTATAAGGCAGAGATTCGCCAAGTTTACCAGACTTCGGCGATTGGCAAAATGCTGATGGCTTTTGCTGCGGAAGTTGATAAGGTTTGAAATTTTTTGATTCAAATACCCTGTTCCTGGGACTTTTGTATTCTGCTATCAATCATTGTCTATTCACGTAATGTCGAAATTCGGCTCTATCATAGAGGTTTTTCGACCCTATTTTTTTACGAATGCTGTGGCAGAAGGCGGATCCGATAATACTGCTCTTATGCGACTTGAGGACTATGGTTTCACCTGGGCTGCCAGTGCCTCAGGAAACGCATCAGACGAAGGATTTGGCCCAATTTCAACAAGAAGAGAAGTTGATTTTACAGTGGAGTTTGAAAATAGGTAGGGCAAATTTGATAGATTTGACGCATCAAAAAGCATGAAGAAGGGAATACTGATACAAGCTCTTACTTTAGTGTGCTATTGATACTTCCAAATTTGATTCTATTCACGCTTGTAGCTATTAGTGCAGTTCGAAAAGGATTTTTATTGAAGAGATACGTAACAAAAGCCAGGACATCAACTAAGTCGACGAAGACCAGCAAAAACACACTCAATCATCAACATCAACTTCATCCTGAAGAAGTTGACGAGGAGCTCAAAGTCCTTCTGCCAGTTGATAACCATCTTTGGAGATATCGAGTTTTACTAGTACTTAAACTGGCCACTAGCGTTATCTGTGCAGCATTATTTTTGGCTTCTGCTGGAACATCTGTGCTGAGTAATGCTGGTGGATCCAACATCTTTGGCTGTTGTGTATGTGCTATTGGAATGTTAAGCGCTTTCTACAGTTCATGGAGGCAACACGTTTCGACATGGCAGACTTCCATAACACTGCAGACTTACGGATTGCTAATGATATTTGTTCTATCAACTCGACTTCGAACAGAATGGATCCGGGAAGATAAGGCCAACGACTCTTTAGCAATCATCCTCTCCATCACACTGGCAACCTTGGTGATATGGACGACATTAGAAGTTATACCAAGGCTGACTTCAGCTAAAAGACAAAGCATGAGATTACCGCCTGATATGACAGCAAGCATATTTAGTTTGATGACGTTTCAATATGTGCAGCCACTTTTATCCAAAGGCTTCCGGTTACACCGCAAAGGACAGGATATGGACACTGAAATGCTATTTCCACTTCGCCCCGATCGAATAACAAAACGGATTGGCTCTAACCTCATTCAAGAGTGGCAACGACAATTCAATAAGCGAGGTTCAGGCAACATTTGGAAAGCCATTATTCGTCTATATTTACCAGCGACACTTGCACCTATGACTATCTACATGTTGTATACCGCCATCCAGTTCTCAAATCCAATGCTTTTAAACGGGTTTCTATCATGGATTGCAACATATGGAACCAATATGCCTGGACCAGTAAGGCTCGGAATAGAGTATGCGTTTGGGATGTGTGGCATAAGTGTCGTAACCTCTGCTTTATTCGCTGTTTCATTATTCTTCCTCAACCAAACAATTCTTACCATCCGAGGAGCAGTTATATCAGCTGTCTATCAAAAAGCTTTGCGATTGAGCCCAGAAGAATTCAATAAGAGAAGTATTGGCGACATCTCCAATCACATCAGTGTCGATGCTGAGTCATTAGTAGAAGGTGACTTAGCCATTCTGACCATTATTGGTCTACCTGTCTCCATGGCATTAGGGCTGTACTTCGTCTACCTTCAGCTTTCTTGGGCCGTTTTTCCTGGTCTTGCATGGTTCTTATTGATCTGCTTTGGAGTTCAAGGTCGAATTGGAAAACAGTTTGGAACAGCGATGAAGCTTCGTTTGCAGAACATGGATCTACGAGTCTCCTTGGTCAACGAAAGTATCAGTGGAATCAAATTTGTAAAGTTCAACGCCTGGGAAAAGCCTTTTATCAAAAACATCTTGGAAATTAGGTCCAAGGAGCTTGATGCGCTCAAGCTGCGCGCCAAGGTGTTTGGAAAAATGATCTTAACAACTCAGCTCAGCAAGAATTGCACGCCTCTCATTATGTTCTGGATATATGTCATGGTCATCGCGAAAGAGGGAGAGGCCCTGGATGCCAACAAAGTATTTGTCAGTTTGGTTATCATTAACCTAATCTCGGTCAATATAGAAATGCTCTCCTTTGCGCTATCTTGGTTCTATTCAGTGCTTACCAGCATGAAGCGTATTCAAAAGTTCCTGAACGCTGATGAACTAGTTCAAGAAGATGATGACAAGAAAAGATTGCCTGGTCATGAAAATGAAGAAAAGGTATCTGAGCAGAAGCCCATTGTATTTCAAGATGCAATGTACACATGGTCAAAATCCGTAGACGATGCCAAGTTCAAGCTGAGTATTCCTGAACTCACTGTTAACGACAAGGAATTTCTGGCTGTGGTTGGTCGAGTTGGATCCGGAAAGTCATCTTTATTGAGCGCTATACTTGGCAACATGTATCACCAAGAGGGACATGGTGCTATGCGCATTGGTCCAGTTGCCTACTGTTCGCAAAGTCCTTTTGTCATGAACGCTACTGTGGAAGAGAACATTTTATTCGGACAGCCATATGACAAGGCCATTTTTGAGGAATGCGTAGCGGCTTGCGCTCTAGAACCGGACATGGCCATGCTACCTGCTGGAATCAAGACAGAAATTGGAGAACGAGGTATTGGACTTAGCGGTGGTCAAAAAGCTCGAGTGGCACTGGCAAGAGCATGTTATTCTGTGAAGACAGGCTATACCTCGGTGATCATACTAGATGATGTTCTCAGTGCAGTCGATGCTCACACTGATATGCATCTTTTCAAGCACGTGCTTAGTAGCGACAGTGGTCTGCTTCAAGGCGTAACTAGGATTTTAGTAACACACGCTGTGCATCATATGGAAAAAGTGGATCGTATCCTTTATCTCGTTGACGGCAATGCATCTCAATTAGGCACTCATTCGGAACTTATGGCGTCAGAGGGACTGTATCAAACACTTATCAATGAGTTTGGTAGGTCAGAAGCAGCTGAATCTGCTGAGTTTGACAAAAAAGACCATGTAGCGGCGACTGGCGATACGGAAATGACTGAAGCGAACAAAGAAGTGGAAAATGGTAAATTAGTACTGGAAGAACAGATGAAATCTGGACGAGTGACGTGGAAGGTATATGCTCGGTTTATCGCTGCAGGAGGCGTCGTCAACTTCTTTGTGACCTCTGTAATACTTGCATTTCATCGGGCAATTTGGTTCGTTGGATACTACTGGCTTAGCAACTGGCTTAATCTGGTCAACCCCACGCACTCTCCTGCCTACTATTTGGGCATATATACACTTATGCAAATGCTGTCGGTTGTCTCTCAGCCTGGAGGCTACTATTTTGCTCTCAGTACCTTTGGCGTTAGATCCTCAAGAACTTTATTCGAACGTATGCTGAACACCATCTTCCGAGCACCCATGAGTTTTTTCGACACCACACCTACTGGCCGACTTCTCAATCGATTAGGAAGTGACATGAACCAAATTGATATTTCCTTCAACGATAAGGTCTTCGTTACAATGGGACAATTCGACCAAGTAGCAGCGTCCTTGATAGCGACGGGAGTCGCTACACCATACCTCTTTGCACTTGTGCCTCCACTATCTGTAATCTACTATTTCATCATGCTATTTTACCAAGCTACGGCAAGAAGCTTACGAAGGTTGGATGCTGGACGCACCAGAGCACCTATGTTTCAACATATCACTCATACACTTGAAGGCATGCATACTATCAAGGCATTTGGTCTGACTGAAACATGGGTCAAGGAGTTTCATAAACGTGTCGACCTTAATCAACAATCAAAGCGCATGGAATACATTCTCTTAGGATGGATGGCTTTCCGACTGGAGTCACTTGGTGCATTTTTGATCTTGGCCACTTCCATCTTTGTAGTCATTGCACGGAAGACAATTGCTCCTTCGGTTGCAGGCTTGGCTGTCAGTACTCTGATGAATCTAGTCATGTTCCTTAGTATACTGGTGCAAACCATCAGTGAGATGGAAATTGGCGCTGTTCATGCGGAACGCGTTTTGGAGTTCACAGAAATACCAAGCGAGGCACCTTTGGATCTACCCGGAGATGATGAGCTCAAGGAATGGCCCACAAAAGGAAACATCCAATTTACAAACTTCTCTGCGAGATATCGTAAGGATCTACCACTCTCACTCAAAAATGTGAACGCAAAATTTGAAGGTGGAAGCAAGAATGCCATTGTAGGACGCACAGGATCTGGAAAATCTACCTTGACTTTGGCTTTATTCCGTATCATTGAAGGAACCACATATAGTCATAAAGACTCTGATAGCGAAGCCACTGTTCCAAGCCCACCATCAACAGACTCTGAAAAAGGCTCACCGGAGCTTGAAGAAGTTGGAGGTACTGTAACCATTGATGGGGTTAACATAGCTGGTCTAGGTTTGGCTAAGCTGCGGTCTGAAATTGCCATTATACCTCAAGATGCCACCATGTTTGGAGGAACTTTGAGAACAAACTTGTCACCATTTGGTGAGCACTCTGACAAGGAACTTTGGGATTCATTGGAAGCAGCAGGACTCAAAAAGCATGTTTCCGAGAACATGCAAGATGGCTTGGAAGCAAAGATATTACCCGGTGGAACCAATCTATCCAAAGGACAACTTCAGCAAGTTGGTTTAGCAAGAGCTATGTTACGAAAAGCCAAAATCCTAGTACTTGATGAAGCAACCAGTTCGATGGACTTGGAAACTGACGCTGTTATACAAACTGCCATTCGGACCCATTTTGCTTCCTGTACAGTCATTACTATTGCACATCGTATTGCAACAATTCTGGACAGTGACTACGTGCTAGTCATGGAAGCTGGATCAGTAGCGGAATACGGACGTCCAAAGGAGTTACTAGAAGACTCCTCAAGTCTTTTTGCTCTACTGGCTACAGAAACTGGGCAGTAAATTACCTACTTGAAAGACGTTTATGCATGTACATTTCCCAATCAAATACACGATAGACAAATTGTTTAAAAATATGATGTAAAATATCCGGAATGTAGAAAAAGTGCTTCCTGTAGTATGTTAAATATGAATTACAATAAGAAATGCAATAATACACCTGATTTCTGCGGTGATGGGATGCAAACTAGCGCTGTACTCTGTGATAGGGTATCAATTTCAGTTGGAATTGCCAAAATTAATTATCGGGAGCGAACTAAGAGTTCTCATAGTAACGATGCCGCAATGTACACTGTGGTACATCCTTGCAAAGAACTCAAACGTATACTGGCGATCTAGCTGCTTGCGGGACCGCCTTATTGGGCACCTTGGTTTCACGCTCATTCCCTATATATCTGGTAAACCATAGAATGTTGCGTAGATCCCAATGCAACAAAATAGGTTTGCCTATATGGTAAGCGCTTAGTCAAGGAAGAGACGATGCGTGTTTGCAGTTTGTTGTTAAATGAGAAGTAATTTCGGAGCTTCTTTTCGGCCATACAAGTTTGTAAGAAAATGACTGAATTTGGTATAAATGCATTTGCTTCACAGCAGTGATCTTACTTGCAGGGTAAAAGTAAAGCCAGATCTGATTATGCACCTCTCCATGTGTGATCGAGTACTGTCTGTTCTGGTCCATTTCCATTATTATTATGTGCCTTCTATTATTGTAACCACAAGAATTTGGAGCAGTATTACTTTAGCTTGTTGCAAACACGTAAAAAAATAATGTTGGTCGATTGCTTGTGCTCCTAATTTCAGCCATGGTGGCAACCAACGACGATCATGTACCACCACGGGGGCCATACTCTTGGCGCGGTGGTCAAACGTAAAACCTATTCGTCGAATGACCGTAACATGAGAGTAATAGGAAGAGAATTTTCTTAAGGGCGATGTTCGATGGAGCGTCATGGTTTTGGTCGATAGAGAACAAAACGAAACGGTTGTGGTGGCTAAACAACACTGTTACTTTTCGTACATCCGTTGGAAAATTACAACATCATCGCGGTCCACTTCGTGCCCGAAAGTCCCCGTTTCGCACGGCTAGTGTTATCCTACGTCAATTAAGAGGAAATTTCCATTCTCGCAAGGTCCTTTCAAAGTTTGAGCACAACAGGGCTTCACGATGGCTTTTCTCTATCGCACCTCGAAGTAAAAAGATAAGGCTTTGAGTTTCCAAGGCCATACTGCTAAATTGCGCTTTAGTTGTCTAACGATAAGGCCCCATTTAATTTTATGCTGCATCCATTTTAACCGAATTTCTATTAGTCAACTGTTCATGTTAACAATGTTTGATATTAAACCTTTGCAAGTTTTTGGCATGCGAAGATGGCAAAAAGACCCATGGTGTTGTATGCTGTTTTGTTACCATGAGAACCCTTTCGCTTAAGGCCTCATTAATGCTACCTTATACGTGCATTAAATTGTCGAGACACCCGGGAATGGATCGGACCTGAGATCAATATTAAACCATAAGGAGTGAATATGAACAAATTTCTCTTAGCCAAAGCGGGTGTGCTACTAACTTGTGTTGCACAATTTAATATCCATCGTAAAGCATCAGACCAAGTAGCCGAAGGAAACATTTATGTGAGTGAGAATAGCTATTCTTCCAATTTTATTTTCAAACCAATTCATGGTCCAAATGTCTATTTTTTAGTGATCGACGGTCAATTATAAACCGGAATTTTTGAATCCGGTTTTGCGATGCACACCTTTTTGTCAGATCTCTTAGTACTCGTGACTGTGCGACCGACGATCGTTACACCTCTGTTCATCAGATATGCATAGTATGGTTCATATTACATGAAAATGGCACACTTGTGTTGATGATGTGGGATATTCTCTCATGCCTTTATGTTAGGGTTATCCATTTAGCAGCTTTTTTACCAAATGTGGATCTCTCGGCATTCCCATCACGGCAACACATACGTTAGACCTACAAGTGCAATTAAAGTTACATAATAAAAACCCGGCTTTCACGACGACCAAGATACTTGAGTATACAGCCATGGATCAATTAACGAAAAAGATGTGTGATTTACTAAGTAGTTCATGTAAAGTATTGGATATTTTAGCTGAACTCATGTCTCAGCTTTTAATAAGATAGTCAATCATAAACATTGGCCTATCACCACCCGGAGATTAAATGCTTGTAGTGCACATTCATTAACGTCAAGTCAGGTGAAAGCGTTCCTGAGCAACGCGAAACAAAAAAGAACTAAATTACCCAAATGGGTGTTGGGATTGATGCGGATCGACCATCTAAAAAAGCTTGAGCGAAGTTGGAACGCTAGATGTATAAATACGAGACATTTGTATTGGCAAAAAGATCAAACTCAAAGCCTTCTAATTCTTTGAAATGGTCCGTCTCTCCTTGGCTATCGCTCTGGCTGTTGCCGTCTTTGGTGTCTCCGCTGCTCCCACTGGCAGTGGCAAAGCTACCGTAGTCTCCCTTCCATTCTCTCGTGCTATTAGCTCTCCAAACTGGAAGCAGGCCATTACTGCTGACAAGAGTCGTGCCTCTCGCTTTGGTGGTAAATCCAAGACTGCTGAACTTGCTGTCGCCTCCAGCTCAGTCACCGCTGAAAATGTTGATTTCAGTTATGTAGCCAGCGTCAAAGTTGGTACTCAAACCTTCTCTCTTATCGTCGATACTGGCAAGTAGATTAACATTTTGCTGTTCTTGGTTTCCTTGCCTAGTTCTAACCATCCTAAACAGGTTCCTCCAATACATGGGTTGGTGCTGGCACCAAATACGTACCCGGATCCACTGCCAAGAGCACTGGTGATACCGTATCTGTCAGCTATGGAAGTGGCTCTTTCTCTGGAAAGGAATACACTGATACCGTTACTTTGGGTACTTTGGTCATCACTGGTCAATCCATTGGTGATGCTACAAGTGCCACTGGCTTCTCTGGCGTGGATGGTATCATTGGTTTTGGCCCAACTGATCTGACTGAAGACACAGTTAGCTCAACTAGTGAAGTTCCCACCATCATTGACAATGCTTATTCCGAGGGATTGATCAGCACCAAGGTTTTGGGTGTCTACTTTGCCCCTCTCAGCGGCAGTGCTACAACTGCCAACAACGGTGAGCTTACTTTTGGTGGTGCTGATTCCACCAAGTACACCGGTTCCATTACCTACACTCCCGTTACCTCCACTTCTCCATCCAGCGTAAGTGATTTTATAATGAATTAAGTAGGCTCATACATATCTAACGTGCGATTCTATCTAGTTGTACTGGGGTATCAACATCTCCAAGATCGCCTACGGAACCACAAGTGTTTCCACCGCCAGCCTTCCTGGTATCGTTGATACTGGAACCACTCTCATCTACCTCCAAACTAGCACTTACACTGCTTTGTACAAGAACATTAGTGGATACAAGCTTGACTCCACTACTGGTCTTGTCGTTATTCCTTCCAGCAGCTATTCCAGCCTCAAGAACATCTCGTTCACTATTGGTGGCACTGCCTTCACCTTGACACCTGCTGAGTACATCTTGCCCCAAGCTCAAGTTTCTGCCTGGGGAGGAACTGCTGGAAAGTACTACAGTCTTATTGGAGATCTTGGTACTGAGACAGGCTTGGACTTCATTCTTGGACAAAAGTTCTTGGAGAACTACTATTCCATCTTTGTAAGTTATTCTTTTCACACTCATTCATGGTGTCTTGGTATAGCCTATCTTCAATATTGATTAACCATTGTGCAATTTTAGGATACTTCCAACTCTCGCGTCGGTCTCGCCACCAGAGCCTAAAGTAAAGGAGCTGGTCTCTGGTCCATTTTTACGAACGATAGCTCGCAGTTGTTGTTAAATGTACTGCCTATTATTTTTATTGAAGGAATATCAAAATAAATTCTATGCTTGAATAACATATTATGGTGTGCACATGAAGTGAAAAGATTATGTATTGCACTGCATGGTTTGAAGTAGCCGTGAATTTTTGGTACAAAACCAAGGCATTTGCGGATTTTAAAATTTGCTGCCAAGAAGCCAAGGCTGAGCACTGATCTTTTTCTTGTCCTCCAATGGTAGATCACAAGCTTGACCCGTACGAGAATGACGATATGAGAAGCGCGAGCGCTCCTTCCGTTGATGATATCGAGCCTATTTCTGGACATTCCAGAGCACCGCCTCCGTCTTATAAAGTTGGAGCGGAAAGTCAAGAGCAACCGTCAAGCGCTTCGGCAATGAATTCATGGATCCGACCTTCACCCAACACCACCAATAATAAGCACGTTCCCATTGAGGAGGAAGATTTAGAGAGTGACGATGTTGAAGCACCTTTACTTGGAAGTACAGTTGGAGACGTACAGGTGGATCCTTTCAGAGACCTTCCTCCTCCGCCACAATATTCACCTTATCGAGCGACATACAAGCAGAAAGGCAAAGGCGTCGTTTCAAGAGATGATCATATCAACGAAGATGGCGAGGCACTCTATCGATTCTTGCTGGACCATAATTCCCCTCCAGCAATGGAAATCAAAGTTCATGGTAAACTAACTTTTTGTTTTTTTGGCGGCTCTCCAAGAGTTCACGGACCAAACTCGATATTCATAAAGTTCGTTGATAGGTACGCATGATGTGACAAAGTGGAGAACAGAGACTCATCACAATTCGGATGGAACGACAAGAGAAGAACAACATCCGTATACGGAAGAAGTAGTGGATTTCGATTTTAAGATCGATGTATCTCAATATGTGTCGCCAGTATGCTCAAACATGTTCGTCCAACCAGACACCGAGACAGGACAGTCAAAATCCATTAGGGAGCTCTGCGATTCTTATGTTAGAGACGATGGTTTTTTCAAGGAGCTACAGATGCAAAAGTATATCGAGTGGAATTACAAGGAACTGACGCAAGGTAAAGGAATATACAGAGGCTCAGATTGTATGCGGATACGGCTAACATGATATATCTTTACATAGCTATTTTATATGCGATGCGATGCCAAGGATATCATTACAATGTATCCATCACATTCCCGCTGCATAATTATCGCGTTACGGTCAAGAGCAAATCAAAATGGTCACAGGTGGCGGAATCAAAATGGGTGAAGGCATTATTGATCATCACCTGCTTGTGGATATTTGCAGTGCCTGCATACCTGATGTTGAGAAAGAGGTATGGTCATAAGGATCTCAAGAGTGAATGGAATATGACAATCAGCGAAGAAGAGTGGTATAGACGGCATGTCCATGAAATTTTGGGACAAGTAAAATATCGACAAGTTTGATTGCAGTATACCAAGCCATTTTGTTCTTTTAATCTATGTAATTATAATTTTCAATACGTTTGTTTCACATAAAGACCTTCTGCTGCTTCATTTTTATTTTTGGCTGTCAAAGTTTCCAGGCGGAACGTTTTACCTTCCGATTTGCCCAAATTAGAAACACATAAAGTGATTACGAAGAAGTGTGAAAAAACCGAAAATTCCTTCTACTCCGTCCAGACCCGATTCTGTCATGTCGGTGGGTAATGACCACCAAAGTCAAAATGACGGCCCAGCAGATTGGGCATTTCGCAAATTTGCCGAAGCCGGCCAAATTGCTGTAGTCCCTTCTCCCAATCCTGCCAGATCAAGTGCCCGAACGTCAAGAACTGGCACAGCTCAAAATACACCTTCCAGCCAAGATATCATGGATCAAAGAGGAGGGTATGTGAAATATTGATAACGGAGATGGCCTCAATGAGATACTAATAGTGCTGATGAATGGATAGGTACTTCGATCTTGAGGTCTTTGACCTAAACCCTGCAGATCCAACCCGTTTACATCGGAAAAGACATAACGATGCTTCACAAGATCGATCCAGAGAAGGTGAGCTGGAGTCCGACCCGACGGAAAACTCAGGAGATGATAGTGGAGCTATGAAGAAAGATCGGCCCATTTCAACCAATACCACGAATAGCCAAATAACACCCAGTAGATCGCCTTCACTGGAAAATGTTCATCCTACAAGCGTCACTAGCGAATCATCCCCTTCTCCTCCTCCACCGATGAAAGCAAGCTCTCCGGCTATCGGAAAAGACGAGGTACTTAGGAGAGCGGAGAAGACGAGCGAAGTAGAGTCAAGAAAAGCAAAGGTCTTAAAGATTCTGCATGAAAAGTTTCCTCGAAGAATTGTGCACAGAGTTATCAAGACATCCTTGGCATACGCAACCTGTGTCATTCTATGCTCCATTGAAAGTATTGTCGTTGCAGTTGGACCAGCTGTATTTCTATGTATTACAGGTAGTCTCTTCACACATCCAGGAAGAACAATGGGTGCTCAAATCGATGCTACCATCACATCTGTGGTGGGTGTGGTACTCGCTGTTTGTTGGGCAACTGCTGGCATGGCCGCTTCAGTGTCTTACAATCGAACATATGCCGACGATCTTAGCAACCACCAAGCCGGCGTTGGTATCAATGCTGCTTTTCTCGTGGTTGGAATCATGTTCGCTCAACTTCTCCGAATGCGTTTTCCCAAGTTTCAGTTCTTCTCACTGCAATTTATGATTGTGCAAATTTTCTGTAACACCAAGCTTATCAATTTAACGGCTATGGATTATCAAGGCGTTTTACAGTTCGGAATTCCTCTTGTACTCGGTGCTGGAGTCTCTTTATTTTACAACCTTGCGTTGTGGAGAGAAACGGCTGTTGACGGTTTAGGTAAGAGCGTGATATGAAAGCCTAGATGTTGGTGATTGGGAGCTGAGGTCTTTGCATTCCCGATTACTAGGAAGAGCAATGCACGACACTGTCAAAGGAAGCCAAGCTATGCTCAAGTTAGTCACAGATCAGTTCGAGCTGGAGTTCGACACTGAAAATATTGATGTTGATGCTGTGAATTCCACGTCCGCCAAAATGAGAGCTGGCTATACCAAAATCATGACAGCCTACAAGGATTCCAAATACGAACTATCGCATGCTTACATCTCCCCTCTTAAAGCGAAGCCTATCTACAAATCTCTGAGTAGTTTGACCAAGCATTTAAGTATCTTGGGTGCTAGTCTTCGCAGTGAAAAGGCGTTATTCGAAGCCGCCTTAAATGCTTTCGAGCCGCACGATACAGAGAGTAGTGATGAGGACGACGTCATGTCCAGAGCTATGTCGGCTACCAACATGCATGCTGACCAAGTGAATAGAAACTCAAGGGCAGATCATTCAACCATTCCCAGTCGAGCTCAATCCCCGGAAAACGAATTTTATGATCAAAACCAGCTTACTGTCAACTCGATTGCTTCACTGAATTCCTCGCATATACCTCTTACCCCATACAGGCTGAAACCGCCAAAGAAGCGATTGAAGCAAATAGAATATGGCGACAAAGAACTGTTTGTAGCCTATCTTGAAAGCCTACGTGATCCACTTCTCACGCTGTCCAAAGCCTGTACCCGCGGTATGAATTGCGTTTCTGGCGGAATAAGCTACGAATGGGAGTTAGACGATGTTCGGCAAGATGGTACACATAGTTGGGCATATTACATCAGTCATGTTTTCAGAATTCGGAAAAAGGAGCCGACGCGAAAAGCCAGTAGTAGCGATTCTGTGGAAGCCCATTGCGACCGACACTGCGACTGTCCAGAACGTTTACGAGCCGCCATTGCAAGGTTTGATAACGATGAACATGAGCGCATGGAAACCTTGAAACGCATCAACAAGAAACGCCGGTTTGGACCACTGGACTTGGGTCTTCGAGAGGAAGTGTTTTTGGTCTTCTTTTTCATTTTCTGCTTGCGAGAAGTTGCCAAGGAACTGGGAAATCTGACCTCCACACTCAACGACATCAAAGACACGGTGGATAGAGGCAAAAATGGTGTAAGAAAGCGCCATTTTTATTTACCCAATCTAGTGGGGTCTAAGGGAAAATGGCGGAAGTGGGCCAGTTTCAGTTCGCATCAAGCTGTGAAAGACAAGGGTGGCCATACGTTACGTGAGTTGATAACAGGCTGAACTACGTATTGAGAAGATCTAATACCCCATACTGACACGTCTTGTATCTCACAGAACATTTCAAAGACAATCTACCGCATACGGCAACGTCAGAATTCGAAGATGAATATAGACTGACAACAATCCAAACCAATCTTTCTTCGAAAAACGGAAGAAAGAGGAGTCAATCGGTCGGCGCTCAATCGTTGCGGCGACGGAAGTCATCTGTGAACAAACGATTGCCTAATGCGTTGGGCGACCTGGATGAAGAGCATGGCTCAGAACATATGCTTCCTCCAGTGTACGATGGGTCCAACTACAAAAGTCGAGAGCCTTCCATTATTTCAAACCATGAAAGTGGTCGCAGTGACATTGAAGCACCTGCAGTCCCTCCTCGTATGAAGATTCCATTCAATGTTCGAGTGCGCTTTGTTGTCTGGAGAATATCACAGGCACTATCATCGTACGAGTGTAAATTCACCATCAAGATGGCATTGGCTGTGTTTGTGTTAGCACTGCCTGCGTATATTCCTTCGTCGCAAGAATGGTATGCTAGTGTTCGTGGACAATGGGCAGCTGTCACTGTAAGTAATTGCTGGAAACAAGATGCTGTAAGGGTAATAGGTAGTCCTGTAACTAATATCATCTTCAATCCATAGGTAATTGCCATTATGAACCCCACTACGTAAGTGATGAGCATATTCTATTTTTGTTGGTATGATTGCCCCAAGCTAATCCGAAACTTTTTGTTTCCAGCGGTGGTACTATCAACGGCTCTTTGTGGCGAGTCGTCGGCACGCTGATTGGAAGTTTCATGGGCTGGGCTGCCATTGCTGCTAATGGTGGCCCGTACGTTATTGTATTGTTTGGCTTCATACTATGTGAGTTTGCCAGTCTCATTACATTGTTACTCACTTAAGAAATGCTCGATTCTAATGTTTTCTCCTTCATAGCACTGATCTTTTTCTACGTCCATTTGGCCACTTCGTACAATCGAGTCTGTATTGTAGTGATGACTGCCTTTGAAATTGTTGCGGTGGCTGGACGAGTCAATCCATTGCCGGGGGAAACGACAGAGATGATGGTATTGTACGTGTTATTTGATTAGGGAAATTTATGTTTGTAGGAGGAAATTGAGTCCACACCAGACGCTAAAGATTTTGTTCTTGCAGAAAACGTACCGTCACCATGATTGTCGGCATTGGAGTGGCTCTTATCTTCAGTTGGTGAATATGCGTTTCTTTTTGGCCTATGATAGCCTTCTGATTCTAATCATTGTGGTTTATGTTGTTCAGGCTGCTATGGCCGTTTGTGGCAAGGCATCAGTTGAAGAAATCATTAGCAGATGTCATCTATGAGCTAGGAGAGTATTATGCCTTCATCATCAGTGCATTTCTTTACGATGACATACACCGTGTTCACTCTCCGGATGATATCAAATCATGCGAAAAGCAAGAACGAACTTTGCAGAGAGCCATTGTTGCCTGCCGCGAATTACTTAAACTCACGCTCCATGAGCCTGGTCTCAAAGCCCCATTCCCTACGGACTTTTACGACGAAATGATCACTTCGACACAAAACTTACTGGATCGACTTTGTAACTTAAAATGTGCGGTGGTTGATATGCCCGTTGAAGTGCGAAGAAAAACCATCAACCCATCTGTGTACTTATACCGTCGTGATATGGTGAGTAGCGCTTTAGGATTTGGCGTGATGGAGCTGTTCAAAGGGACTGACACCTTACTTGTTTTGTTGTGCCTAGACTGCTGCGCTCTTGCTTCATTTCCATACCCTATCTGTTTCTCTCAAGGCCAAACAGCCTCTACCAGCATATATGCCATCAGCTCGCCTCGCACGTATTCGGTTGATGAATCGGCGACGAGAACACCATCACGACAGCACCGATACCATGGTGCAGTTCAAGTATTTGACGTGGTTTGCCATGGCTTCATCGTCCGAGGAGATCATCGAAGAACTGGAACACTTGACTATCCTTATTCGATACATTACTGGCGAATCCAAAAACTCTCACCTAGTCAGGACCAGTGGCGTGCGTTTGCAGGAGCGGCAAAAGTGCAATAGAGGTTTTTACGACGTGGAAGGGAACTTTTAAATTGCCCCCCCATCTTTTTGGTATATGTAAACTGTAATTTGTAATTTATAATAGCATGACGTTTGTAATGTTACCAGCTACATCATGACAAAAACGCAATGTCACATTTCCATGGGTTGATTAGTTGAGGGGAGAAAAATATTGATTTGCATTGAATTGATGAAAAAGTGGAATATAATACAGCTAAAGAAAGATTGAAAACACAGCTAAGAGAGTGGACAGAACAAAGTTGTATAACAGAGGAGGGTAAAGTGTAAAGAGATGCAACACATTATTACAGAGATTTTTGGAGTCTTGCAGGGCGGGGGGCTCAAGCAGTAAGATCAGGGAAAAAGGACCAAAGGGAGGTAATATGCAGAACAAATAAAGATATGGGATGCTTGCCGTCAAGTACGTGAATCATAAAGTAAAAGGGATGTTTTGTCTTTTTTGGAGGCAGAGCCCATCTGCGATACGAAGTAAGATCACAAGATTGCAGATGTCTACAAGAAAAAGTGAGTGTATTGCCGGCTCTCAATATGCACTTCCATGCCAGTAAGCTTGTACTCGTTCAACTCTTGCTTAATGCGCATAGCAAAATCCGGGGTCAGCTTGCAACAAGTGACGTTGGGATCACATCGCCTATCGTATTCACTTGCCGAGAAAGTTTCATGCACAGTGATAGAAGACGAGAATCCAAGTCGGCGAGATTTCAGAGTAGGTGGTATTTCACGGATGGAGGTAGGTTCAGAAAGAGAGGTGGTGGATTGAGAGGCCGGTTTCATGCGAGGAGATCCATGAAGCGGGAGTGAATGAAGGTTGACGGACGAAGGAGGAACGAGCTCTTCCGATTGCTCAAAATCGCCTGCACTGAAATAATCGGCTCTGGAGGATGAGTTGGAGGTTAGAGAGGTTTGCCGCTGTCGACCACTGACGACCGAGGCATATGAGGCTTGTGATCTTGGTAATTGACGGTGAGGAGGGGGAGTCACTGGCGAACGTGAAGCGGACGAAATGGAGGTTGGCGAATCAGGTGGTTTAGATGCAGAACCCCGGCGTGCCGCTAAAAAAGAAGAACACGACCTAAATTGTTAATATGGCATTCATGTCGTGCAGAACCCCCCAACTAAAAAGCGCCACTCACGCTTCAAGCTTCCTTTCGAAGGCTGAATCGAAGCTAAAGAAGTATCCACTTTGGGTCGTTCAGCATTAGATCGGTTGGCCTTATCTGAGCCTTGGTCATTGATCATTTTGCGCAGGTCAGTGGTGGAGTGGCGTTGATTCGTGCCAGTGTGTGCTGGTACAATCACCGTTGCGACTGTAGGTTCAGCCTGTTGTGCCTTTTGTTTGTTGACACCAGACGACGAAGTGTTGCGTGAAAAGATATTGCTTAACGATACAATCGATCGACGGCGTGAGGAGGACTTTGCTGCGGGAGATGAAATGCTGCTGAGAGGTTGGGGTCCAATAATGGAGGCGGATTCTGAATACGCAGCATCCACCAAAGTTTGTTGTTGTGAAGCACTGGATGCTACAAAGGAGGATGCGGTGGAGGACCGAGTGGGCTTAGGCGAAATATCATTCTCGGTGATCTGTGACTGAAGCGAAACGGTTGAATCATTAGCCTTGGATGATAAGCTACTCATGCTAAACACGCGTCGAAGTCTCTTGGATAAGGACAGTTTGGTGTTGATGGACATTTCGGAACGAATGGAAGGGGTTTTGGAAGCTACCGATGTGACAGATGGACGACGTTCTTGGTGGGTGAATTGGGCCGATGACTGGGTAAGGAGAGGCAGTGGCGTAGGTATTCTTTTGGGAGCATGTTGAGGTGGACTTGGTATTTTATGTTCGGAAGGAGGAGGGTATGTTGGATAGGAATGAGGAGACCTTTGACTATGTGGGGATGAGCGCCTGGGTGAAGCGTCTCTAGAGTTATCTGGTGATCGGGAAGGAGGGCTTTCACGTCTGGAGTGATTAGGCGAGGATCGATGCTTTGGTGATTCTTCTCTACGTGGACTGGGGTGTCGACCTATAGGAGAATCATCTCGTCGAGGAGCCACTTGTTTCTGTTGTTGTGACAAGACAGGCATGCTCTGACGGTCTCTAGAGCGTAGTACAGGGGTGGAAGTTGATTTATGGACGGAAGGATTGTCACCATTACTAGCCTTGCGTTGCCGGGCGCTATAGTGTTCCGAAGCAGTTTGACGATAAGACATGATATCAAAGGCCTATATTGTTAAAAGCAATATTTAGTAATTGTATATATATATTTGAATACAAGAATGACGATGTTTGATAACACTGGGTGTTTCTAAACCGCTGTATTTCTCATGGACGGCCTTGATAAACTCACCAGTTGGTCCTGATCAAAGCGACCCCAGTTTGGCGCCAAGAAAGCGGCCAGGGCCACATCATCCTCGTCATCCGTGATGGTGAGTGATGAATTGTTTTGCATCACAGCTGTCATGGGAGCCAATGTGGGTTTGTATTTACAAGAGGGATGAAGGGAAAAGCTTTGTTGCTGTCCCACCAAAGCAAAAATCATAGCGTAACTTGAATCAGGACGGCGTCCAATGAAAACCCTTTGTTCATGTATAATGCTGAAGCCTAGCTATTCCCCGCCGATTAAACTAGTATTAAAACGCAAGGGCTGCCTGCCTGCAATGGAAAGGAAAAAGTATTTTTTATTGGAATGTCTACTCTTCATCATACTCTGCCATGGCTTCAGGTTCCTAGTCATAGAAAGAAAGAATAGAACATCGTAAGTTAAAATATCTCGCCATGTCTATAAATAAAATACACAAAAGTTATACTACCTTGGGTTCAATATCTTCACCGTATTGTATAGCGTTATCAATATTAGACAGCACATAGTTGATGGAATCTTCGTCTCGTATATTCAATGGTATGAAGCTGACCATACTGTAATCTTCAATCTGCGGGTAAACGGAAGAATGGAAAATCCTTGTGTAAACAATTAAGGAGGTCTTTCATCACGTTACAATGAAGGGTTTTACTTTACCAGTTGTACGATCGCTTGATTAAGCGCGTGAAACCGTGGACTTGTGTTGCTGTTGACATCGTCAATTAATAAAAGCGGGTCAGGGTCAAAGTATCGCTCCAGCTCTTTCTTTGTCTTTGTTCGTGCGTTTCGTCCTGCTCGCTTTTTTCGATTGCTTTTGTTATCACCTTCACCCTCTTCTTCTGCTGGCTGATTACCATAGTCACCTTCCACCAGATCCATCTTCGTCATGACATTGATATGGGGGATTTCAAGGTTGACCATGGCCGACATAGCGCTGAGCACGCCAGAAAAATATTTGCTCTTGTCTTCTATAAATTGGGATTCTAAGCAATAGACTCCGCACACGGCGAAATTCCACCGCTGTAAACATTCGCATATGCGTCGCATGATGGGGAAATGTGTATATAGTTCGATTTGTCCTGGGCAATCAAAAATTAGGTAGTCGTCCTCATAGTCTCCAAGTTCTTCTTCGAGCCAATCAAGGTTGTTGAGAAGAAACCTACGTAACTCATATTAGTTTGACCAATTGCTCCCGTAATAACGCACAGTCGCATTTTCACTCACTCGAGACAATAGATCAATCCACCATTTGGTCCATAATCAAGTTCCTCCATAACATCCTCTAACGTAATCAAATCTCGGATGTCTTGAGTAACAAAATAGGTTAACATGGTTTAGGTTGTACCAGTTTATATCTTTATCCCTTTCGCTTTTCTTCCACTTACCGACTGTGGGTTCATATTCAAAATGTTCCGCAGCAGGATCCAAATTAACGAGATGGACTTTACGGTTGGTTGCTTGACAGTGAGACATCATGGTAGCGCAGAACGTGGACTAGTTGTCAACGACGAATTAGCTACCGAGTGATCCATCACCAGAGTCATATGCTGAATTCAATATTACCTTGCCACTTCCCGCAGGACCCATAACAAGCTGGCAATGACGACCCCTATAGGTGAGCAATGTTCAGTGGGTGACCTCTATTTTGCTTCACTTTAATAGCATTGTACATACATGTTGGAGGAAGAATTGAATGCGTGCTGGCAGGACTGGCACAAAAAGTTCACGGCTTGAAGCAAAAAATGAAAAAAAGGCAGTCACCTGACAAATCCAGTATTTGGCGAAGGTCCGCACTCCACTTTCCTCGTCCCTCCCACTTTTCCAAGATGTGCATGAGAGTTACCTGCAAAGATTGCAACAAATACACGTGGGCCGGTAAGCTACAGAGTTGAGAACTTGACATGGTTTAATTTGGTTTATGAACTCTTCTTTTCACCTGATAGGCTGTGGTCGCCATATTGACCAAGCTCTTGCTGGTTTGTCCAAGGACCAAATCTGTACTTGCAAGGAGAAGGCTCAGCAAAAGCCCAAGGAAGATCTTTAAGCTTAGTGAAGTGAACGACGACGCGTAGTTGTATAATAGGGGAAGTGACTGCTGCTGTGCATATAATAAAAAGCATCGTATGGATGTGTTTATTGAAACAAGAAAAAATGATCTATATATTTTTTTAATCACATAAAGGAGCGTTTTACATGCCAACGTTAAGAAGCATGTTGGAACCTTGGCCGTTAGCAGAGCTGGGCAAGTAGGTAACGTTGCGGGCTTGGGCAAGGGTAGATGCAATTTCCTTGGAGGCTTCGATACGACGGAACTCGACGAGACCTTCACCGGCCTTCTCCAAAGCGGAAGAAATCAATTCAGCAGCAATGGCGTCACCTTCAGCTCGAATAACAGCAGCTTGCTTCTCTTGCTCAGCCTTCTCGACAACGAACTTGGCACGTTCAGCTTCTTGTTGAGCGATTTGCTTTTGTTCGACAGCGTTGGTGAACTCTTTACCGAAAGTCATGTGGGTCTGGTAGGAAAGGGAAAAGAAGGTTAAAACTTTTGCACTCCATGCACTTCAACATAATGCCATAAAACGTACGATGGAAACATCCTCCAACTCAATGTTGAATTCTCTGGCGCGCTTGACGAGGTCTTCACGGATTCTTGACGAAACAATTTCACGCTGAGTGATGAGCTCGGAAGCATCGAACTGTGCGACAATAGACTTGAGGACTTCGTTACCAATGGAAGGCAAAACTCTCTCGTCGTAGTCGGTGCCGAGATTTTGGTAAATGGTAGGAAGGTGTTGAAGGTCAGGTCGGTGGAGGACACGAAGGGTCAAGGTGACCATTTGCATATCCTTGGAACCGGTGGTGGTGGAAATGTTGCGAGGCTTTGTTCGAACATCGAACTTTTTGAGAGATAATGTAAGAAAAAAAAACGGCCACTACTAAAATCATCCATTCGTAATCACTCTACCTGGACTGCCTTCTGAAGCCAGGGTACAAGGAAGTGAGTACCTTCGCCAGCAGAAATAGGCTTGACACCCTGTATACGGTCGAAGAGAACGGCTCTATATCCACCTTGAACTGAAATGAGGTCCAAGAGTTAGTATTGGGTTGGGTAAATTAGCCATAATCAAAGCCATGAGCAATCCACTAACCGTCGTAAAGAGCTGTTTGGGCACCTTTTTAAATGGACGAAAAAAATAAATGGATGGTTAGTAGGTGATTGTGGATTCTGTGATTGGCAGGGATTGTGTTCGTACCAGCAATGACGATGGAAACTGGGATAGCCCACTTGGAGACAGTGGTGAGTAGGCGGTTGACTCCAGACATGATTAAGTTGGAATGTGAGTTTGCTGGGACTACTGCACTGCAATTTTTTGTTGTTCAAAAGACCATCGGAGTTTCTTTTTAGCCTGTGCGAACAGAATGGTTGGAAAAAAAATTGGCCCTCGCTCGCTTGCACACCATGGCAACTCACAATGTTGCTCCATCTTCTTCATTTCACCCTCACTTATATACCAACATCACTTTCAATCATGCTCCGTCAAGATTAGATTGCATATTTGATATCATTTACATCATTCCTCGTGAAGCGTTTGTCGATATCAACCAACTGAACGACTTGAAAATCAGCAAGCATGTCGTTGTCCTTAATGAAACAGATCTAGAAGCGCCGGTAGAAGTTGCTGTTCGAGGTGGAAATGTAGTGGCCATACGCTATGAAGCAGACGACTACCTTATGCTACTTGGCCAGCAAGTCAGCATTGATTTGCCGCTTCATATGCGGTATCAAAAACCAGATTCGCTGTGGACTCACCAAACCGTCACAATACCCGTACCGAAAGTAGGCTGGACCTGTCTCATTGATCCTCCACAAAAGCCATCCTCTATACCACCATTACCTTCTATTGATTTTCATTTGGAACGAGACAGCCGAACCACCTTTGACGAAATTGAAAGCACCGCTGTCGGCAACATGACCGTCAGTGTCCCGGTGGGTCGAACCGATGATATTTATACCGTTCAAACAGGAACCTTCATCACCGTCACTTTAGGCTCTCTGTGGATAGCATACTCTATATACCGAGCTGTCGTCAAACGGAAAAGAACGGAAGCAAAAGGCAAAAGAAGGAAATCGGAATAGAAAAACGTTGCTCAGTTATATTTTGGAGTGTAATGGACACGGTACTGCGGGATCTCCTTTAAAAAAACAACATCCCTATAAACGAAACAGAGCTTTAACAAACCCCAAAGGAAATAGAAATGAAGAAAAAAATAAAATAAAAAGGAAAGGGTAATTCGCTGATATTACAATGGTTGGGCATTAGGTTCTAAACTGTGTGGAAAAAGAAAGGTTGAAAAGGTGGGGTTCCTTAGAGGTCAATCAAAGGGGCCTCTTCCACGACAGGCTGTTGTTGTTTTTGTTGTGGGACAGCTCCTGGAAGACTGAAGGAATTTCTGTCATGCTGTTGAGGGTACGGTTGTTGTGGGTATCCGTCCCATTGCTGCTGCAGCGGTGGTACTCGTTGTTGAGGTGCTCCGTAGTGTTGCTGAGGAGATACCATTTGTTGAGGTTGCTGCTGCGCTCCATAATACGGATCAGGCGTATAGCTAGGAGCTGTTTGTGCACCGGGTGGTGAAACGTAACCGTGTGGACTAGGCTGATACTCATTGGGTGGGGCGAAATGGTTCTGTGCAGGTGGTACGTTTGGATTCGCTTCGGGTGCTTGTGGGGCGTAGTAGTTCTCTTGAGGAGGAGTTGTTCCTTGCGGTGTAGGAGGGAAGTATCCTTGGGACGGGAGAAAACCTTGATGGGGTGGTGCTGTACCTTGAGGAGTGGGCTGTGGTTGGTATTCTTGAGGTGGGGCGGAAACTTGCGCTTGATTAACAGCTTGGTATTCCTGAGGTGGACCTGATGGTGGCTGCTGTGCAGGGTACGAAGAGGCTGGGTATGAAGAAGACGGAGGTGCGTTGTACATGTAAGGTGCACTAGATGAGGATGACGATGGTACAGCGGGATAAGCATTTTCATGATTTTGCTCATAGGCTGACGGTTGGGGGAAGGGGGGTGCGTTGTAGTTGCCAGCATTTGGATAAAGTGAGCTCTGATCAGTGGGAGGAGCAGCGTACGCACCATTTGACACAGAAGGCGAGGCATAGTACTGGTGAGGTGACTGCACTCGGTCTTGAGCAGGGTGAGATCCTCTTGCATAAGATGTTGCAAGTCGTTCTTCCAGCAATCGATCGTACATCTTGACGGCTTGGTTAAGCTTATTGTGCATATCCACAAAGGAACGGTGTTTTCGATTGGTCTCATCAAGTGATTTTACAAGTTTTGGTTGAATTGCGCCAATTTGCGTGTACAATGCATTGATTTCTGGGTCATTGCCAATTTCACCGCTGCTTGCACGAATTCGATCCATCAGAGTTGAGAACAGCAAGATATTTTCCATTTCGGCAGTACTCAAATCGGTGGACGAAGGTGCTCGGTAACTTCGTGACTGAGATGCGTAATTCTGGGAAATATTCATATCTTGAAGTGAAGCTGCTATGGCCGCTGCGAGGTCCGGGTCATCTTGCTCATCTTGTTGGACAGGAGGGGGTGTAGCTTTCCTCTCCTCTCTTTTTGGTGGTGCGTATCCAGCACCATATGCACTCTTACTTCTCTCGGCTTCCTTAAGAGACAGTTCTATTGCCTTCTTCAAGTCCTCATCAATCTCCTCCTCACTGGCGGTGGGTGGTGGTTTGCTTATACTAGAGCTTCTCTCTTGGTGTCGCTTTTGGTACGGGTCCGCTTGCATAAATGGTGGAAGAGAAACGTCGTTGGCTTCCTTTTTCTCGATCCTTGCCAATTTGTTCTTCATATAACAACCGTCACACACTCGCACTTCTTCAGTAATGGCCAAGTGAGGTAGGGTCATTGTTTTGGAGGAACACTGTCCGCAAAATGTCTTGCCACATTGTCTACAATGATGCTATAGTAAAGATACTGGATCAATATCAATTGCATGAGCAGATACAGTTGCCCTGAATTTACCAACCTTTCTGTTCGTCATAGTGAATGCAGTTCTGCATCGTTCGCAAACATCAGAATCCGACCATTCAGGTGCCTATTCACCAGGAGGTTAGCCTATATCGTACACCGCATGAAACAGAAGAAAAAAACAATATCACATACGGAAGAACTTTCCAGAACAATGGAATCAACATGCTCATTGACAGAAGGGAATACAAAACCTTCCGCTTTGAGAAAGTTGTAGGTATCGGTGATATAGCTCAAGGCAGGATTTCCTTTAGCTGCCATGCCCCACACTTGCACAACGTACAGGATCTTATTTTTAACATCCAAATTGCAACCAGTCTAATAAGCAAGTGTCAGTATAGCAAGTTTCATGCTACAAACAAAAACAACTCAAAACTTACTGGAGCTCTAATGATGGAGGTGAGTTCTTCCATAAATTCGCGACTAGCAACCTCCCTAACAAACTGCTCTCCGCCGTTCTTAACGCAAGAATCTACAAGCTATACATTTAAAAGCAGTGAGTGATATGGTGTCTCGTGCTGAGTAAGGAGGCGGGTTTCTTGGCGCAAAAGGAAACTTACACCCAAAGTCAGGAGTTGAACGTTTGGATTCTTATGAGCCATTCTCGCCTTGAGAGAGCGCATGGCGTCTTTGGCATTGACCTTTTTGCCTCGAATTTGATCGGCAATCTCCAGGTTAAGAGCCAGGTTTTCTTGGCCAGCAGGTAGCAGTTCCGACGTTGCTCGCTCTGCAAGAAGACGGTTGGTACGAGGCGTTGGGGTATGTGACAATGACTGTACCAAACTTACCGACGATTTCGTCGAAAGGACTTTGGCCCCACCAGAAAGACATGATTTAATGTAAGAAAGAGTTGGATTGAAGCTGATTGGCGATGTTGAGGTTAGGCCTTAAAAAGAAACTCAGCGAAGCACAGCAATTTTGGCCTCAGGCGTCATTGATCACGTGTACTCTACCTGTGCCTTCCAGGCGGACAAAAAAACCTTGTACTGTCGCAGCAAATCAAACCGCCTTGCATTATGGCAGATCTACGAAGCTGGGTATCCGATCATGCTATTGAGGTAAGTTAATGGAACCAAAATTCCTGTTTTGCCTTGGTACATTAGTATGTGGAAGCTGATATTGATGGAATCTCCATATTCCAGCTGTTTGGAATGTCCGAGAGGACACTCGTCGACTTTGTGATTGCCACAGGTAATTCTTCGCTACTATGCATTCCTCAACGTGAAGACATGGTACTAACGTAATTTCATGCTACAGCACAAAGTGCCAAATCGCCCGAGGCATTGTTCATGTCTTTACAAGCCGCTGATATCCCTGCTACTGACCAAGCTCGCCGTTTCGCGCACGATCTGTTTGCTCGAGTACCACGAAAAGTCAAAGCATCATCCACCGAAAAAGCACAGAGAAAGAGAGAAGAAGCAGAAGTGTCCAAAATGCGAAAAGCAAACGAGTCATACTCATTGTTACTTGAGGATGACGAAGACGACGAAGATCGACGGGAAGCAAAGCGACTGAAGAAACTGAAGAAGAAAGAGAAAAAGCTTCGTAAGAAGGAGGACGAAGACAAATGGGCCGATGACGAAGATAATCAACCAGCTGTTGATCTCGATCGACGGGGGAGAAAAGGTAGGCACCTTTTTCCATCCTTTATCCTCATAGACCTGGATTGTGTTGTTAATTTTTTGATCCCTTGTTACAGACGATGAAGACGTGGAAATGGATAAAGAAGAGCAAGAAAGATTAGAAGATCTCAAGGAAAGAGATGAGTTTGCTCAAAGATTGAAGGACAAAGATAAGGATGGCACAAAAAAGGTATGTAGCAATTTGACGCAGTTCAACGGTTTCAACTGTCAAATAAACATTTTTTTACTTTTTCTACAGATGGTTGAGGATCGATCCTCTAAGGGCGACACGGAAGCGACGCGAAGACGCAATTTAGCTGATGACAAGAACTTAAGAGCAGCAGCGTTGCCGGACATTCGTGACCGATCCCGTCAAGAATATCTCAAGCTCCGAGAGCAGCAGCGACTAGAGCTCTTACGTCAAGAAATTCAGGATGAAGCCTTCCTATTTGGTGATCAGAGGCTATCGAAGAAAGAAATTGAAGAGCATGAGTACAAAAAGCAAGTCCTCGCTCTGGCTGAAGCGCGTCTGAAAATCGATTCAAAAGAAGATGGATATGTTATGCCTGAAGGTAAGTCACGTCCTAAATGTATTATCCATACGTGATGAAGTGCTAAATAATGTACATACATAGATTATATCACGGAAAAAGGCAAAATCGATCGCAAGAAAAAGGAAAGCGCCTTGTATAAACGATATGAAGATGAAGAAAAGTTTGTCTCAGAACAAGATCAATGGGAACAGGAGCAAATCAAAAAGTCCACCACCAGGGTCGAAAGATCACAGCCTGAAGATGAATATGATTACGTTTTCGATGAAGATCAAAAGATCGATTTCGTCATGGCGGCCAAAATCAATGCCAAGGATAAGGACGGAGAAGATGAGGAGCTTTTGCAACGTATCGATGCAGCTGAACGAAAGGCGAAGTCTATTGATGAGGTCCGAAAATCTTTGCCTATATACCAGTATCGTGACGACTTGATTCAGGCCATCAATGACTACCAAGTCTTGGTTATTGTTGGAGAAACTGGATCCGGTAAAACTACTCAGCTTCCACAATACTTGTATGAGGCCGGATTCACCAAAGGTGGCAAGAAGATTGGATGTACGCAACCACGTCGTGTAGCTGCCATGAGTGTTGCTGCTCGTGTCGCGGAGGAAATGGGCGTAAAGCTTGGTTACGAAGTTGGATATTCTATTCGTTTCGAGGATTGCACATCTGACAAAACCGTCGTTAAATATATGACGGATGGTATGCTGCTTCGAGAATTCATGACTGAGCCAGACCTTGCTGCATACAGCTGTATGATTATTGACGAGGCACACGAACGTACATTGTCTACCGACGTCTTGTTTGGTTTGATTAAGGTAATGTACCCATTGCTGCATAGCTTAAAAGCGCGTATTTCTGTACATTGGTTTAATTGATTGTATGCTGCATTTATAGGATATCGCGCGTTTCCGACCCGATTTGAAGCTTCTCATTTCCAGTGCTACTATGAATGCCCAAAAGTTTGCAGAGTATTTTGACGATGCTCCTATCTTTAATAGTAAGTTATTGACTGGTAGTGCGATTCACTGACATGATCTGACTAACTCGATCCCTGTAGTTCCAGGCAGACCTTATCCAGTTGAAATCTTTTATACCAAGGCTCCAGAGGCAAATTACCTTCGAGCTGCAATCACACAAGTGCTGACCATTCATGTCACGCAAGCGCGAGGAGATATTTTGGTGTTCTTAACGGTAAGATTTTATCATTATGAGAGTGGATACTTCATTTATAAAATCTAACATATATCTCATCGATTAGGGCCAAGATGAAATTGAAGCTGCTCAAGAAGGACTAACTCTAGCGTGCAAGGCGCTTGGCAGTAAGATTGGAGAGCTGATTATTTGTCCTATCTATGCAAACTTGCCCTCTGAAATGCAAGGCAAAATCTTCGAGACGACACCGGAAGGTGCAAGAAAGGTATGTGTTGAGAAGTTCAGTCCAGAGACTTTGCTGGATCATCTAACCAACGATTTATATAGGTTATTCTGGCCACTAACATTGCCGAAACGTCTATCACGGTCGACGGTGTTTCATATGTCATTGATCCTGGATTTATCAAACAAAAGGCGTATAATCCAAAAACTGGTATGGAATCATTGGTTGTTACTCCAGCATCCCGTGCATCAGCAACACAGCGCGCAGGTCGTGCTGGTCGAACTGGCCCTGGAAAATGTTTCCGCCTGTTTACGCAATGGGCCTTCTATAACGAGATGGACGAAAACACTACGCCTGAAATCCAACGTATCAACCTTGGTAACGTTGTTCTTATGCTTAAGGTAGGTGCTTTCAAGCCAGGCTATTTGACTTTCAAAATCATACACAAGCTAGCTATGCTTAACACATTTCGGTTTAATAGAGTTTGGGTATCAATGATCTATTCAACTTCGACTTTTTGGACCCACCCCCGTCAGAGACCATGATTCGATCACTAGAACAGCTTTATGCTTTAGGCGCTTTGAATGCTCGAGGTGAATTGACAAAGCTTGGACGTCGCATGGCTGAACTTCCAATGGATCCAATGTTATCAAAGACCATTTTGGCTTCTGAGAAATACGACTGTTCAGAAGAAGTCGTCTCCATTTGCGCTATGTTGTCAGAACAAAGCTCTCTTTTGTATCGACCAAAGGAAAAGAAGATCCTCGCCGACACCGCTCATCAAAATCTCATTCGTCCTGGCGGTGACCATCTTACTCTCCTCAATATTTGGGATCAATGGGTGGAAACAGAATATTCTATGCAGTGGTGTTATGAGAACTTCATTCAACACCGAACCCTTGGACGGGTTCGAGATGTTCGTGATCAATTGGTTGGATTGATGGATCGTGTCGAACTCAAACTGACCAGCAATCCAAATCCTGCTGACACCAACCCAATTCGTAAAGCTATCACAGCCGGATACTTTTACAATGGAGCGAGATTGAACAAATCTGGAGACTCATATCGCACCATCAAGCAAAATCAAACTGTCCACATTCATCCAAGTAGTAGCTTGCTTGAAAAGCGACCACGATGGGTGTTGTATTATGAATTGGTACTGACGAGCAAGGAATACATGCGCCAAGTTCTGGAAATCCAACCCGAGTGGTTGATGGAAGGTAAGCAAGTGCTGTTGTGTGTATAACGTGCTTTATCCTGTTAACTCACAAGCATTTATCCTCAGTTGCACCGCATTTCTACAAGCAAGAAGATCTTGACAATCTCGACGACAAGAAGAAAATGCCCAAGCAGCTCCGCAAGTAGAAGCGTAACCGTGGGTCAAACTCAAGAGTTCAACGACAGAATCACCAGTACCGTTTATGCTTCAACTTTGTACAATTATTCATCCAACACAATCCCAATGCGAAAAAAAAGTTAGACCAAGTTTGTTTACTGGTGTCGTGAGCCATCACAGCAAAGCAATTATACAAGATTATTTTTCCTGGCTGCACTCACTGGCAATTAATAGAATAAAAAAATACCACACACACACACACACACACACACACACGTATTAATTAAAGGTTAAGAACAGTGATGGAAGGGGAAGGGGGGGGGGAGTGAAATAACTAGATAGGATATAAGTTAGCTGAGTCGTCGTCTTCAAAATCTTCTAGCTCGTCGACTTCTTCATCTTGCTCCTCTTCGTCATCTTCATCCATCAGGATCGAACTATCTGCTTCCATGTCAACATCTTGCTCCAACTCATCCGGATGATCTTCACGGTCCGTAGCGGTAGTTCCAACCAGGCTGGAAGGTACGATGCCTGATTTTTGAGCCATACGATATTTCACACTACCTAGTTTTTCCAAATTACCCCGCTTCTTCGCACAAGCTTTCATAACCCCCTTGGCGGCACGGTCTTGCATAGCTTCAAATTGTTGCCAAACGTAGTCTTTGCACTTGCTTGCCCCGTCGAGTTCTTGAATCAGACTTGCAATGGTTGCATGGCCTAATCCATAATAATCAGGACCGCTTGCCGAGTTTGTGCGAAGGACGCCACGGACTTCATTGGCCCGTTTCACCATAGCCGTCCATGCGCCGGTTGCCGAGTTAGCCACAATGGGTTCATTCGGACAATCCTCACATTCGATTTTAAATAATGGTTGATGACCTCCGTCGTCAAGAATGGTAGCTCGCACGGTAGTTAGGCTATTTGCGTCGATCATGGAAGGATAGCTTCGAGTAATAGTATACCCAACTGGCCATATGTATCGCTCGGTGTGAAAGCCAGGCCTGTCCCAAACGACGTGACCAAAATCTTCAACAGTGAAGACGCCAATGTGGAGTGGCATGATGGGCCGTCCCTCTTCATCGCGAGGAACAGGCTGTATTCGTCGAGTGGTGACTTTGACATTGGGGTTTCGATTTCGTTTTGGTGGTGCTGATATGACGGTTGTGGTACCAGAGCTGCGTTGTCGTCGCTTAACGCCGGCTGTTACTGATTTATTTTGGAACGGTGATGCTTTTCGTGATATCTTGAGTGGCGATGCTCTAGGCGAGAGAGCAATGGGCGCTATACGTGGATCAGACATGGGAAAGAAGTTAACGGACATACACACTTGAGAACATATTCAGAAACATGGGTTGCTTGACATACAGTCCAAATCATCCGAATCGTAAGTCTCCCCTCCTTCAGAAACACCATCTGCGTGGGGTTCGAAGCGCGTGGATTCTGTGGATTGCAACTTGTCTAGCAAAATGCTACGAGGAGTTGTTAAGAGTCAACAGAGCAGCAGCGTAGCACACGGACATTAAACTCACTTTCTCTCAAATCGTAGAGTTTTGATCTTTTGCAAAGATCGGTTCAAATCTCCAGTGATTCCTTTGTTGATCTGTTAACACAATGTAGTCGAGTCCACAAAATAGGAATTTCGCACGCACGCACGCGCGATTTCAAGATGACGACGAGTGCACAAAGATTGCCAAAAAGCAATGGGATTCAAAAAATAAACAGTAGTGTATCGTGTTAATGGATACCCATGTATGAGGCACTTGTACGTATAGGCTGGACTTTACCTCCAGACATTCTTTCAGGTTGGATTTTAGCTTGCGGTATTGATATTCGGTGATGGTACCCTCCTCAGGCGAAGATGGAGGATCTTGCGAAGACGGCAGGTCAGCGGTGCCAATGAGAGGCGAAGACGGTGGATTAGATTGAGGAGTCATTCAGCGCATTGAAGGTTGAATCAACAAGCGGAGTGCGGTGGGGAAGAGGCAGTTCTTTAACCACGAAACGCCCAAGGAAGGAAAATAAAAATAAAAATTCCCAAGTCCACCTTCACGACGTTTTCTCTCCTTTTCACTTTGCATTTCAGCGAATCTGCCTTTGCAGATAGCAGGTGATTTGAAAGGAAGAAAGCCACGCGTTTTAGTTCCAGCATGTGCAATTACCCATTTGCACCGTGCATGGCCAAAGTGGCATTCACTTGGCTGGCTCCATTGTTGACGGAGGCAGCTGTGGGAGTGTGTACCTGAATGGCGCTAGAGTAATGTTCATTATGAAAAAAAACAACCATGTTCAGGGCCCTAGATTTCAGAGATTTGATCCATAGCTGGCAGTATTCTTGGTTGTACACTTTTTGTTTTCTTTCAAATAAAACGGTTGCAAATCCTCTTGTTGTCTAAAATCGCCCGTTGTTGTTATCCGCTGGGTCAAAAATCTATATTTTTCCTCGGTATCCATTTTTCCTTCGGACTCGCTTGTTCTTTTGACAATAAAAAGTGGCCATGTCAAGGCGACGAATAGCTCTGATCGTCGGATCGGTTGTAGCTCTCATATACATTCTCACATTCATACCATCATCTCCTTCATCAACCGAGCCCTCCCAAGTTGACAGTCAAAATGAGGCCATGCGTCACGCTAACGAAATCATACCACCCAAGATGCCTGCTCCAGTCCCTGTACCTGCCCAAAAAGTCATAAAGAAGGATCCTATCCCTATCGTAGGAACTCCTGACTTGAACAAAGCTATCGAAGTCGGGGAAGATGAAAAGTTTCTTGCATATCTCCCCCACTCCGGCTTTCACAATCAGCGTATTGAATTAGAAAATGCATTTTTATTGGCAAACTATTTGAACCGTACACTACTCCTCCCACCTGTCTATCTGTGGTCACTTGCCATGCCCTGGCTTCGGTTCGACAAATGCTACGAACGACTTCTTCTACAGTCCAAGCGTGGTCTTGGCCATTGCAAGAATATACCTTCCTCCTTCCCTTCTCCACCCGAATGCCTCAATTATGAAACTTGGACTTCGGTTCCTTGGAGTTTCTTTTACACCATGAGCGGCTTTGAACAACATGCTCGCTTTTATCAACGTTACGATCTAAGCCTGGAGTGGATGTACGAGAACCTTCACATCAAATCAAAAGACATTCACTTTGAAAAGGATATTACGCCTTTCGACTTCAGAGTGTACGATGATCCCGACTCAAAAACGCCAGTGGGTCGGTTCAAGAATCGAATCGATGTTACTACTTTTCAAGCCATTCCTGAAAAAGTTCTTCACTTTGGTTCCGTATTTGGAAGTTACCGCATCCTGGCCCAAACAGAGGAACATGCCGAACTCCATCGGTCGCTACGGAATAACATGATCTTCCGAAATGAATATCTCCTTCGCGCTACTGACTATGTGGTTTCCAAGATTGGTGGCGTGAAAGGCTTTGCTGGTTTGCATATTCGTATTGGCGACGGTTTATTTGCTCGCAAGAAAACCATCACCATTGACGACATGTACCACGAGTTAGTAAACCAATTCACCGATTTGACAAAGGAAGAAGTAGAAAAACTCGATTACACTCATATGGACGATCGTCTGGAAGATGAAGAGTATGAGGTCAAGAGGTACAGATGGCAAGGCAAAAAGCCCGACACGCCAGCTGAACAGGAACCTGTGGTGGTACAGCACCCTCCCGATGAAGAACTCCAGCGCACACTACAGCAAATCGTCCCTATTAAAATGGATTGCGCCAAACATCAAGGCAAAACGGCAGGCTTTCTCACACCCATCTTTTTAGCAACCGATGCCCCCAAGCCCAGACAGAATCCTCTGTTCCGAAAACTTTTCGATACCTTTCCATGCGTATTTGTATTGGACGACTTTAAGGATGCCCTGGATGAATTGGTGCGACTGCAAGTGGTAGAAGATGGCGTTCATCTAGCCAGTTATCTGGTACCGATGGTCGATGCCATGATTGCGGCGCACGGACATACCTTCCTAGGCACCAAAGATTCCACCTTCAGCTCGTACATCGAACGCTACTTGCACCCCGTTTACATTGGAGAAGAGGTCAAGTTGATGGGAGTGGGACGCAAAGGAGCACAAACCTGAATTGGGATTAAGAGGCGTAGACATATTGTCCATTTATAGTGCTTTTAATCATTATGAAGTTCGAAGAAGGACCTCTTCTTTATGACAAATTCCATTCTGTACAGCCAACATAATACAAGAAATTTGACTTTCAGAGTTTATTTTGGGTTGAACTGGTCACGGATGTGATGATCATCGACTGCTCGTTCGGCCCTTCATTTCCCCCTGGCCGGACAATGTGCCACCTTGTTGTTTGAATCGGGGGGAGTTAGAACTGGATGGTAAATGGCCTACCATGAGGCGGAATTGAACGATGATGGAGTCAACCATGAGCCTTTGTCATAGACCTGATCCAAACCTAGGTTCATTTGCGTAGGAATGAATTCTTTAATTGAAATTGTGCCGCAGCACGATCGTCAGGGAACAGACGATCTGGAAAAGGAAATGCTACTACGATCGCGGAGGGTCGGGTTTAAAAAAAAAAAACCTGTCCAAAGGAGCCTTGAATTTTTTTGTGTTTTTGATCGATTCTTTCTTCTACAAACCTCTTTGCTGTGACCATCTTCCAGCATGGACATCCGCAATCTCAAGCGGCGGCGTCGTTCAAAAGCACCTGCAGGTCAGGCGGCTCCTGATAACAACCTGATCCCTCTGCCGAACTTACAAATGTCGGCTTTCCAACCCTTTGCCACTCAGCATCATCCACCACCTCGACATGTCTTGAGCCAATTCTTAAAATGCGCAGTGTGTCAAACCACATTGAACGGCCCCATCACTCTGTCTTGTGGGAATTCGGTGTGTACCAGGTGCATGCCTCCTTACAAGGATTTAGCCTTTGTCTGTCCGGTAGCAAGCTGTGCACGGCCGTCCCATGTTCTCCTACGAAAAGCCAAAATCGATGTGACGCTGATCAAGTTATTGGATTTCACCCACGAGCAGCCACCCCCACCTGGCCCGGAAGAAATATATAATATGCAACTTCGAAAGCGAATCGAAGACACTTTAGAATGCCCAATCTGTGCCTGTTTGTTCCTTGATCCAGTCACCACCCCATGCGGTCATACAATGTGCCAACGTTGTTTATTACGCACTCGAGATAATTCAGAATTATGTCCAACCTGTCGCACTCGTCTTCCTGCGTATGCACTGCTGCAGACGCTAGCCATTAGTGCGACATTGTACCAAATCCTTATGCACCTTTATCATGATGAATACCATCGAAATGCCCACGACGTCGCTAGAGAATCCAATGATGATACCCAATTACCCCTCTTTGTACATAACTCCATCACCTTTCCCACATTACCTTGTGCTATTCATATTTACGAACCCCGATACATGACTATGTTAAGACGATGTTTATTACAGCCCCAGCGACGGTTCGGAATTTGCTTTGTTCGAAGCCCAAATCAAGATAGCCAAGCTCCTTGTCTACCCATGGGCACTATGCTTGAAATTCAGAATGTGGCCAATCTTGACGATGAGCGAGCCATTGTCGAAACCATTGGCGCTTATCGGTTCAAAGTGGTGTCTACCGATCTCAAAGATGGGTACTATGTTGCTCGATGGGAACAAATCAATGATCTAAGCCCTGAAGAGCAAAGCTACCAAGAACGTATGGAGATCATGACAGCTACGGCACGGAAATTCAAAGCTAAAAATAAAGCCAAATCGAATGCATCCATACCTGCACCAGGCAGCGGGCCTGCATTTGGTCCAGCTATGCTGAGCTTGGGTACCATGATTGTCACACAAGGTCAAGCATGGGCATCGAGATCGCAAGGGTCCTCTTCTGCACAGCAACCGCTGGTCGATGACATGACCGAACTTGAAATGCAAAGTACCGAGGACATCATTCATGCTATTCAACAATTTATTGACTCTTTTCGAATTGCCAACTCTTCTTGGATGCAACAGCATACCGCTCGGTTTGGCCCTGCTCCTGATTCTCCCAATGCATTTATCTGGTGGGCCGCTATGACCATCCCTCTCGGTGAGCAAGAAAAATATAGACTCCTTCAAGTCAACACCACTCGAGAACGGGCCAAACTACTTATGACTTGGATCAACGCGCTTAAACAAAAGTGGTGGTTTCCATCTTCATGATGTTTAGCTAGCGCATGGCTTCCACATCTTTGCCGATGTGGTTTGTATAAATTGACTTGTAGCCTCTATTCCCTCTTTTTTTTTTTCGCTTACGGCATTCTTTAGACACAACTGTAATCTAGTGTACTTTATTTTCCTGACATCTGCTCTATATAAACAATAAAGTGAAAAGAGCGAGCTTGTGCGATGATCGGTGGGAGATCGCTCTGCAATCATATGATGACTTGGGTGATAAGTGATCCATGATTGGACGAGATAAGATTGGCTCCACTAGGTCCCGCAATGCGCCGACAAGCGGAGGGCAATGTGAGAACGGAAATGAAGGCGTTGTGCTGTAAAGGAGTGGAGGGTGGGCTAAGGAAGCATGCAAGAACGATGGCCAGATGTAGTTTACCTGGCTCCGAATAAGAGGTTTCATAGAAATTTAGGGCCCTGCTCAGCGCAAAGGAGTGTCACAACGGTATCTCCAGAGCGAATATACCTTTTTGGAAAAGTGGTCCGATTTTTCTTCATAAATATAGCCAGCACGGTACATAAAGCCTCACACTCTCTTCTTGCCTGGTTTTCTTTCGATATTTTCCTTGCTTTGAAGCATAGAGCCGTCCGTGGTTGGCATCATGGACTATTTTCCTATCCTACAACTCACCCCTGACGAACCCATAGAAATCAACTACTATGGCCAAGAAGAGTGTGGTCATTATGGCTATTTCGACACCACCCAAGACGATCTATTGGAGATCATGCCTCTAACGCCTGATATTACGTCGGTCACGGACAATAATCAATTACATTGCGAAATTAGACTATTTTTTGAAGAGATTGGCGTCCTCTCGGAAGAGCCAGAGCCTATTGATCCAAATCGAGACTACGAAAAAGAATTCGAGCTAGAGCAGGAAGCATTACAGGCTAAGCGTAAAACTCGACAACGACGCAATGCAAACCAAGCAAGTCTGAATTCACTGCCTTCTCTAGCACCGTCTGAAGTCACCTCGGCTGCAAGTTCAGCAGAGCCCAGAAAGTGGTGGCCTCAGCCGCATGATATGATCTATAGGCGGACATGCCATATGCACGAGATCACACACGATATGAAGGATAACACCACTGGTCCTTTACCTGGAGATCTCATTGAGCATGCCAGTGCTTACCTTTATGAACAGACCTACCGCTGAACGGCCGTCCGTGTATATATAATCATTTTTGCTTCTGCTTGTTAAAAATAATCCCCATCCCCTCGTTTGATACAGCACTTCCTTTGCTTCTTCCTAACACCATACCCCACTCCGTATAATAGTATCTGTAATTGTATTCATTAAAACCAAAAAAGAGGAATAGATTCCATCCGAGTAAACCACATGCCCGTAGAAATAACAAGGCAACAACATTGAAAGTGTGTTTAGAAAAGACATGCATTGGTAAGCACAAGGAGTCAGTCTCGGCCCAAACAATGACACCGAGCTCTAACAATGCGCCAAAGTAGCACATCCCTAACAGAAGAAAATGTTGGCGTCACTGTGGGCATTCAAACAGAAAAGTAGGGTTAGCATTGGGATGACTGCAGCAGCAGGGTTATCCTGATTCTGTCTGAGTCTTTGGCCCAAGTCACGTGCTTCACTCTGACCGACCTGAATGCTTCAGTCACCCATAAAACGTCGATCCTTTCATCTCTACTCCTACCATGTCGGTCGCTAGACGTGAACGCAAATACGGTGCTGATTCAGATCGAACGAAAAGAGTTCCTTCTCAACCTGTGCAGGCATGGTAAGTGCTCTCGATGTCGTCCGAACCAGGTTGAAACACAACTCTAAAGCTGGAATGAATGGACAGGGAAAGGAAATGGACGGAATCAGCGCGAGGAGAGCAGTTTCAGATCTGCAAGTGGGTCAAGTGTAGGTGATTTTATTGTGTTGGCACAATGCCATACGCGTGTTTGTTTGGCTGTTTTCTCGTTTGCTCACGTTTGCCTTAACACCCGTTGTGTTTTCATCGATCCTTCAGCTGAAAAGGAAATAGTGTTTGAAGACGACGAAGACGAAGAGGAGGAGATGGACACAGAAAAGGTAAAAGATCGGAGGGTATTCTGGTAACGAGCCTTGACATGGGCTAATACGAACTCCATGGCCATAGGAAACCACCACCGCTGGTGAAATGGAAACCTCCAGTGCGGTTACACCTGAAGTTTCCAAAACCGAACCTGAACACACCCATGAGTCTGAGAAAGCGGAATTGCCCTCATCGACGGGTCTTCTCAATAGTACTGTAGATAAGAAATTGGCAGAGATGGAAGAAGAGGAAACTACACATACACCCAAGCTGGACGATGTCTCAGATCACGAGCCTGAACCTGGCAATGGAGCCGACGTTGAAGAAAAAGATAATCCCGCTGCCTACCCTGCTTCCAACCCTCATATCCAAGCACGCTTAGAAGAAACCGATTCACTGGATACCACGCCACAAGAAACTCAGGATGAAGAGATGGGGGATGCCTCAGGTTTGGAAACATCTTATCCAAGCAATACCGCTACACCCGAGTACACCAGTTTCCGAGCCGACCGCGCTCGTGAAGTGCTTGACTCTGCTGTATCTGAAGGTGCATCCATGGAACCCAGTTTGAGCCGGAGCAGTTTGAATGACGAGACCCCTGAGTCCTCTAGTACTTTTGATCAGTGAAGAGGCCATAAAATTTGAATACAAGAGACCGAAATACATATTCTTTTTTTTTTAATAAAATACACCCCATTCACGCAAAGCGTTGGTTGGCCGCTGTATTTTTGACAGAGAAGGGAACCGGAGGATGTGACGTGTTTTTGATCGGTGCTTCCAACAGTTTTTTGACAGCCAGGGCCATCAAATTATTAACTAGCATCTCACTGATCGGCTCCTATAGCGATCTCGATATCCTGGCCGATTCATCCCCGCTATCCAGTGTATTCCAGTCTCGGTATACTCTTTGAATTACTGTATCCAGAACGACGCGTGTTATAAATTTTTGATCAGCCAGCCCGAAACGACTGTTTTGCAACGCGGTCAGGTAAGCGCGTCGTCTAGCATGAACTCACACCGTGTTGAAATCAATAGCGTAATGGCCTCCCTATCCAACAGCTCAAAATGCCTCCCAAGAAACAGAAATCGGATGCGGCATTGACCAATGCCCAAGAAGAAGAGATGAGCTCTGCTCTGATTGCTCAGTTACTAGCTGAGGATGGCATGGAAAACGATACTGGAGGGTATTATGCCGAATATGGCAACGATCGAGGTGTATACGATCAATACCGCAGACACGACACAGATGATAGCTACGAAGAAGAAAGCGAAGATGACTATAGGCCCAAACCAGGAAAGCGAGGACGTGGAGGGAAACGTGGAGGTTCCAGTCGAGGAGGAGGTGGTAAGTGACTCAGCCATTGACATCAAACATGGACCCCCGTCCTTTTTTTTTTTAATGAAACTTTTTGTTGACGGGTGTAGCACCTCGAGGTAGGAAACGAAAAGCCATTCCATCTACAGCGGAGGATGAGCAGCCCGACCCAACAACTCCTGTCAAACACGAAATTAGCACCGAAGAAATTTCCATTGTCACGGGCCACCAAGATCTGGCGGAAAAGAAGGAAAAAAAGCCTAAGAAGGCATTGGCAGAAGGAATGAAAACAGGCACGTATGATGCTGACGAGGAGGCAAGATTCTTAGAAGGTCTAGAGTTATTTGGACGGGAATGGACAAAGGTATTTAGCATAGGGATAATCAAGGGATACGGTTGCTTTTGCTAATGGATGGGCACGCAGCTTGCAGCTCATATAGGGACTCGAGATCCCAATTCTCTTCGTAGCCATGCTCAAAAGCATTTTATCAAATTGTATCGCGACAATATACCTCTTCCTGACAAGGTACGTCATTTGCATGAGACTACACCATATCGATCCCATCCACTCACCCTTCCTGCGGTTAGGTAAAATTAACTGGCCTAGGCTATACACTCAGTGGAAAAGAACTGGATCCCAATTCTGCTGCAGCCAAACCATACTTGGCACGTCACTCATCAGAAAATGAGAAGCCGGCGGTCCAAGAATCGGACAATCGGGTTTCGCTATCCACAAAAGACCAAGATGAAAACAGGGTTCAGGATCTGTCAGTGGGCGTAATGGATCTGTCACCACTAGAAAACAAGCCCATCACCACTACTCCTGCTGTCACCACAGGCCCTCCTACATCGTACGTTAAAGTGTTTCATGCTTCCAAAAAGTTGCTCCCCCCCCCAGACATAGATTGACTCCTGCTCTCCTTGTTTAGAAAAAAGCAAAAAACCACCACCCCTAATCACGCACGGTTTCAAGAGGCCATCTACGATGAAGATGGCCGTACCAGCTATTCCAAGTCACGATTACGACAACCGCGTGAAAGAAGTTCTATTAGTTATTCACAACTGAATGGTGATACGTAAGACAAGCCAGTTGAATGACCGATGGTAGCACCATGAACGCTAACCATTCATTTTTGATACCATAGTGACCCACTGACAATGATCAAGTGTGAACCTTTTTGTGGCAAGCCGGCTTCTGGTGTTGCTGGGTGCCAACCTTTTGAAATGAAAATGCATTCCAATGTCCTTGTTGCCATGGATTTCCATGCTCATTTAATGACGACTGAAGTGATTGGGTTCCTTGCTGGTCAATGGAATAAGGAGACCAAACGTAAGTCTTTTTTTTTGGGGGGGAGAGATAAACAACATGGCATTTATCCCCTTTTTGTAGACATGGTCGTTCAGGCAGCTTACCCATGCCGCTCCCTAAACACTGGACAAAATGATGTGAACGTGGAAATGGACCCCACCAGTGCGATTGAAGTTCGTCAGCAAATTGAAGACCAGAATATGCAAGTGGTTGGGTGGTACCATTCACATCCAACGTTTGTACCTGACCCTAGTCTCATGGATATCGAAAATCAAAAGAGTTACCAAACACAATGGCGAGACGAGCATACGCTTGAACCTTTTGTTGGCGCCATTGTAGGCAAGTGCATACCTTTGTTAAAAGAAAAAAAAGAAAAAAAAAAGTGATGACGACAAGCCTGCGCGGAAGAAGCGTGGCCGATTTGAACTCTGAACTCCGCAGCTAAATCCATGAAACCGGTTTTCTTTTGCAGGTCCGTATGACCCTAAGCTACCTGGTTCAGTGTCGGTTATCAATTGGTTCTACTTGGATAGTGATCGAATCATTCCCAAACGACTCACCTATGACATTGAAGAAGACCACGGCATTACCGTCCAAGAAAGCGATCGTATGGTAAAAAAAAAAAGCCCTTTTGCGTTGTTCATTTGGGGGAGGGGGTTCCCTCGCTTCGCCTTCCTTCATCGGGAGAAAGGAAGAAACCTTGTGACGGGTTGCCTGTCCCCCCCCCAAAAAAAATGGGCTTGCTTGAGCCAAAATGAAAAAAAAAAAAACTAACTTGGTGTGCTGATATTTAGTTTGCTCTGCTCGATGAATACGTTCAATCTCCAGAACGAGTCCGGTTCAGTGAATTCTGGCGACAAGATGCTCAAGAAAGCAAGCTTCAAAAACTAATCAAGAGTCTGGCCAAGAGAATGCCATGGCTACAAGCAGCACTAGTTGAGGTCATGAGGCGGCAACAGCTTCCACTGGTAAATGACACCCCGCCATGGCCCATTGTGGAACCCACAGCAGAAGAAGCGCCAAGCCAGGACTCGAGCTGTGGTGTGCTGTTGGAAAGAGATAGTTCGACGGGCCAAGACATTGTACGTGAACTCTTCCTTGAGCAAGTGGAAGAAAAACTCAAGGCATGGTAATATGGGGGCATGATTTATGTTAAATAAAAGAAAGAAACCCAACCCCCCATTTTCACTCATTGACGTTTGCGTCTGAGTTGATACGAATGCTAACCTGGCCAAACTGCTGAACGTTTATGTGATGTTTATTTTGGGCCATGCCTTGGCTCCCTTGGCCCCCGAGAAGGACGATATTTATACCGCACCCAATGGTATGGAAGGGGAGGCGTCTCTGGGGAGGAAACCATTGGTATGATTTGGGTTGGGGGACAGAGTGGCGGGGACACAAAAAACAAGCCCACTTCACTGGTAGGAAAGTCAATGGAATACGTTTATCCTTAAAAGCTCATTTTAACAAAAATAGAGGAGAAACGAGAATTTCTTTCTTTCTTTCTTCCTTTTCTTTCTTCGCTTTCTTGTTTAGCAGAGTCCTCTCATGGCTCAGTTGCCTCATTCTCCTCCTCCTGCGATAGACCATCCACCCGCCAACAATGTGAAAGGTTCGATCGAAACCCTGCCTGTCCCACCCCCGCACGAGAATAAACTAAATAACATTTTTCTTCTTCTATAGTCAAAGTCTATTACACGTTTAAAGGCAATGCCACCACTTGCTTGTGTACCTTTGAAACCTCCTTCAAGAACATCAAAAGCAAAAAGCTCCTTCAGATTCCCTTGAAACGCTGTCTTCTAGCGGTATGTTCGTCATGGTAGGTTCCTCAACTTGTCGTCACTCTATGGTCGCTTCGCCTCATTCATCTCATTGCTCCGCCCGCCTGCTACTCCGCTTTGTCTTATTAAGCCCTGATATGCTATCTGGCCCTCATGAGGACTGTGCTGTGTATACCGCTTCGTTCGAAGAATCCGAACTGTCAACGAAATACAACCATTCCGTCACTTCCAATCGTGGATCTCCCGTCGATAAGGTCATTTGGGAAGGCCATGGCTTGATGTCTTGGATATTAGATGACACGTCGCAACATGAACTTTACGCCACAGGAAAAGTCGGCCCACCTTCTGGAGCTTACGAACATACCGTCGAAGTGATTCTTCAGTTACAACCCGTAGGTGGATTTTCATGCTTTTCCCTTTTTAAAACATAGCCCTAAACTTGGTGTCATGACCCACAGACTATCAAGATGTCAAAGTCGGCTTTTTACGATAATTTGTCCAGAGAATCAAAACCCTCCGTCAACTCGTCCCCTCCTTCCAATCCGCGCTTGACCGCTCCCATCCCTATTCATCCACAACACTACACTCAACGAAAACGGAGTGACGACCAAAATTTGGTTAGACGCTACTATGAACATCGGGAACAACCACCCCCTGTGTCTTTACCATCTTTGACTCAATCCCTACCACCTTACCCGTCCCATCATGACAACCATCATCCTAGTAGTCAACAGGAACAAAAGATGGCTCGGATGGAACGTAACCAACGCCTACAAAGCGAGCATTACTATGATAACCCTGAATCGCAACATCGGCGCCATCGCATTTCTCCACCTACCACCTATCAAACAAGACCTCCATCGCATCAACCGCGTGATCGATACCCTTATCCACCCTATCCACCTCAAGGGGAAGGTTCAGCGCAGTATGATAGGTTGGCTTGGAGAGACGAAGGGCCGTGGTTACGCATCACCGACTCACAACAACCACCTTATGCCAACCCATCGAAATCGAACGATATACCAGCGTACGAAGCTAGACATCCTATGCCCCCTTCTGCACCGCCGCCGCCCAGGTCACCTTCCACAGCTAGTGCTACCAGTGATAGATCATCGACTGAATATCATCATCAGCAGCATGATCAACCGCATATGGAGAATAACAATGCTATGAAACATCCTCGCTTGATACGAGCCAGTACTGCGGCACCGGCCTCAGAATCCAATTTGTACCCTTATCGATTACCTCTTGGCAAAACCATCCATCATACGCGCCGCAAGAAACGGGATACTAAGCCGCCTAACGCCAATGAACTACGAACCATTGTTGAACTGGAAAAGGATGATCATGGAGATTATAAGCTACCCGTGGAAGTCGATTCATGGACCGTCATTAGCCTTGGCAAAGTCATTTGGGATAAGCCCGCTTTTCATAATCAGCGATACATTTACCCAGTGGGCTATGTGGTCAAAAAGTAAGTACAAAATCCGCGTGGTTGGATGTCACACCCCCCCCCCCAACTGACTCATTGATAATCGTACAGATGGTACAGAAGTATGATTGACCCTCATCGTGATACACAATACATATGCTCTATTTTAGATGGAGGCAATGAGCCATTGGTAAGGAAGGATGAGATTCAAAACACAGCTTTGTCATGGGGATACTAAAAACAATTTCGTTTAGTTTCGCTTGCAAGCCGACGATAATCCAAAAGAAGTATTCCAGGGTCAGACGCCCACCAGTGTATGGACCATTGCTGTTCGCCGGTAAGTCTTAAAACAATTTTGGAGTAGAACAACACCAACAGTGCGTTGACTTGACCCCCGGCTTCTAGAGCGTTCGCCGTGCGTAATATGGAATATGGACACAATCCAGTGGGGCCGGACTTCTTTGGTCTGCGAAAAAACACCATTGCAAAAATGATCCAGGATCTACCTAATGCAGATAAATGCCGCAACTATGTTTGGCAAATGTTCGAGATAGGACGAAGTAAACAAGGGCGAGGTACCAAACGACCACAGGCCACTTTAGCGGACGATGTCATTCATCAGCACCAGTTTGAACAATCCGTTGCCCGCGGTCCTATTGGCCGCATTCGGTCGGTGAAGCTCAACACTTCCCCTGGCGATGCTAACTCGACCCTATACCCCACGCGAAGTGATACCGATATTCAACAGGAAGACGACGAAGAGGATGAGATGGATGAAGACGAATAAGACCGAATGAAAAATAAAACCAATATAACCTCAAGAATACTCACCCATGTAAGATATGTAACCAGTAAAAAAGAAAAAAAAAAATCCGCACACCCCTCGTACAATAATGACACGAAACCTTACTCATGGAATCTCACACATGGTAACGACCAAAAGTAAATAAAAAGAACTCCTCAAAAAATGATTCCATTCATCCATCCAAATCTTTGGTACCGCCTACTGCCGATGTCCTACGTGGCGGGGTTCCATACCGCTGCACTGGAGCTCTATGGTTTAAAGTACAGAATGGAGGCCAGGGCAGGTATAATGACAGGAAATTGCTTTTTCCACACTGATCGTCTGGATAGCGGTGGCCGGCACCACAGGAAAAAATAAATGGCCAATGAGCTTTCATCCCTGGCCCAATAAAGCCTTATAGATGGAGTGCAATGGTGACAGGGGGACATCATGCCAATGTCGTTGAGTTCTAGAAGAAAGTAGTAGAGATATTCCGATCATTGGGAAAAAACCGGTTTGCCCAACCAACACACACACCTGGAATGGATGGAATACATACCATACCGAACCTTACTTCGCATTTGACATAACCCCCTCCTGCCAAGCCCAAATGGAATCATTTCACCCATAAGTCTGTTTCTGCTCAGTTGCCTTGTTTGAAAAAAAAACCTTCGCCCATCCATGGCCGGCGCCAAGCCGACGTTTCCTGACATTGACTGCGAAAGAATATTCCCCCGTATTCCTGATCATGCCTTATCATGGTTTTTCTTTATGTACATCCCACATGACGGCTTTTTCTCTGATTCCCCATTGACATGTTTTGTCACTGCTTATAGGAAACAACCTGCTTCCCATTGCACGTAAAAGGGGATGAGCGATAAAATCTTGGGCTAGAGAGTATTAATTTAAGGAAACCCTGCAGGAGCTGCTACTGCGTCATTGTGATTTTCTCGACTGCAGTCGAAGATTGGGCTTGGTATTGCGAATTTTTTTAATTTACGCAAGCGCATGAGCAGCATACCCTTGACTTGATATGTCTAGTTTGTAGGGGTAGCCATTGAATCCAGTCAAAAGGGTAAGTTTAGAATGCTCCTCCCCCCCCCAAGCGCAGTAGATGATTTTTTTAAACCATGAACCATTCAGTTGGGTCTGTGCAAGGGGGGCAGAGATATGGGGAGGCAGAAAACTCTAATGGAAGGGGGAGCCAATGTGGTTTTGAGCCAGGAGTGACGTTTTCTCTAATGTATACGGACAGATCGATTTTGAAGTCGTGAAAAAAAAACCCACCTCGTTGCCACCCCCTCTCCTCAATTGTCACTGTAGCGACTTTTTCTCCCGTGTTTCAGCTCAACATTTAACTCCCTGTCCATCAAGATGATCCTATCCTCACAGCCTGGCTACGAGATAGTGGGTGGGGTGAGACGCTCGCTCGCTCACCCATATGGAAAATAAAATAAAGCCAGCTGTGCAAGGTTTTGGAGACATGCAGGGCCAGCCAGGGTGATGTTTCAAATGAAATATTCTAAGCGTCTCGCGTAACTGGTCACGGCGGCCCACTTTCCATCCGGTCGCGTGAGTGAGTTGCATAGCTCGAAACGAACCTCAGGGCAAGGATCCGTGTTCATCCCAACTAACTACTTCATTTGGCTGGGTGGCACACATAGTTGGCAAGCGTCACGCAAACTGACCTCTGAATTCTGTAATGTAAGCAACATCGCACGAACGTAGTTTCAACCTTAACACTCAGTCACACACAAGACCGTTCACCAGCTGCATTCAATTTGTGGGAGCTATTCAAAAAAATTTGTATCTTGGTTCGGTATTATAGCAAAGAAAAAAGGGAGGGACGATAGGATTCAGCGTGTATAAAATCTATTTAGCTTCAATCTTAACATTGACGTCGGCTTCTCTAGCCAACTTGACAATCTTGGACAGTTGAACAGCCTTGCTGGCAGCTTGACCAAGCTCGTCAACAGCGAAGATACGAAGACCAGAGTCGGCGATCTATACAGGGAAAACAAGTGTTATAGATACATACGTTTTGTGTGCACTCTGAGGGTTAAAAACTTACCAATTTCTTGGCCTCATTGACCTTGGTACCCTGGAGTCTGACAACAACGGGGATGTTAAGGTCGAGCTCTTGGGCAGCAGCAATGATACCTTGAGCAATGACATCGCATCTCATGATACCACCAAAGATGTTGACGAAAGCAGATGACACCTAGAGGCAAAAGAAATAAGCATGGTTGGGGAGAGGCAAATTCATATTTGCATGTGACGAACAGCAACTTACACTGGGATCGGCTGTGATAATCTCGAAGGCAGCCTTAACAGCCTCAGGGGTAGCTGAAAATGGATGGAGAGAGTGAGTAATGGAAGTTTTGCCAACCAACCCTCACTATATAAAAACTTACCACCACCACCAACATCCAAGAAGTTAGCAGGGCTGCCGCCGTTGAGCTGAATGATGTCCATGGTAGCCATGGCAAGACCAGCACCGTTGACGAGACATCCAATGGTACCATCAAGACCAATGTAGTTAAGGTTGTACTTGGCAGCAGCGATTTCACGAGAATCTTCCTGGGTAGTATCGCGAAGAGCGAAAGCCTCCTTCTGTCTGAAGTCAGCATTGTCATCGAAGTTGAGCTTGGCATCCATGCAGAGAACTGAAGGAGTGAATAAGTACCATGTATGCCCTGCTCTCTCTCTCTTTCTATGACTTACCTTGGTGGTCAGAAGTCTCGGACATGGGGTTAATCTCAACTTGAGTGGCATCCTTCTCAATGAAGAGCTTGTACAACTTCATAAAGGTATCGGCGGCTTGCTCAACACCAGTAGAGCTGAAGCCAACCTTCTTAGCAAGTTCAAGGGCTTGGTCATGGGACAAACCAGTCTTGATATCAACAGGCATGGTGATAATGGCATCGGGGTTCTCGGCAGCAACACCTTCAATGTCAACACCACCTTGGGATGAGGCAACCAAAACGGGACCAGCAGACTTGCGGTCCATGAGGATAGCAAAGTAGTATTCGCGACGAGCATACTTGCGCTCGACAACGAAGACGGAGTTACAGGGCTTGCCAGCAGCACCCGTCTGCTTGGTGATAAGCTTGTGACCGATCATCTTTTCGGCCATTTGCTTGGCCTCTTCAGGACTACATATAGGAATGAGTGTATGAGTATGGAGGTTATGCGCGCGCGTGGCAACGTTTACATAAAATTAAAACCACACGTACGAGTAAACGAGCTTGACACCTCCCTTGAAGCCATTGTCAAAGGTACCCTTTCCACGACCACCAGCAAGAACTTGGGCCTTGACAACCAAATCGTCAGTTCCAAGCTTCTGGGCGATTTCATAGGCCTCTTGAGGGGACTTGGCAACTGAACCCTTGGGGGTGTTGATGCCATAGGATCTCAACATGTCAACGGACAAGTATTCATGAATGGCAAGGAAACGCTTTTGCTGGTGCTGAGCAGAGCGAGTAGCCTAAGGAAAAAGAATGGGGGAAAGATGGGTGATGAGGGTCAGTTTACACTGAGCTAAAGACAGGGTTCAAGGACCCTGGGAAAATAAGCTGAACTTACAGAGGCGACCTTTGAAGCAAGGGCGGTGGTAGAACGCAAAGACTTGAACATTTCTGTGAAAAGATGTATGGTTAAAGATGGGACACCGGGGAGAGAAACGCGACCAATGAGGTATGGGAAAGAAGGTGTTCAGGGATGGATGGGACGTAAGGTTTCAACGTTGCCCATTTCAATATGGACCAGGGTGTCACTAGCGCGAAGTGGATGGAAACTCTCGGTCATGGAGACCGTTGGGCGTTGCGAGGACTAATGCAGTGACAGATGTGAGATCTTACCTTGAGCGAAGGATGCGAGGATGAAGCAATGCAAGATTGTTAACAAGTATTTTTTTTTCCCCTTGTTGAAACTAATGGCCAGGCTGACTGGGCGGGTTTCCAAATGGGTTGTTTTCACGCTTTGTTATCAGAAAAATAAAAAAGATAAAAATTTTCTCATTCACGCCGCCCGCCAACCAAAGCGTTAAGGCAGCTGCTGTTGAGTTTCTGGAGATGACTAGTAAAGTGTTCATGAAAAAAGAGTTGACCGTCGCTCATCCATCGTACGGCAATAAGCAGACCCGTTCAAGCATAATGGGGATTTCCATTTGTAAAGCGCTTTGTACGATAAATAGCATGCTCAGCATTGATTGGCTAGAATTTTTCCATGGGCGGTAGAGCAGCATTATGAGACATGGATGGCCATGCTGAGACCGAGCTGTTAAGAATAGAGAGACACATAAAAAGAAGTCTCATGACGGGATGATCTTCTCTTCATCTTCTTTTGCCAACCATGGACGGCTCTGATCCTGCCTTATGCAAAGAGCACCATTCAAGCTATGTTGCCCCACCACCATCATCAACACCAGCGGTCAATTCTACTCCCGTGACGTCCAGTCCGCAATCCATGCAAGAGATACCCCAACCCCCACCAGCCATGTTGCATCGAAACGCAGTGGAGATATTTCCAACATTACAATCGCATCATAATGAATCGGGTTACTCTGTCCTCACCAGTAATTCAGAAGTATCCATCCTACCTATGTACACCCCGCCTACACCCTCCACCGGTGCCATTATTAGGCCTATGACTCGGACTGAAGTGGACTTACTTCGCACTCGTTACGAAGAACACCATGCAAAATATCTTCGACATCGCAAAACCTATGTGATTGCTTTGGTAAATATCATGCAGGCCTGAAGGAAATTGGGAACAAGTATTAAGACCCGTTTTACCCAATGTAGATATTAATAGCCATAGCTGCTATGATCTTGGTGTTGGTAGCATTTATGGTTTCGTCTCCCCACATTGTGTTAGCTGTCGGGATTGTTCTAGTAGTGATGTTCGTATGCATGATTCATCGGATGACGGTCCTGAGGGATGTGGTGAGGCGAGAACGTGCGTTGTTGGATCTGCATGGAGACCCCTATAGTCCTAGTCGGCCCATCCATCGACGACAGTACCCTCTTCCCGACGACCATTTCCTGGTCATCACCGAGACTAGCCAAGGACAAGAACGTCGTACGTTGATCTCTGGACCTCCCGAGTACGACACTGCCACCGCATTCCCGCCAGCATATCTACCCAAGAACCACCAAAGTCAAGGAGAGCCAATGGAGGAAAGGACGAGTTAACTAGGGCATATCATTACCAATATGAATATAATATATATATCTCTTAAGTAATAGCAGCGATAGTGTACATGCATGTGTAGGAAAGCTATAAATTTTATTACTGGGTGCTGACAATCTACGGCCCAGACCCTTAGATATGTTTAATTAAAAGTGCTGTAAGAAAAAAAAAAATTCAAATGTCCCGTCCATCTGTGAACATGGAGTGGGGGGGGAGGTTCTCCACTATGAAAAAGAAGTAGTTTCAGCAACACGGTGACGCGCAAGCTCATTCAACCCAGCGACGACTTCTTCGAGTTGTCTACGCTTGTCTTGAGCATCCAGCTGAGCCATGATATGGGGATTTTCTCGGGCGAATTTGGCGATCTGCTGCTGATCCATGCCGTAGACTAACCGATCATCCACTTCACGGGAGAACTCAAAGAAGAATTCATTCAATAGCTCGACTTGTAGGAACATGGACGCCTAATGGAACGACGGGGATAAATGAAACCAGGTATTTAAAGTTAGCATTGGTGGGTTTCTCACGGACGCTGTTTCATCCGCCTTACCGTGTATGTGACTTTCTCAGTGACAGCAGACAGGAAGGCCTCCTGGCATTGGCTTTTGTTCTCAAGCGATCGACATCGCCGGCTTTTGAGGACAGCGAGGCGTATTTTCAGTAGCGCCAATTTGTCTCGAAGCGCAATGGCTCTTGCCGCCACAGCAATGGTGTGATCATCAAATGGTAGATCACCGCCGCCACCACTATTTTTGTTTGCTTGTGTTAACTGCTTCATTGCGGCATTTAGTTCTGATCGGTCGGCATTTTTCCACAGTGATTTGTATTCAAGGTCACAACGCTGTCGTTCCTGTTCAACCACTTGCACAGCTTGTTGAACGGCCGTCTGCCACTCCCTCTCAGACACTTCCACCTCATACTTGAAAGGCTTGATGGTGTTCTCCACTTGATCACAGGCAACGGGTTCGTGAGCCCGCAAAATCTGTTGAGCAAAGTCAATGACACCTTGTTTGGCTTGTTCGTGTTGCTGTGTACCAAACACATCCGTAGCTAGATCCTGTACAGCTTGCATGATATTGTACACCATAAGTTGCGTCGTGGTCCGTCCTACTCCACTTCGAGTGATCAAGCTCCCTGCAACATCAGGATCGGTGTCTTGCGATGTCCAGCATGTTCGTTCACACACGGTCAGCATTTCGCGGTCCATCACTTCTCGTACAATGTCACGCACACGTTGGCGATTGTATTCTTTCTCAAGTTTGGCAATGCCAAGCTTGAGTTCCTCCATGCGTCCAGCTAGATAAGATTCAGCCGATGCCGAGCGGCCGTCGTAATCCACTTTGAACGAGTATTGTGCTTCCTCCAGTGTTTTGCTAGCATCGCGGGCAATGTCAAATAGTATAGGCGTAATGTATTGTTCAAGTTGATGGGCTATTTGCCGTCGTGGGGTATATGCGTCATTGACATCGATCACAACACTCCGACGACCCAGTGGGTCGATGGTCTGTTGTGAGGCATAGTCCGTGGCGATAATCAAAGCATCAGGATCAATGAGCGTTGCTACCGTCGAATCATTCGCTAGCACCACTAGGTGCATGCTGGGATATTTAGCGTTGGATACCGTGATGTGGGGTGGTGATTTCTCCGAAGACGAATGAAACAATTCTGGATGCTTTCCTGCTTCTGCTACGGGTACTCGAGTACTTTGGTCAAGTACGATCATGTTGTCCTTGATTTCAGGGTCGTATTCAATTGTGACATGGACTAATCCTGGTGCCTTGCTGGCAACGTCACCACCTTCTGTATCGTCTGATGCCCTATAACGAAGAGCGCAATGCAGGATGGATCAATACCATTTGCACCTACGTAGCAGTAGCCATGACTATCTATTTAAATTACTTACTCTGGCAGCTCAAGACCAACGAGGTAACTTAGAACTCTGTGGGCATGAGGTCCAATGACAGCAATGGGAGGAAGCGCCAAAGTCTTTTGAGCCTTTTGAGAATCAAATCCATCCAGTTTCGAAAGCAGTGATTCGGCCTCGCTTAGCTTTTGCGCGAACTCTGCTAGTTCATCTTGATGCATTCGCAGCACAATCTTCTTTGCCGCGCGTTCTTCAGACGTGATAGCTTCCCGTACATCTTCCGATAGTTTGGCTGATTCCTTGCCAGAGCTTTCCAACAAGTCTTTGAGAAACGACGGCATGTGAATATTGCCTGTAATGGATTGCACTCCAGAATACAATTTCTCCAATTCCTCTTCCACCTTGCTCATGAGATCAGAGCCTTTCTCCTTATATTCTAATGACGAGGTATTTTAATTTATGTAGCCTTACGATCACTGTAAGGGCAAACAAGGACTACCTTCGATTTTATGGTTCACATAGGCAACACCGCCTGCAGCGGCTCCGACTAGGACGACAGGAACTCTTGTTGCAGTGACAAACAATCGGCCAATGGAAAACGGCCGGGTCTGCAGCGCGAGCATTGGCTGTCGTGGGGCGATTATGCGGGGCCGTGCATAAGCGCTCAGCAGAGGCCGCGTGGTCAAGTTGCGAGAGAACTGCGCGAGTCTAGGTTTCGGAGATATGTGTGGTGGTCGATGGACTAGCTGTCGTCTGGCCTGTGCTAGCAATAGCTTTGACGCCATTGCTGCCAAGGTATTAAAAAAGCAGGGAATGAACAGACGCTGGAAACAGGCAGGTTTGTGTGCTGGTGAAAACTGAGTCCTTCAGTCACGGGATCACGATGAGGTAACGTCCCAGCTCGTATTCTGCAAACGATTGTCGGCTCTAGAGCAGATAGTGCAGAACAAAACAATGGCAAAGATCGATCTTGGGATGAAGCGCGATAATACAAGCTTTGTTGCAGTGGAACACATCACGTTTGAACAAACATCCCACGTCTTTCGCTGTTTTTGGTGAAATTCTTTATGATTTTTTTTATAAGTAAAAAAATGTTCTACAGGATGTGTTTTTAATGAAAGATACTTTAAACGGTAGCTTCAAAGACCTTGGGGGCAGCCTAAAATAGCGTGAAATGTCAGCTTATGGTTACAACGTCAACGGCGTGATGTAGGGAAATACTTACGCAGACATCGGCGCAGTGCATGAAGTGGAAGAACTCTTCTATGCCTAATGAAATGGAATACATCAATATAACATATACCACACTTTCAGTTAATATACGCAGTTACTTACAGTCCTCATGGGAACCGTTCTCAACACGTTCTGCGCATTCTTCCAAATGATGCTTGAGGCTGGCGCACTCCTTGGAGTTACCGCATTCTGTGAGGAAAGGGTGATATTAGATTGAATGTTAAACAGAAGATAGCAGGTGAAAAGCGGTATGTAGAAAAATGGTCGCTAGACACTACTGAAAAGCCAAGTGTGTCGAGGTGATTGTCGATGGGGCAGCTAATGGCCTGAAACGAGTGCCAATGGCGGGTGCAACCGATGGTCGTTGTCGGATGATGTTTCACGAAACACACGTACTTTCATACGTGTGTTTTTCGTCTATCCCTCGCGGGTTCCAAGTCAATTTAGGTGTCACAATTACCTTCCATGATAGCTTCCTTGGGATCCTCTGGCTCCTCCTCTTCTACTTCCTCGACGGGCTCTTCGGGTTGCTCTTCATGCTGCTCTTCTTCAGCATAGACAGTTGGGAGGAGGGAGGACAACAGATCAGCAAGAGCCATTTGTAATGTAATTAAATGTCAAGCACAACGGAATTCAAGATTGTCTTGTTATGACCCTGGAAAATCAGCCGCACGAAATTCTGCCTGCGTCATCGAATGTGACTGCTGCCTGAGAACCTCTTGTCCAGCTTTCTGTCGTTGCTTGAAAATTGGAGACTCCTTCTTGACCTGCGAGACTGGCTTCTATGAAAGTAACAAGCATGTCTTGAGCAGTTTCTTCAATTCATTTTTGTGCAGTCCTTTGGAACCATGTTGTTTTGATCAAACGTGTTCTCATTGTCTCTGATGTTTTGGAAAACCCTGTGAACTACTTATTATAACAACAATCTACATTGAACTATCCAAGAACAATGAATGTCTCGATACTTGGACATACCTTGAGCTCCAAAATTTCAACCACATTCTTCATATTATTCCAAAGTTACTGAATACATCGGAATTGCATGGCGGGATTCTTACTCACTGCATCACAAATGGTAATATGTTCTCCATGAAAGGTTTTTTCGACAATTTTCGAGCTGCCAACATTTAGCTTTTTGACCCCACAAATCTCAAAAATAAGTGTCGATAGAATGCGAACATACCTACCAAATGATAGAAACCATTCAATAATCGGCTATACATGTTTATTGTGACTATCCTCCAAGACAGCAGGAGATGAATTGTCGATATCTACAGGAGCACGAAGATACCATGATGAGCCACTTTTCTGCCCGACGACAGGCACACGAAAGCTGCGATAGCCAAAACGTGAAAAGATCATTGCAAACAATAAAGTAGTATCAATTTAACTTTAGGTGTAGAAGCGGAGTCGGGCCGCGTTCAGAACTTATCTCAGCTGTAAAAGAGCAATCATTTTATCACATGAGTTCGTCATTTCGACCTTATGGGCTAATAATACATTGCTTTGGTTTATTGGAATATGAGTTGCTACTATCATTCATTTAATTACAGTTTATCCAAACAAAAGACCGCCATTCGTGTTGAGAACATCACCGGTGATGCGTTGACTGGCAGGACTAGCAAGGAAGAGAATGACACCGACCATATCCTCGACCGACGAAAAGTCTTTGTATGGGGCTTTCTGAAGATTTTCTTTCAAACCAGCACGAACTTCATCGGGTAGTGCAAGAAACATGTCGGTAGTCACTGGTCCAGGTGAGATGGTGTTGCTAGTGATGTTCTTGGGGCCGAGCTCCTGAGCCCAGACACGAGACAAAGATTCAAGTGCTGCCTTAGATGCAGAATAGATGGATAAACCAGGCAGACCATTTCTTGCCGCTACAGAAGAGACATTGATAACGCGTCCAAAGTCTTGAAGATGAGGAGTACTTTCTTTGATTAATAGAATGGGTCCGCGTACATTGACTTTGTATACATTGTCAGCGCTCTCGGCATCAGCCTGATCGATGGTTTGCATCAAGGATACAGCAGCGTTATTCACAATGATATCAATTTTGCCAAACGCTTTGATGGTCTCATCCACAATTTTTTTGGGTCCAAGTTCATCGCCTACATCCGCTTGAACGGCAATAGCTTGTCCTCCATTATCCTTGATCTGCTTGACTAGATTTGTAGCCCGGTCTTCAGATGCGGTATAGTTGATAACAACATAAGCGCCTTGCTCAGCAAAAGCTTTGACAACGCCTTCGCCAATGCCTCGTGTTCCGCCAGTGACAATGGCAACTTTGCCTTGAAGTGTTTTAGCAGCCATGATTGAGAGATAAATGTGAGAAGTGTGAAGGTATTGGTTTGTTAACTGAAAGGAAGACAAAATTCTCTCTATATATACAGAATTAAAGCTAGATGACCTCCTGGATCATTAATAATGTTTGAGATGGCTTCTGTAAACATCCATGGAGTAGCACATACCTGATCTGTATGCATTACTGGAACGTTCGATGAAAGGTTTTGTCAGCGGAAGGTGATAGTGTTAATTTGCTGAATTGACTAAGCACGGCCCGGACATTTGATATCCGAGAAATTTTTGGTTGCATGTTATCGTGCCTCAAAGGGGAAATATTACCACCAGCATCATCCTACTGTAGGCATTTCTAATCGCTTCGTCTTTATCTACCATACAGTAATGAGTTGACATCGCATCAAGAGCGTGCTTATTATTACTGGAGCATCGATCGTTCCTGAGCACAAACGGATTGCAGGAAGCATTTATCACCACATCATAAACCACACCTCCGTTCTTTATCAACAAAAACTCGTTACGGTGGAGATCAGAAAACATTATGAGGGTATTATTATTTTGGCTGAGCTCTAGCATACTCTACGAACTATGAGGTACCACAAATATAGGCTGATTAATATATCGCCTGTTAGGATGGATCCATTGAAGAAAAAACTTACTTCATCAATTAACACAGGCCATGCACCTTCCGCATCATGATTACTGAGTTCAGTATCGGCTTGCTTGGAGAAATCCAAAAGCTGCAACGTATGATCCAGGTGGTATGAGACAACATTATAATAAGCGATACCCCATCGTGGGTGGTAAAATCATTCAATAGGTATCAAACTTACCAAATTCCATGTATCTCTAGATATAGCTTTACCGTGTTGTTCCTATATAGTCTGACCGAGTTAGCCAATGCAGGCATATTTACTGCCATGCCGTACCTGAACCACACTGACACCGAGCTTACCTCAATGAATTTAATCCACAAGTCCAAATGTTCAAATCGACCCTGAAGTAACAATCGCCACAACTCAACCGCCGCCTCGAGAGCTAAAATTTATAAAGTAAGACGACAGTGTAATAACCTTAGATAAGAACGCGTACTTACAAAGACTCTTCTGACCGGCTTGTTTGCCAAACTTAAAGGCGTAAAGGTAAATCTCCTTAAAATGAGCTTCGTCGTCATCCATCCACTGCCTGAAGGTTGATATGGCATTCTTCATTTTATCAAGGGTATCACATCGTAATTTGAGCCAGCCTTCTACAAAGCCAGATTGGGTAAATTCAGCCATCCTCTCGGAACCAAGATGATGGGATAGCACGAGGAATTCAATTTGAGTGGGCTCCAGTCCCAAATCTTCACAGAACTGCATTGTGCCGTCTATGCCGATGATGTCCTGGTCATCGTCTGGAAGCGATGCCATGAAGGCGGATGGTTAGTCAAACTTGACACACCCACCGGAGAGTGTGGGTCGCTTACCTTTATACTTTTCAAAAATGCTATGTAGCTGCCGAACGTCACAGGTTTCCTTAGATACAAACAGAGCCTCTTTGCCGTTTGCGTCAAAAAATGAGTTGACAGCAGTTTCCAAACTCCAGTTTGTTTTTCGCAGCCGCCGTATGGCTTCTTTATCACTATGGAGGAGAATGAGACAGAATGATCGACGCAAAGGTGAGTAAATTTTGACTTACCTCACCGAGGTGAATGCAATGAATTGTTGTACTTTCTCCAGTTGAGATGCTTTCAATCCAGCCTTATGAAGAGCATGCATTAGTTAGATGAGATGGAGGCGAATGGAATGGGGAGTTGTCATGATTATTTTTTTTACCAAAGGCGATGACATGATTTATAGCGAGTGGAGGACGAATGGGCGAGATAATTTTGGGCCTTCAGCGCTTGGGGGGAGATTATTTTGCCAAAAAAGGCAAATCTTGCCATGGTCAGTCTTGCGATTGCTTCTCAACTATTCGATATTGAATAACCAATTTTTGAGGCGTTTCATTCAAAAGCATCCTCTCAAGCGGTTCATCATGAGCACGGTTCAGAAGGTAGAAGACACCAAAGCAAACAAGCCAATTCATATGCAGCTGCGTCAGCCAAGAGGCTCGCTCTTCAACTCAGCCAATAATTTTTTTCACAGCAGGCGACTTTATTTTTATTTTCTTGTCGAGTTGATTCGTCCCCCCCCCCACACTCAAGCACCACACCCTTTTCCCCTTTTCCTCTGATTCTTGTTACTGTGTGTCATGCATTGTACGTGAACAGACCCTTCTTCCTACTTCCAATCCACGCAAACTCTCGTCGTCATCTGAGAATCATCTAGCCTGTCATGCTCGTTGCCATTGTGATGTTAAGTGCATCCTGGCTGCCGAGTCTCATCACAGCTCAGCAGTGTATGAATCTACAATCGTCACAGGCATGTCCAGCGTATCAGCAATACTATGTTAATATACCAGCCAATACTACAAACTACCCATGGCTTGCCACGGTCAGTGATGTGCCTGGATTTGATCAGGCACTGGTTCAATACGCCAATTCCACCCAAAACTATCTACAATTACTAGGATGTACCAACGGAGCCTATCCAACCTATATCCCGTACGCACGTTATTCACTCTCCATGTTGTGCGAACAAATCATTCAAGATTCTCAAGAATGCAACGCTGTAAACAATTTATATCCCGGCCCTCTGTGCTCAGACACCTGCATGTCCTACGTTGCCAGTGTGGCGCAGATCACATCTAATACCAGTCTATGTCAACCAAGCGACCTTCGTACCTCGGAGCTGGCGGATTTAACGAATCGATGCTCCACTTGGGATGGTTACAATGGCACTACGGCCAGAGGGTGTATTAGTGGAAGTGCAAATGAGCCATTGAATTGTGGTAAGTTTTTGTCAGGTTAGATACGGTCAGACAATGTTAGGGTTCCCCATCGGGGGGTCCGTCAACCGGTTGAATCGAAAGACAGCGAAACGTAGATTATGCAAACCCACAGCCTTACATGTGGCTGATATTGTTTTCCTTCTTTTCCATCAGGCTTTCAAAATGACACGGCCACTGCTTGCGAATTCTGTCAAGAAAACAGCAGTAACTCATGCTGCCAATCCATCGTGGGATGTAACTACCACCATGGTTTATCAGCAGGCGCCATTGCTGGTATTGTCATTGGATGTGTGGCGGCTGTCACCGCGGCGGTGTTAATCTATTTTTGCTTTTGCCGCCGACCAAGGCGATTTCAAAAGGAGTTTCCTCCATACGTACCACCCCAATTCCAAAATCGGCATCAACGGTCCTTCAATGTTCTACGATCGGGTAGCAAGCAATCGTTGGTCGCCAGTTCTCCCTACGACCCTCAAACCGTCAGTACATCTTCCGTCCTACCAGAAGATACCACGCCGTTTACCCATGAAATAGAGGAGTTTTATGTCGCCGTTCATCCTTATCCACCTCAAATTGTGGATGAACTGGAACTTCATGTGGGCGATGTGGTATGCTTAGCCATGATCTTTGACGATGGATGGGGTCTTGGCTTCAATGTAAATACGGGTCTAAAAGGAGCCTTCCCATTGGTATGCGTGACGCCGGCGTCGCGTGAAGTTTTAGAGCAAGTGCTAATGGGAGAGGAAGAGGATACACAAGTTATGCATCATGTTAATAGCCACCGAAACGATGATACTTATTCCGACGCCGCAGCATATGGAAGTTACATGCTTCATCAGAACACCTTACCTTTAAGTCACAGTGAGAAACGAGTGTCTCAAGATAAACTGGAACTTAACATGGAACGTATCCGTGAAACGCTTAGACGTTCCATGAGTCTATCTCAGCATTCATCCCGACCTGTATCCTCGCAAACGTTGGCCTCCTCCTTGTCACATAGCAACACCATCCCCAAACGAACTGCTAGTATGCGATCCGCTCATACCAATCCTGGCAGTGCTCCAACGACACCCACCTCCCCCAATTCACCCATGTTTGGTATGACTCCATTATCCAACGCCTTACTGCGTTCAAGAAACTATCAACAAGATGATGATACCTATGAAATGCTCAACCAACATCGTCAACGCAACGGTAGTGTTGGAAGTAACAGCTGGATGCAATCTAGTTGAGATATACTAAAATAGTCCCCCCATAATAATAATAAAAATAAAAAATGAATTTGAAGGCATGGTCAGAGCCAAAACACATCCTTTGTCCTTGTATCTCGGATTTTTTATCTTTGGCCAATAGTGTTCATGTAATTTTCTCTTCCTACCAAGCGTTCGAGTCTTTAGGAATGTAAATGATATCATATACAACATTTTTAGTGCAGAAAGTGTCTCATTGGCTCCGCGCACGTAATAAATGCAAGGGCTCATGCGCACGCTTACCGTCACCTGTCTGAAACATCGTGTGTCAGAAGCGACCTACAACGTTACTGACAGGTTTTGCTCTGCTCTGGTCGACGGCTAATTTAATTAAGAATGTATAACTAAGACGACTAGACAAGACATAAATGTCGTCAAGAACGCTATTCGCTTCCTTCTAAGAATGCTCTTATACTTAAGACGGTCTTCTTACAGCGATGGAGGGTGGCAACCATGGGGTTACGGCTTCCAATCAAATAACTCTCCACCGTCCGTCGTCTTTTTCGGGAGTCACGAGGTCACCTCACCTCACCCCGCTCGCTTCATACTGACTCAGACTAACCAATTTTTTTTTTCTTTACCTCTTCTCAACCGTGCAAATGCAGCAGTAGCTGGTCATGACCTTAGCCACTGCTTGCTTTGACACAGATTCCTCCGTAGCAGAGGAATCTTCAACCAAGTTCTGGCACAGAAAACCAACAAGCGACGATTCAGGTAGAAACGACAACCAAGATTCAGACAATGACAGCTGGCCAAGTACAGCAAGCGACGGCAGTATTAGTATAAGCTTCGACCATGACCCGGAAACCCAAGGTAAAATAGAGAGACACGTTTGATTTCAATGTCCCGTCTCACCTAACTTATGTTTTCTCCAATTTAATGGTACCATAGACGCTCCAGACTCAAAAGCATCTTCTAGAAAGTCGTCGAATAATTTATTTTTCAATCCCGTCTACGATGAAGACGGGTCAAGTGCATCGTCACCCGCCATCACCCTGGATATCAGACGGAGATATACTACGAATGCGAATTCATCCAAACGTCGACAAACAAAATTGCTGTTAGTCGCCTTGATCGAATCGTTTTGCGCCATCTATGGAGACCACCCGGAAAATAATCGGCGGATCTTCTTCCTTATCTGTCAAACTCTCAACTCTATGGGCTTTGTTGACAAGGAGTTTGTTGACGAAATGGCCAGTGTAAGGTCTTCCTTCCAGCGCGCCTTTCAACGTTTGTTCTGGACCGCCCTCGAGACGATCCGCAGTGAAAACTTTCAACTTGCTGGAGGTCACAAGCTTATCACGACCAACACATGGAACGAACAAGACGACCGCAGCCAAGTAGACGACTTTGACGCCATTGTTGAAGACACCTTGTCTTCTTCTATTCCTGCGTCCCATATACTCCAAAACCTACCGACAATGGGCTTTGATCTCAGCGTGGACAACTCAAGATATTTGAGTGATTTTGTTGAGATCTCCCTGTTGGGTAAAGGTGGGTTTGCCAGTGCTTGGCGAGCTCGTAATAAACTGGACGATATTGAGTACGCCATCAAGAAGGTTTGGCTTGGCAACGATATCGAAGAAGATGGTTCCAATCCCTACGACAAGATTTTCCGTGAAATCAAGAGCTTGGCTCGTTTGGAACACAAAAATGTCATTCGGTACTATTCGTCATGGCTGGAATGGCGCCAAGGTCGCAAAGACGATGACCTAGATACAGCAGACCATTTATCCGATCAAGATGACTGGTCCAACCACAGCGACATGTCGAAACATTCCACAACAAGTGTATTCGAAGGCATTGATCCTACCTTCGAGGACTCTACAGACTTTGGTTATGCTCCTGAAACGAGCTCCACCGAGATTTCGGGAGGTATTGATTTCGTAAGCGACCATAGTACTTCCAACCCTAGTCATCCCAGTACTTGCACGGAAAAAGCGGCTCCCGTCGCGTCCATACTCAAACTTGGAAAAGCCATTGCCAATGAAATACGTCGTGACAATCATTGTACTTTTGTTGTCCCCGAAGAAGATCACCCCTTGGCCAATCCATCCAGTGATGACAGTGGTGCGCTTGAAAACCAACCCCCTATGTCACCTCCTAATAGTCAACCTCAAGTCAGTAGTATACCAATTATCAAGCACGAACGCAAGAACAGTCATCATCGAAGACAAGCTTCCATAGACTCTTACTCCAAGCACTCTCGTACGCAAGCACCAGTGGGGGGTTGGACATTATTTATCCAAATGCAACTGTGTCCTGGTAAGTGAGCCAGCCAGCCAGCCGTTGAAAAGACGTGGCATCGGAATCTAAAAATATTTTCTTTTTCCACGTGTAGCCACGTTACAAGATTACATTCGACATCGAAACCGATATTACACTGAAACTGGCTGTTGTGTTGGTCCTGACGATTGTCGCCGAAACATTGAGATTTTTTCACAAATCTTAGATGGCGTGGCGTACATTCATGAACAGGGCTTGATTCACCGTGATTTGAAGCCGAGCAATATCTTTTTAGGTGAAGCAGCAGGGAGTTCGCGTCGTAAGAACAGTCAATCTTGGAGCCGACGTCGTGCTAGCAAAGATGATAGCTCTTTCTCATCTTCGTCTGAGTCTGCCTCTTCGGCTGACTACTTTAAACGCCATCTCTTGGAAGGCGACTGGGTGCCGAAAATTGGCGACTTTGGCTTGGTAGCCAATATGTCTGGAACCGAAGGCGAAGCAATGGTATCTGCTTCCAGTCCGCTTTCCGACAGTATCAGTGACTTGGGTTCTTCCTTTGGAACCGCTGGTCATAGTCTTCGTGATATGTCTCATAGTGCTGGCAGTTTTAGATGTGGTAGTCACTTGTCGGCTACCTCCACCTCATCGCGACGTCCCAGTCGAAAGTATCATCATTCACGCACCTCACCGGTTGGAACCATCACGGTAAGTACATCCAAATCCAAAAGTTGGGGATGGTTTACTGTTAAACTTACGTTTTTTATTCTTCCCTTGCTTCTTTTTGATGTAGTATGCGTCACCGGAACAGCTTGCCAATCCTCCTCTGGCCTATGACCATAAAGTTGATATCTATTCATTGGGCATCATCTTTTTCGAATTGTACCAGCCGTTTGCCACAGGTATGGAGCGGGCCGAATCTTTGAAGGAACTGAAGAAAGGCGTTCTTCCTGATTACTTTGTCAAAAAGTTTCCCAAAGAGGTGAGTAGGAGCGAGGTTGATACTTTGCTTGGTTTATTATGCTCGTTTTTTGTATCGTTTGTTTTCTTCATCACTATTTGTTATTCCTTTTGATCCGTTGTTGTTTCTTCTTTTTTACTAAACCAATGCTGTCTTTTTCAGTCTGCTCTTATTCTCTGGATGATGTCTGAAGATGCAGCACAACGACCAAGTGCCCAGCAACTGATCGAATTCGAAATGTTTGCCATTCCACCTGACATGTACAATAGCTTGCATATTCAACTTCAAGACAAGACCAAAGCCCTAGATCAAAAAGACAATGAAGTGGCTCATCTGCGCGCTGCTATGGCTAAAAAAGAGAAAGAATGCGATGAAATGCGCATCAAGATTGAGCGTATGGAGGCTACACTGAGAAGAATGGAGTTATCGCATGGCCATACTCCTTTAGATGGCTATTCGACTGTGGAGCCTTCAACTTCTCCTAGAGACCCACCTGATGAGCCCCACCATGCACAGCTTTTCACACACTGGCGAACTACTTCAACCTCTCAAAGAGACGCATCGCCTTCACCACCATTTGACAAGATTAAATTGATTATAGAATGATTTTTTTCCGCTCCATCAAGTCTAAAGAGAACCAAAGCAGGATAACCATCCCCCCAAGAAAACCCGTCAAATAACAACAAAAAAATTGTATATAACCCTCATCATATCTTGCTATATAGTCGTTTCTGTTACTTTTTCTCCCCCACTTCTCTTTCGTTTAAATACTGTAGTAGTAACAAATTTATTATGGAAACAAAGATGGATTGTTTCAGCCCTTGGAAAGCGGTGGCTTATACGAGAGCCATTTGAAACGCTCGCTGCCTTGAAATTTTCAAATGCCACAGAGATTTTTTGTCACTGCTAGATCAACATGTCCACTCCCGATTCCTCCACTAGCGAGACGCAAGTCAAGCTTCCCCAGGTAAAATGCGTAGCATAGTGGATCCGTCTAAACTGTTGAGATCGTCTCTCACTGTCTCTACTAGAAACGCTACTATAGACAACGCGCACATGCCAACCCATTCTCAGACCACCAACTTGAGTAGTGAGTAGACCTGCGCTACCATGTGTTGTTCCCTGCTGCAGCTGAAGAAGTAACCATTGCCATCCTACGTTTTGTTTATGCCATGATCAGCCCCACCATGCCTTCGGAAATGGACTGGTCAAAGCATTATCCCACTTATTACCCCACCAAGGATGCCGAATGCGACAAGAAAGTAGAGTTTGCCGATATTGGATGCGGATACGGTGGTTTGCTCATTGCTCTCGCTCCTCTTTTCCCCGAGAAACTCATGATTGGTACCGTACCTTCTGTTGGCCTAATAAAGCAGTCACCGAGGGCATTTTTTGTATTGATCCACGCTTGCTCGCCATAGGTATGGAGATTCGACTCAAGGTTGAAGAATATGTCTATGAGCGTATCAAGGCTCTTCGACTTCAGAAACCCGGATCCTATCAAAATGTGTCGATCATGCGTATGAACGCCATGAAGTTCCTTCCCAACTTTTTCGAAAAGGGCCAAGTAAGTGCCAAGCTGACCTTGGCACACATCCCATCCTATACTAATGCTCATCCGTCCCATAGCTTACCAAAACATTCTTCCTCTTCCCTGATCCACATTTCAAGGCAAGAAAGCACAAGGCTCGCATTATTAGGTAAAATAGGATACATCTTTTATCCCCTCCCCTCTGTTTACTCATTCCAAACTACTCCTTAGCACCACATTGTTAGCGGAATATGCTTATATCATGAAGGTTGGAGGAATATTGTATACGATAACTGACGTTCGGGACTTGCACGAATGGATGGTCGAGCACTTGGATGCCCACCCTCTATTTGAGAGGATCCCTGATGCAGAATGTGTAAGTGTTACCTGGTGCCACGTTCGGAATATGGAATTATTTGTAGTTAACAGCCTCATTACAGGAACAAGATCCAGTGGTTGAGCACGTTCGAACGGCTACAGAAGAAGGCAAGAAGGTGGCTCGTAATGAAGGCGATAAGTTCTTAGCTTGTTATCGTCGTATTGAAGACCCATTAGAGTAGACTCATTTGCCAAGCTTTTGCTTGTCAAAATAATAAAAAACTACGCACGCATAACATTTTTTAGGATTTTTTGTCTGTGCGGCGAACCATTTCCTCTCTTCCTCATTCAATCATGTCTGCCAAGACTGCACCGTCATTCAACCCTGAACAAATTGCCAGTGCTGCATCCACCGCTGCCAGTGCTGTTGCTTCCGATCCTCGTTTCGGTTTCCTCCACCGTCTCAGAAATGAACGTTTTGGTCAACTTCGACCCCTGAGTGAATTCTTTGACAGACACAGATTCAGTCTAACTACTTCATTCCAGACCATCTCGCAAAGATGGAGGTAAGTCATGCTTTCAACTCTGACCTCCATCCTACCTTTGGCTAACCTCACTGGCTCTTAGCTACAACTTGCAATACTTCCAGAGCAACTACGCTATCATTGTTTTGGCCCTTTCCATCTATGCTGTGTAAGTTTTCCTTGTTGACCAGGCTTTCAAGCAGCCACTCATCCTTGATCTAAACATGTCTGTCCTTATAGTATCACTAGCCCTCTCCTCTTGTTCACCATTGCATTTATCTTTGGTGGCTTCTACTTGATCTCCCGCCAAGGTGGCCAGCCCCTCACTATCGGCGGCTCCGTTATTAGCCCCTCTACCATGTACGCTTTCTACGGTGGTGCTTCTTTGATCCTCCTCCTCTTCTCTGGCGCAACTGGCGCTATCTTCTGGATCATTGGTAAGTCCTTTTTCTGAACGCCATTCCATCCTCATGCTTTTCCTAACTTGACCTTTCATCATCAGGTGCTGCTGCTGTGATTGTCCTTGGTCACGCCGCTATGTTGGAGCCTGGTCTTGAAGGAGACTTTGCTAGCGGTCCCGTTCAAGTTTAAGTCATCATCAATACCAAAAACAATTTTTAATAATATAATGGGTGTAGAATACATTACTGTGCGTGAACGTGTTGGCTTCGTTGTTTATGTTTGAGCGGTTTGGCGCCATCCCCCAATATGAAGGATGCGGCGAGAATGGGTTATCATTGGTTAGAAAGCTTGAGACGCCATTGGCACCATTTGTCCCTTTTTCACCCTGGCTGCTCCCATCCACTGCAGCGGGTCGAACAAGACAGTGTTTGCGCTTGCACGCGGTTGACGCTACATATGCAGGATGTTCTTCGCACAGGAGGTGGGTCGGATAATCCAAGGCTTTGGCTTTAATTTGGCCGTAGAAATGGAGCAGCCAGGCATGGAAGCCCATTTGGGATGCGGGTTTTTTTTTTATATTGTTCCTTTCTTTTCACCAATTCCTTTCTGCCATCATTTCGCTCAAGCATTCATCAGCCCCTCGCCATAATCGGCGTAGTAGCGTACCCCTTCACTTGCTGCATCCCGCTATGCGATCTCTAACTCAGCCTTGGAGGATCGTCAATAGGAACCAACGTCGCTCATCCCGACAAAGGACTCGAAGCTTGGAAAGGGAGCCCAAGGCCATTGAAGTAGATGAGCCTGCTGAATATGCTTTGGATGTTAAATTGAGGATCGTTATTGCTGGCGCTCGTGAGCTTCCTCTCAAAGAAAAGGTAAGAAATTTTTCTCACAATGACAACCTTCACGCATAATACCCCCTTTCTCCGCTCCATATGATTTTTTTTTCGTAACATACCTTCCTGTGACGTTTAGGCCAGCGGCGCATCTGTAGATACATTTGCTGTATTGTCATGCGGTGGTTCCATTCAACAAACTCAAGTCGTCAAAAACAGTATATCCCCGGAGTGGAATACCACATTTGAAATTCCCTTGACTAAAATTTCACCCAGACGCTTAGCCTCAGGTCTACTCGTCACGGTTTACGACAAAGACCGCTTCAAAAGCTCCTTTATTGGAAGACTTCACCTCCATTTTAATGAATTTTTCGACGGGACGCTCCAAGAAAACGTTCCCATTGCTTTTCATGATCCTAAAAATGAGGTAATGGACCGTACTCGCTTCTATATTTAGTATCCACCAGGACTAACCCCTTCCCACAGCCAAAATGGTATCCATTGAAAGATCGTAACGTAAGGCGCACACGATATCTTCGAAGAATTAAGTCGGTTCAGTCGGATTCGGTCAATGGCGAGATATGTCTTAAATACGGGCTGGTCGATGCCCATGGCTGGCAAGGGACTCGTTCCAGACAGGAGTGGCAAGAGTTTTGGGTTTCTCTTTTACAACGAACGAATACCCCCTCTAGCAAGCCAAAGGCAGCGGCTCGAAGGATCGAAAGAAGATTTTCATCTCGCTTATCATCCTCTGCCCCTGAAGCCAAAATCATTATACCCGGCTCCGGCCCTCCCAAGACCGCACTTTCTTACAGTGAACATGGCACACCCACCATAGGCGATTCCCCCGTCATAGACACGGACAGGAAAAAAAAGCGGTTACGTCGTCGTCGAAGGCGAGGACGAAGTAGAAGAGGCAGTGTCGTCAAGTTCTATGCTCCCGACGTGATGGGGGTCATGTTTGTGGAAGTGTCAAATGCCAAAGACCTGCCTCCGGAACGAAATGGTATGTGATGATTGCTTGCCCAAGGGCCCGCCTTTTTTTTTCTAGTTATACTGATCCCACACTTAGTCATTCGAACCGGTTTTGATATGGACCCCTTTGTGGTGTTGTCTTTTGGCCGACATACGTTTAGAACAAGGGCTATACGGCATAATCTAAACCCTGTGTGGAATGAAAAACTGTTTTTCCACGTACGACATAGCGAACTCAAATACAACCTCAAATTTGCAATTTATGATAAGGACAAATTTTCCGGCAATGATTTTGTGGCGTGGCAAGAAATGCCCGTGGTGGATATTATCTCAAAGTCCATGAGCCATGCTACCGAAGTCACCACCAATGAACAAGACCCTCAAGACATGATTGAGAAAGAAATGGATACCCACACCGTCGACTTGAAGATGGCGAATCGAGCCAAGTGGGAAGGCAAACACAGCCCTAGACTGTCTTTCCGGGCTAAATTCTTACCCTATACCACCATACGCAAGATGTTTTTTATGGCTTTGGCCAAGCCTTACGATTTAGAAGGAAACGGCATGATGAATCGTCTGGGCGTTCAATCCATGCTTGAGAGCTTGGGAAGTAATATATCCGAAGCCACCGTCAATGGCTTTTGGGAGAGATGGGAGAAGTCACCGGAAACCGATGAGCTAACCATAGAAGAGCTGATTGAGTGTCTGGAAGAACATCTTTTGCGGGACCATAAGCTGTCACGACAACGCAGTCATACCACGCTTGTGAACGATGACTACTTTAGCCGACCGACCCGAACTTTCCATGATCGTGCAGAGAGCCCTTTCAATGATCTTCCAGGAACGTCCGATGACAGCAGCCCTGTCTTTTCTTCTGATGGAGGCGTGTTTTCCGATGGTCCCATCCTGTCTGACGGTGATATGTTCGCCGGCTTATCTGATTTTGAAGAGCTCTCGACAAATCTGACTGGACCGTTGTTCAACTATGATCGATTCATCGACAGTTTGCAGGACTCAGAATTGTCTGGGGAAGATGAGGTTGACATGGACGACACTGACGATGATGAAATTGATGATGAGCCATTGGCTGATGCAAATGGGGTTCAGCTTGGCGAGTACTCTCCTTCTGGCCCATTGACCGGCAGCGACGACGCGCAAAGCCTGAAGAGCATCAGCAGAGATTCCGTTGAAGAAAAGGTCATTCGTGTGACCGAGTGTCCTGTTTGCCATCGTCCCAACCTTGCTCGAAAGCGACAAATGGATATCATTACTCATATTGCCACTTGTGCTGCGAATGACTGGACCACGGTAGATAGGTTCTTGATGGGAAACTTTGTCACTGAAGCCTATGCCCAAAGGAAGTAAGTAGTTCATCTGGTGAGGAAGGCCATGGTTAAAATTCACGCTGACCTCCACGTTTCAGATGGTTTGTCAAATTGGTTAGCAAAGTTGGGTATGGAAGATATTCATTAGGAACCGTAAGTGTCATAGGCATCCATTGTGGCTGGCCCACCCCTGCTTTATTTTAATTTAATGCTCTCACCCTATAGAACAACGCAAATATCATTGTCCAAGACCGCCGAAGTGGTCAGCTTATTGAGGAAAGAATGAGTGTGTATGTACGCCTTGGTATGCGGTTACTGTACAAAGGAATGAAGACAAGCGTACAATCAAAGCGAGGTAAAAAAATTTTTTACGGTGGGAGGATGTTTTTCCCCACTACTTCATCAGATACTTAATCTCATTGTTCTTGCAGCCCAGCGAATTCTACTCAATATGACCATGCGCCAAGGTCGACGGTTTGATTCAACGAAAAGTGCCCGTGAAATTCCCTCCTTCATCACCTTTCATAAATTGGATATGTCGGAAGTTCGTGATCCTCTCCACTCGTTCAAAACATTTAACCAGTTCTTCTATCGAAAACTGAGAGCCGGCGCTCGTCCATGCACCAATGCAAACGATCCAAAGACCATTGTGAGCCCTGCTGATTGCCGTATGCTGGCCTTTCCAACCATAAACGATGCGACTCGCGTATGGATTAAAGGCATCAATTTCAGTGTTGGAAAGCTGCTAGGTGATCCTGACATGGGCAAACGGTATGAGGGAGGTGCACTGGCTGTTTTCCGACTTGCCCCACAGGATTACCACAGGTACGCACACTTTTGAAGGTATTTTCAATAACATAGGATTTTGTGCTAAATTTTTATCCCAGATTCCATTCACCTGTCGACGGTGTCATATCAGCTGCAAAATACATCTCTGGCCAATTTTATACCGTCAATCCCATGGCTATTCGAACGACACTGGATGTATTTGGCGAGAATGCACGTTCCGTCGTGTTCATTGACTCCCCGGAATTCGGACGTGTGGCCATGGTTTGCATTGGTGCCATGATGGTCGGTAGTATAGTCATCACGGCTACACCAGGGTCAACCATCAAGCGCACGGACGAAGTCGGTTATTTTGCCTTTGGAGGCAGCACGCTCGTCTGTATATGGCCTCCTAATACTACTCAATTTGATCAAGACCTGGTGGATAATTCAGCAACGGCACTGGAGAGTCTCGTTCGCGTAGGCGATCAGATTGGAAAGAAGAAGCCAGCCGTCAATGGAAGCGGACCATCGCACTCTAAATAATAAAAAAAATTTATGGATCCGCTATTCCATCCATCCTTTCATCAGTGTTGATCATGTTTGATAACTGGACCAATGTAGTAGCTGCCATTGTCGGCCTGGCTATCAGCTACTTGGCCGTACAATTTGCCTTTCAACCAAAGGTTGTTCGTTTCACCGTTACACCTCCCGCAGGTAAAATACCGTTAACCCCTGGTGTGCGCCAGCCAGTAACACTAAAAGCGTCTTTATTTCCATCCATCAGAAAGCAACCCAGCATGGAAGGACGGAAAGATCTTGGACAAGCCCACCATTCGCGTGAGTATGCCTTCATCTTCCCCCTACGCTCGCATGTCTAACCAACCTTGCACGTCAGGACCCCAAGAATCCCAAGACCATCATTTGCTATGACCCCGCCACCGGACGACATCTTGCATCTATTCCCGCTCCCACTGCTGCTGATGTCACTGAAGCCTACAAGAAGGCTAGCCGAGCCCAGGAAAAGTGGGCTCAAACTTCATGGGAACAACGTCGCGCCGTCCTTCGCAGTCTCCTTGATTTCGTGTTGCAGAACCAAGAAGAGATTTGCCGCGTTGCTTGCAGAGATACCGGAAAAACTAGTAAGTCTTGTCAACTGTTACCTTCAGTATCGTTCATGCTGCTCATCCCAATTGATCCCGTGTAGTGATTGATGCTACTCTTGGTGAAATCATCACCACCTGTGCTAAATTGCGCTGGACTATTGATAACGGTGAAGAGGTTTTGGCTCAGGATTATCGTGCCCCTGGTTTGCTCATGATGTACAAGCACGCCAAGGTTGTCTATCAGCCCATGGGTGTGGTTGCTGCTCTTGTTAGCTGGAACTATCCGTAAGTAAAATGACTGATCTAAGAATACCTGCCCCATATTTAATAATGCGGCTATTAGCTTCCACAACACGTTTGGTCCTTTGATCTCGGCTCTCATGTCTGGTAACGGTATTATGATCAAGTGCTCAGAATATGTCGCTTGGTCTACTGAGTATTGGCAAAACATCATTCACACTTGTTTGGCTGCTCATGGTCACGACCCCGAATTGGTTCAGTTTGTTAACGGATTTGCTGATGTCGGTGAAGCCATCGTCAGCTCTGGTGTCAATCACATCACTTTCATTGGTTCCCCTCAAGTCGGTAAGATGGTTCAACTCAACGCCGCTCAACACCTTGTTCCCTGTTTGCTTGAATTGGGAGGAAAGGATTGTGCTATTCTCCTCAAGGATGCTGATCTCGGTCAAGCTATTCCTGTCTTGATGCGTGGTGTTTTCCAAAACTGTGGTCAAAATTGCATTGGTATCGAACGAATTCTGGTTGCTCAAGAAATTTACGATGGTTTCGTCGCTGAGATGGAAAAGCGTATCAAGACACTTCGCCTTGGTTCAGCGCTTGAAGATGGGGATGGTATTGACTGCGGTGCCATGACCATGGGTACTCAAAGCGATCGATTGGAACACCTTATTCAAGAGGCTGTTAGTCGTGGAGCTCGTCTTCTCCTTGGTGGTAAACGTTACCAGCACCCCGAACATCCCACTGGTCAATACTTTAGCCCTACCCTCCTCGTTGATGTCACTCCCGACATGGAAATCGCTAACCACGAAACTTTTGCTCCCATCATGGTCATTATGAAGCACGCTGGTGCTGACGATGCTCTTCGTCTGGCTAACCTCTGTCCCTATGGTCTTGGTTCATCTGTCTTCTCCGCTGATAAGCAGTTGGCCGAAGAAATGTGCTTGAAGCTCAAGGTCGGTATGGCCAACGTCAACGATTTTGCCGTCAACTATCTTTGCCAGTCTTTGCCTTTCGGTGGTGTTGGTATCAGTGGCTATGGACGATTTGTAAGTGAATGCTGTAATTGAAATGACCCGATGCATGGCAAACGTATTGACCACTCTCGTTTAGGCTGGTGCTGAAGGTCTTCGCGGACTCTGTGTCCCTAAGAGTGTTACCATTGACAGAATTCCCTTTGTCAAGACTCCTATTCCCCCTATCGTCGACTATCCTATCAAGAGTGCAAGCAAGGGCTACGGCTTTGTCAAGGAACTCGTTCGTTTCGCTTACGGCCCTGCACTAACTGAGAAGATCATGGCTGGATTAGGTCTTGCCAAGGCTTCCATGTGAAGACGTCGAAATTGACTTGCAAAGTAAAAGTAATAAAGTGAATAATTCAGAGTACGATACGATGATCTGGCATGGACTTGTGTGGATTAGTGACCATTGAAAGCTGCCTTCAAATGTCATGTTCGGAAACCAATAAAAAGACAATAACTGACAGGTGAAGAAAGTGACAGCATATGCAAATTGTTGCAACGGAGTGGTACAATTAGAAAAAAAGTTGTCAGCTACGACATGTATGTCTGTCTTAAGTGGATAAAACTACTGTGCATTCACAATGCAAACCTCCATTCGATGTAGTCAGGCAGAGTAGACGGTCAAAGGACATCTATCGTTTATTAGATGATGATTCGCTCTGAAGCGTAGGTACTGGACAGCCAATGAAGCTGTGCTGGGCAGGTGTGTCAAACATCAGCAAGTCTAGCATTGTTGAATATCAGTGAATTATAATCAAGGAAATGGATTTCAACCTAATTTCCATGATTTGTACCAAAGTGTTTTTGGGAAGGCAGGAGTGAGCCAAATGATTGTAGAGCCACTGTTTATAAGGTGGGACGGATATCATTTGTCATAAAATAGACTTTCATAGTATAGCAGAACATTTAGTATTCAGTGGAGATAATTCTGCCAGCTTCACAACAATAATGCGAATAGACTTAATGAATCCCATTATGTTATCTTAAAATATGAAGCAAGAATAACGCCAGGCTTCATTTTTCATTAGCATGCACGGAGGAGGCCACATGTATCTCAGGACTCAGATGATTTGATCGCACAAGCACGCAAGTTTCATGGATTTTGAAAAACCACTCTAGGAGGTGTGTTTTACTCTATATTGAAATCAGTTGTTGTTTCCCAATACATTGTATAAAATATAGTGAATTACGGAAGAAAATGTGAATTCTGGTTATAATGCTCGAAGTATAGAGAATAAGTTGTAAGTAAAAGAATGGAAAATATATACAACATTCAGTCGAAAGGGGAGGGTAAGAGTTTGCGATTACTGATAATTTGGACCCTTTTCATTTTCGTTTTGATACTCTTGCTTGACTTGAGCAGCAGCTGTGTTGTTATCTTCAGATGAGACTCCAGAAGCAGTTGTATCAATCTCCTCCTTGCGGTTGTGAGCAAGGTGAACGTCCTTGTTAGAGAGATGGCTCTGTTGACGGACAGTAGCGGGTCTGCTTGAGCGACGACCGTTGAAACTGAATCGAGAGGCGGTTTCAGGATCACGAGGCTTTGAAGGATCGTAGCTGCGATGGCTGCCAATGTGAGAAGCGATGGTACGAGCATCGTCTTGAACTTCGGGTGCGGCAAACAGGACTTCGATCTCTTCCAGAGAGAGTCCCTTGGTTTCGGGATAGCCAAAGTAGATGAAAGGAAGGAAAATAATGTTGACGAAACCGAAGAGAATGTAAGTCCAGTAGTCAAGCTTGTCGAAACAGACAGGAGCGACCTCAGCAACAACAAAGTTACCAAGCCAGTTGGCAGCAGTGGACATGGAGTTACCCTTGGCACGAAGACCAGTACCGAAAATCTCAGCAGGGTACAACCAAGCGAGACCAAGCCATGCGGAACCGAAGACAAAGTTGTAAAGCATCGTGAATGCGATAGACACACTAGCACCAGCGGCAATACCGGAGTTCTTGTAAGCGGATTGACCAGCACCGATCAAGAACATACAAATAGCTTGACCGATAAGACCGTAGTACATGAGCTTGCGACGACCCACACGTTCAATCAAGAAAATGGGACACAAGGCACCAATGAAGTAAACAATGGAGTCAACACCCGACATGAGACGAGACATCTTGGGGTCCATACCAGCTTGACTGAAGACAGTGGCCAAATAGTAAGAAATCAAATTGATACCACCGAATTGTTGGATAATTTGACCCATCATTCCGAGATACACACGGTAACGGTTGTTCATCTTTCCCTTGGAGAAAAGTTCCTTGTAAGTGGAGACACCTTCGCGGCGTTCCAACTCAATACCATCCCGAATTTCTTCCCATTCACCAACGCATCTGGGGTGAGTGATGTCTCCGTCTGTCCAAAGATCAGCAAGCACTTGCTTACAATCGTCTACACGATCATGCGCTTGCAACCAACGAGGGGACTCAGGAAGGAAATTGACACCAACGCCAAGGACGATACCGAAGAAGCACTGGAAAGCCAATGGGAAACGCCAGACGACTTCACCGGTAGTGAAGTAAAGACCGTATTCCAACCAGTAAGCGATAGCAACACCAAGAGTAAGGAAGGATGCTTCGAAACTGACGTGAGCTCCACGTGATTTAGGAGGGGAGATTTCGGATTGATAAACAGGAATGGTAGCCGTGTTGAGACCATTGCCAACACCAGTGATGATACGAGCAGCAATCATCATACCGATATCGACACAGCCAGCTTGAAGAGCACCACCAATGGTGAGAATAGTACATCCAATCATGATGGTTCTCTTACGACCGAGTCTATCACCCACCCAACCGCAAGATAAGGCACCAGCCATACATCCGATTTCGTAAAGAGATACGATAGCACCCAGCAAGGCAGGGTTAGTGACTTTTTGATTCACTTCATCGTACAAACCCATCTTCCTCAAGAAGGTAGGGTCGTCAGTAATACCAGACATAACACCCTGAAAGGACGAATGGGTTAGAATTTTGATTCATTGACATTGGATTTGGCTGGATTGAATATGTTACCTGGTCATAACCAAAGAGCAAGAAACCAACTGCTGCCAGCAGTGTGGTGGCATTCATGAGGGCTTTTCCTTGAAGTCGCCCCATAGTAAAAAATAAAGAGTTGTTTGATCTGAGCGTTTCCAGCAAGATTCATCCTGGCCCTTTTATATTCGCTGCAAGTCCCCCGAATGTCTTGCGGATTTTTTCGACTGGGTAACTAGTGAATGATGTCAATCACGTTGATTGTCAGCGACATTTGTTAGTCCGGAACCGACCATGCTAAATACAGTATAATTCGTGACGACCTGGGTGGAGCTTGGAAATGGCGGGATTGAACGAGTTTGAAAATTAGTTACTGTAATTGGTTATGATTATCATCACTCCAATTCTTGATACTCGAAACACTGTCTCAGAGTTTAAAACAATCAATATAACGCTGCTGCAACGTAATGGCAGCTCGACGTAACAGGCACATAAAGTAAATAAAAATGAAACGGGGTGGGGGGTGTCCTTGAAACTAGTACCTGTCTTCGTTAAGCTCAGTTGCCACTAGTCCATTAGAAAGACGTGGAGTACCTTGTCTGGGGACTGACTGTATACATGTACTGTACTGACTTGATGAATATACTTTTGCAAGTCAGGTAACCATGAAAACGCCTGGGGACGCAACATTGCTTAAACATGTTTTTTTTTTGTTCCCGACTTTGAAAACGAGCTTCTTTTCCGACAATCTCCTCACCTCAAATTTTTCTTTGATCCGCCGAGATGAACGGTTTGAAAGAGATTGCTTATCGTCGTAGCACGCTCGCACATACCATCCGTATCGGTATGAAGGGTCAATCCATCGATAAGAGCAGGGAATAAATATGCAGGAAATGTGTTTAAGGTTGCATTAGCTTATGCTGACCTGACCAAGCCTACTACTGTGCTTAAAATTCAACATCAGAAATTTTATGTTGGACGCTAACGAGAGCACATGCAAGATATCAGTATTTTATAATATATTATACATTTGCATTTCTAATATGTTTATATACCACTGCAAAAAGCATGAACCCTAAATGAATTCGATCTCTTTCAACATCCTGTTTCTGCTTCACTCCAGTACATAACTTTGACGGTACCAGCCATGGATAGACGAAGCACAACTCGGCATGCTACCCAAATCGGAAATAACAAACTGGCGGGAAACCTTGCTAAATTTGTACATTGAAATCAGTGAACCTCGTTCTTTCAGTAAGCGTCTTCCCGCCCTGTCCGGAAGAGCTAGTCATCTTCAACGCTGCAAGTCCCAAAAAAAAAAGAAAAAAAAAGTTTGGTTGTTCCTTTGTTTTCTATCATCTCAGCCAAAGGTTTGTTTCAACGTAATATCTCCAACCAAAAAAAAACCAACCTTCTCCTCCCCGATTCGCCGCTTTTAATGTTTCAAGAATCTCAAACAAAATTTTTTTTTTTGGTGCAGCTTCTCTTGTTGCTGGAAGCTATGACGTATAGGATTCCAAATCACGTGAATTGCTGTAAGCTGGTGGTCCGTGCGCAGAAGCTTGTCAGTTGCCACTTACGTTGCCTCCGGTCGTCTCTGAGATCATTGGGGGGTGAAGATAGAAAGTCGACAATGTTCTATTACGTACATAGAAGCTTATCTCTGAGAAATTTCATGGAAATGTGGAGATATGTTAGTCAAATATGTTCAGGAAGTAACAACAAAGACACAATGACGTTCCAAAAACGGCTATTTGATCGATGAACTGCTTTCAACAACACACTTTTTTTAACTATTAAATAATTTATGTGTCTCTTTTGTAGGGCTAGGATAGTACTTCCATTACATATGCATTTTGTAATGAACAGATGCGGTACAGAAAAGGACAAGTTGTATGGTTTACCTTGGGGAAAAGAAGGGTGCTTCAACCCTGGGCTATTCCTTCAATGCCTGGTACTTTGAAAGCGACTTGGGAAGCTTCGCTTGAACTTCTTGCGCTATGCATAAACCCATTTTTTAGCCGAATTTGTTCTTTCTTCTCTCTTGCTGCCAAATTTGAAAACTAGCTTCGATCGTGACTGGGTATTTTCTGACAGACGTTGGGCCGGCTGATTTTCCAGCCAGCCAGCGTACTGCAGAGAGAAACTTAGGCCCGCCAGGCTTTGCATCCTAGCCTTTACTTTCAATCAACATGGATCCCCCACCGCAATCTTACTTGAATCATCGGCGCAAAACATTGCCCATTGTCATGCCGGACGATTCGGATCCCCACCAAGGCGACCACCAGCCTGAAGACCAAAAACGCCCAGATATACAAGCTGCCTATCCCCCTTCCTCACCTCCTAACGCTGAAAGTAACCATATATCCACATACAGCTCCAGACCTTCCGTTGGTCTCGATGTACCTGGAGCTGTTCAAACACGGGAGCCACCAGGTAATGCTTTCTCTTCTCATTTTCACCGCATTTTCTTTTTTCCCGGCAACTGATAAAGTTTGCATAAAAGATCCTAGCGAACGTCAGATGGACAGTAAACTTGTGGTCGTCATGGGTAAGCGTGTGCTACGTATGATCTAGCTGAATATATTACGACGCAAAAAAAAATAACCCGATATACCTTGCCGCTGTAATTCCCAGTGGGTCTACCAGCCAGAGGAAAGAGCTACATTGTCAAGAAATTGCGACGGTACCTGAACTGGTTGCAGTACGAAACTAGGGTGAGGAAGGGGTTTTGAAGTGAATGAAAGGGTATGGATAGCAGCTAATGTTCGTTTATCTTTAGATATTCAATGTCGGAAATAGACGCCGCATCAGTGCTGAGCGATCTGAAAAATCGTCAGGGAAAGCACAAGACCAATCCGCGACCTTTTTCGATCCTAATAATTCGGACGGAAAAGCTCTTCGAGACGAGTTGGCATTGGAAACGCTAGAAGAATTGATTGACTGGCTTAAACACGGTGGCCGTGTTGCTATCCATGATGCCACGAATTCCACTAGAGATCGAAGGTAATTGAGCTTTCCCGTGTACTGCCAACCGCCTTCCTTGCAGCATAAACTAATCATAACACTGATAACATAGAGCCAAACTTATAGACCGTCTGCAGAGGGAGCCTGAAATCAAAGTCCTATTTCTAGAGTCAGTGTGTACAGATAAGCTGGTAAGTGCGAGGGCAAGCGCAGTCCGGTTATGACGTTCGGTGTGCGGTGTTTATTTTCTTGGCTGACCTCGGCCATGGTCAGGTATTGGAACGCAACATGAGATTGAAGCTTTCAGGACCTGATTACAAAGACAAGGATCCGGTGGTGGCATTGAAAGACTTCAAGACAAGAGTAGAGAACTATGAAAGGGCATACGAACCCATAGGCGAATGGGAAGAAGAACGGGATGTACAATATTGCAAACTGATCAATGTGGGCAAAAAGGTCATTGCTAATAATATATCCGGCTACCTTTCTGGCCAAGCTGTTTTTTATTTAATGAATTTCAATCTTGCTGGTAAGTGACATATTTGGCAAATGTTTGGACGGGATGACCTGTTGTTCAATAACTGGAGAATTCAGAGCGTCAAATCTTTCTTACACGACATGGTGAGAGTATGGATAATATCGTTGAACGCATTGGTGGTGACGCTGAGGTGAGTATGGATCAAATTGTCACTAGGATGGGAACAAGGCTTTTGACTGACAGCATTTTTATTCATAGCTGTCCGAACGTGGGCATAAATTTGGCGCCGCTCTATCACGGTTCATCAAACGGCAACGTGAAGCATTTGCAGAGGCTCAACAGGTTCGACATGAGGAGGAGCTTCGACAACTTGAACAGTTTGATACGGCAGAATCTACTGTCAGCGGAGTACCATTGGCTCAATCGCTATCATCCTGCTCTGAGAAGACTGACCTATCACAAGGCAAGTTCGTCATTTGGACAAGTATGTTACAAAGAGCTGTCCAGACAGTCGAAACTTTCAATCCAGCAGAGTATGATATCAAGGTACAGGACTGCCATTTTGCTGAGAGTATGGCGTATTGTGTACTGATATATACTTCCCCCTTCTCATTAGCATATTCGATTTCTTAATGAGATCTATTCCGGGGTAAGTCTAACGTTTTTTCTCAAACATCACTGATTCACGCGACCGTTACTCATACTATCCTCCAGCTTCGAGAGGGTATGTCATATGGAGAAATTCAGCGCTTATATCCTGAGGAATTCGCCGCTCGACAAGCTAATAAGCTATATTATCGATATCCTGGCATGGGTGGCGAGTCCTACACTGGTAAGTATTTTAAAGCTCAGAGCAACTCGTATTTCCGTAATACGTCTGACCATTTGTATCCAGATGTTATCCATCGTTTGCAATCGATGATCATTGAACTGGAGCGCATGACCCAATCATGTCTGATAGTTACTCATCGTGTAGTGATGCGTATCCTTCTGGGATATCTGCTCGACTGGACGCACGATGAAATGGTGAGATGAAGACGATATTGAAAGATCGCATGGGTTGTTTTTCTAACTGTATTTGTTTTTGCATAGCCTCATATGGATGTTCCTATTCATTCGTAAGCAAATAACCCATTTGTTCGCCTTTTCGTTCGCCATGTACTGACCATTTGAATTGCAGGGTGTACGAACTTCGTCCGAAACCATATGGAACCGAGCTGAAGAAGTGGCAGTATGATGAAGCGACCGATGAGTTTCATGAGTTTTGAAATAACTGTGTAAATATACCACATCAAAACAAAACCCTTCCATGCATGTGAAGAGTGACCTTTTCTTTTATAAAATTTCTTTGGTTGAAACAGTCTGGCAAATTAAAAAACCTCTTTGTATCTCCTCTCTTGTGGAGTTTGTACATGTCTGAGCGAAAGCGGCCAGTACTTGCCCCACAGAAGTCTAAAGCGACTTCCACTGCTGTGAATACTTTGGAGGTCACTACCAAAGCAGTCGTCACAGCAGCCGTCGACGAACCTGACTTACAAGACAATGCCACCACTCCCGTCATCGATTCCCCGCCTCGCCAGCGAAAGCATCGCCGTGCCCATCACCAACATCACCATACGCACGAACAGAGATCGCTCTCGGATGTCGGAGAAGATACTGCCGACGGCTTACGATCCCGTGGATCCCCCACTGAAGGCAGTACGCTGGATTCCTTACTGAGGTGGTGGAAGGAGGACAATGGGGAGAACATGAGTGGATCTTCCTCGGAACAAGCCATTTCGAAAATGCATAAGAGCAAATTTCCTTCGTCTGTATCGACCACTCCATTCAGCGATGACGACAACTTTCATCCCTCCGAAGCAATGGCCGCTCTCAAGGACGCTGCCAGTGGTATGAAGCGTCGTTATTATCATGTGTTGTTACTTTTCTGTCGGTCATAATGACACTCGTTTTTTCAAAATTTCTAGAGTCAGCCATGGATTCCTCGGCAGCCCCAGCGTCTCATAAACATGCTAGAAACCGTACCTCAAACGGCCGATCTCGCAAAAAGCCTCATCCCTTTCCAACGCGGCGTATGCACAGTTACTTGGAATCGATAAGCGGTCTTCAAGGCCACGCCTTTGATCCCACTTCACCTTCTCCTCAACAAAGATCGTTTTCTCCTGCAACCTTGGAAACCTCACAGGATTTGGATTTACCTGACTCGAGCTTCTTTTCTGCTGTCATGTTGATCAAGTGGTCGAACGTTATGGGACCAGAAGTCGAAAAGGTGTGGGCATCAGATGACCAAGCTGTGCAAACCAAAAAAGCGACGTATACGGGTATTGCCAAGCAAGTTCTGAACGGCGAGATTGGAAGAACCATTTTGGAGATTGAGCCCAAGTTCCTTGTGCTTGGAGATGAAGGTAAGTGCCAAAAAGGTTGCTATGAGCTGCAGACGATAAGGATCTGCTGAGAGGGCTCGTTTTTCTGACATACGGCATGCTAGGCGTCATATGCACATCGTTTTTATTCGCAGAGTACAATCATCCCTCATGCAAAAATGGTCCTATTGGAGGAACTACCAAAGCTCCCGCTATCAAAAAGTATTCTCTCGACACGAACAAGATATCTGCATTGGTATTCCTGGTGCCATTGCAATATCTAAGAAATTTCTCAAATTATTTCGATGTTATGGTAGATCGTGTGCCTGGTCTGGTTGAAAAGCTTCGTCGCTTGAGATTGATAACGAAAACGGTATGTTTATTTGATCCCAGTGTTAAGCAATCAAAAGTCATTTGATTTTTAAATTGTTTGTTGCTTAGCCCTGGACTATGCTTCTCAACCACTTTACTTCATTCCACCTTATCCCTTTTGTGCACGGCATTATGGATCTGGAGTCTGTCTCATTACCCAAAGACTGCCTTAAGGTTTGCGGATTTTACGGTTTTACTTCGCAACCATGGTTTTTTAATTTGGCAAATGTACAATTTTAGATCAGCCATACCATTCTTGGCATAGAAAGTCGTCGCATGTTCGATAATGAATTTGTAGCCAGGCAAGTCCTTGACTTCTTCGAGTCCACTTCGTGGTTCCAAATGATTAACGCTCTACTACCTCAGGTTGATCACATCCCATCTACAAACTCATGGCTCTACACTGGTTGTCGGCACCAATATCACCACGATGAATATGGTAGGATAGCGTGAGCGTTAGCATACGTTGATATAGTGTACCTAACTCTATTTTTCATTAGGTCATCAATACCCTCGCGCTCTTTTTATTCCCGGAAGAGCGAGACCGTTCCAGCCATACCAGAAAAGAGCATCAATACATGCCCGATCTATATGCCCAAGGTGTACTGGCTCAGGTAAACCGATTTAGCATTATTTGACCATAGAAGATGAACCCATTCTCATGGCCATCACGTATAGGTTGTGGATCAAATGGATGCCAATTTGGACTTTTTAGTGTTGGAATCGCCAGAACCTACTACGCTTGTTGATTTGAGCCGGTTGACCATTGAGCAGACAGCCGTTTTGCCAGAGTATTCTAGGGTGAGAACGGAATTTTATCGCTTGGAAGAGGCTCACTTGGAAGAAAGTGCCTTGCATGCCGAAAGTAATTCATGGCGACTACCGGCTCTTGAGGACGAGAGTCTAGACTGGACGTAAGTTTTGGGCTGGGAGTATGACTTGAGCTATTTCCTCCAAATACTGACTCTTTTTGTAGCCGGCAGATCTTTCACACCGCTAAGGGTATTGCACCTTGCGTTGCCTCCATGCTAAAGGAAATTGATAGAATGCCTCTTACCATGCGAGAAGCCTATGTTCGGCAGTGGCGCAGAGGTTTGCTGAGAAAGGCGCTGGCTGTCATTAAGTTTCTCGAAGACCAAATGTAAGGAAATTCACAGCCTATGGACATTGTTCTTCCCACTGTATTAATATGACCTCTTGGTAGTGATGTTGACTTTTTATTGCAATCTTTGGGACGAAGGCATATGAAGGCCAAATGGCCTGCAGAAGCTGGGCCACAAAAGGGAACCAGTAGCCGCAGTCGGACCAATAGCGCCGCATCCGTAGACACGGTTTCTCGCATGCGACAGGTTCTAGAGCTTCAAGATGAACATGACTTCTCCATTGTCCTTGCTCAAGCCGAGAAACTCAAGCCTGGCATCATCGAGTGGGTCACTGTGTATCTACAACCTCGATCCACAGTACCTCCGCGCACAGCTGTATAAATTTGTATATCAAGGGAGGAACCCAAAATTTTTTATGTAGTTTTTGTACTATAGCTTGGATTAATATAACAAATGTATTTTATAACGGTAATTCTCTTTGTCAAATACACAGAAGTAAAGGAAATCGCCATGGACAGTTTATTTTCTTTGCTTCGGTTTATCTTTTCTAGTGTGGTGGTCTATGACATGCTGACAGTGGCATCTTTACAGTAGTCAGCGGTGATAGTGACGGAGGTATTGAGGCTTTTGGAGTCCATGGCCAAAATAGAAAATACGGAGCGTTCGACCAAAATGTTTTTACTGGTGCTCATGGGATGCAGCCTGGTTATCTTGACTGTGACGGTATTACCTTTCTTCGGATTCTGTAATTGGAAGCAGAGAAAATTGAGGTCGGAGAACCTAAGTATGGACCAAGGCAGGCCGTTATATGGCTAGAAAAAGGTTATCCCAAGCCTACGATTAGTTCACTGGCCTTTTTTAAAACGTTATTTAGAAGTGGGATAGCTCACCACGGCAACATTGTAGATGTGTCGCATAGCTTTAGACTCAATCTCAATACTCTGCGACTTTGGTTTTGTCGTGAACGCGTGCGAGTTCTCCTCAAGTTGAGTTCGAAGGGGTTGAGTCGTGTTTCCATTGTTTATCATGGTGTTGAAGAGATTAATGTTATACGAAGCCGCTTGAGCGGGGTTTGTATCGAGCAAGTCAACTTCCTGTCGGATCACCATACGGTCACTCTCTGCCGGCACTACATCGTCTCTTTGGATAAGTCGTTTATGGGCAAGCACCATGGCCACGGCGATCAACACCGATGCAGTTGCTATCAGGAAACCCAAAAAAAAAGCAAGAGTGCTCATACATCGACGTTTTTTAACGGGTGGCTTTCGCTCCTCCTCGTATTTCATCCATGACGGCGGTTTAGAAAAACTGTCATAGCTTGCTGAAAGGTCCATTGTAGACTGTCGTCGAAACGGTGATCGTAGGTACTGTGCCACTTTGGCCATGGCGCTTGTGGGTGGTTCATACAAAGTGATAGGATCACATCCGTAAAAGGATGCCGGGCATAGTGTGATACGAGGCAAGTGTTCGGACCTGCTTCCGAACATGGACTTTCCGTACATTGGTTGTTTGCTCATGGCTGTTTCTGGATGATTTAAACTGACAGTCTCCTGTGGCGAAGTGTAGTTCATCGAAGTGTAGGCTAAAAAAATCAATGATGATCAAAAATTTAAGAAACGAAAAGATGAACCTCTGGTCCAGTGAGTGTTAAATGAACAGACGTCACTCTAAAGATGACCATGTTGCCTGGTTAGCTTTAGGAAAAGTGAGCAGAATTGAATTTGAACTGGGGGATGGCACTACTCTGTGGCTTCCAAGATAGGAGAGTGTCTGATGGAATTGAAATACTGTCAGCGATGGGTCAAGGGTTTTCGTGACGATAGCAAGTGAGGAGTGTGGGCATTGTCATGAAAATGAAGTGGTTTTTAATTGTGTGCGAGTGATAACAGATTGCTACATTAAAGTGAATGGCCAGGGGTTTGTATCAGTAGATCATGCCTCGATTATGCTAACTGAGCGACGGCATCGAACTTGGCTTGGTCTGAACAGCCTGTCCATAAACGTGACTCGCAAATACGAAGCACATAGTTACCATATGCTGCGCTTTGCCAAATCATTATTGAATTCCACAACACGCATGATTGACAAACCACTTATATGGATCGACTGCGAGGCAAGTCGTCGTGGGCTTTTGACTGACATATAGATAGGATGTACAGAAAGGACTCATCTCCGTGATTTGCGTAACCAGATGACGGGTCTGGATCTTGCCAAGGATCACTTGATCGAGATCGCTGTCCTGATCACCAATGGTAACCTCGATATTGTCGCCAAAGTAAGTGACTTGGCATGATGGCTACACCATAGTAGATGGGGGTATTGATAAACGATCTTTACTCCAGGGTCCAGAGTTAGTGATTCACCAACCAAAAAGCGTGATGGATAATATGAATGGTAAGTGTCACAAACTATGTTCGGCCGAACGTAAGCGGTGTTGACTGACTTGATATGTTTAGACTGGTGTGTTGAGCATCATGGTGCTGTAAGTGGTCTAGTGAAATGCCAAGATATGGTAGAGCAAAATCAATTTGTTAATTTATTTTCCAATAACTCTAAAAGTCAGGGCTAACGCAACAGGTACTGGAATCCACGATCAGCGTGCAGGAGGCCGAAGCACAAGTGCTAGACTTCATAGTGAAACATGTCCCTCAGCCTGGTGTTGCTCAGTTAGCCGGGAACTCGGTTCATGCAGACAAACGATTCCTTGAAAAAGAGATGCCCAAAGTAGTAGAGCATCTCCACTATCGTATTGTGGGTAAGTGGTCTTGGCAATAGTTTAGCGTGGAGACCCCTTTGGATTCACCCCACTTTTCCCAAATAGATGTCAGCACAGTGAAAGAGCTGGCCCGGAGGTGGTACCCAGATACGTACAATGCCTTGGTCAAAAAAGGTGCTCATCGAGCCATGGGCGATATTATAGAAAGTATTGAGGAGCTCCAATTTTACCGCCAGACGATATTTAAAGAAGAGTAAAAACGTGGCGATGCATGGATTGGCGGATGCAGAAGCAGTATATATATTTGCCCCCCAAAGAAATTATGGTAAATACAAATGAGAAAATAAAAGTTTGTACAGGAAGGGTGGACGTCGTTATATACAATGTGAGAAAGGGGGATTAGATTAGGGCGTGGCCACACAGTTCGTGCTCTGTTGTAGGCCTAGTATCTCTTGTTCAGCGGCCAAGATACGTTTTTCTAGTTTTCGAATTTGGGCCATCAAGTAATCACTTGCTGCTCTCATTTCTCGCCAAATGTCTTCATTGCCTTGCGCTGACTCGGGTGTGCTCATAAACGTCGTCTGCATGGAACTAAGCACGATGGAGATGGAGGTCCACTGATCCAGCATCAGGGCCAAATCGTTTTGAAGCTCTTCGATACGGCCGGTGTGATCTTCACATATCGTTGGGTCGTCTAGATCCTCGAACTCGGCTAATCGTCTGTACACATCGTCTTTGTCTAAACCGTCGAACTCATCGTCCTGGGTATATATATGATCATTGTAATAATAGTCCACCACTCTGAGGAAACGATATTCCATCCGACTAAGCGGACTAGCGTAGAAGTTGAGAGAAGGAATCGTGAAAGTGAAGAAAGAAAAAAAATCTTGGGTTGACAATCAAAAAGTTTTGGCAGTTTTTGGGCTCTTCTTAAATTTAACCATACAGGCTTGGCCGGGTCCGGTGCTTGAAATGGTAACCGGGGTTACACAGTATGACATCCTATTGGCTGTGTGGGATGTCTCAGCAATGAAAGACTCTGTCTTCGCAAGGAAATTCGATGCGGGGATTGACTTCGGTTATCGCACCCAAAAGGAAATGGGAACATGCTATTTAGACTCGGCAAGAACATGGTCAAATATATATATTATTAAAAACAAAAGAGAAGGGAGAGTGGGTCAAGGTTATAGATATACACAGGTCTACTACAAATACATGGTGTCAAGCTTTAAGGCTTGCTAGGATGCTCAACCGGTAACGATTTGTTAGAGAACTTTTTGATGGCCGCCATTAATTCAGGGAATCTAATGAAGCAGAGGTTAGGTTTCAGTAGTTCGGCCCTTCAATCCCAGTTTTCGAACTCACCTGAGCGGCTTTGTCACGTACTCGTCCATGCCAGCAGACAAGCACTTTTCACGGTCTCCGATCATGGCATGAGCGGTCAAGGCAATGATTGGAATATGTTGGCCCAATCCTGCGCTTCGTTCAATTTCACGAATCTTCTGAGTGGCCTCGAACCCTCCCATAATAGGCATCTAAGCATCGGGGTGGGTGAGTAAGTTATGACAAATTAGCCGTCATCATCATGGTGGATGCTGTCTTACCTGTACGTCCATAAGAATCAAATCATATGGTCGATCACCAAATTCATCCACGGCCATCTTTCCATTGGACACAATCTTGACCTTGTGACCGAATTTTTCGAGTATTCGTACAGCCAATTTCTGATTGACAATATTATCTTCCGCCAATAAAATTTCCAAAGGACTAGGTCGCGTCAAGTCGCTGGGAAGAGCAGCATGACTCTCAAGCGCCGGCAAGAGCGCATGAGCCAAGTCTGGAAGATTGACGGGAGAATTGATGTAACCAGTGATACCAAGGTCAATGCACAACTTCATGTTGAGTCTTCGAATAGAAGGTGCAATCAGGACGATCGGAGTATATCGTAAATGAACAATTTCACGAATCTTTTCTGCATGTGCCACCTTATCAACCACAACCGTGTCGAAGATGGGCGCTTCCTTGGACCGAGCTGCATTCATGTTGGCGGCTTCTTGTATACTACGTACCCTAGTGCACCTCAACTTCAGCTTTTCAATACTTGATTGGAGATCGGTTGTGTCTCCAATACTATCCAAAAATAAGATATGTCGGTTTTGGAATCGTGCCATCTTGTCTTCAATAACTTGGAAGGGCGTGGAGCCCACCATCACTTGCATTGTGAAGTAAAATTCAGATCCTCTACCGTATACGGACTCCACCCAGACCGTACCTCCCATAAGTTGGACGAGGCGTCTAGAGATGGAAAGTCCCAAACCAGTTCCACCATATTCACGTCTATGGAGCGACCGTCAGTCAATGCGAAGAAAAAACCATGCAACATACTGCCGATACTCACGTTGTGGATCCATCAGCTTGACAGAATGTGTCGAAAATAATCAGCAATTTGTCTTCTTGTATACCAATACCAGTGTCACTGACACAGAACTGCAGTGTAACCATATTTTCATCCGTTCCAATGATCTTCGTTTTCAGAACCACTTCGCCTTCCGTGGTGAATTTGACAGCGTTACCAATAAGGTTAGTAATCACTTGACGCAGACGAAGAGGGTCGCCAACCAGTTGATCAGGAATGGCATTATCAACATCGTATATCAAGTCCAGTTTCTTTTGATTGGCCTTGACAGCAAGTGTCTTGAGAACACTAAAGACAGCTGACCGTAATGAGAATTCGATGGATTCAATCGTCATGCGACCTGCCTCAATCTTGGAAATATCCAAAATATCGTCAATGATCGTCAATAGGCTGTTGGCCAAGCTGGATACAATCATCAAGTTTTCACGTTGTTGTCGAGTAAGCTCTGTCTCCAGTGTGAGTGAAGTCATGCCGATAATACCGTTCATGGGTGTACGAATTTCGTGAGACATGTTGGCCAAGAATTCTGATTTAGATCGATTGGCCAGTTCAGCCGCTTCCCTTGCTTGGGTGTTCTTTTGGATAGCATCTCTGAGAGAGAAGACCATTTGATTGATCTTTGTCTTCAGGCTATAGGATATTTATAAAATAAGGAAAAAGAGTTAGCCATGCATGCATATGCCGTTGCAGAATGAATACTACTCAAAACACCAGGCCCCTTACCTATCCATTTCACCAGAGGCAGAAACAGTAATGAATCGAGAGAAATCATTCTCAGTGGCAGCAGCAGAAATTTGGGCAAAGGCACGCACTTGTGAAGTAAGATTGGCTGCCATGGTATTGACATTGCTTGTGATCTCCTTCCAAGTTCCTTCGACATCCTCGACTTGAGCTTGCACACCAAGTTTACCTTCTGTACCTACTTCGCGAGCAACACGTGTGACTTCGGCCGAGAACACATTCAACTGATCCACCATGTTATTGACAGTGTTCTTAAGGTCCAGAATTTCTCCACGAGTTTCAACTTCAATCTTCTTGGAAAGATCGCCACTAGCGACAGCCTTGGTGACTTGTGCAATAGATCGTACTTGCGTGGTCAAGTTACCAGCCATCATGTTGACATTTTCTGTAAGATCTTGCCAGGTTCCTGCCACACCATTGACATAAGCTTGACCTCCTAGTTTACCCTCCGTACCTACTTCACGAGCGACACGGGTAACTTCAGCAGAGAACACATTCAACTGATCCACCATGTTATTGATAGTATTCTTGAGATCCAAGATTTCACCACTGGTTTCAACTTCAATCTTCTTGGAAAGATCTCCACTGGCAACCGCTTTCGTCACTTGAGCGATAGATCGTACTTGCGTTGTGAGATTAGCAGCCATGGTGTTGACATTATCCGTGAGATCCTTCCAGGTACCACCCACACCTTGTACAAGAGCTTGACCACCAAGACGACCTTCGGTACCGACTTCCTTTGCCACACGCGTAACTTCAGATGCAAACACACGAAGTTGGTCCACCATGTTGTTGACGGTATTCTTGAGATCAGCAATTTCACCACGAACATCGACGTTGACTTTTTTACTCAAGTCTCCGTTGGCGACAGCATTGGTGACAGCGGCAATAGATCGCACTTGACTGGTAAGGTTACCAGCCATCATGTTGACATTGTCTGTAAGATCCTTCCATGTTCCACCAACAGAAGGGACGACAGCCTGGCCACCCAGTTTACCATCAGCACCGACTTCGCGAGCAACACGAGTGACTTCAGCGGAAAAGACGTTCAATTGATCCACCATGTTATTGACAGTGTTCTTGAGATCCAAAATTTCTCCGCGAGTTTCAACATCAATCTTCTTGGACAAATCACCACTTGCTACCGCCTTGGTGACTTCAGCAATGGATCGTACCTGAGTGGTAAGATTACCGGCCATAAGGTTTACATTCTCAGTGAGATCCTTCCAGGTACCACCAACACCCGCGACCACAGCTTGACCACCAAGTTTACCATCGGTACCGACTTCCTTGGCGACACGAGTGACTTCAGCAGAGAAGATAGTAAGTTGGTCTACCATGTCATTGACCGTTGTCTTTAGATCAGCAATTTCACCACGGACATCGACATTAATTTTCTTGGAAAGATCACCGTTGGCGACAGCTTTGGTAACTTGAGCGATGGATCGTACTTGCGTCGTGAGATTACCAGCCATGAGATTGACATTGTCCGTGAGATGTTTCCAAGTACCGCCTACACCTGCCACCACAGCTTGGCCACCCAGTTTGCCTTCCGTGCCTACTTCTTTCGCTACACGCGTGACTTCAGCAGCAAACACTCGAAGTTGGTCCACCATGTTATTGACAATATCCTTGAGATCGGAAATTTCGCCACTGACGTTGACATTAATCTTCTTGGACAGATCACCTTCGGCAACAGCTTTTGTGACTTCGGCAATAGATCGCACTTGCGTAGTCAAGTTACCAGCCATCATGTTGACATTATCAGTGAGATCTTTCCAGGTACCGCCAACATTGGGTACAATAGCTTGACCACCCAGTTTGCCTTCGGTACCGACTTCTTTGGCCACACGCGTGACTTCAGCCGAGAACACATTCAACTGATCCACCATGTTATTGACGGTGTTTTTGAGATCCAGAATCTCTCCGCGTGTTTCCACTTCAATCTTCTTGGACAGGTCGCCGCCCGCGACGGCTTTGGTGATTTGTGCAATGGATCGTACTTGCGTGGTAAGATTACCAGCCATCATATTGACGTTTTCAGTAAGATCTAGCCAGGTGCCTCCAACACCGGCGACAACCGCTTGACCACCCAGTTTGCCTTCTGTGCCGACTTCGCGAGCGACACGCGTGACTTCAGCGGAAAAGACGTTCAGTTGATCCACCATGTCATTGACGGTATTTTTAAGATCCAAGATTTCTCCACGAGTTTCCACCTCAATCTTCTTGGACAGATCACCATTGGCCACAGCTTTCGTCACTTGAGCAATGGATCGTACCTGGGTGGTAAGGTTACCAGCCATCATGTTGACATTATCCGTCAAATCCTTCCAGGTACCACCGACACTGGGAACAATAGCCTGACCACCAAGCTTGCCTTCCGTTCCGACTTCTTTGGCGACACGTGTGACTTCAGCCGAAAATACGTTAAGTTGATCCACCATGTTATTGACCGTGATTTTTAAGTCCAGAATTTCACCATAAGCGTCGACATTGATTTTTTTAGAAAGATCACCATTCGCTACCGCATTCGTCACTTGCGCAATCGACCGCACCTGCGTCGTTAGATTACCAGCCATCATATTGACATTGTCCGTGAGATCCTTCCAAGTGCCGCCTAATCCAGCGACTACAGCTTGACCACCCAGTTTGCCGTCCGTGCCTACTTCTTTCGCCACACGCGTGACTTCAGCAGCAAACACTCGAAGTTGGTCCACCATGTTGTTGACAATATCCTTGAGATCTGAGATTTCGCCACTGACGTTGACGTTGATTTTTTTGGACAAATCACCATTGGCTACAGCTTTCGTGACCTCGGCAATAGATCGCACCTGAGTGGTAAGATTACCAGCCATCATGTTGACATTGTCAGTCAAGTCCTTCCAAGTACCGCCTACCGATGGGACAACAGCTTGGCCACCCAATTTACCATCGGTACCGACTTCTTTGGCCACACGCGTGACTTCAGCCGAGAACACATTCAACTGATCCACCATGTTATTGACGGTATTTTTAAGGTCCAGAATTTCTCCGCGCGTTTCAACATCGATTTTCTTGGAAAGATCACCGTTGGCGACGGCTTTGGTGACTTCGGCAATGGATCGCACTTGGGTGGTAAGGTTACCAGCCATAAGATTGACATTCTCGGTAAGATCCTTCCAGGTACCGCCGACCGAAGGGACAACGGCTTGACCACCCAATTTGCCATGGGTACCGACTTCTTTGGCAACACGCGTGACTTCAGCTGAGAACACATTCAACTGATCCACCATGTTATTGACGGTATTTTTAAGGTCCAGAATTTCTCCACGTGTTTCGACATCGATTTTTTTGGAAAGATCACCATTGGCGACGGCTTTGGTGACCTCGGCAATGGATCGCACTTGGGTGGTAAGGTTACCAGCCATAAGGTTGACATTCTCGGTAAGATCCTTCCAGGTACCGCCGACGGAAGGAACCACGGCCTGACCACCCAATTTACCATCGGTACCGACTTCTTTAGCGACACGAGTAACTTCGGCGGAAAACACATTCAATTGATCCACCATGTTATTAACGGTGTTCTTGAGATCTAAAATTTCGCCTCGCGTTTCTACATCGATTTTCTTGGAAAGATCACCGTTGGCGACGGCTTTGGTGACTTCAGCGATAGATCGTACTTGGGTGGTAAGATTGGCAGCCATGGTGTTGACATTATCCGTAAGATCCTTCCAAATACCCGCGACGTCTTTGACATGCGCCTGTCCACCCAGTCGCCCTTCGGTACCGACATCCAGGGAAACACGAGTGACTTCAGCAGCAAACATAAGCAGTTGGTCCACCATGGTATTCATGGTATCTTTCAGTTCGAGCATTTCACCACGGACGTTGACGGTGACCTTCTTGCCAAGATCACCGCTAGCAACCGCTTTACAAACCGTGGCGATATCTCTGACCTGGTTGGTGAGATTACTAGCCATGAGATTTACATTTTCTGTGAGATCCTTCCAGGTACCACCCATATCCTTGACAATGGCCTGGCCACCCAATTTTCCTTCAGTACCAACATCGACAGATAATCGAGTGACTTCCGTGGCGAAGGTAGAAAGCTTAAGCGGCGATAGAGTTAATTGCAATTAAGGTTTTAAAATGTTTTAAATAGAGCCAAAATGTCTTACTTCGTCCACCATTGTGTTGATTGTATTCTTTAATTCCAAGACTTCACCTTTTACCTCGACGGTAATCTTTTTGGTCAAATCACCACGAGCAACGGCTTTTGAGACCATAGCAATATCTCGTACTTGATAAGTTAGATTGTTGGCCATTGTATTTACATTGTCGGTCAATAGTTTCCAAGTGCCGTCCACACCAGCGACTTTAGCTTGAGCACCCAATTTTCCGTCCGTTCCTACTTCGCGGGCAACTCGAGTCACTTCGGAAGCGAAGAGATTAAGTTGGTTCACTGGGGGGAAAAAAAAAAAAAAAAAGTTAGACAGGACGGGTCTACATGCAGGGCAAAAAGACGTAACATTACCCATGGTGTTAATAGTATTCTTCAATAATAACGTCTCTCCCTTCACATCGACGGTAATCTTTTTACTAAGATCACCGTTGGCTACAGCAGTAGAGACTTCAGCGATATCTCTAACCTGTTCCTGGTTACTTTGAGTCATGGAATTGAGATTGACAACCAGTTCGCGCCAAACACCATCGGTCGCATCGACATCGACTTCGGCACGCAAACCAAGTTTGCCTTCTTTGTGTGTATCGCGAGCGACTTGGTTGACGGCTTGAACAATGTGTTCAACATGGTCAGCCATGACGTTCATTGAGTTTTTGAGCAAGTTGAAAGGAGAATCAGCAGGTAGAGAAGTGTGGCGTTCATGAGTACAGGTAATACGCTGCTTCAGGTCGCCCTGGTGAACAGCGGTAGAGACTTTGGTTGCTTGTATCAAACATTCATAACAGAATAGATCGTTGTCAGCGAAGTGATGAGTGGCCGGTGATGGAGTAAACGGAGGGGAGGTCAGACTGTAGTTGTTTGGAGAAGATGAGGTTGTAAATGGTGGAGTTGGGATATTATTGGAAGCTGAGGATGAAGTATTGTTAGTACGACAAGAGAAGATTTGAGAACAAAATTGGGAAAAAAAAAAATGGGAAAAAAATGGGTTACGTACAAAAGTAGCTGGTCATTGACAAAGGTGGAAATACACTGGATTTCGTCTTGACTTTATCCACAACATTTTGGTCTTTCATACTCCATATACCATCCTCAGGCGTGACAGGTAACAAGGCAGAACCGTTTCGTTCTGGTTTAGTGGCTGGTTCGGAAGCGTCCTGCGCTTCGGACGGGTGTGTTGAGGACAGCAGTTGCTGTTGTTGACGAAGTGCGACTTGATAACGTAAATTTTCGGTCTCTAAACGCACATGTCGTTCAACCAGTGATTTGATGGTGGATTCAATTGCACTGATTGATTGTTTATCGTCGATAGATAATTGATCGAACGCTGGAGGAGAGCCTTTCAGACATTGATCATAATGGCCCTGTTCAAAATTTTGAAGAAGATCATTTATATAAGGTAGAACGACGGTTCCCATCGAGTCTTGTTCGTTTGTGGTGGAAGGGCTATTGATTTTTTGCCTCTTGCTGTTGCTGTTGCGTGTCTGATGTTCAGATGTTGGATGAGAAGATGACGAATGTGGAGAGGACGAACGTTTCATCACCGCCCAGGCAGAAACAAACCAAGTAATGAGGGATTTCAAATCAAAGATTGTGAAATAAAAGAAGCGACGCTTTTACGAATGCTTTCTTTGCAGAATGATGCAAGGATAATGGGCAGTAGGTTTAAAAAAGGGTCCTGTTTGACATGCGCAAAGGAAGAGATCAGCGGGTCGCCTTTTTTTTTTTTCTCAAGCAAAAAGCACAAGGAGAAGCTTTATCGCAGCTTTAATCCAAGGTCCGACAGAGGTCCTTCCACTGGAGCCAAACACAAATACTGCTTGGTTCAGTGGCATCAGCTGAAGAGCTTATTCCATTCGTTCGCTCGCTCGCTGGTTGGCAGCTAGCTACAATAATAATAAAATAATATGTATAAAAAATAACAAATTAACCCTATCATTAGGATAGCATTGGCCTGCCTTACGCTGTGCTGCACTGAGCTGTAGTTAAACGACCCTCACTCAAATTTTTTTTTTATTATATTATAATCTCTTGCCTGCCCTTTTTTCTGTCGGTCTGTCCCCCAATTCTCTTTATTGCCCCTCCTTCTTTCATTACACCTCTTCTCTTTTTCTCTTTCTCGTGAACGTATGGCCTACCTTGCAACGCACTCATTACCAACCCCCGCCTCAGACCGAGCCGCTTCGTCTCCGCCGTCCGACTCATCCAGCGATGATTCTTATTTCAATCACCGTAAAAAATCCTCTATCACTCTGTTGCTAAACCCCAAAGATGATAGTCCAACCAGATCCACCTCTATCAAAAAAGCCATGTCAACCACCAAGGCCAAGCGGAAACGCATCACCCCAGATCAGTTCTCGCAGCTGATGGCTCTGTTTGAACACAACGACACGCCTAGCTATGAAATACGCGACAAGCTGGCCGGTAAAATTGGTATGAGCAATAGAGAAATTCAGGTAATTCCAGTTCCAGCCAACATGAAATTTTTGGTCTACAGGAAGCCAATTTTCTAATATGGCAATTCACCCCTTGCCAATCCCCTTAGGTATGGTTTCAAAATCGTCGAGCCAAAGCAAATCGAGCAAAAACAAATGAAAAGCTACGTTCAGCGGCTACCATCCAACCACCGCAAGACTATGGCGTACAGTTTATGCCTGTTATTGCTCCACCACATCGCCATTCATATCACTGGCGAGCCCCTATACCGACGCCCGGTATCGACCTGTTAGCTTCGGCTGCCGAATATGTTCAACGCGAGGAAGAAAGATTACGAAAAAATAATAATAGAGCGTCTGCCCCCATATCATTCTACCATTCTATACCCACCAATCCCAGTGTCACATAGGGGAAAGCCGTGCTTGTGAATTATAATGTCACATACCCCCGCACACAACACACAACACACACACACAACAAACACAACACAACACTCACTCTAAAAAAAAAAGAAACATTCCAATAAAATGCACCCACACACATTTTCTTTTTAGCTCGCTCACGTACATTGACTGACTGTCATGAAGTCCCATGGTCAAAACAATATAACAGAAAAGAAAACCTGTTTAGAGCTAATCGGGATTAATAAACGAAGAGGGTGGTGTCATCCGGTCAGAAACTGTTTCTTCCTCTGTTGCTCAGCAAGTGTTTATAGTTTGCAATGCGTGTCATGAACCGTTTAGTAGCCATGGCTGCGAGCATAAGTCAGATGACCTCAATTAAAAACCGTTGTCTGGCACTGGAATAAATTATATTTTTCGGCACTTTAGCAGGGCGGTTAATGTGCGCTGACGACGTTGCGCTGTCATGGCAAAAGGATTGCTGCGCTGCCAAAAATTCCTCATTCAAGTATTGGTGCTGAACCCAGGTCATATGGGACGGTCTGGGATTCAACCTTGTCATTGGAATGAAAAGAGCTACCAACGTCCCTTTTTAAAAAAACAAAGTAGTTAGACTCATGTCACATTTAAACCGAAAATTATTTCAATCTAACTGCTTGCTTAAACTAGCTTTAGTCAAAACCCCATAGGTATTAAATGACATAAAGCCGTTAGAAAGGAAAGTAGGCGTTTTTTTCATTCAAAACGCGAATATTCGGTGGAGGCATACATGAACCATTTTTTTCCAAATGAAGCTGTGGCGTAACATTAAGCAAGGTGAAGAAGCGAGCTGTCTTTCTACCTTGCCTGGCAGTCCAAGGGGAGTGCGCACAGAAAGGGGGGGAAAGTATTTCTACTGCCTTCCATGGTGCGCTGCATTTGCGGATGATTAGCAGTCACGATTAATTTTGCAAGCAAAGTGAGCTGCCCCGTCAAGCGGCTCATTCCATACCCATTAGCCCCAAATGTCCAAAGCGATCAAGGCCGTTGCATGGGGAACTGCCATCATCGGCACAGGTTATCTCCTGATGCGCTTCACAGTCCCTAATGAAGAGCAAATGCGAGCTGTAATGCCCTATTTCCTGGCGTGTTTTTCCACATAGTCTCCCACACACTAACCTAACTGGTTTAATTATTTATTTTCTTTAGCGCCTTACGCCAGCCCTGCGTCGTGACGCAGACAGAATTAGAAGCGAGAATGAAGAAAAGAAACAAGCCTTGGCAGAAAGAATCCGAGAAGCAGCCAATTCTGAAAAAGCAATATGGGACGAACGCAATAAGAAATAATTCAAAAGAAGTGCCTTCAACATGACACACTATCTGCATACATGGTTGGTTTGTATGTCAATTTGTAAATTTCAAATAAACTAAAAAAATTTGTAATGTAATCATAACGTAGCTAAGCGGAGGAAGGGTCGGCAAATTATAGTCTATTTATTTTTTTGGGTTTTTACCAAGAAGGTATTGGTGACATTCCGTTAGCGCGTTGCATGGACTCGGATGACGCCAAGCTAGGTTAAGTATATCCTACTGCTGTTTTCTCCGTTGTATGGTTTAGAGGCTGAAAGGGAGCGAGACAGAAGGCAAGAGAAAAGTGGACAGCGAGATAATAAGAAAAAGTCTTCCATTTGACGTGAAATAGGTACCTTACAACTGGTTTTCTACCTTCTTCTTCCCGCTCAGCCATAATAAACTCCACCGTTTTCAATAACATTTGCTTTGCCCTTTTTTACCTTTTTTTTTTTCCTATATTTCGCTGACTCGCACTAAAAAAAATTAATTGAATCCACTCACACTCGCTTTATCCCTACTCTTCTCTTCTCTACTTTCTTTTTTTTTTTTTTCTTTCACGGCCTTTCATCCCAAGTAGTGGGATATCATCCAACACGTCTCAATTTACTGATGCTATTCGAAAACACCGATCTGTCATGTCATCATACGGCCAAAACACACGCCACGCAAAGTGATTTCCCAGAGAGCAACCGAACGTTACGAGAATCGCAAGCTCGAATACCGTCAGGGTGCTCTAAATTGAGTCGACTAGACATTGTGGATAAAGTCAAGGGATTAATCTTCGGTGAGTGAGTGGGCGGAGTGAGCGGCAAAAGGGCTTTTTTTTTTAAGGTTGGACAAGACAAAAGCTAACTAATTTTCTTGTACTCCATGAAGGCGCGGTATTGGGGGATTGCCTTGGTTTGGCTACAGAAGGCATGACCAGAGAACAGGTGGAGGCTGTATATGGAGAAGGCCCAATCAGATTTGGCCTCGAAGACGAAGACGTCACAGGGGTGGTTGGCGTACCCTTTATCCGCGACGCTTATCGGTCTATGTTTGACGACAAGTAAGTAGGGGAGTTTCAATCAATGGGCAGAAAGGAGAAGAGAGGAAAAGAGAAGGAAGGAAAAGAGGATCCTACTTGCATTTAATAAGCGTAGACGATGGATGGTCTAGAACCCCCCAAACATATACCCCATACTCATCTTGTCATTTACAGTGACTTTGGAGACGACACCGACCAGCAGCTTTTGTTAGTGCAGTCGCTTATTCATACAGGAGGCGTGTTCAATAACAAAGACTTTGCCAAACGACTCAAAGACTGGAGTCAACATGGTCTTGTTGCTCTGAGTAAACCTCCTCTAGGAACTGGACGAGCTACACAATACACCATCAACCATCCAGCCTTTGAACATGATCCCGTAAGTAAACCAGAAAAATCCTCCATCGTACAAAATAGCACTGGAAATTAAAAAATCATCCCACTTCTAGCATCGTGCTGCGGCTGACGTATGGCGCTCAAAACATGTCCTTCGTTCTGCCAATGGCGCTATCACGAGAGCACCACTGCTTGGCGTGGTCAAGTTTTGGGATGGCACAACCGTCATAGAAAATTCAGCTGACTGCTGTAGAGTCACTCACTCAGACCCAAGAAGCATTGCGTCGTGCGCTATTGTTTCCACTTTGGTAGCAAGAATGCTACGAAGTCAGGACACAGAATACAATGATTATCCACCATCGCCTACTTCATCACTTAGCAACCCCCACTACCAGGATCAGATGTTACGGTCACCTTCTAATACACCGCCTCTCAGCAATCAAGACTTGGTCCAAAATACAGCCAACAAAAAATATTTCATTGATACATTATCCACCGATCCATGTCTCCTATCGTTGGTCGACAGTGCCATAGAAGCCAACCAACGATGTTTGACGGCTCCCAACACAGATCCATTGTTTTATTCCCCAGAAACGGACCAGCAACTCACGCAAAGCTATTACTCGCAACTGTTGGCTCACTGTTATCCTCCTGTGAATTTGGAATCGCTTGCCCTGGATCACACCGACGATAATCAGGACGTCTTCAAAACCCTTGGCGCTGCCATTTATGGCTTCACCCGCCAGCTTCCCAAAGGCGAACAAACATCCAGCTTCAAACGCATTTTGATGGATGTTGTTTTGCAGGGAGGTGAAGCTGACACCAATGCCTCAGTCACCGGTGCACTGCTTGGTCTGCGTATGGGCTATAGCATGCTTCCAAGTGAATGGGTGGTTGGTCTCAAACATTGGGAATGGCTTGAAGACTGTGTTGAAGAGTTCGTTGCTCTACTGTAGTTGTTGTTTCCTTATTATTATTTTCTACTTGTTAAAACTTTTTTACACCACCCTCTCCACCTGTACCCCTCCCTCACACCTCATTTTCTTTACACCATTTCACTGTCCATGTTTTTTCTACTCTCGCTTTCAAAAAATCCGCCCATCCACCCGACATAGTGCTCTTCCCTTTTAGCCCCTTGTACAAATCTCCACTCACCTCTATATTATCTCGTTTCCATTGACTCTGTATGAAATTGCAACTGGTTAGAAAAAGCGTTTCTAAATTACCCAAAATCAAAAATAAAAATTTGAAAAAAGTACACCTCCTGCCCATTGTGTTTACGGCCACTTCGCATGGTAGCATCAATATTACCTCACTGTTTAACATACTGCCGACTGGTGTGAAGCATTTTCATAACATTTAGGCACTACCATAAAATTTTACAGTATAATGATGCTCCCTAGGACAATCGCTTTTACCGTGACTCCCATCCAAATTTTGACGTCTGTGGGTTTATCAATTTGGTTTTACCTCTTTTTATTTTTTTCTTCCTTGCTTTCCTCATTGCAATTGCGACTGATTCCTGGAAACTCTGAATGCACGATCCCAAACGACCTCGGCATTCCTCCGTATCGTCTTCGCTGACAAGGTAAGAACCATTGATTGGATGTCAGACACTGACACTATGAGTACTAACTGCCTTGTCAATTAACCATCTTTGCGCTTGGTCCCCTTTATCTCGCACCCTTCCAACTCCTGCATTATCCCACGTCTACGTTTTCATCATCACAGAGTCGAATCCATCACAAGCTGCCAAACCGAAACTGATCCATTACTTCCTTTCAAACGCCGGTGTCCGAGCGACCGGATAACATGGCGCCATTGGGCTCTACTTTTTTTTGCATGCTCGTTCTTATTCGGTAATTACTTTTGCTATGAGCTTCCATCGGCTCTCAACCTGCAACTTCACGAACGAATGGGATCGTCGTACGAGACTTGGCAGTACCAGCTCAACATGCTTTTCACCGCCGTCAGTACCCCGAATATTATATGTCCACTCTTGTCTGGGATCGGCATCGATAGACTCGGCACAAATACCATGCTTATCTCGTTGACGACCATTCTCTGCACTGGTCAAGCCATCTTTGCCTTGGGGGTTACCACGAGGTCATTTTGGCTAATGGTGGCTGGTCGTGTCTTGTTTGGTATTGGAGGTGGATCGCTGGAGGTGTGTCAAGGTGAGATCATTGGTCAACCTGAAACATGACCAAAAATATGGCATTAATCCCCTTGTCCCCCGTTAGGTAAAATAACCACAGACTGGTTCAGAGGAAGAGCATTGGCCTTTGCTATGGCCTTAACCTTAACATTTGGCAGAATTGCTACGGCACTCAATTACAATTTATCGCCATGGCTAGATGAACGCTTTTCAGAGGATTGGGTTTGTTGGTTCGGTTTTGCATTGTGTTTGTTGAGCGCCGGAGCAACTGTTATCACCATGATATTGGATTCACCGCAATCGAGAGCCAAAGCTGGCATAGTCGAATCCGACGCCACAAGTACCAAGAAACATATCATGAACGACAGCGGTATGCCTGATGATTTGTTGTTAGACGACGATAGCGAATCCATATTTAGCGAAGATGAGAATATGAACTTGGCGCACTTGGCGAAATTCAGCCCCTCCTTCTGGCTACTCAATATCATTTTGTTGGCGCTATATGGTATGTACGATATGGTATCGCTGAACCAGCTATAAATACTGACGGATATGTATTTTAGGCGCCGTCCAACCCTTCAACCATATCTCTTCGGATTTCCTTCAAACCAAATGGTATCCTGGAAATGCTCAAGCTGCTGGTGCAGGTAAGAGAATGGCACTATGGCACAACTTGAAATTTATCATACTCATCCACCATGCTTTGTCAAACAGTCCAGTCCATACCGGATACAATGTCCGCTTTTCTGAGCCCAGCCCTAGGCTACATGACGGATCGTATGGGACACCGGGGACACCAGCTTTTAATCTCTGGAGCTGTCATATCGATAGCTCATCTCACCCTCGGCTTCACCTACATTACACCGATTGTACCCTTGTTCTTCCTAGGCATATTTTATGCTTCATTTGGAAGTGCTCTTTGGCCTTCTTTCGCCCTTGTCGTCGAGCACTATCATTTAGGTACCGCTTACGGCATAGCCACCGCAGCTCTCAACATTGGATTATCCGTGGTGCCGATCATTGTTGGGAGGATTAGAGCGATAAGTACCTTCGCACATGTTGAATTGTTTTTTGCCGTCATGGCAGGAGCTGGTACTTTAGCCTCTGTGGCGTTGTTGGTTGTAGGTTCGCAAGAAGGCTCACCTTTAGAAAAGGTCCATGTCGACGAACAGCTTATCAATTCGCCCAAAGATGGAGGTTTAACCACTCGATGGGTCACAGAAGGTAGGTTGCATCGTTATTTGAAGCTTGGATTATCTGGGATGCTTACCACGCATGTATCAGGCCATCATGCTATTGTGCCACACAGATATTCGACCACCTCTTGGGTCGATGACACCGGTGCTATCCATCACGTTATTGGAGCGGCTGGCGCCAGCATCAACATCCCACCTCCCAGTGACGTTTCACTGATCTAAACGCGGGACAAGTATACCATCGCTGCATCTAGCGTGTCATTCCTTGTAATCTACTCCCCATATATATATGCCTGTACATGCCACGTTTTACAAATTGATTGTTTGAATGCATTATACCTTTGCATACACTGGACTTATATTTTATCTTGCAATAGTATAATGTAAACATCTTCCATCACATATAGCTTTTTACAATCCAGATGTTTTAACATATCGTTTTGATTTTATTTTACGCTATTCTCTCGAGTAAAAAGAATTCTTTTTTTTTTTTATAATAAAACAAACATCCCATCAGCAGAAAGTCATCTATGCCTTCTTGACTCTCTTCTTTTGAGACTTCTTGAGCTCCTTGGCTCGCTCCTTTTCTTCCCACTTGCGCTGCTCAGCAGGGCTCAACTTGCGAACACGTTCTTCTTCAGCCTTCTTTGCGTCAGCCTTCTTCTTGGCGAGCTCCTCGGCGCGTTCTTCAGCGTGGATCTTGGCATACTCCTTGAGAACTTCTTCACGGTTCTTGCGAAGCTTGTTCTTGATCTGATTCAGGCCAATCAAATGGAAAAGTTAGCCACTCTATCGTTTCAAGCCTGCTGTATCATACATTGACGCTGGCGCTTACCTCGGGTTTAAAGTTACGGCAACGAGCACTCAAGATATCGGGAAGTTCACACACAAGCTGGACAAGACCGCTAGAAGCCTTGGCATCAGAGCTGTTGATGTCGAAGTCAACAGTGACCGTCTGGGGATACGATTCCTTCAAACTAACCGAGGGTCATTAGTGGGAAAAGTTTAGCGCACAAGGTATTGCATTCATCAACTTACGATTCGGGGGCAACGGTGGGGTAACAGGTAATGATCAAGCTGTTGAAGGCATCACCAGCTTCACGGATAACATCAGCGACCTTGCCTTCAAGGAGAAGATCGGCCAAATCGCTGCTCTCACAAGAAACAACCAGGTTCTTGGGCAACTTGCTGTGTTGAGAAGTCTTTGTGAATTTTTTCTACACGCATCCCAAAAGAAGTCCCCGGGTCAGTCAGTATATGCATCACCACCGTCGTATAAAATTTAAACCTCAACTTACCAAGTCAAAGCGATCAGCACGGAGTTCCTTGGATGTGGCCTCAGGAAGAACAGCAAATACAAAACCTTCGCTAGAGCTGTCATCCAAAGTCACAGTAGCAGTCTGGCCAAAACAACATACCGTCAGTCATGGCTATTCTCTATCACAGTTACAATTGGACTGACAGCTACTCACAACATGATCCTTAGCAGGCTTTTCCCATCCAGCCAAAGCAAGAACTTGGTTGGCAATGGCAGTGGTGATATCATTTCGGGGGTACAGCTGTAGATGAAAGGGCAAAGTAAGATAACGCCACCAGAATCCTGAATGCCGACGCTACACACTCAATTCAACTTACAGTGACAAACCAGTGAGCAAACTTCATGTTTCTTCTTCCAGTAGTGTACAACACATATTCGTTAGGGCTATCCTTTACCAAAGTGTTGCCAGCATTGTCTCCTACGTGGGCAAACTGGGTCCTGAGATATTCCAGCTGGGCGCCAGTCCTGCCATGGCAAGCGTTCAGTATACACATTAACAGCACAACGGTGGGCCTCTATTCGTGTACTTACCACTTCTTAGCGATGGCGAGATTCTTGTTGCCTCCAACGTACCAGATGGCGATATAAGCTGCGAAGAAGCACAACATGGCGATCTCAAAGAGGAAGTCTTTGACAGAAACCTCTACAAATGCCAGCGGGTTAGTTTCAAGGTTAACTTCCATTTTTTGTCATGATAGTGCCTACTTACTTGTGGGGTAAGGAAGTGGTGTGGGTGGTTGGAAAGTCTGGTCATCTAGATGATCACAAGCATCGATGAGCGACAGGGTGATGGGCAAAGGCGATGATGGGCACTAGGATGGTTTACCTTTGGTTTCAGCGAGGGCTGTAGAAACAAACAAGGCGACGGCAGCCAGGGATGAACCAACACGAATCATGATGCGAACAGTCGAGGAGTTTGTGTGCCGAGGCGTTTCCAAGTGGTGAGTTTTTTTGATTGTCAGATCAGAGTTTTTCCCCTCACCCATTTTCTCCGCAATGGCATCTAAACCCCATCGCTGAAACTGTGTATTGCTACTGAAACCTTCCGATTTCAATATATAGCCCCCAGTCCTCGTCTGAATTACTTCTTCCCTCTTTTTTTAACCAAACTGTCATGACCCAAAAACCCAACCCTGAAGCCTTTCCTCCTGGCTTCTTTTTCATTCAGTCGCAGAGGGTTCCTACTTTAACCGTCGATGTCAACGATGGCTCTATGAGCGTAAGTAGTAGCACTTGCGGGAACTCGTTATTTCGTTCAATCACCACGTCGCCTAAAAAAAATTTATTCATGCATATGATAAAATAGGCAGACTCCAATATTTTGTTATGGAATAAGGTAGTGTCACCATCATATTATGAGATTTGCCTCGGATCCCTTCTTATTGACGCCATCAACACCCAAATTCAATAGAAAGATGTGGATAACGTAAATCAGGTAGGTGACAAATCAACAGGCGGTCGAACTAAAATACGTGGTGATGGCATCTAACCTTTGTTGTTCTGATGACTAGCTTTGGGCATATGAGGATGGATTCATTGTGAATAAAAAGTCAGGATTAGGTAAGTGACCATGCTATAAACGACATCGTCTGGGCCAGTTCAATTTATCAATTCATATTGCCAATAGTTCTGGACATTAAAGGAGGTAAGAAGGACACTGGTACAAGCAGCAACTGGTGCACTTTATTCAACAGTCATTATAGGAGAGGTGAAGGCTGGCAAAAGTATCATTCAGTACGCACGAAAGGGCGTTTTGGCAAGGAACCAAGAGTGGCGATTCCTAGGTAACGGACAGCTCCCTAGGTTTTCATTCTTTGGAAAAGGCTTACCTTTTTTTTTTTATCTTTAGACGGCTTCATCTGTCCTATCAGCGACGAGCGTCTTTGCATTGATATCGAGGTAATTGATCCTGCTAACAGACCACGATTTATTGCCTTGCGGCAGATCAATAACACCTGTGTTTAGTCCAATAATCCCAGCTCCGGGTCCAACATTGTTCTGGCCAGCAGAAATAGACAGCGTCCAAGCCAGCTATGGACTCTGGTGGAGCATAACCCCCCACAGCTCGCCAACTATCATCGGATGCTGTTACCTTTGACGCCAGAAGGTGAGTGCCATTGGCAGTTGCGTCTCGCTTGTCTTTCGTACCATTGACGGCGGAAATCTAGAGCGAAAGGCTCGAAAAGAAGCCGAAATTGGACTTTCAGCTCTGGCAGATTGGCATCGACTTCTATACAAAGATAAGGCCAAGGACGTATCGGAACGACAAATCGCCGGCGCTGCTGCTTTCGAAGCCATTCGTCTGTACATTCAACAATGCAGAACAAGTAATCAGCCCATTATGACCGAGCAGGCCGGTGCCAGCATTGGTGCTCTTGTGAGCAAGGAGGTAAGAAACTGAGCTGAGTTGAACGACCGCCATTTATTCACGTTGCGTACTGACGTGTTCGCGAATTCAACCATAGATCGCATCACTTTCCTCAGAACATAACGCGAGCGGAGATCAAACGGGTATTGAAAAAACCGCAATGGCCGTAGCAGACAGATATTTCAATCGCGAGTACGCTGTCCCCGCGTAACGTAGTATATGTGGACACAACTTAATATTTGTTAGCAATAAAGTAATTTATGTAAGAAACCGATTTTGCGTGCGCCGCCTATGCATCGACAACTTCTTCAACGCCTTGATCCAGGTATCGTTGAAGCGGTTCTACCGGTCCATTTTCCATAAAGCTGCTTTCCATCAGCCTTTCCTCCTTGCTATATAATTGCGTAGGCTATTGATATGTTGAAAAGTCTTCTCACCAGCGCATGTCTTTGTGCTTGCTTTTGGCACTGGTATTGAGTCGACCAAGCGGTGGCGGAGTGTAAGCACTAATGTCTTTGAGCAGAATGCGCAACGACACTGGATGAATGTACAGGAAAAGTTAGAACGAATAGCCATTATAAGCAACTATACATCCTGCTACAGGTAAGAGAACAGAGGATCACCAGAATGCATATGGGGTAAAGTACGCTGCATTGGGTTTAGTCATCTCACCGAAGGTCTTGCTCGGCTCTGGCGGATACAGGCAAAAGGAAATGCTCAGCTTCCTTATCTAACTCTAGCTGAAATATCAATAGACAAAGGACGTAAATTATTATACTCGGTAGAATCATAACTCATTTCGCATGGGGTCATCAAGATCAGCACCTGCCAGTTGCACGCGATCTCAGCCGTCAACGACAATCTGCATTTGCAGATCAGTGAATCACAGAAGTTCGTGTATCGATACTTTCAGGCAGCTGTGTGTCTTCCCTAGTGTCTTAAGGTGCTTCAAAACTATATAATTGCTTTCCACCTTCTATGCTTTTATATAAAGTAGTGAGCCGTAACTCAAACTTCCCCTTTACCCCTGATTCCTTTACGTAAGGTGCACTGTCTGTATGCTCAACATCTATGACCATCAGAGCACATACACGCGACTTCTGCATCTTTAAACACCTAAGAGCACATAAATGGTCCTCTTTGAACGAATTTACGTCCTTAAAGCTTACTAAACATGCTCCTTAGCTCGAAAATAGCTCTAATTTACCCCACACTCTGGCTACACAAGGTCTGTGCGCACTGCCACTCTGTTACACTGACTTTCTTTCAAGCTGTGAGATGTCTATTTCTCTGCTTCCTCTTCCCCTCGAAGCTTTAGAAAATAACTAGTACTATGGACGTATGCGGAGAAGGGAGGGGTATGATATGAGAGTCAAATGGAGTCCGTGCTGAGGCTGGGGGTCGAGGAAATGGCGATTTTGTTCGTAAAAGTCATGGTCATGATCATGTCATTTTCAGTAGATTTTGAGTATGGTCTCCTGGTCCAGTGGTCAAGGCGACTTCCATATTCTGAGGTTGTTGTTCGGTCCCGGGTTCGATTCTCGCCGTATGGCGGGTTTTCTGATTCGGCGTCTGAGCTTCAACCAAGGAATATAGGGAGCCGCCAAAGCCACTACTGGGAGGCCGACTCACCCTTTGTGCCAAGAAACTATCCTGACAATGAGCTCTTTTACGAACAAAATCGCCATTTTCTCGACCCTTAAGCCTCCGGCATTACCTTCTCTCTTCATAGTTTTCTTCCAAAAACGTTTTCACGTGACCACTCTTTCTAGCAAGCGGTTGCCGGTCACCTGCTACCTCTTGTCGCAAAGGACATTCACTTAGACCAATGTCTCTGTGCATATTGCCTCATGTCTGAGGCTGTTTTAACATAGCGTTTAGAGCTGAGGGCAGAAAATGTGAACTCCTTTACTTCATTCACTTATCAAGACGCGCATTCATGCAGGCCCCAGTTACAAGTTCTACTGCGGTTCTTGAGGACAATAGCTCAAAGTTTAGGAAAATGTAGTTGCACAGTTAGTTGCTACTTTCTCTTTGGTCAAGTCTAGCATTCGAGAAGGTAGTGGTTTAACCCCTGAAGCAAACTCCTGTTTAAGGTCATATCGGACATCATGTTGCTACTGCTACACTCCAGCTTCATTGTTGCCTGGATGACCGCAAATAACATATGTTATCAGCCAAATTACAGACCCACCCACACGTTTCTTCTCATATGAAGGCTTGCCATCCTGCTTCAGCCCTTACAGTGAACTGCACTGGAGTGACGGAGCCAACGCCAACCATGATTACTTTTATTTAGATGATCGACTGACAGTCGTATATGCCAAGTATTATATTGCCATCCCTTCATCAGCAGTATTTGGCCACAGATCCTTTCTTTCGACGTAGCACACTTTTACTCAGTGCACAGCGTTGGCCTGATGACGTTGGCTGACAGGACAAACTAGTCGGATACACAGCAATCAGACATTACTAACGGGCACCGTGTAGCTCTTTCAGGCAAATCTCAAGGGTAACCGCATGAAGGTTGTATGCGCATGACCGTAACAGTGGGCAACAGAACGAGAGCGAAGCTGGTGTGCGTGGCGAGGAAGTGTTTAGTGAAACCAGTTTGACATACGTCTGGATCATGAGAACAAAAAGCCTTTGTTGACACTTTCAGTGCTCAAAAGTCATTAGATAGCTAAAATGAAACTTGCTTCGTATGCGGCAACTTGCATCTCGGGTTGATGGTTCTGTTTCGGCCCACAGTAATATATGGTAGATCTTGTCGGAACGGAAAAGCGACCGAGCGTATAGCTTATCTCAACCTAATAGATGGCAATTGAAAAGATGCTGAGAGCAGATGTATGTACTTTACATTAATAACAAGAATTACATTTTCCAGTAGTCGGCTTAAAAAGAAGAAGAAAGAAAAAGAATGGAAGGTCTGAACTATCTAATACTGGCAAACTCACCTTCCTGTAACTTTAAAATAGTATTGTCATAAAGCCAATGAACTAGTATACGCTTGCCAACATCCAGTGTATTACATTTTCGAGATCAACGGAGTGTCTCATGGCGCAAAATCTGTGATAACAGCCATAACGCTGGGGTTGAAGCCCTATCTTTCGAAACACAGTTTTCGTGTGTTTAGAGCCCATCCTTGTGTCTCATAGACTTCAAAGAATAAATTATTGGCAGCATTTATGCAATCAATTCAGTCAAGCTTACCCCACTTCAACACTGGATTTTTCAGATTCAATTCGCGCTATGGTATACGATATTCAGCCGACGCCGCTGGCTCTCCACCCTGACTCCACTTGATTCTCACATTGCTGAATCAACAAGTTGGAAATCTCACTTGAGGACAGCTGGAAGTCAAAGTACAGCCAAGATCTCCTTTCTAGGAAATGTAGAAGGTAAAAGTACCAACCTGGAGTTCACGGACAAGACATGATATAGAAAAATATGAAGAAAAACTAATTTATGGACAATTCAGAGATCAATGAAGTTCTTATATAGCTTCATATATGCTGTAGGTACAGTTATGAGATGAGAAATATTTATAAATTTATGTACATGTGTTGTGGGCTCCAGATACACCCCATCCTTCTAGCTGGAAGATGCCGAAGTGTTGGTTGAACCGTTGGATATAGGTTGCAATAAATATGGACGATACTCTTCAACTTTTCCTCCAGGACAAGCACTATAGTCGTCTTCTCCCCTTGAGACTGAGCAAGAGAGATTCTGCCCAGGAATAAAGATTGGTGGTTATGTATGATTTCTCTTGAGTTGGAATGTGATAAAACCTCGTAATGTACCATCATCAGTTGATTGTACGTGATCTGAGCACAGAAATAGTCCCTCAAACTTGTGATTTGTTTAAAATTCCCCTCTAAAGCGTCCGGTACTGCCGATAGTGCCTATGCTAAATGCTCCAACTCGTTGACGATAAATAAGCCAGATCGTTGCAGCCGAGCGGTAGAGATGAGAAGTCCAGTCCGGGATAACTTTTGACAAACAAGGAACAATTCAACATGAACCGAACCTAATATTTAAGCAGTATTCCACGTGATGCCTTGCTACTGCAATATCTAACTGTGAACAGCTGCTTCGATGATATAATACCAGGCTTTACATGCGTTATCAGACCTTATGAATCGTTCTTTATGCTCATTATATGCGTATAATTGCCATAATCAAACCTGACAATTCTACGGTAAGCAAATATGCTCGACCACTGCTCATGTGCTTCTATACGCGGCTTCTCAGCAATTTCATCCTATATTGTTCAGCAATGACAATGGCAATAATGGTAAACATTTTTATCAATTGATCTGTTTGATTGTAGCTACATCGCGTTGACGTTTCTATTATTTAACTGGCCTGCACTCAAATGATACATCTGCGCTTTATACGAAGTTGTCTTTTACTCATATTTATTGCTCAAATTACATGAAGAGAATGACCTTCGTCACCCTTCCATCATTTTGCTTTCAATGGACGTATCGGTAGGATAAAAGCTGTTATGCTTGTGGATATGACCATTACCCAGACTCAGCTATCGGTGAGTGCGAGAGGTGACCTCATTGAACGATGGCTGCGGTGGTTCAAAAAAAAAAAAAGTTTTGCAAAACGCTATTCATTCCTCTTCCCCATCCCCCCTCTTCCCAACATGAGTGACCGGCTAACTCGTATTGCCATCGTCAGTTCTGACAAGTGTAAGCCCAAGAAGTGCAGACAAGAATGGTAAGTTCTGATGTCGAGAAAAGCGAAAAATGTGGGAAAATACCTAATGATTCTTTTCATCCACAGTAAAAAGTCATGCCCTGTCGTTCGCATGGGTAAGTTTTAAAGCAACCTTCAACCAAATTCAGCATCGTTCGCACTTGATCCAAATGACCGCGGTTACTGTAAAGTGCGATTTTCAGCACTGGTATCCATCAACGTGCAACGACTGTAGTAATGCGGGATTCCGGTGGTCCAAGCCACTAATGATCGCACGCAATCAACATTTGTTAACCTGCAACCCTCTCGTTTGAATTAGGAAAATTATGTATTGAGGTTGACGCTACCTCCAAGATTGCTTTCATCTCTGAGGATTTGTGCATTGGTTGTGGTATTTGCCCAAAGAAGTGTCCTTTCGGCGCTATTCATATTATCAACTTGCCTACCAACTTGGAAAAGGAAGTCACTCACCGTTATTCCGCCAACTCGTTCAAGCTTCATCGTCTTCCCAGCCCTCGTCCTGGTCAAGTTCTTGGTTTAGTCGGTACCAACGGTATCGGAAAGTCTACTGCCTTGAAGATTCTGGCTGGTAAGATGAAGCCTAACTTGGGTAACTTCGATAACCCGCCTGACTGGCAGGACATTCTCAAGTACTTCCGTGGTTCTGAATTGCAAAACTACTTCACCAAGATTTTGGAAGATAACTTGAAGGTGAGAGACGTCAATTCGTGTGACGCGGCAAGAGCATGATCGTGATAACTCAACCTTTGCAATTGAATTTCAGGCCATCATCAAGCCCCAGTATGTTGATCATATTCCCAAGGCTGTCAGCGGAAAGGTTGGAGCTTTGTTGGATGCCAAGCTCGAGCGCAACAATCTTGACGATATCATCTCTGCCCTCGGTAAGTTTATACGCGATTCTGCGTCTCCTTAAATCGATCATTACTAAATGCTCCTCTACAGATCTTCAGGAAGTTTTGCAGCGTGAAGTTGGTCAATTGTCTGGAGGAGAACTTCAACGTTTCGCTATCGGTGTCGTCTGCGTTCAGCATGCCGATATGTAAGTACCATTCCCTTCCAACTTCGCCATGTATGCATAAACTTATTCACGTCTTTCCCCTTCTAGTTACATGTTTGACGAACCTTCATCATACTTGGATGTTAAGCAACGTTTGAAGGCTGCCAGAGCTATTCGCGCTCTCATCAGTGGTACCACGTATGTTACCTTCTATTCCACTGCAGTATTTCTATGCCACCGAACTTTCTAACACCATTCATTTTCTTCCTTCAGATACGTCATTGTCGTAGAGCACGATTTGTCAGTCTTGGATTACTTGTCTGATTTCATTTGCGTTCTTTACGGTATGCCTTCCGTTTATGGTGTCGTCACCCTTCCTTTCTCTGTCCGTGAAGGTATCAATATTTTCTTGGACGGAAAAGTTCCCACCGAAAACTTGCGTTTCCGTGAAGAATCTTTGACTTTCAAGATTGCTGAACAAGCTGAAGAAGTTTCAATGGACAAGAACCGCCAATACAAGTATCCTACCATGGCCAAGCAGTTGGGAGACTTCAAGCTTACTGTCCACGGAGGTCAGTTCACTGACGCTGAAATCATCGTCATGTTGGGTCAAAACGGTACTGGCAAGACCACCTTCATTCGATTGCTCGCTGGTTTGATGAAGGCCGATGGTGACCAACAAGTACCCGAATTGAACGTTTCATACAAGCCCCAGAAGATTGCACCCAAGTTCCAAGGTACTGTCCGCATGTTGTTCATTAAGAAGATCAAGGCTGCTTTCTTGAACCCACAGTTCCAAACTGATGTTGTCAAGCCCCTCAACATCGAAAGCATCATTGATCAAGAAGTTACTCACTTGTCTGGTGGTGAATTGCAACGTGTTGCCATTGTCCTCTGTCTCGGTCAACCTGCCGATATCTACCTTATCGATGAACCTTCAGCATACTTGGATTCCGAACAACGTATTATTGCCGCCAAGGTCATCAAGCGTTACATCATTCACTTTAAGCGAACGGCTTTCATTGTCGAGCACGATTTCATCATGGCTACTTACCTTGCTGACCGTGTCGTTGTGTACGAGGGTATTCCTTCCGTTGATGCTGTTGCCAACTCTCCTCAATCACTTCTTACCGGTATGAACAAGTTCTTGGCATCACTGGAAATCACTTTCCGTCGTGATCCTACCAACTTCAGACCTAGAATCAACAAGATGGATTCTCAGTTGGATCAAGAACAGAAGCTCAGCGGAAACTATTTCTTCCTTGAGCATTAGACAACTCATCCCCCACTACTTCCTATTTTTCTTTTTTCCTTTTTTTAAAAAATTAAACGTTCTTGCTAATTAGATGTTCTCTAAAACGTTTCTTCCTTTGATTTTTGCAAATCCATTTTTTTCACCACACACCATTTTATTTCTTTACCCATTTTGTATTTGATATGAATATCGTACTACACTTGGTGCATTGACCGACTGCAATATTAGCTTGCTCACACCCACCCACCACTTTTTTGTTTTTTTTATATAACGAATGAAAGAAAAAAAAGCAAAGTTTTAAAGAAATGAAAAGAAAAAGCAAGCGAGCCTCGCAATAAAAGAGCTATAACATAAAGTCCTTTGAGGTCAATGGCGATGGGAAGTCTAGCATGCAGTACAGTCTCTCAATCGGCTGCCTTGGTGTCACTTTGCTTGACGATGGTAACTGGACAAGGGGAGTGGCGAATACAGTACTCACATGTCGATCCAAGGAGTGACTTGATCATACCAGAAACACTGGATCGACTCGATGAGCCAATCACTAGCATATCGGCGGGCATATCGTACAAGAATTGTGTAATGATCTGTCCTACTGGCTCATGGCGCTGTATGGTTACAAACTCGTAATTTCCATGCTAAGATAGTTAGAGCAAACATGAGTGTGTGCCTACATTCATTGTTTCGAAGGGTAGAATACCACGAAAAATCAAACTACCTTTTTACTGAATTCGTTCAGCCAACCCTTGATGTTTTCTACTTCTCCTTTGGAGTCTTCTACAATATCCATATTATTTCGCCGGTCCAAACTGTCTCTAGTTTGACTTGAACTCAGTGATCTGCTTGGAGGTGTATTTCATGCCGCGACCTTTACCAAAAAAATTACTCACAAAAACTGGATAGGTTTAGATTGCTCTGGATTCAAACCAATGGCATAAATGATCTTAACCTGCGGAGGGTCCTTCAACATATCAGCCATAGCCATGCCGTGAGACATTGCTTTCCGTGAGGCTGACGAATTGTCAACGGCAATGACCATTCTCATGGGGGTCTTTCTATTGACAGGCGACGGAGTTGTTAGTGACATAGCATCCATGAGGTCTGACCACCAGCAGTTAATATTACTTGAACATTTTTCAATCGATGTAATGATGTAAGGTTTGTGCTTTATAAGAAAAAAAGAACGACTTGCCCATATGAAATTCAGGTTTTATATATCTTTTGCTAAGGTAGATGTCATGATGATGACCGTTCCTGTTTGATAATACTTGTTATTGTTACCGTCTTTGTACATTACTTTTACCTTCTCTCCAAGTTATTTTCAGGCATGGCATGGATAAATAGCAAAAAGACAAGAAAATTGGGTGGTCATTTTGTCGCTGTGATCAGCCATGATTCAGAATCATCATTTTTCACATGCCATTCATTCCCGTCCACATTAATGGATTCGCTCAGTTTCTCCTCACTCTCTTTCATTTCTTCTTCACCTTTCCCTTCCCTCCTTTCAACATGAGCAAAGCTGGAGATGCAAAACCAAAAACCCTCTTGACACATTTGATTGCTGGTGGTTCAGCTGGTCTGGTCGAAGCGTGTACTTGCCACCCACTGGACACCATCAAAGTCAGAATGCAACTGTCTAAGAGTGGATCAAGAACCAAAGGGGTAATGGTTCATGACCTATCTATTCAATGTACATTTATGTTTGGCCTAACATGAACTCGCTATGGCTTGCAACAGGGTAAACGTTTGGGCTTCTTTGGAGTGGGTGCCAGAATTGTAAAGAATGAGTCGGTATGGGCGTTGTACAAAGGATTGGGAGCTGTGGTATCTGGCATTGTCCCAAAAATGGCCATTCGCTTCAGTTCCTTTGAATTTTACAAATCAGTGCTTGCTGACAAGGAAACGCAAAAGGTCACGACCAAAGCTACATTCCTTGGTAAGTCCTCTTGATCGTCAAATTTTCGCTTCCGACCACCATCACGCCATTTATTAACAGTAACACCTTTTCTGCAGCTGGCTTAGGCGCAGGAGTCACTGAAGCCGTCATGGTGGTCACTCCTATGGATGTCGTTAAGATTCGACTTCAAGTAAGTAGACCCCCCCCCCATACAGTTCCACTTCTCTTTTACCCCATGTCTCACTTAAACTTGCATTCCGCTCCGCTTTAAAAATAGGCACAACGACACTCCATGGCAGACCCTTTGGATATTCCCAAATATCGCAACGCCGGTCACGCAGCTTACACAATTATCAAGGAAGAGGGTGTGAGCGCGCTGTATAAAGGAGTCAGCTTGACTGCACTTCGGCAAGGTATAGGGCAATTTATTGATTTTCTCACGGGTGACAAGATGGTTTGACTCAACACATGTCATGTTTCCAGCCACCAATCAGGCCGTTAACTTCACCGCGTATCAAGAAATGAAGAAGGCTGCTGCTGTATACCAAAAGCTAGATGAACTACCATCTTATCAGCATTTGGTTCTAGGAGGTGTTTCTGGAGCGATGGGTCCCCTGTCTAATGCACCCATAGACACCATTAAAACTCGTATTCAAAAGTCCAACGAGCCAGGTTCTGGTTGGCATAGGTTCAAGACCGTCACCACCGAGATATATACCAAGGAAGGTTACATGGCTTTTTACAAGGGTCTAACCCCTCGACTTCTGCGAGTGGCTCCAGGACAAGCCGTCACGTTCATGGTATATGAAAAGGTCCGCAGTTGGTTAGATCGGTTCAATGAAAAGATTGAAAACGGGGATGGACCAGTGCAAGCTGTTATGAAGATTGTAGAAGATGAGAATTAAACTTTGATATGAATGTATTTAACCTGCGTGCGAGCGCGAATGTATAAGTATAGGATGTGTAATTTGGAAGTAGCTAGCCGCACACAGGGTCTCAAATAAAGAACCGCGAAGCAAAACGTTCGTTTGTTGGCTTAAATAACGTCACTTCATGGTTCCTAGGACGAAACGAATTTATTGAAAATCGTAATAACTATTCTGCTATATTTGGGCTCTCGGCCAAAAGAAGCTCTTTGAAGGGCAGGGCCAGCCACCCTACTAAACTCTATTCTACTTGACAAAGCAAAACACGAGCATCCACCATCTGACCTTCTTCAACCTTGACAGTGACCACACCATCATGTCGACTGATCAGCTTTACCTCCGTCTTCATCGACTCAACCGTTAAGATAGGATCGTTCTTCTTCACCTTGGTACCGGTTGGGGCAAGAATCTTTAGAATACGACAAGGCATAGGTGATGTGTACGCGGATACTAAGATTGGAGACACAAATTCATTAGTTTACATACTAGGAATCAAGTCCTTCTAGGTGCTCAACTTACAATTATCTGCTTCATCCTCTTGACTTGTACTCTTGAGTCTGTCTTGCTTGACAACCCTGACTTGACTACCATAGCTGGCAGTGTGCACATACATGATTCGATCGTTGATCCCAGACGGAGAGTCAGCAACATAGTACTGTTCTCTCAATCCATCTAAAAACAATAGTGGTTATTTTATCATCCCCATTTCAGTGGTCATTATTTTGAAACATTCAGTTACCAATGGTGCAAACAAGCAGACCGGTAACAAGATGTTGACCAGGGAGTTGCATTTGAGCTTGGTTCAACTTGAGTTCGTTCAAAACAGCCTTTCTATTTGTTTCTTGCTTCTTTTCACCCTTAGTAAATCCAAACACAAATTGGGGCTCACTCGCTCCATGGTGATGATGCTCATACTCAAGTTCCAGCACGTCACAGTCTTCAACTATGAGTTTTTGAATGTTCTTCTTGACGCTGTTGTTTTTCCATCCAGAAGATATGTTACGCAGCGCTTGTCGTTGGGCGTTTCGCATAGCCCAGTCAAACATAAATCCTACAATAGCGAGTCGGCTCTCTTCAACATCTGACAGTGCTGGCTTGAGATTGTCAATTTCAGCTCCAATAAACCCAGTATCGTACACGCCGGATTGGAAGCGAGGATTTCGCATCACGTTCAGAAGGAACTTCTGGTTGGTTACAATACCCAAAATAACAGTCTGGGAAAGCACAAGTGCCATAGTGGTGATGGCCTGCTTTCGAGTAGGAGCATGGACAATCAGCTTGGCGATCATAGAGTCATAGTAGATGGAAATCTCAGAACCTAGACATTCTCTGTCAGAATCAACCTTAACCACAGTACAGACATTTGCTTCGTTTCCTTACCATCTTCAATACCAGTATCGTATCTGACACCAGCAAGTTGTCTCGTAAAATCAATTTGTCTCCACTTGAGGATCTTTCCAGTGACAGGAGAGAAGTCGTTGCCGGGATCTTCAGCGCATATTCTGCACTCGATAGCGTGGCCCTGGAATGAAAGTTGGTTGATGGAAGGAACCTTGCGCAGGTTCTCACCTTGAGCCACCAAGATTTGAAGTTCGACAAGATCCAATCCAGAAATGGCTTCTGTGATAGCATGCTCTACTTGCAAACGGGTATTGACTTCCAAAAAGTAGAACTTTTGAGTTTTTGCATCCTAGAAGTACATTTTAGAATATGACCACCTTCAGGCAGATTTCATTTCCCTTCTTCTTCTTACCAAGATAAATTCTACGGTACCGGCTCCAACATATCCTAGCTTTCTTCCGATTTCTAAAGCGGCTGCTGTCATAGAATATCTGAGTTCCTCTGACATTTCTGGGCAGGGAGTTTCCTAAGGCATTGAAAGTCAATATCTATGTTGGTGCTTTACGGCCATGATATCACTCTCTCCCTACCTCAACGATTTTTTGATGCCGTCGCTGTATAGAGCAATCACGCTCATTAATATGGTATATGTTGCCGTACTGATCACCAAAAATCTGAACCTAAAAAATATGGATAGGATGTACTCAGCATATGGTCGGGGCCCCAAATCTCCATGTGAATGTCGACATATACCTCAACGTGTCTGACGCTTGTAAAGTACTTTTCGATCAGAAGTTGCTCAGAGCCAAACGCACGAAGGGATTCACCTTTAGCAGCCTCAATCTCGCTCTTCAAACTACATCGAGTCAATCGACATGAATGGACGTTCAAGCACAACAAAATGGATGCAACCTACTTGTCAGCATTGTAAACAGTTCTCATGCCTTTGCCACCACCTCCAGCAGAAGCCTTCAATAGCACAGGGAATTCTAAACACCAACTGGATGAGTCTACACCCTTATCTCCTTCGTCGTATCTCATCATTTTGCATTCATACCTATGCCCAATGCAGCTTTCGTCAAAGTGTCCAACGATTGGTCGTCACCGTTGTATCCAGGAATGACAGGCACCTTTGGAGCATGCTCTGTCAGAAATCTCTTTGCGCTGATCTATTGTGTAGGTTGTCAGACAATGATTGTTGACATCGATTTGTGCGGCCTTTGAACTCATCAAGCTCTAATTTATGTACCTTGTCTCCAAGAATACGAATGGATTCAGGTGTTGGACCGATAAAGATGATGCCAGCTTTAGCAACCTGCTCAGCGAATTCTGCATTTTCAGACAAAAAGCCGTATCCAGGATGAATAGCGTTCGCTCCAGTCAACTTGGCAATCTCGATGATCTTGTCTCCTCTTAAATAAGACTCGGAAGCAAGAGAACCACCTAAATGGCAAGCCTGGTCTGCCATTTTGACGAAACGGGCATTGGCATCGCTAATGAAAAGGGGTTTCGAATGAGCTGACTGTTTTGTGAGTGTCCGACAACGTAGCTGACTGTGGTTTTTACCTGTCCGAAAAGACGGCGACAGTTGAAATGCCCATACGGTGGCATGTGGTGATAACACGGCAAGCGATCTCGCCGCGGTTAGCAATCAATACCTTTGTTATAGCAGTCATTGCGGAGGAGAGTAGACGAGAGGCATACAGGGCACAAGGTTCATAAACTTATATACTATTCTGGGCCTGGGAAACACGCGTGAGCTGAATCAATGGCAGGCTTCTCTCTTACCCCGCAACTGTTCGTGATAGCAGACAACGCTTTATTTTCATCATATAAATGTTTGGGGTCTTGATTAACTGCTCCAGTCGCTGTAGTATGCAAAGACATTAACATCGATTGCAGAGGAATAATATGTGACATTATTGTGCGTACTTCCAATCACTTTGCCGACTTTATTGGGATGTCGCTTGAGCAAACTACTTGTACCATCTCAGACTCAAAGCTCACGTTGAGCCAAACTCCTCGCATTGGCTTTTGATTGTCCGACATCTACCCCAGGCTCTCGCATTGTGTTATCGATGTCCTTTCAATATGACTAAAATGATGTACGAGGTCTGAACTAAAGGTTCACATCATTAAGAATTATCATCAAGTTATTCCTTTTGTTTCTGAATAAATATGCTGCTGATTTAGCACGAATTGATTTATCTGACTTCTTCCAACATGTCCTAATATCACAGCAACAAGCACACTTATGACTACACAGGTAGCAAATTTCAGATGTATACCGATGGATCGAAGAATGCCAATAGATTAATTTCTAGCTCTGGAAATTGAAATTACCAAAAAGTTAAAGGGGTTGGATCAAAGTGTAATGTTAAGTATCACCGGAGGGCAAGAAGTTGGACCAGTCTAAAGTATCCTCAGAACATCTCAGAGTAAGCCTAGCCAGATCTACATCTACCATGCAATAGTATCCGGGAAATACTCTGCAATAAGTTCTTGATAGAAAGGCTTTAGATCCTCTACATTAGGCTCCTCGTCAGCCTTGGAGTATAAGTCATATTGATTAAATGTCTTGACCCATTTCATATTCTCAACGTCTTCGTTGTTCATCAACCAATCGTACGCTCCGTTGGTATGGCAGGAATAAAACGAATGATAACGGATAATAAACAGAGCTTGGGTGGGAAGATATGGCTTGCACACATGATATAAATATTCGTCGTGACCGAAGCTCATATGGACATTATCCAGTCCACAGTTAGGTGAATAGATGCCATACTTGGTTGTCAACTTGGAATTATGAATGTCAGGATTGCCGGCAAAGTAGTTCGGATATACAATCTCGTCCGAATATTGGCATCCGACAGGGAACGTATCACCCACGACCTAAAAGTGTGTTGAGTTGGGAGGACCTTACGCTGGAGCACATTGAATTTCATTCGACTTACCGTCCATTGTGGCTCTCCAAGGAAGAATAAATATTTGCCAAGATCGTGGATGAGACAAGTAAGAACCATCCATCGAGGCTGTCCATCTCTTCTTGCAGCTTCTGCTGACTGCAGCAAATGGGCAATTTGACTTAGAGAAGTATCTGGATCAGACTCATCGACTAGTTCATTAAGCTTCTCCATCGCTTCCCATATACCCATGCGAGTCTTGTCAAGCTTTGTGTAGTCTGCTTTCTTCTCAAGTACATGTTGCAAAGTTTGCTTTCTAGAAGAGGATGCATCAATATAGGGTGAGCTTGGTCAGTCGTATGGCGTCCTCAAGACACGTACTCATGATTCTCCTTGTAGAATTTGGCTACAGTCGGCTGCTGTTCCATGGCGACTTCATAGTCTCGGAAAGCCGTGGTCTGCTTTGAAGACTTGTTTGCGCCGTATTTTGTCTTTAGGAACTCTTCCCATGCTTCGCTGACTTTCGCCGCTTCTGACAGATTGTTGACAATTCTCATGATGGATGTATCAAGAGTTGAGAGGCAAATAGCCAACAGCGAGTGCAGCCCTGCCCTATTTATATGCGCGACAGTCTCACGGTAACGTGAGCTGTCGTTTCGTATTGCTTCTTTTGTTAGTCTAAAAGGGACCGGAAAGCTAAAGTCGGTATTGCATCCCTCCGCAGGTTGGTGTAGCTGTTCATATCCTCAAAGACATTGACGTTTGGCTTATTACAATATTCCTCACCCTTCACTTTACCTATGTGTATCCGACACAAAGATGTGTCATCTGCGCCCTCTAAACTATAGTGTGCTCTAGAACTGCTAAACTCAAGGTGCATCAAAGTTTGGTCTGTTCCGAACAACCCGTCCATAACTTTAACGAGTGTTGATCTGGAAAATCCGATACCTGAAGTAGCAAATATACTACATTCGTACAACGCCTATTCCAAACATGCCATGCATCTACGCTTCGATCCGACCAGCATCATTTTTTATAAAAAATCGAGTATTAAGCAACCAAAAATACAATTTACAATGTAGTGTGAAATAGATATTCAAACGCCCTTTGGTCGCACGGGCTTGCCATCGTTCACGCGAGGTTGCTCTCCGAGGACAACTGCGTAAGAAAAAGACAAGGGTTAATTATCATATTGCATTCCCCGTTTGCTTCACAGGTCGACGGGTCATCCAAGCCTCGGATATTTCATCCCGCAACTGTGTTATTAACCATGTATAGGTAGATTCTTACGTCGCTTATAAAGAATGTAGCTAGTCGTGACAATGAAGGGCACAGTGACAATTATAGTTCGCAATCTGTAAAACGTGGCATCAGCTATCTCGACTTCAGTACATGGCTGCAGTAATGCTAGTCAAGTACCTCTTGGCTCCAGGTGACAGCTTTTGTGCCATATTAGTGGTATGTTCAAGAGAAAAATTAAAACAAGCAATTGCACAGCTAACAACAGCTGTGACTTGTCTTTCAGGCACAGCATTGGAAAATTGAATGCATTTCTTTCTTTCAAACAAAGACCACAATGGGTTTTATTAAACAAGACTGTTCCCAAGGAACAATCGGTGGAAAGCAAATAAACTCAAAAAAACTTGTATCAACTCTATCTATCGGGTGCTAAACTTCACCCATACTGAGCTTCAGGACATATTGCAGCTCTTCGTCATCTTCATCCTCGACGTATCTACTGGCAGCAGGACGGGACGGAGCCTGCTCTAGGATGCGGCCTGGGTTAGAATCACTCCAACTGCTGGGTATACTATTCTTTGCGCTTCCAATAGATGGCCACTCAGTGGGGTCATCCAAGGCCTGATAAAGCTCTCTATCATCCGTGACGCTGGTTGATTCTGAAAACAACGACAGAGAGTCGTTGGAAGGTGTAGCGTCACCTTCATCGTTTGAAACCCGGTCACTACTTTGCTCATGCTTGGCAGATTCTAAGCTTGCAATCACTGCCTGCATGAGCTCCTCATCTTCTTCAGTGCCTTTGTCGTGGTCATCCTTGATCTGAACAACAGGTGTAGCCTGCACGCTGGCTTCCTCGGAGAGCATGATGGCGTACTCCAGTGCTTCTGTATCGGAAAGACCAAGTGTCAGTTTCTGAATGGTACGAGTTTCTTCTTCCATGGCTTTTCGTTCATCGGCTATTCTCGACTTGGATTCATTCATCGCTTCATGAATTTCGGCTTGCAGCTGTCCTCTGGAAGAATACAAGTTGCCGGCGTTATTGGACTTTTTGGGTCGAAGCTTCCGTCTGCTCAGTAGCTGCTTGTCAGGTGAAAAGTCCCAAGATTTAATTTGGTTGCCAATGATGGCGACACCAACATAATCCGTACAGATAATCTTCCTGACGGAAAACAAATCCATGTCCGTACGATCTACCGGGGCATTACGCGGTATTTTGTTATGTAAAATCTTGATATTGACACCGCTTATTGGATCCCAAATCTTAATCCAGCCGTCAGTACTACAAAACAGAAAAGCAGTAAGCAAAAGTACTTGTCATAAGACTGACACCCGCATGAACTTACCTTCCAGTAACCACTTTGCAAGCATCAAGGTAGATAGCACTAATGGCAGTATGATGGCCATGAATGGTGGTAAGAGGCATAGTAGCTTTGGTAGACACCGAATCCATGTCGAACAAGCATACATTTCCATTTTCATCGCCACTGGCAAGGATTCTGATTGTTACGCTGGGGAACAATTCATTGCTGGTAACGACTGGGAAATTGGATGCAGCTATGATGTCTTGTTGATGTCTAGATTGCCTGACATTTGCTTTAGGAGGCGTGGGTTCCTCTTCATTAGCGGATGTCGCCTCTTTATCCCATTGTATGCACGTAATTTTGGCGGTACTATTAGGATTCTCGAACACAGCTTGACGTTGACCATCGGAAGCGCTGTATTTGTAGATTCGTGAACAGTTGGAATACTGAACAATGAGAAACTCATGCTCATCATCATAAAGAATTTCCATGATGGGCATATCCTCGCCTGGCGGGGTTACTCCAAAATCTGGAAGTTGAGAATACACCGGTGCGGCATCTTGACCACCTTCGTACACGTGCCTGTGACCATTGGCATTTCTTGCAGCCGTCAGTACAGCAACCACATCAACATTCCACACGAGCGTGCTACCATCGGTACAGCCTGCAATGATTCTTTTACGGGAATCCACACATATTTTGGTAACAGCAGACCTGGCTCCTGTTGCACAAATATTTCGTCAGTATGCCATCTTTTATTAACGTGTGAGTATCGTCGAACTTACCCAGTAAATTGCCGACACAGCGTCCCGATGCAATATCCCAAATCTTGACAATTCCATCTTGACCACCACTTAACACAACATTGTGTAGCGTAGATGATGTAGTAACTGCCGTCACTGGGCCCTCGTGAAAATCGGTAAACCTTTTCAACTGTCGGCCGCTTGTTGATATAGTTCTGGTTGTAATGGTGAGGTATCCATCGAAATGGCCCCATATGATCTGATGGCCATCCATCTTCATGGACGATACAGGAGATGGTTCGGCATCTTCATGACCGAAGATGGCAATTCGATCTGTCTTTCCGGTGGATGGGTCGGATTTGGTCGCCATAGCTAGTAATTTAGGTAGATATGAATATACAAACTTTGACAATGCAGAGATCGCCTGTGCATACCTCTGCCCAAAGTTCCCGAAAGCATCCAAGAATTCTGAAAATTGACAAAGATATTGTCCAATGGGCCAATCTTCGGGTCGAAAACCAACACAGTGCCTCTGCCCTTCTCCCATTTCCTACGCCAAGACATCAATGATCCGTTCTTTGAACAATGACAGACGCCGAAGATAATAATTACCTGTGTAAATGAGTTCTCAAGACATATTCTGACTTCCATGAATCAGATGCTAGTCTTTTGAAGGGAGGAGCTCCGAAATAAGCTATAAACCCTTGACGCCCTGTGCAATTTTTAATATACATTTGGAATGAGTATACATCCGCCTTTCATGTCAACAGCTGAGCAAAAACCTACAGCATGTATCGTCCTTGACGATATGTCTCCAAAATTTACAGACTTGGGCCGCAAATATAAGAGAACTAGGGTCTAGTCGAGCAAAGATATGGATGAGGACCTCCATCGGCACATTATTAATCATGCACTTGGGTCTAAGGCGTAGGGATTATGGTGAGCAAAGGCAATGATTTGATTATGATATCTCTCCAATATTAAATTACATACCTTTCATTTTCCAAAGTGTTGCTGCTAGAGCCCGCTTGTGCAATAGCAGGCTCATTGTGCTGCGGTTCATATTTATCGATGCCATTCTGAAACTTTTTGGATTTTGCGTACTTTTGTTGCTTCTTTTGTTTTCTGATGTCAATGAATTGTTGTTGGTTGTATGTATCGTCAGAGTCAGAATGCATGAAATAGCTGATGAAGCAAAAAAGCGTTTGCAAATGGGGTTGACCAAAAAGTCAAAAAGAGATCTCGACTTTATAATTTGAGACCAGACAGGGAAATGTACGAACTGCATTACGGCGTGCACGTGATTTAAATGGGTGGACATCGGATAGCTGCAAGCTATTGTACTTACAAAACTTAGAACCAATATAGAGAAGCGTAAATATTACAATTTAAAACGGTTGACTCTAAAAGCAAGTAAGATGTCTATGGAAGTTATAAAAACAATGCAATAGCGTTGTAGCAAAAAGAAGGAATGCTCAAAAATTGCAGTAAAGCTGTTCTTCCACCCAGTAGCAGTCTACGTCAACGACAGCATTGATTGCAGACAACACGCATTGTATATCATACTTTTATCCATGATGATAATTAACATACATAGCTAGCAATGGCTTGAATAGCCATCACATCATCACATTGCTCCACGTGACCGCCAAGTCGCTTGGGTGCCTATTCCTCGATTCTTTGGAGGTCCACGGGTTCAGTACTATTCTCTTGGCTCCATGAACAGAATCTTTGGTACATCAAAAAAGGTTCCAAAAGCAACGCTTACAGACGCAATAGCATCGGTAAGTTGAATGCAACGAGAGCAACGTGTAGGATTATCGACCTTACTGATTTTTCATCGCACGCTTTGATAGACCGACGTGCGATCGGATGCCATTGAAGTCAAGATCCGAAAGCTTGATGCTGAACTTACGAGATATCGCGACCAAATGAAAAAAATGAGGGAGGGTCCGGCAAAGGTATGTGCTTTTTTCCATCTTCTTTGAAAAGCACGTCGTGAATAACCCAGTATATGATACACAGAAATCTGTTCAACAAAAAGCGCTGCGAGTTCTCAAACAACGAAAACTGTATGTATGATCTTTACATATCCTTGTGCACATCCAAGTCATGCTGATCTTTTTTTATATACGTTGATAGATATGAGAGTCAAAGGGACAACCTTCAACAGCAGTCGTTTAATATGGAACAAGCGCAAATGACGAATGATAACTTGCGAAATGTTATGACGACTGTCGATGCCATGCAGTCAGCCAACAAGGAAATGAAGAAACAGTATAAGAATGTCAATCTGGACAAACTAGACGTACGTTGCTACTTTCATGCTGCCCTAAAGTGATGACTCTCAGCGCCCCTATTAACAATGCGTCTTTACACAGCGTCTGCAAGATGAGATGGAAGACTTGATGGAACAAGCTAATGAAGTACAGGAATCCCTTGGACGATCATATAATCTCCCAGATGATGTGGATGAGGCTGACCTAGAAGCAGGTATGTAGCATAATGGCGAATAGTGTTGGCCATGTAGTTCACCAAACTTACATGACTATTGCTTCAGAACTGGATGCTCTGGGTGATGACCTCAATTTTGAGGAAGAGGACGTCCCATCCTACTTACAAGATAATGTCGAAGTACCCACTGGATTGAACTCAGAGAACGCAGATGTAAGAAATCAAATTATGCATGATAGCAATTAGATACACTCTACTGTGGCACTTTATTAATCTGTTCCACTTGTCACAGGGAAATGTACAAGTAGATGAATTTGGGCTTCCAATAGCGGCGGAAGCGCCCATGAAAGCATGATGTACATAGCTTTTTGTTTTTTTTCTTAAAAATCAGAAACCAGTGGAGGTTGATATGGATGGTTTTTTTTCCTTATTATTTTCTCTCTTCGTTTCGTACCAAATAATATCCAATGCTACTCTCCGGTAGTATTAAGCGCTTAATGATGTACGTAAAACCGATATGCCTGCTAGTAATAGCTGTTTTTCTTCACTTCTTCTTGGATTTGCCTGTGGATGACGCACATGTAGTCGACATATGTCTGCACTTCGGCGTTTCGATCTTCTGCCATGTTGGTGGCAAACTCGAATTCTGTTCGATCGATTTCTTGCCTTACAATTCGAAGGCGGAGGTATCTAGGATGAGATGCCCTGATTTCCGTGATGAAAATTTGTAAGCGTTTTGAGAGCGGGTTATCCAAGGACGGTATATTTGTCTGTACACGGAAGGAAAGCGTTAACGAACGGAAGGTTGAATCTGAAGTCACTCTTGTTCAATGTACTTACCATATTTATGTCAATTGCATTCTTGTCTGCAACACCGAATATTTGCTGCAAAAACGAGGAATCAATCCTGCTTCCAAGCCAGAAGTATAGCTCGCATCCGTTATCTGCAGATAGGATTACTAGTGAGATTTTCTTCGTGATGGAAGGGTATTATGATCGAAACAGCAACTTACCCAATAGATATGCTCCTTTACTATCTAATCTTTCGTATGAATCCCTAACGGTTTTTGGATTTGCTCCATTCAAAAACTAAAGACATTGGTTAGTGCATCGAGTAACAGACTATGCTTTCTTAAAAAAGTGCTTACGTCTTCTGCGGCATCATGAATGGAAAACAGTCGCGGATATAAATGTATGCTCAGCGATCGGGGGCTCATACCGCTGATGAGTTTCATGTCAACCACTCTAGTATCCGCAGTAATGTCGTTACCCACTAGTTCCCCAAAATTGATCAGTATTTGTACAATATGGTAGAAATAACTTTCTAAGTACGTACCTCCACGGAGAGCTTTAGATCTCAATAAGGCCGCCACATACACAGGAAGTAGTTTGTACGCTTCTGGGAGAATGAGTTGGCCAGGAGAGGTGGATGAAGCGCAGTTTGCGCGATAGGCAGACAAAATCTTGACGCACAATTCAGACAGCTTCTCTCTAATCTCTTTTCTTTGGATATGGAGTGCGTCATACATAGCTATAAACGAGGGTCACGCACAGAATGGCATTAGAGAATACTAGCTTACGCAAGGCGATATAATCGTAATGAAAACATACCTTTTTTGGCCAAGAAAGAGACTGTAGCCTCATGGTCACCTTGCCTGAAGACATCCGCAATATGCTCCGTAACCGGAATGTTGAGATTGTGTACGCGTACCCGCCTATGTCCATCCTTCGTAGTATACAGCAGGGCTGCTTGGAATGAAACTCCTCTATCATCCTCAAGTTTGCCATCGTGCTTCATAGAAATTGCAATCGCCTTATCTTCATCGATACCAGCCAACTCAACATCCGTGTAATTGGACATATAGAAACTACCATAATGTTCAAGGACTTGAAGACCTACACACCATAGTATTAGATGATGATAACTACGTTGTAAGAGTTTATAAATGATATAAAAATTGTGTACTTACCATTAGTACATCGAATACGCATAACAGCGTCAAATCCACATTGTCGGTTGAGAACATGGGAGATATCGTAAAGTATTCTGTCAAAGTCGCCTGGGCCAAAGTTCTGGTAGTAGAATGTTTCACCACCCGTGGTCGACGATAACGCACCTAACGTGGCGACATCCATGTACGATGATGGGAACAAGTAATTGTTGACGCAAACTGCGTTTTTGACACAGTCTTTAGCTAGGTTGTTGTAAACTTCGCCTTGGGGTACATACAGCTGCTTTTCTTTATCTGTATTACGCAGCGCAGCGTCATCGCGAGACTTCAAGGCACCTGGCCCACTGGTTGGCAAGGTTGATTGGAATAAATGCAAGTAACCACCAGACACAGACTACGATCAAAAAGAAAGGGAAACCCCTATGTTAATATTCCATGTAGGTGTCAACTTGTCATTCAGTATCTGAAATGCCCACTTACCAAAGCTTCCATGCCACCTTGAACAGCCGACGAGTACATGGAATCACCACGCTGATTTTGAGCAAACATAGACGGTATGCTCTGGAGAAGCTCAGAAATGATGTCCCTAAAGCGACAGATGAATTATTACTACATGAACATAATAGCAAACAAAGAGATCAAGTCTGGATATTACTTTGAGTCCCAAGGATTCACAAGCATGCCGTCTTGCATAGGCACAAACATGTCTGTGAGGTCTCCTACAACAAGCATCTTGGCTTGCTCGCAATCAGGCTATAAGCAGTAACAAAGATAAATAAACCAAGTAGGCACTAACATAAGATGTAAAGTCATGAACATGGTTACTTACATGAAGATTATAGAAATGAACGCCGTAGTCATAAGTCATGATACCGACTCGAGCATTCTTTGGAAGCAACGAGGAACTTGGATCAAGATCGAACAATGACTTTCGTAAAATTTCACAAACTGTTGCCGTCATACCGCTTCGAATTGCATTGGCTGATACGTCGATAGCGAATAAATGGCTGATGGAAGCTGGTGTTCTTGCCGAGTAATATAGGTCAGGCACTTCGAAATCCACAGAACCAAATCGTAATTCTGGTCGCTGATCGAAATCCATGCGTCGGCCAGACACATCCAGATTTGAAAAATACGATGCAGGCACTGTGTTCAGCAATATAACAAACCCATCATCAATACGGTTTCAATTAATGAAAAGGGACTATTCAGTCGATCCTTACCTTCGCTACTATGACCACAAATGTTGCAAACAAATCGGTTACCACCTTGGGTGAAGCTACACCACGGGTTGATATAGGCTTTACATCTTGTGCATCGGACAGGGCCTTCCGGTCCATGATCCACTATTTGAATTGGCTCTTCCTCACGAGCGAGAGCTGCAAGTGGCTGAACAACAAGTCCGACTGGCACGGCTGACACATCGGCTAGCTCCTTATTCCGAGGCATGCTATTCGTGATAGATCGCATAAAACGAGGATTGCAGTTTCCTTGATCCATAGCGAGAAAGTCGGTGGTGGACAATGGGATGTGTTCTCGATCACAGGTGCCAATGAACTTTCCTCCGTGCAGTTTTTGATCATATTCTCGTACTTGGACTGGTGCAGGCATTTGATCTGGATCGACCCTAGGTCTCGGTTGCTGCGGGGGAACCATGTTGGGGTTTATTTGCTGTTGCTGTGGTGCAGTCTGCGGCATTGGGCGAATAGGTGATTGTTGCGGTTGCTGTGGTAAACCATGCGGCCAAGGGGCTGGTTGTGCTTGCGGCGGAGACAATGGACTTTTCTGGGACACAGAAGTCACTTCAGGTGCTGCAGCATAAGCCCTCTTTCCACGATGATGATGAGCTGATTGTGCTTGCGAAGGCTGCATCTGCAAAGTTAAGTTTGGAAGGTTAGATCATCCATATGATGTATTATATCAAAAGGATTCTAACTTACTTGAACAGGTCCTGGATTCGACTGTAAGTTCATATTTTGCATTCCTGCTGTAATTGTTGCTGGATTCTGCATTTGATTTGTCACTGGTGCTGGTTGCTGATGCGGCTGCTGATGTTGCTGATGCGGCTGTTGGTATTGCTGTTGTTGCGCAATAGGTGCTTGACCCTGTGGTCTAAAGGAGCCAGGTTGTTGTTGTGGAACAGCGTTTACTGGCCTTGGCCTTTGAACACCAGAAAAATTGGCAACAGGGCGAATAGGGGCTCCTCTACCTATTAACAGTAACAGCTGTTAGAATTTACAAATGTTAGAAGTGGTACTTGATTTTGGCCCAGCAATGTACCTGGGAATGGTGGGCGCTGGTGAGCAGCAGGACTACCGTTTGGAGGAGAAGACAAAGGTATATTGCCAGGCCGAGGAGCAGGCCTGTTTTGGCTCACGTTGCTAGGAGGCTGGGTATATCCTGCGTTCATAACGTTGAGGTGTAATACCAAAAACCAGACGACAGCGCAATGAAAGGTCTTTGTCGCGTATGGCACTCCATTGAATGACTTGTCAGCCCATGGTTGGTAAAGCCAGTCTTGTCACGTGAGCGACACATTGTACAGCAACCGCACCTTTTTGAGCATCTCCCATCAAGCAGCTCTGCCAGCTCTGCTTTCACTTCTTGAAGCAACGCTGCTTTATTCCATTGTTCATTGTAAGTTTTTAACCATTGGCTCATATTTATGCTATAAGCTCATTTTTCTCATACAGTAGATTGAACTTACATTATCACCCATGTACTTTATGTATCGACGAACCTCCATGATTTCTTTACAATTGATGAGTTCTTACGTTATAAGCATCATGTTATCTACCTCTTCGTTGTTCACCAGCGAAGTCCTTCCATCTGTTCCCTTCACTTCCACTTTCAGCTTGTCTCACCGCATGGAGCGGAGTTTCAAACGCTGGTTCATCAGTCCACCGGTTTGCAGGAACAAAGCCTGTCAGAATCACAATCATGGCACCAACTCCACCACGCCCAAAGCTAGCAGGGTTTAGTTGGACGCATTACATAACAGAAGACAACGTCATACTTGGCCGATCACCAACGGACAGTGACAATAAGCCAAAAGATGCTCGCCACATCAGCTTTGGAACGTCAAAAGCTATATCGCGCAAACACGCAGAGATCAAGCATAATCCACACAGCAATCGATGGGAACTGCTTGTATATGGAAGAAATGGCGTAAAACTAAATGGTTTATATAAGAAACCCCCTTGCAAACCCGTTTCGTTGGATACAGGGTTAGTTACGTTTTTATGTACTGGGATTGAGCGCCTTTGGTTGGCGCTGATACGTTTTTCTTCAGAGCGTTACTCGACATTGATGGAAATCAGTTTGTATTCGTTTTACCAGTCACCAGCTCTGGAATCAATGGATCGACCCATCATCAAGTGGATCACACACCGAGCCGAATACTTCAAGCGGAAGAAACAATCGAATCGCTGATAGTAGACGCAATTGAATCAACGACCTCGGATGTTACTGTCAACGACATCATGTTCTATGTCAAGAATCAGCACAAAGCCGAATTGCGGTCTCCCATCACCTTGGAAAAGGTGACCAAAATTCTCTTAAGCAACAGCCAGTTCCAACTCGCATCGGGTTGCTTTGACAGCACCAGCCCCGATGCGGTATGGACAATTGTCAGTGATCGAGATCCTGTAGATTTCCTGGATAGTCAAGATCCACCTTCTCGACCTCTACTTAGAAGAGAAGCATCCTTTCAGCGGGAGACGTTTTCAAAGTCCGTGGTGTCTTCAAGGAATGCCCTTGGTATTGAATGGTTTTATGTGATATCACTGGATGTCAACTCACAGCCTATGGAGGTTAATATTCAACGCGACTATGAGCGATTTACTCGTTCGTTGGAACACATTCCTTTTGTCCTTTCAAGGAAACGTCCACAAGCTGATGTTAGCGGTCTTCCAGAAACTCGTGCTTTGAAAAGGATCCGCACAGCAGAACCGGACTTGGAAAGAGATATTAGCACTGTATCGTTGACGGTCAGCGATATATTCGATTACGGTAGGTTATCGATTGCGTATAGGCGTTCCCTTTGTCCCCCTCTAGTTATCCTTAACTCCATCCATTTCTAGGATCTCCGTTACCTCATGAAAAAGAAGCTATAACCATGGTTACTCCTAGTCGCACAATGGCGCTCACTGATTGGACTGATGCTGGACCATCAAATATCGGATTGCAAATTGCACAGCTCAAGCTGGATACCTGGCACTCCACAATATAAAGCCACAAATCCATCTGCGGCTCAGCTGTCATACAACAGGCGCTCGCCTCGATTCTTCCCCAGCAAATTTAGCTTTTTAAAAATCATGTAGCATTTGCTTGAAAACACTCTAGAAATTTTGTATTCATATTGTACCTTAATGTAATAACATCTAATGAAAAAAAAAAAACCAAACTGGTGATGAGATCGGGTGGAAGGTGTCCGCAAGGAGAGATCCTTTTAGCGGACCAGCAGACAGCTCGTGTGCCTTTCCCAATAAGTGTTTAAAAATAAAAACCTGATCTCACCTGGTTTATTATTTTCTTCCTTGTGCAGATTCACCCTTTCGTCCTCGAGTTTCCATGAAACCCTCTTACTCGCGGTTCTTTCATAAAACGTTCTTGCGATCTGATCTGGCCCGAGTAGGCGTTGCAACCTCACCAGGCAGTATTGCTGTACCCAAAGAACGAGAATGGCAACGTATTGGTTTCATCAATTTACCCCTTGAGCCGCCTTTCCAGATCAAATCGATGAAAGACGTCCTTTTTGTCTTCTTCAACCATGAAGCTTTCCGTCTGCTGTTTTGCATCATCTGGCTCATCCTATGCGGTATGATTGAGTGTTTTATGGCTCAACTTTCCGACATTCGATATAGCTACGTATATCCAGGCAAGGTAAAAATAGTCGTGCTATGTATGTACTAGAAAATTTTTTTGATCTACTAACGGCGACAATCACCGAGACCAGACACCAGCCTTGCAAGACCTTTTATTTGATGCCCTTCCATATGTATCGAATGTCCAACTAGTCAACTATTTGTTAGAAACCACCATAATATGCACCGTCATAGGTCTGGCCCTTCAATCCCCGGACTGGACTACGCGATGGACAATATTACGTCGATGGTGTTTCATTATGGGATGGCTTTACTTATTTAGGAGCATTACCATAGTAGTTACCACCTTGCCCTCACCCCTTCGAGATGGATGCATTCCTCCTACCCTGTCGATTTCAGGTTCAGTGGGTCAGCGATTTGGAGCCTTCTTTGAGACAGTGGCTGGTAATGACCAATCATGTGGAGACAATATATTCTCTGGTCACACGTGTGTGATGGCTTCGTGTGCTCTTGCCTGGCGTATTCATGCCAGAGCCAACAGGATCTTGGGTTGGCTGCTCTATCTGATCGCCGCGGCAGGCATTTTAATGATTATATTCACTCATTACCATTATACCATTGACGTCTTATTGGCTTTGTGTAAGTCACAGAAATTTATACCCAAATTGGAGATATCGCTCTCATTAACGTTTAAACTCTGTTACAGTCATTGTCTATGTGTCGTGGTACATTTATATGAGATGTATCAGAGATGCTACAATGCACTACGTGTTGGGCCATGAACTTCACACAGAAATGAGTGTGTTTGATACAAATGGTGGAATGACCGCCAAAGAGAAATACCAGTTTTTGGTATGTCAGCCTCACCCGCTTGGATCGCGTATCTTGATGTGGATATGCATGTATGCCGATGGCCTCGACATTCGACTTCGCAGTCTGGGTACCTTCGATAGTCGAGGAAAATGGAGACGACCGCAATCAGAAACACAGCAAACTATGATAGAGTGTTAAAAAAAATTGTACTTCGATTAATTGTATTTTGACTAATTGTTCTCGAGTTATTTCCCCTTGTAAATTTGTTAGTGCTTCCGCTGTTCCTCAAATTTTATTTTTTTTTTCTTTTGGCTGGGCTAGGCCACGTTTTATCCCCTATTCGCTTAACGCTTTGCATCTTTATACTACTAATAATAAATGCCGACTTATAACACCGTAATCCTCGACATTGAAGGCACAACTACACCTATTACTTTTGTAAAAGACGTATTGGTAAGCCTTCTATCAACTATCCAGCAGTCAACCCATTTCAAGAGATTTAACCGTTCGCATTCAGTTTCCATATGTAACATCCGGCCTCTATAAGTTCTTGACTGAAAATTGGGGTTCACCAGGACTGGATCAGCAAATTGAATTGTTGCGACAACAGGTGAGTCCTTCGTATTGATAATTCAAGATTTTCAAATTATTATTGGCTGATAAAGTTTGGCTGGTGAATTTGTAGGCTGAACAGGATATCGAAGCCGGTATCAAGCAAGCCGTCCTTATTCCTCATGAAACAAGCAGGTAATTTGCTTTCTTAGCAAAAGAAATTGTTTAATATACCTACATACCAACAATGCCTTGCTTTATTAGCAACGCAGATCAGGTTCGAGCGGCCGTTCAACAATGTATAGAATGGCAAATGCAGGAGGATCGCAAAATAGGCGCCCTCAAGAGCTTTCAGGGATATATGTGGAAGGAAGGCTATGAGTCTGGTGAACTCTGTGGCCAGTAAGTGTATCTAGATCGCTTAGGACTTTGATCAAAGAGATAGCGCTGACACGGTGATGTTATTTAGAGTGTACGATGATGTCGTTCCCGCCTTTGACCGATGGAAGCAGCAAGGCTGCAAGATCTATATTTATTCATCTGGCAGCGTACCTGCCCAAAAGCTACTTTTTGGACATTCAGTAAAAGGCGACCTTTTGCCTGTAAGTAAATACGAAAGTAAAAGGGTAACGCGGATTGCCTTTCGTTTCACGTATACTGAACCTAGTGTTTTATGTTGTCTTGTCTAGTACTTTTCAGGTCACTTCGATACCTCCATTGGCTCTAAAATAGAATCATCCTCTTACATCGCCATTTCAAAGGCTATTGAAGCTAACCCATCGGACATCCTATTCGTTAGTGATAACGTGAAAGGTACTCCTGCCCTGGACCCCTTATTTGAAGAAACATATAATGTATCTCCACGCTAACTCTTCCTCTGCAGAAATCATAGCCGCTGAAGAAGCTGGCTTCCAAGTCGTCCTTTCTGACCGTCCTGACATTGCACCGCTTACACAACAAGACAGACTGAATCGACGCGTGGTTACGTCCTTCAGTCAGATTCCATGAACTGACCCAAAAATAAAAAACGTGGCTACATAACTGAAATAAACTCAGATACGCTTTTTTTCCTTTTAACCCTTCCCTCATCTGAGAGTCCATTTTACTGTTTCCCTTCCTGACCCTGAGCATTTGCATTCATGGGTGTATCAAGCAATGGCCTCTTTGAACTGCCAACCTACGCAGATTCAATGGAAATGGGCTACGGGAAGTCTCCTGTTGGAGGGTCATGGTTTCGCTTCTTAAAGGAATCATTACGGATAATTCTCGAAAACCAAGATTCCAGACAGATCTTTTACTTCTTGTTGTTGAATCTGTCTTACATGTTCGTTCAACTTGTATACGGCTCCATCACAAACAGCTTGGGTCTCATTTCAGACGGTGAGCTGCGACAGGCACTCATTCAAACCGGCGTTTCATAAACTGACTTTCTTACTGTCACCAATAGCTATCCATATGTTCTTTGACTGCCTTGCCCTAGGAGTTGGCTTGTTCGCATCCGTCATGGCAAAGTGGCCACCGAATACCAAGTATTCCTATGGGTAAGTAACAGGGAATGCGATTTCATTCAAATCTGTTGTCTTACGCCTTTGTTTGGATAGGTACAATCGGGTAGAGACGTTGAGTGGATTCGCAAATGGCGTGTTTCTGGTCTTGATCTCTATTAGCATTGTCTCGGAGGCTATCCAACGACTTTTGGATCCTCCGGAGATGAATACCCATAGGCTGTTGTTAGTCAGTTTTGTTGGCCTGCTTGTCAACCTTGTAGGAATATTTGCCTTCAATCATGGACACGCACATGGACACGACCATGGACACGACCATGGACATAGTCATGGACACGGGCACGATCACGGACATGGCCATAATGCTAACATGGAGGGTAAGCGGACCCACTGCTATTTTTTTTTACGTAAATCCGGTAAAAATTTCTAACCTCCTATCGTAATAGGTGTTTTTCTGCACATCTTAGCCGATACTTTAGGCTCCGTCGGTGTTATCATTTCGACCCTTTTGATCAAATGGTTTGGCTGGACTGGATTCGACCCAATTGCCTCTATCTTCATTGCTGTTCTTATTTTCTTGTCCGTCATTCCGCTGATCAAGAATTCCGCTGCGGTGTTGTTACTGCAAGTAGATGATCATACTGCTGGTACGGTTGAGGCGGCGGTCGAGAATTTGAAAACCATCCAAGGTGTACGATCCACATCACTACCCCGGTTTTGGCCAAATGAACCGGGAAGTTTGATTGGAACCATTCATATTCAGGTATCTGACGATACCGATATGCAGGAAGTCCGACAGCTGGCCATAGAATTGTTGATGAGCAAGATTGAAGGTCTGAAAGAACTCTGTGTACAGGTGGAGAGGGATGGCGCATTGGAGCGAGCGGAAATGGAATCCAAGTCGGGTGGATTTGCTGGTGGGTTTGCTGGAGGTATGAATGCTGGATTCTTCAACCCTGTTGCGACCAACTTCGGTCCACGCCGTGTCGGCACGCCTAATCTTGACCTAGCCCCTCCGTCCAACGTCGCCGCTGCGTCTGGTCGACAAACACCTGTCATCAGCTTTGTACAAGCAATGAAAGGTCCTGGAAAGAACGATAAAACTCTCTGATCAAAACAATGTGCAACTTGCATATAGATAATACCGTAAACCTAACACTGAGAGTTGGTAAAAAAAAAACGATGTCAAATCTCCCCATGCTGTACTTTATTCTCGTTCAAGTCTTTGTGTTAGCTCCTTCACTACCCATCAAAAGTGCTTGCCTTCCCTTTTCCTTGTCACACCTTCTACATAATAGAAATTATAATGATTGAAGCTGTTTTCATTTCCTCATGTGGAAGGTAACATAGCTGCTTGACCAGCAAAAGAACCCCTTGTTCTATAAAATGAAAGCCTGATCTCATTCCACTGTGTACAATACATGACTTTTTACGCTTTTTTTTGGTTGTTTCTAAGTGGCCCACGCTCTTCATTAGAGCACAGGCAAATGTGACTCCTTACTAAAGATCATTTGTCTCGCTCCATCTGCTCGTTCCTCTTGGCGGTGTGGTTCAGGAGAACGCATGATGGATGGAAGTAATGCTGCAAAACTCAGCTTTTCAAGTATGTACCGTTATCAATGGCTATTTTTCCGAACTTATGGTTATAACACTGGACGCAGATATATGCAGTTTCCAAGTTGTTCAAGGAAAGTCCTCTGGAGAGGAGCACGCAGATAATATTACAAATTTTCGGTGGTCATTTGCACTCGGCCAACCCCTTTCATAGGCAAAATTAGAGTGTCGGAGTTTGAACCTAGCCTTTCTCCCCATCGCTTGGACCCCTCACAAAACTCAACTGCTGTACACCTCGCCATTCCCCCCATGTCTTTCAAGATAGGGTCGATACCACACCCTAGTAGAAATGGCTCGATTAATAGTACACAGTCAAGTACAAAGAGTCAATCCCCCGAAAATGTGCAAGTCGCTGTACGTTGTCGGCCCATGTCGGCATCAGAAGCCAGGGGTCAGCGTGAAGTATGCTGGGATATTGATACAACACTTAATAGTATTGTTATTGCGGAAGGTTTTGAGCGTCAGAACAGAGCAAGACATAAATATCGTTATGGTACGCTTTTTGTCACGCATTGTGTCATTTACTTTTATTAACCCTGTTAAACAGATAGAGTCCTGTATGGTAGTGATAACTTCCGCATATATGACGACAATGTAGCTAAACTCGTAAAGTAAGCGTGGATTGCAATGTCTTCTACAATGATTTAGTATTTACGTATAAACCATTCTTCAGTTCGACTATGGAAGGCTATAATGGTAAACATGATTTCAAATTACTACCGACATCACCTCCGATTTACCAACCGTTATCAATTGTCTAGGTACTGTCTTTGCATATGGACAAACTGCGAGTGGAAAAACATATGTAAGTTCTATCACATGATTCAATTATTATTCAACTCATAGCTAAATCTATCGATTGCAGACAATGGTGAGGATGATAAGCGAAACTCGATCCATCATATCAAAACAATACTGATGATACCACCTTCTTTTTTATGACAGATGGGTCAGTGTGGCAACTATGTGCAACATTGATACAATGGTAACTAAGCTAACAGCCGATTACAGGAACACACAACGAACCTGGAGTGATACCTCGTGCCGTTAATGATGTATTTGAGTACATCAAAGCTGTGAGTTGTTGGCATATCGGAGACTGTTCGAGGTTGTATGTACCTGCAGCGGCCACTGATTGGCTTTGTTTTTCCCAGAACTCTACGAGAGAATTTTTGTTGCGAGTTTCGTACCTTGAAATATATAATGAAGCCATCCATGATTTGCTTTCTCCGGGAACGCAAGACTTGAAAATCCATGAAGATAAACAAGTACGATCATTAGGTTTTAATACACACATAGGTACAAACTTATTAACATGCATTGTGCCACAGAGAGGCGTTTATGTCAGTCCCTTAAAAGAGGAGGTCCTTACCAATGCAAAACAGGCACTTAAGGTTATACAGAAAGGAGAAGGTATTTACATTATGTTAATGCATTTTACGTACGTTATGAAATAGATTACTAAGTTAAAGCATAACAACGAATCATAGAAAATCGACATGTCAGCACTACAAATTATAATCTACACAGTAGCCGCTCACACACAATATTTCGAATGGTGAGTGAAGATTTGACTAGCATAAAGATGTGTCTTTGACTTACCATGTACGTGCCAGATTATTGAGAGTAAGGAAAGGGAACCTAATGCATCGACACAAACTCATCGAGATCGTAGCACTGCTTCCAATGCCAAATCAACGATCCGCATATCACAATTGGTAAGGGCCCCCCGTGTTGAGTATGTCGTATTGCTTGTGTAAATCATGTTTTGAAAATATATGTCAACAGAATCTCATTGATCTTGCTGGTTCAGAAAAAGCAACCACCAACCTTGACAGACAAAAGGAAGGTGCTTTTATCAACAAAAGGTACGGTGTCACACCATGCTAACTTTGACATGTCGTGAACCTTTCTAATGACCCAATGATCACTTAGTTTGCTTACACTGGGCACTGTCATATCAAAGCTGACTGATTCAAAGGGGTAGGTGGCACTGACCAAAACTTAGCGCTTAAACCACACATGTTAATACTCTATTATATCAGAGCTAGCCATATTCCATTCCGTGACTCTAAACTTACACGAATACTGCAACCTTCGTTATCGGGAAATGCCAGAGTGGCAGTCATATGTACTATAAGCCCTGTAATGACGAGTATGGAAGAAAGCATGAATACACTTAAATTTGCAGAAAGAGTAAAGCTAGTAGTCACATCCGCCAAGACAAACGAGGTAATTATTGATTTCAGCTGCTTTTGTTTGATTGACGTAACTCGGCTTAACATCAAAAAATAGATACTCGATGACAAGGCACTATTGCAACAATATCGAACTGAAATATCGAGCTTGAAGGCGAAGTTGGAGGCCGGCAACGATCTTTTAGCCCAGCAACAAATGGCACAGGAGGATATCATGCAGGCGGAAAAACGCAAGGTCAGTCTGACATCCTATCGAACTGCGCCTAATATGAGGAGCAAGCTTATTTATTATAGCGGTGCTTTTACTACAGCACGAAGGACAAATGCGCGACATGGAGCTTGTTCGTACAGCCTTGAAAGAACGGTAGGAATTTTTGACTGGGTGCTACAGTTATCTATAAGCCTAACTAAAGTACATTCTATCTTATCTTCTTTAAAGTATCAATCACCTCACCAAACTGATCTTAACATCGTCTTCATCAACATCGTTTACTAAAATGATTTTGACGCCATCGGTACGTTTACCCTCAGTTTAATTGAATTTAGCATACATTGCACTCAACGCTATTTTCAGGGCCTGGGAGATTACAGCAAACGAAAAATTGATAGCGACGATTCGTTACCCGATAGCCTTCGTGTACATTCGAGTGATGCTCCACAACGGGATGCCGCGGATGAATTGAGCCAAAAGCTTGCCCAATCAGCTATCAGTTCCAACGACACGCCTTCTGGTCTTCCTGCTAAAGAACTTGTGCAATTGAAAGCGGATAAGGAGAGTCTACAACAAGAAGTTGGTCGATTAAAAGCGCAAGCGAAGCAAGATCAGATGAAAATTCATACCCTTGAGCAACAGCTACGGTTAAGTTTTGTACAGTCCGAAGCACAAAAGCTCAGCTCCAACGATGATCAAGTTCAACTTATTGCATCTCTTCAAGCTGAACTGAGCATTGTCAAAGGTGAGTCAGCGGACCGTCGCTATGTCCTATTTTTTGAATCTGGCCTGGTTGGTTGTTGACATTATACACTGTGTAGCGGAGTTGCAGGTCATGCAATTGATGTCCAAGGCAAACAATGACTAGAGAAGTATGCTCTGCCCACTCTTCAATTATGGCAACATTCGTATGATATAAATGTAAATAAAAATTTGCTTTTCCGAGAGAGATCAGCAGAGGAAGCACCTGTTTTTTCTCCCCTTCCTTTATCAAAATATGTCACAAAGACTGTGGCAGCTGAAATTTAAAGACCAACCACATCAACTTGCAAACACTAAGCGTTGCAACTGTAACTTTTGTTGTGTTAAATAATAATGATATTTTCGATTTTAAGTTCTTGATTCTTTCCTTTTGGAATTTACCGTTGCCGCCGTGTCACCTCCTTATCCTTTCGCCCCATATTGTGGTAACTTTGGATAGCTGATATGAGGCTCAAAGTAGGAGATGGAATACATCACTGCTTAGAATTGACTTTGATCCTTAGTATCAACTTGTTTTTGAGTTCTATTCTGACCAACAACACTGTCTGGCTATTGTATGCCATGACTATTTTTGCACCAGAATGCATCCAGTATCTCAGACTACGACACTTTCGACATGTTGATAAGTCTCGGACATATCGACCACAGCATCGACTACCCCACAAGCAGGTTGTTTTCGGTACTGCGTCGTTCCCGTCCGAGCTCGCATCCAAAATATTTGAGCATCTGAATCAGCATGAGCTACTGCAAGCTTCTCAGGTCTGTAAGAGTTGGAACGGTGTTGCCACTCCGTTGCTTTGGCGAAGCCCTCGATTTTACCACAAATTGGATAAGCAATTGTCGGACATATATTATACTCCAATTCAAACCATGTGGCCAACATCGATTTCCTTGGACAACCCTTATTTCGTACACCAATCACTAGACGCAACAGAGTATCGCGATGGGTATGATATTCAATTGGCGCTTGCTCAAAAACAATTGGGCCAGTATGCTCGACACCTCACGTTTGAATATCGCGAGAGCCTCGTATGTGACAATACTCTCAATGATATTGCAATGTACTGTACTTCACTTCAAAATTTATCGCTGGCTGGATGTCGAAATATCACCGATGCTGGACTTCAATATCTGTCCAAAGGCAAACTACAATATACCCTCAATTGCATTGATCTCAGTGACTGTGTACTAGTAACGGATGAAGGTGTATCGCTGATCTTGCAGCGGTTCCATCGTCTACAAAAGGTTTCCTTCAATGGCTGCACCGGATTAACCAATACGGGGATCAAGACGTTAATAAGACATTCGGCAACTGAACATTGGTCCTCTGTATCCAGATCCAGTTTACAGGAGATCTATCTACGCCGCTGTGCAAATTTAAGCGGAAACACTATAACATACCTTGCCATAACGTGTGGACCCTCATTACAAGCATTGGATTTGGCATACAGCGCATATATTGGGGACAAAGAGGTCAGAGTCATAGCGGAACATTGCGTCGCCCTGCGCCATTTAAGCCTGGCAAGAAGAAGCCCATCGGAAAACGAAATAGAGCTTGGGCAGAGTAGACCTGATGCATCAGAAACAAGCACGCCAATAAACGAACCCACTTTAATAGACAAAAAAGACGAAATTATAGATGATTCAATAGAATGCTTGGTCAAACGGCTACCACAGCTTCAATATCTTGACCTTTCCAACATCACCTCCATCACTAATCAAAGCGTTGTCAGCATCTCCAAATACTGCCCAAATTTAGTCACACTCATTCTGGTAGGCTGCGACATGATCAACGAGGAATCTCTTTTCTCACTATCAGAATTGCACCGACAGCATGGACAATTGGTTAATATTACGTTAGGTGGAACTACGGAGTTTCTTAATAACATTGTACATAGCGTAGAACACGATGATAACTGGCATGGCTGGACCCATGGATCGTCCTGTTCCAGTAATTAAGTAATCACAAGCTAACTGTAATAATAGAATTTTTTTGTTACAATGCCATGTGCCTTAGGTGGTCTCTTGAGCTGGCAGTAGACACAGGTTTTGTTGTCAGGAGTGGAATGAATTTTTTGCGCACTGCTTCTTTTTTTTTTTCGGTCTTCAATTTTTCCCTGCTCTCCAAACCACCTTAAAACATACCCACCTATTCTTTCTCAACAAGTTTTCAACGCTATACTTTGTGAAGTAGAGCTGATAGAGGTGAAAAAACAGCTGGATACTGAGCAATGCCTAGGACGAAGGACGCAATTGACCGATCAGCCGAATACTTGCGGTTTATTCGGGATCTCGAAGTCTTTCACGAACGACATGGGTAAATAAGTTACATGGAAGCAGTACATTCCAATTGCTATTGTCTAACCTTCCCCATAGAACAACACTACAAGCTGAGCCTGTTTTAGGTGGGCAAAAGCTAGACCTACTCAAACTATACAAGGAAGTAATGGCTTCCGGAGGGTACCAACAGGTAATGGAGTGAATCAAACACATTCAGTCAATTCATAGCCGTATATACATACCTTGCGCCTAATATTAAACAAATTTGACAATAGGTTACTCAAGATCGTATCTGGAAGCTCCTCGGCGAAAGTTTTGAGTTCAAATCGACTTGCACCAACAGCGCCTATGTCCTCAAATCAGTGTACAAGAAGAATCTAGTATGTCCCTTTCTTTACAACCTGTCAAGATAGTGAACACTGTGGTTTTAATATCTCGACTTTTTTTTCAATCTATAGCTTGGATGGGAAAAGACAAAGGTGTGGGGACAAGAATGGAATCCTTCCATGGCCGATGAGCCAAAGACTGCTGCCAAGACAAATAGCAAAGGTAAAGAAAAGGCTCGTCCGCCTTACACAATCCCCAAGCAAAAAGAGCGCAGAAAGAACTCCAAAGGCAGTGGTATGAAAAAATGTTAATTCCATCATTGAAAGTTGAACATAATCCTCTAACCCATAATTCAGACCTAAGTCCCAACTCAGCAGAGCCTACCATTTTACCCATCGCCCCTGTGCGTCGACCGACTTCATTTCTCTCAGACAAGGATACGTATAACCTTTCGTCAGCCGAAAACATGGAAAATCTGGATGCTTTTCTCAATCAGCTATCTTCCATGCTTGATGCTGCCGGTCAACCTCCAACCGTTGAGAAGCTAGTCAGTCGTACGCAGCCAAGTAAGTTTTATGACTTTTACTGGATCCAAGAAAATGGTAGCCCTAATGAAGTTTCTTTTTTGGCGTAACCAGCCTTAGATAAAGTTGGAGATCCAAAAGAGCAACTCTCGATGATATGTAATATGCTGGTATCCCGAAAGCCTGCAGACGTTCAATCGGCCATGGTCTACCTTTTAAAGCTGTCTTTCGAATTGCCAGAAAATGTTACCAACGACTATCTCGCGGCCATCGTACATGCTCTGATTCCATTTGCTCAACCGGTATTTTCAGATCCGAAGTTGCGACCACATCAGACGGATTTGTTGGACAATGATGCCGATACCATGGATTTTCAACAAGATACAGACTCGAACGCAGCACCAGTTGACCTTGCACTAGCGTTTGATGCTTTTCGCATTTTGCGTAATCTGTCTTTTGTCGACTCAGATGCAGAATTCATGGCATCTAATACCATTATTCGGAAAATGGTCGTTGCTGGACTCCTGCTACCAACAAACACTAAATATGTCGAACTTACACAGCATTCATTGGATATTCTCGACAATATTTCCAGCTATGTCACATTATCACAACACGACGACTATGCCACCAATCTGTTGAAACTACTTTTTTCCAACGATCGAGAAATCATCATTGGTGTCTTGAAGGCACTGACATACCTAGCTATCCAAAAAACCGATCATTATCCATTCTTGTTTGATCATACTGATCATGTCAAGCGATTGATTCAGCTCCTCCTCATTGATGATGAAGACCTCGTCACAAGAACCCTTGAATTTTTTTACGTGTATACTTCAGCGTGGCCAGAATTTACCACTCAGCTACTTCATATGTACCCTGGTAACGGCATAAGCTTACTGACAAGTTTTCTGACCTACGACTCTTCCAAACCAACTCCTCCTGAGCGATCTTACCCAGCATCAGCTCAGCCTGCCACTGACCTTTGTCAAGATCGTGGCTGTAACATTCCCAGTCTCACCCATTATCAGGATATGGATGAGCCGTACCGATGCCTTGGATGGTGAGTATACCTAAAAGCATTTGGTATTGCCCTGCTTCAACTAAGCTCATTTGCATCCAACTACTCTAGGCTCAAGCAGAAATTTGAGGTAGCCGATTCAGAATCCAACCTCTCTTTGGACGATCTTTATCTGTTGTACGAAACTCGGTTCGGCATGGAACGGCCGCTTGACCTGACCAAGTTCCTTGTGGTGTTCAAGATCGCCTATCCCGAACTCACTGTGACTGGTGGAGACCTATCGACAGCCGCCCCCGAACAAATTGTTGTTCATGGAATTCAAATCAAAATGGCGATCTTGGAAGATTGTAAGTGCTGCCAGGGAAAGAATTTTTTTGAAAAAGGGGAGTGATATTTTGTATAAATTGGGATGAAAATTATTAACCATGATCTTTCTGCTATTTCTGTTTATAGCTGACGAATTTACTTGCAAGTGGTCCAACTGCGCACAGACCTTCCCTAACGAACTCCACTTGCAGCACCACGTTTTCAGCGACCACGTACCGCCATGTACCAGAAGTGAACCGTACCAATGCCATTGGATGGAGTGCTCAGATATCCCAGACGGTGAATCGAATACGCGTGATTCTATCGCCTCTCACCTCGGCACTCACTTTTTCGAACACCTTTGCGAGCACCACCATGATCATGAGCATCATGGCATTCCTCTTGCCACCGCATTACTTTTGCACAACTTTGCACGACACAAAGGGAACTCTCCGTATTTTGAGCCATATACCTGCCGTCTAAAGGGTATGTTGGACAACAAACCTCACTTGGCCGGTATCATTCAAAACATATTGCAAGAACTGGAAACTTGACTGAATCACTTTGCGTATATATAAGACCCCCATCCTTTTTGTAACATATTTTTAATTTTAAATACAACCCATTTCACCAATGGTTGAATGGGATAGCTCAACCATGAGAGACCAATGGAAAAAATTTATTAACCAGGAAAAAGTGCTGAGTTTTCCTTGCTGTCGGTTTTTTGTATCTCCACCTTTTTTTATTTTTCTCTCAAGACTCTTAGCTGATGATGGGAAGCCAACCAAAACGGCCAACCCCATCAACAGGACATGTTGACGTTTTTCGACTAGACAAAAGGAATCAGTCCAATCAAGAACGAGGGCAACATGAATTTGCCTACGAATACCCTCCACGAATTCCTGTGGCTATGCGACATCCCTACCCACGAGTGAATTCCGTTAAACAGTATACGACCGATCGCCAACATGAGCAGCTCAAGCAACATATCGTCTCGGAATCGTTTATTCCTGTCTCGCCCGAAGCTGCAGAGAAACCACAGAGACGTTCACGGCGGCGACCCCCGTTTTCGTACTCGTCGCTCATTGCTCAAGCTATCCTGACCACCGCCAACAAACGGATGACGCTGAGAGATATATATCGATGGATTACGGAAAAATATCCAGCACTATATAATGCAGAGGACACTGGCTGGCAGGTAATATTACCAATAAAAAAGACATAGTCAGATCTTTCATCCTCTGCACGGTTAAGCTAATGTCACTCTCCCTTTTCTCAAACTTTGGCTCAGAATACCATTCGACACAATCTTTCCCTCAACAAGTGCTTTAAGAAAGTTCCAAAGTCAGAAATCACTCCGGAAGAAAATAGAGGAAAAGGCGGATTCTGGACTCTAGATCCAGAGTACATGAATCAGTATACGGATGGCGCTTTCGCTAGAGGCAGTATTGCCAATCGAAGATCTATGAAAAACCCAAGCAAGTCAGGACCAAGTAGTGACAGTGAAGTATCACACTTTGACGGTAGCTCCTCACAATATGATACCCACCACACCGACGTGGATCCCTTTACTTCCTCACCGCCTTTTCGACTCACTAGTCCCTCGACCTTTAAACCAGATGATACGTCTCATTATTACCCCACGGAAGAATCTGATATATCATCCAACACCCCCTCCCCTTCGATGCTTCGAATGTCTCCTGTGACACCACCACGATCCAGTGTAACGATCAAAGTTTCAACGACTGACCGCGGAACTGCTGTAAATACTGTACACAATACGACGACGCCCATAGATGAACAAACTGTTGTGAATCTTGATGTTCAACAAACTCGATTGAACCGTGAAGAACCTCAAGAAAACTTCTTATCTACTATTTTACACCCCTCCAAGGAAGAAGACCCTTTTTCAACATCAGCGCAAGAGGATCCATTGCATACTTCAACTGTCATGCGAATAGACAATATTCTGAACTAAGCCTTTCTTTTTTTCTTTGGTGCTTTCTTTTCCCATCCCTTTTCTCTTTCCACCCACTGTATATATATATATAAAAAACCCTTCCATCCCCCCACCTCACTTTTGCTTGAGGCTGGGGTCAAACCGAGGTCTCCGTATCTACTTTTGTAGCTTCCCGGTGCTGTGATTCAAAAAAAATAAAACTCTAGATAAGCGGATGTTGGAGGTTTGGCTGAGCACATGATGCTGGTAGAGCACGGTCGGTACCCGCTTTGGGGGCTTGCTGTGATTATCACAATGTGGCTATCTCTTCATCAAGCAAATGAAAGCCGTCGGAGATCCGATTGAAACCATTGTCACTCCTTCACTATTGTGAAGCTCCACCTCATCTTTCTGGGGACTTTCAATTTATTATTTCAAAACGTTGAACTAGCTAATTTGTTGCTGAAGTCGTTGACCATAGCTTGCGCTTGAGCCAACTTGAAGATAGGCCCATTACTAATGACTTGTATGATTCTTTGCAATGCTACCAAGGACTTTTTCCTCAGATCTTTTTTGATCACCATAGGCCTCCTTGCTTGTAAAATGCCGGCATTTAATAGATGCACTCGTCCAGCCGATGCCAAACCATCCAATAGCTAAGGACAACAACGGCATTAATAGGTTGCTTCATAAGAAGTTTCCATGGGTGGTGATCACATACCTGAGTAAACATACAGTAATCCTTGACTGAGCCATAGATGGAAACGATCTCCGTCAGGCTGAATGCGGCTATTGCAATTGGGAAAAATGTCAGTCCTCTTTCATTGTTACCCAAACCCCATTGACTCCGGCTTTGCTTACCGGTAGTGCATATGTCAAGTGCATGCTTTTCAAACGAGAAGCTGCTTTCGTCCTCAATGTCAGCATCGTCAATGGATGACGCTGCAGATTCTGGCTGCAGAGATTTAACAAAGGGTTTGTGGATTACTAGAAGGAAAATGTAGTATTGTGCATGTTTGAGGTATAAGTGACGATGTCGAGTGGTATATTTGGGATGTCCGTCGCCACCTTCGAGGGTTGGAGATAGTTCAGGAACTTCAAAGGTGGGTTTTAAAGACGCTCGCCAGCGATGCAAATCATCCAGTAGCTTCATAGCTCGGGGGCTTGGGATTCCGAGTTCCCAACCGTCGTTATCTTCGTCTTTACTAAGTGCGTATCGAACGCCATGTTGTAACCCTTGAATAATCAAACTTCGGGATTCAATAAAGTCTCGAGCTGATTCATCATCAGTGGGTTGGGCTGTAAGTTGTATAAGCCGTGTTTTGTCGTCGCAAAGCATGGGCACGTAGCCACTGAAAATCACATAGCTCATATCAAACCATGCTATCCATGCCCACAAACGTCGGCTATTTTCTCGCTCTTGAGGGGAGGCATGGGGATTGTTGCAGTTTTCATACAGGTGTAATGCATGCGCCATTCGAACAGCCGATCCAAAAATGCTGTAAGCTTCACGAAGCTGACCGCAACCAGCCTTGTAATATTGCATGACCATAAGGGTTTCAATAGTAATCATGCGCATTTCGTCAAAGTTCACCAAGTCTCTTGCCAGTGTATAGGACTTTTCGGCTAGGTCTTCAAGGTAGTCAAGATGATCAAACTCGGGGTGGCATCGGTAAGCATGCAAGGCTGCACATGCATAGATGGCATAGATGAGGGGTCTTGGTAGCTTGCGCTCTCTGTAACGCCAAAGGTAGGCCTGCTTGTCTACAGGACAATGTGATGTACAATTAAGATGCAATTGAATTAATCTATCCAAAACTTCGGGTGGGTATCGAGCCAGTTGGTTGCCAGAATTCCGTTTGGCAGGACTAAGAGATGAGTCCGGAGATGTAATATAATACCCATACTGCCGCCTTAATGTCAAGCGGTCCACACCGGCTGGTCCCCCTGTTCGACTTCGCGTGGCCCGAGGATCTCCCAAATTTTTACTAATCGGTGGACTGCCTTCGTAGAACAGCTCTTGCCGGATAGCCTGTAAGGTATTGTAGAGCTCGCCAAGGGTATGGATATTGGTCTCCATACTAAGACCACCACCTTGAGTAATTAACCGCCATCCCGCGGGCAGCTTGAACGGTAAGTCGTCCTTTTCTTTCTTAATTATAGTCGACTGTTCCGATTGCCCGGACATACCCGCATTGTCATGGTTAGAGCTGTTGGCCTGCAACTGCTTGATAGCCTGGGACGTAGGTTGTTGACTCGACTGGTTCTGGATTTGTAGAACTGGGTTTTGCTTCGGCCTAGTCAGCGAGAAAATGTTGTTTATGAGGTTGTGAATTCGTAAATTGATCCTCTCTGCTCGCTCCCTGTCTCCAAGTTCGACATTAGCCCGAGATTTGTACATGCATTCACAAAAGTCTTTTAAGCAAGTTGAACAAGAAGGTTGCATTCCATCGCACTGAACGTGTTTCTGGGCACAATTAGAACAGGGTGCTATAATCAGTGAGAACACATTGTAGTCGCTAGCAATTGTTGTCATAACAAAGTTGCTGGAAGGACAAGTGCCGTTACACCAGGTTTTCTACCTTTTTTTTTTCTCTCAGGTCCGCACGCCGAGCCTTCGACGGACCTTTCTATCCCACAAAAGACCTTCGTTATCTTCTATCATAATTAGCAGATTTATGTAAGTCAACTTGCTTCATAGAAAGCAGTTTGCCTGGTAGCAACAGCTCATGGTATCTCTATATGCTCTGGAATCGGATCTCCGCACAGGTAAGGGCAAGGCAGAAGTGAAGGCCTCGCGGAGTTATACGTCTGCCGATTTCACCTGCTCTTCGCTCTTGCTATGTTTTCCACCTATCTGCTATATGCAGTATTATTCATAGTAGGCTCACTGGCCATAGGACTGTACATTTTCCAATGTAATCTCATTTATCCTGCCTCCTTCCCAACTGGATCGCGGTCGGTGGTAAGTTGATAGACTAACACTTGCAACACTCGGTTCAAAGTTTAATCGCAAATCGTCGTGTTAACTTCACAGGTAATGAAGCCTTCCCAATTTGGTTTACCCTACAAAGAAGTCACCATTACAACAAAAGACAACATACTGCTACAATGCTACTTATTGCAACAAAAAGACGAAGATGTCGCAAAGAATAGTCCAACCGTCATATACTTTCACGCCAATGCTGGCAACATGGTCAGGGTCGATTTTTCTTTTATGACTGCGTGTTTGTAAACCTGGGCATTAACAATACTTTTGATATTAGGGCCATCGTCTTCCTATTGCAAAGATATTTTTTGAAAATTTCGGTTGCAATGTATTCATGTTATCTTATAGAGGGTAAGTGGAAATGACACAGGATGAGCTTACTACAGACTTTTGCCATGCTGATGTCTGGCTCTGATAGATATGGTTTAAGCGGAGGAAGCCCAAATGAGAAAGGTCTAAAAGTGGATGCAGAGGTATGTGAAGTTACACTCGACCTGAAAATCCCACATTTTTTTGCTCACATTACGACAATAGGCAGCTTTGGAGTATATTAAAGAGCATCCAGTGCTTGGGAATACACCATTAATTGCATATGGCCAATCTATTGGAGGCGCGGTTGCTATCTACACAGTGTCTAGGAATGAGGACAAGTTTTCTGCCTTGATATTGGAAAATACCTTTTTGAACATGGTAAGCCTGGAAAATTTTTAGTTAGGCAAGAGCATCCCATTTACTGAACACGCATTTTCATTTTTATGATTTTGTTGTAGCCGGAATTGATTCCGAACGTTATTCCTGCCTTGAGACACTTCATCTTTTTATGCCATCAAATTTGGCCATCTCACCGTGACATTTTAGCTGTCCGAAAGACGCCAACCTTGTTTCTCTCGGGTAAGCTGGATGAACTCGTTCCACCTTCGCATATGAAAAAGCTTTACGAGCTATGTGATACACGCGGTCCCAAGTTTTGGAAGGAATTTGAGGAGGGTACACACAATGATACCTGCCTGAAAGTAAGTTGATGGGGATCTCAAAGTGTTTGATGGATGTCCTAGCTGACTCATTGTTGCTGTTTAGCCTGGTTACTTCGAGACCATTGGCGAATTCATTAGAGATGAAGTCTGGAAGCTGGTGGATGGATCTATTGATGATGAGAAAAAGGATAATGCCGCTGACAAAGCACCAAATGCCTAAGTTGAGAACGGTGGGGTAAATAGAGAGAAAGGCGGTATGTGATAATGCATTAATCTAATAAACGGCCCGGATCATCGGAATGGTCATGCCGGTCACCTTATCAAAGCCAATCAAATGGGACACCACAGCATATCTTTAATTTGTGCACAGCGCGCCACGGTCACTCAAGTTAAATGAGGCGCCTTGTTAAAGGCGGTCTGCGTGTAACTTGCTGAGACGCTTTGGCTGGAAGCGGCAGCCTGGTCAGTCAACCGCTGCGCATTAGTCAACTGCTACGTAAAGCTTTGCATTTAACGACCTGTTTTCACTCGTTTACACTTTCAAATATTACAACAGACTGTATCCATCAGACTGTATTAACGTATTTCCACCAATGCATTGGATACAGGAATTTGGTGAAGTGTCACCCTTACTTTTCAGCTACATACCTTTGTAACTTGGAAATGTCGAGGCTGGACATCGCCTGCCGCATTGAACGAGGCTTGGGAAGCTTCCATCTTCCGCCAGACCTTACTTATAAAGTCACCAGATAATCACCATTGTTCACTCCATCTGTATTCCCTTTCATTGATATTCGCGCGTGCAATGAATTGCTCTGCCGACGTACCCAGCATCAGCGGAGGTATCCTCGTGAGCGTGCCCGCCAGTGTTCTGCTTATGCAATACATTTCATATGGCTTGTACCAAGCTGCACTTGGGTGGATACAGATAATGTGCAATCAAAGACGCAATCACTTACAATACTATACTTTTCAAACCTCTTACCCTGCCTATGCTCTCAGTGAGTTCAAACGGCTCTTCCATGAGCTTGACCAGAATGACACTTGGTACATCAACTTGGGACGAGCCATCGCTTGGATTACCCACAACTCTTATTTGGCGACGTCTGTATTCTTCACTATCATTGTGGTTTCAACTTCTACTAGCGCCAGTGTTAAGAGTGTCGTCTTGACGAACACCGCCGACAACACCAACACAACCATGGTTGAAATTATGTGGCACTTGGATTCAAGTGAATGCATAACCTATGCACCTTCGCTACTACATCAAGCGACCTCCGGAATATTCTTGAATGGATATATGCTTTTAGCTTTCACAACGTACGCTTCGATCATGATATTATACACCTTCATCTGCAACTACATGTACCATTATCCTATATGGTTACCTCTACCTCTCTATGACATATTGTTCGATTCACCAACGTCGAAGACCGAAGATGGCCAAATTTTCTTTTCGCCGCCTGGAACACTACGCTTGGAAGAACACGACGGCGAACCTTATATCATGATTGGTGATAAGCTTTTGATCACACTTAGCAAAGACCTTGATTGGGAGAAAGTAAATGCGATACTTGACAGTCGATGATTTTTAGGCGCATAAGTGTAGGTACGTAAAACAGCGTTGTACACTTGCGTACGCTTCTACATAATCTTTATATATGATACGCATTGTAATGTAACGATGTATCAAAGCTCATTTCGAAGAGCAAGAGCCAAACTTGGAATTGAAAAAAAAAAAAAAAAAAAAAAATTTGATAAGCTAAATATATTAGCTCAAATCACTTAGATTGGAAGACAGTGTGTTATTCGAAAGTATGTATAGCTCATCTGGCGTATTGCACTTGTTCAGCGACCCCTATATGTGTATCTATGCGGTGTTAGCTTGTTCCTGATGACGAAAACTATATTGTGCCCTTTGCAACTAGAACATGCGCCATCCCTATGCTGCGCACAACTTCCGCTGGAACTAGGAACCACAAGGTCACAGGTAGTACGGACATTGGCGTGTAAAGCTGCTCAGCACAAGTTTCTGGAACATCTTCTCTTACTGTTGCAATCCCAATACACTTGAGACTGAGACCGACATATCTCCCCCAAAAAAAATGATAAAAATGGACCCACAAATTCCTCTCCAACCCTCTCCCGGTTTTAATCATTTTTGGTTTCCTTATACCCGTTCTCAATGGAGTATAACTTGACCACTACCACATGTAACTCTACACCATCTTCATATGGCGACTTTCTTGTTACCATCCCGCTTGGTATTCTCATATTGCAGTATATATCGTACGCTATGAGCACAGCGGCAAGACCGGCTGTCCAAAAAATGTGTAATTACAGAGGAAACGAATCACAACTTTACAGGTTCAACGTATCTTACATCAACTTTTTATTTGCTGAAGTCAAGCAATTTGTCAAGGATTGGAGAGATCTTCTCGAAAGAGGTGGTTCAGTGGCGGAATTCATGAAGATGACAATCATATGGTTACTTTACAACGGGACTCTGGCCGTCGGTGTATTCTTTACGCCGATCGTTACCGCAGCTTCCGCGTACGCTTCTGTCATCAAGCAAACTAGTCAGGATGACAGCGTTACCAATACAACAAACAGCAACATACAAATCCTTTGGCACACAAACCATGGTGAATGCATCAGTTCAGATTCTTCACTTTACCATCAAGCAACTTCAGGAATGGTACTGAACATATGGATGGTTGGTGTGTTCGGCGTGCTTACTACGGTTTTGATCTTTGCGTCAATCCTAGTGGGGCACAAAGTAAAGAAGAGCTCTATGTTTCCTCCACAACTCCACGACCTATTGCTAGTGTCGCCTGTAACAGGATATAGGGATGCTGCGCCTCGATTTGGAACGAAGAGCGCTCTTTTTGTTGAGAATATAGATGGCGGGCCATTTATCACTGTAGACCAAAAAATCGTGGTAGCTGTAGACAGGGATCAAGCAAGAACGCTCTGTGACTTTATGACTTGTATAGCCGACAGTAATTGGTCGGACCAGCTAATTTCAGAAAAGCTATTAGCTATTTACAAAGCTGGCGGTGAATACCAGTGGTAACATATGCACCTTTTTGAATAGTTCGATTGTCAGCCATCTGTTGATGCTAGCCTTTCATTCTGTAATGAGTTGCGAACATTGCTGACATTACGATTGTGCTTCAGATGCTGCAATGAGCAGGTTTTCGAACACAGGTGGGTAGAGCTAATTCCATGCATCTCATTAGAATAGAAGAGAAAATCTATTAAACTGAAAGCCACAATATTACTTAAAAAAAAATCAAGGCAGACAATAGAAAGCCGGTGGCTGGCACTCTTTATGAAGAGAATGTATAATATACACACATAACATATGGACATGTATTCTGTCGTCCATATTTGAACTCTCGAAAAAACGTATGTCTCATTATTCTGGTGTCTCTATCTAGAGGCGATAATGAGTAATTCATGCTTTAAGGTGTGTGAATTAATACTATATGAATGAAGATGATGTATTCATTTTGATGATAGATAGGTATCAAGTACGCGAGTTATATAGTGTTTTGTTTATTGATACTGTTACTATTTTTAATTATTTTTTTTAAATACGTGTATAACATCTGCGATCTCTCCCGCAATATTTCAATTGGAGAGTTTATAACAGCGAAAAAATTCAGGCTCCCAAGGAAGACAAACATCTAGTACATGGGCATGGATTATAAACCAGACATTTCAGTAAAGGAAAAGACTATTTTTATAGTACTTTATCAATTTGAAAAAATTATCATAGCAATATACTAGAGCTCAATATGCAATTGATGGTAACATTGATATGTAAGACGTATGGTATACATAATGATAGTTCAGCATGAATATTGATTGGTGGTCCAACCGACATCACAGGGTTTCGTGGTTTAGTGGTATAATTCCCGCTTAGGGTGCGGGAGGTCCCGGGTTCAATTCCCGGCGAAGCCCATTTTTGCAAATTTCAACTGGCAAATTTTTTGAAGCTCGTCTGATGAGGAGAGGCTTTCTTTATTTTTTTTAACATGGGGAAATAAAAGTATCCAGTTGGTATGGTCTCTAATCGACAATTCTAACTGGGTTTTGTGTAGTAGCTTCTTAATCTTGGCACTAATTTCCAGATGATCGTCTGCATCACTCTCATCGCAATCGAATGACTTGCGGGAGCGCTATGCTTTGATTCTTCCATGTATATGAAATAAAGGAAAGAAATGGGATAAACTGGTTTTATCGTCCCAGTACCATAGTTCTTATATATAAATATGAGAGGAAAAAAGTGCTGCTCAATAGGAAGGGTTTGCGCATCCCGCGTTCAACACTTCAGTACATATTACTCGATACCAGTAGTATGACCAGGATGATTCATGGCTATGACGGTAGATATACGAACAAAGCACACGGCAAGTCCTGAAAACAGAAAGCGGCAAGCACGTTTAAAAGTTTGTAAGCATCTTGAACAGTACCAAAGCAAGCGGAGGATGGAGATGTTCAAAGGGGGAAAATTCAGTAAGTTTATATTTACCATCAGAAGTGTCAGTTAATCAAGACAAAGCTGTTCAGAGTTCATTAAAGTATGACTCGCTTGAATATAAGTGCCCGTAGATACAGATCATACTACGAGGCTTAGTGTATAGGCACGTATCAACATTATTGAGCACAGGTCAGATTACTTTACGATATTTTAGCATAGAACGCCATGTATACTTTGACCTGGCATTAAATTGAATTGTATGGTACTTTAGTTATAGTTGACGTTGATATCATTATACACCATGGATTTGCTATGCAGTGCAGTATATCGTAGTTTTTTGTAAAAGTGCCATAATATCAACTGTAATTGTGAAGCTGGCTCTCGATCAACGTATATTAATTTTGATCACAGTACGCATTTGCGTTTTTAAATATGATATAGCCTTGGCTTTATTTCGCCTTTTTGGTGTTGAACAATTTCAATTTCAACACTACCGGCAAAACACAAGGAATAACTGAATTCCACTCACAATAATTCGAAAGTGCGCTATTGCGACCACGACAAACCCGACTCAAAGGTTATCGAGCCTTTCAAAATTTTATTTTATTTCTTTTAAAATTGCATATATTCTACCATGACATCGTCATTGGTCAAGACGATGTGGTCCCACTCAAAAAATTAAGTACTTGTAAGTCACTACGTTTTTATATCTTAATCGGCGTGGTAGTTTAATTATTCTGTTGAAGAAAAGCAAAATAGTCTGTGGAGATGCATTTTGGATTTGAGGGCCATGGGCTTCATTGATTTTTTTCTTCCAAAGCCAGCTACAATTAAGTTATAAAGTTGATACACAATGTATGCTCGCTAAAGTATAATTAGAGTCTACGCTCAAAAAGCGTAGATGTATATACCAACCTTCATCATCTGTTCAAAATACGCCTTACATCCTTTTGTCGACCATGACAGCTTCATTGCACTGGTTTTTTTGTTATTATTATTTATCTTTTCAATGAAGGTAACTGATATTTATTGACGTTAAAATTTTTTGGAGACATGCCAAGCCAAGGTGGTCACGGCATCCCAACCAGATGGGACATTTTTGGGCTTTGAAGGTGTTATACTGTTTTCTTTTGTAACTTCATCGCACTGTATAGCGAGAATATGACCAAATTTTTTTTTAGCCGAATGTACAATTTTTTTTTTAATATTTAGAATTGACGTGAGCATTTTTAATATGTGGTCAATAAATGATTTGTAATAAAAAGTTGCACCTAGGACGATTTAAATAAAATTGGTACATTGTGCTTTGGGTATTATAGTACTAGGAGGAATACTCTTCAAGTCGATGCGATTTGGCGCAGAGGAAGCGCGCCAGGCTCATAACCTGGAGGTCGCCAGATCGAAACTGGCAATCGCAACATTCTTTTTTTACTTTGAGTTGTGTCCATATGCAATTTGATTGGTGCTGAGTTTAAATGCGATTGCAGAACGGGTGGCTGCATACATTTTTTGTGCGTGAACCTCAAAATTCCTTTGCACAAGCCTGAGATATGACTGATTGGTGGATCGTCACAAGAAGGTCTGATTGGATCAATTCTTTTTGCAAGCTGCTGACAAACATCATATCGATTTATTGATGAGTGATAACAACCATGTTTGCCATATCTGACGGAGCCTCTGTTCAACAGTTGACTTCATCAGTGTTATGGATGTTCTACCTGGAACTCATAAGCGCTGTTTCTCACAGAAACCGGAAAAACAAAAAGTGACTGACTTCAACATGGGTACTTCAAAATTATCGTGACTGATCATACCATGAGTGCTGTTATTAACAGAAACGGCGAATAAGCTCTAGAATTGCACGAGCTGTGGAGTTGAGACTTTTATCGATCGCCAGGGATTTTATTTAACTGACGACGATTGACGAATATAACACCATTCACGGACTATATGTTTCAAATATGTTGTTAAAGCCTTTTACGTTTGTATAACGCGCCAATTTTGAAACGTGTCGACATGAAACAGCATTAACCGCTCGATGAAAGACAACATCATGGAAAATGAAGCTAAAAGCTGCAATTTACGGAAGGTAACCATAAGGGTCATTTGATATTTGTTAGACGAGAAACTTTGACTTGACTAATTTCGCTTGTTCTAGGTACTCAAAACCAAAAATGTCTCAAGTGTGCATCAAAAATAGGTGCTTGGCCGACGTATGTTGACCTTTTACATGTCTCGGAATCATTCAATGCATGACAAACGCTAAGCGTGATCGGGTTTACAAGGAATCTTTAGCCGCCTTCATATATACCATGCGCATTGAGTCTAGTGTAACTATTTGTCATTTTGCAGAGAAGGAATGGGTAAGAAATTAAATATTCAACCATGTGGGTGGAGTGGAATATAGCTTTTGTTGAACAGCAGGCTGAACAAGTGTTAAATAAAAATGGGCTGATTCAGGGGTTAAGCTCTCGCCAAAAACCAGTGAAATGGTATCATTTTCCGCTGTGATAGTCGATATGTCGTGCTCTCACAGTGGGTAGTACGGATATTCGTACTGTAAGCCGTAAATGAGATGACTCTCTAGAACATGCGACTTTCAAGCCCGTTCTATTGGAGTCGAAAACTGAAGCTGCTTGTATCGCCTTAAACTTTTGTTGTTCATGTCGCAATTGTTGGTGCACAAACAAGCGCACCTGCTGCTGATGAGCCAAACAAGTAAGCAAATAACCACGAGTAGCCTATATTAAAAAGATTTTCTTTTGAAACGCTTGAGGATAAACGCAAGAATTTTTTTTTCAATAGGAGATGCAGTTGCAAAATTTCAACTTGCATCGCTAATTAGTGTGCTACATTTGAGTTATTGATAGAGCAAATAAAGAGAACCGTACAATGTTCATCATTTCTTTAAATAAAAGTTAGAAAACCAAGATGGTGCAGTAAAAACGAGTAGGCTTTCCATTCATGTCGGTTAGAATGATGGTGGCATGAGAGAAGTTTCTTAACACCCAAACGGGCTTCCAAGCCACCCGCCTTCACAGGTGGGACGGCAGCCAGCATCAATTTTTTTTTTTTTTTTGGAATACAAGCTTAATCGTCAAAGTCCCCATTTACGATTCTCAGTTGATTCCCCATAATGGCTTCAAATAAATTAGCGCGGAATTCCCTAGATGCACTACTAAAGGCCTCGCCTTCGCACAAGATTACAAAGTCGAAGAATGCACCAGTCGACAAGAAGCAACGACTCAAACTGCCAGCCACCAAAACAGGGTTGAAACGCATCAAACAAGAGATACGATATGGGCACCAACAGAAAATTCGCAGCAAGGAAAGTTTGGCCGAAAGTAGACAAAATCCCATAGGTAAGGTTCGCAACGGGGTCTACTAAAAAGGCTCATATCCAACACTAAAAACCCGTTTCTGGCTGCTTGTTCTCCTTAGGGCTGGTACACAAGGATGAAAAGAAGGCGCAAGATAACCTTGCGAAAAATGTACGCTACATGACTCGTGCTCTCAAGGCCTCAGACACTGAGCGTGACCTTCGGAAACAAGTGAGTATCGACTGGATCAGACAAGCAGAGTGTTATTGTTTCTAATCATGATCGATAAATATTTAGGCACTTGAATATCGAAACAAAATGTAAATAAACCAGACCAGTCAGTGTATTATATGTTCAATGACAAAAAGTGTGTATTATAGGGGGGGAGATTAGTGTGGCCAGACGGCCCATGGTATATGTATTTTGGGTTAGGTCGGTGGAGACACCCACCGGCTATTAGGAAGGTTTACTAGGAACGGACAGTATTTGCAAAAAGAACATGCGAAAGAACAAAGTAGAATGAGGAACTTTTTGTACACTTGGAACCAAAGAGGTATATGGCATGCTAGACTCTTAGGCTGAGGAAAATCTGCGAGCCCATGATTTAAAAGTATGGTGTAAGCTGTGCTTGGGATCAGTGGGAAGAGACTGATGCGTCGGACTTGATTTTGGGGAAGCCGGTGGAGATGGCAGCACTGCATGGGTAAAACGAGAAAAAAAAGTGAGCGATTTATGCCGAAATGAACTGCATATAACGTTCTTTACTTACCATTGTACTTTGGAGACGATGCTACGTGGTCAGACATGGATGAGCAGCGTGGTGGCGGATAGTAGATCATAAGGGGCTCTACTGGTGTGACCTTCTCGGGACCACTATCTTCTTCATTGACATATTCAAAGTAATGAACACTGGGTGGCTCTGAGCTGAATCGAACTTGACGTCGACACAGTGAAGAAGACGTGCTTTTGATACTACTACTTCGACTTGATCCACTGTAAGTGGAAGCAGGAGGTGCTGTTGTATTTGGGGCACATTCCGGTGAGGGTTTTTTATCACAATTCCAGGATGACAAACAAGGAAGCGAATCAAATAGAGGCGGTCTGACGAGTGAACAGCGTTGTGGTATAGAATTATTTTCTTGCATAGATCGAAAGTGAGAAGAGAAAGAGAGAATGTAGAAGGGCGATGGATCAAAAAGTGATTTATGAAAAAAAACCCGCAGAGTGCTGTTTTACCAAAATTGTACAATCTTCGCTCATTGGTTTACAATCACGTGAACTACTCCGACTCTTTTTTTTTTTAACACTTGGCAAAAAAGTGAGTCTCTGGATCTTTCTACACCAAGACTTGGCTGGAACCCACTATCACGCTGGTTTCATAACAATAGACACCTCCTTAATGTGGTGGCAATGAACGCCAGCCTTACAGCTACTCGGAGTTGGAAATCGGTACAAAATGGTACGGACTTTTATGAGAAACCCCCACCACCTGTTCTGTTTTACTCGTAAGATTTCCGGCAGTGTTCAATGGCAAGATCGGGAGATTTTTATAAATGACAAAAGATAATACAAATTTATTCTAGGTACCACAGACCAGCTTCCTGTAATGACGCCTTCTTTTCTTGCCCTTGGCCTACGATTGGGTAGTTAGCATGTCATCTTCCAAATATGGCTTGAAGCGTGGAATCACTTACGGTAATTGGCATGCACCATCATAGGTGTCATCTCAAATTTGGTTGGAACCTTGTTTTCAAAATAATAACGACCATGAGGGAAGAGAGCCAAATCTAAAAGAGCAATGGGGCTGGAATGATAGCCTAAATCCATGTCGTCAAGAATTCGGTTCATGGCTGTCTGTTGTGTAACCTGCGGCTCCTTGTCTTGAATATCAATGCTATCGGCAATAATGCGCTTGTTGGTGTTAGTGGGTCGCATAAGATAGAATCCACTGTTGATAAGTCGTTGTTCGAGTTCCTGGGTGAACAGCACTTCGGTGACTTCTTGCTTCGTTTTGGCATCTTTGCGTGATTTCAGTTTGAGAAGAAGATAGTGGTAAATAGAAGGGTTGGTAAAGACGATATCAACGTCTGAGAACCAAACAGTGATACCGAGGTATAAAAGTCGTTCAACCACCAGAGACTTGGAGTGCGTGATGGGAGTGTAGTCGCCTACTTTCCATGATGCAAACTCGCCACTCAGCTTTTTATGGAACCAGTCGTCAGGAATCTTGACGACGTGGGTGCCGTAACCTGCCTCGGTCAACTGGTCTACCAATTCATCATCGATGGCAAACACCAAAAAGTGGTTCTCAAGATTACATCTCTTGAGAGATTCGATCCAGTTGAGAGTATAATCGGCCATTCCGCTATTCACCACTGCGGTTAACAAAATTTTGTCCTTGCTATCGTTCATGACATTATTATTGATCATATCCACCACCTTCTTTTCAGGGGTAGGGAAGGTTTTTGGAGTCCAGTCTTCTTGCTTGGTCGGGGCTGATTTGACTTCGATGGGCGCATCTTCAGGTTCATCGAGGCTGACATCTACAGCATCCATATTTTTGTCTAAGGCTGTGTCGATGCTATCGTCGCCGATGTTGACGATGCTGCTTAATTTGGCAGGGTAGATGGCAGGATGGCTCAATGCACTCAACAAGAGGGCAACTGTCACCAACGACAGGCCCAAGATGACAAAGCGTTTTCTCGTCATCCGTTCCATCAGAGTGAATTGAGGACTTTTTGGAATAAAGATAATTTAGTTACAGGCAAGCCCTTTTTAGGCCACAAAAGTCGGACTGCTCATAACATCGGTCTTTCAAACAAAACACTCTTCTAGCTGGCGGCGCACGTTTAGTTTGTCTTTCTCTCTTGCAACATGTCGTCTATCACCGTTATTTCACCCACAACTCAACAACCTATTGCTGAAGTGTCTTGTCTTTCAAAGAAGGACATCGACAACGTTGTCCAGAACGCAGCCGAGGCTTTTAAGCTTTGGAAAAAGGTGCCAGTATCCGACAAGGTAGCTATCATCGACAACTTCTTGAAGCTATTTCCAACCAAACAGGAAGACATCAACAACTCTATCGCAAGTCAAATGGGTAGACCGGCAAAGTATGGCGCAGGCGAAGTGAAGGGTGTTTTGGAACGAGCTTCGTATATGAACAAAGTGGCGGTTCAGAGCCTTCAGGATGAGCAATTCAACGATCAACAAGGGTTCACGCGCTTTTTGCGTAAGGAACCCTTAGGCCCTATTCTCATCATTGCTGCATGGAATTATCCTTACTTGACCATGGGTAGGTTGGCCGTGTCGCTTTCACAATCCGCTATCATCACCCTATGCTAAAGAATTTTCAACTCCGTATTGTATTATCTCACGCCGTGATCAGTCAACAATGTCATCCCGGCGTTACTTGCCGGCAACACGGTGTTACTGAAGCAGTCTCCTCAAACACCTCTGTGTGCCGATATCTTTGCACAAACTTTACATGAAGCTGGCATTCCCAAGAATGTATTGCAAGTAACCCATGTGGATGACGAAGGTGCCGACTATTTGGTGCAGCATCCTCAGATCAAGTTTGTCAACTTTACAGGCTCGATTGAGATAGGGAAAAAGATTCGCAAATCCATCGGTGAAAGCGGAAAGCTCATTGGTATGTGCCTATGGTCGAGTGTTGTACCAAGTCATTGGTATCATCTAACACCTGCTGCGTTGTCTGATAAGGTTCGGCTATGGAGCTCGGAGGAAAGGATCCCGCGTATGTATGCGATGATAGCAACCTCGATTATGCCGTGGAGAACATTGTAGATGGAGCTTTTTTCAACTCTGGCCAATGCTGTTGTGCAATTGAACGATGCTATGTGCAAGAATCCGTGTATGACGAATTTGTGGAAAAGGCCGTTGCGCTTACCAAGGTAAAAAAAAAAAAATACCTTTGAGTGACAGCCACGATTTTGCCGTGGCTTTGTGGTGGCCACCTCCTGAAGGTTACTCAACTCCTTGCTGCATCCCACAGAATTATGTGCTTGGCAACCCAACAGATCCAGAATCCAACCTTGGTCCTATGGCTAACGTGCGATTTGCCGACAAAGTTCGAGGCCAGATTCAAGATGCTGGTAAGTAATTGCCTTACCATCTTTAAAAAAGTTTGACAGGAGCCTAATGCAAACAAATTTGGGCTATTATTAGTGGAAAAAGGCGCCAAGACATTAATTGATACTGGCAAGTTATTCCCTGCTGACAAGGTAATAAGAGCTTCAGTACAAACCAAAAGCGTACACGTCTCGCTGACATAACTTTTATGCAAATGAATGTTTAGGCTGGCACTGCGTTTGTTGCTCCGCAAATCTTGGTGGACGTCGACCACTCCATGGCGGTGATGCAGGATGAAACGTTTGGTCCGGTACTGGCCATCATGAAAGTCAAGTCTGATCAAGAGGCCGTGCAATTGATGAATGATAGTCGTTATGGACTGACCGCCAGCATTTGGACCAAGGACGCTCAACGAGCTTTGGACATCGGAGATGAAATCGAGACTGGTACCTGGTTCATGAACCGCTGTGACTATATTGATCCCGGTCTTTGTTGGGTTGGCGCCAAGGACAGTGGACTTGGCTTCAGTATGAGCCATCACGGCTTTGATCAATTTGTTCGTCCAAAGTCTTTCCACTTGAAATTGGCTCAAAATTAGAAAACAGACGTACTTCCCCCAATAATTATAATAAATTTGGCTCAGCTCCGCCTCATCCCGTACAACGCATTTGGGCTCTTTCGCATGCAGCATCACTAAATGCAACGCCCTTCTAGACGCAGCATAACTATGAATGACGAACAGCGCGAGGTAAATCATATTGAGATTATCGAAATGTGAACAATTCTCCCAGAAATGATCACTGGTGGCTGATTCAGGAGGTTTCTCTTCCCAACACTAAATGATTGCATTGCATTGCTAGTTGATGGGCATCGAGGCTCACAGCGAGCATATCAAAAATATGATCAAGTGGAATATTAGCGACTTGGACCACTTTATCAACCTTTTAAGACATCGGTAACCACTTGTTCTGTTTTTTATTTTTTGGTCTCTCGGTGTCAGCACTCACCCCATGTCCTTTGCAGAATATCCGCCGAGGAACAGTACCAGCAATCTTTGATGCGTATTATGACCTTAGCGCATGAACCAGAAAATGAAACCTTTGAACAGTTTCGCCATGTAGATACAAGTGTGAAGCGCGCCACCGACGAGTTTCGAGACTCAGCTGACAGACAAGCTCAGTGTCGGCGTGAGTTTGTTCAAGTCATGAAAAATCAACTCAATGTTATGATTGATCTTCGCGAAAATCAGGAAAGAAATAGGAAGTTCGTCAAGAATGCCCTGAAAGACTCAAATGCTACCTATATTGGATTTCGCACCAAGGAAATCCCCAAGGTAAGTTCACCGCAACCCATCTCATCCATTTGGGTGTACTCAACCTGACCAAGATTTCATCCCGCCAGCTACGAAAGGCCTACGAGCAAAAGTGTATAGAACTGGAAAATGCTCAGCGGATGTCGCTGCAGGAAGCTCAACAACCTCCACCAGCCTCATTGTCTGTGCCTCCTCCACTTGTACAACAGTACTCATCGTCATCCACAACATCTGCACCAGGATCACAGCTATTATTACAACAACCTTACAGGTATCCAATGGATGGCTCTATGGAAGACCCACCCAGCAGCCAGCGTCGATCTGAAGATACCGACGAAAGCTCCCTTTCCTCACTGGATGCCAATTCGCCGCAACCACAAAAGAGAATGGCGGGATTGATGGCTAAGATGGCCCATATGGGTACGCAGCTTGCCAATGCTGCCGCAGCAGCCTCGGCTCCTGATGTCTCAAAGCAAAATGTAAAGAACGCAAAGACGAAAAAAGATATCGTTGACACAGGTACGAACAAGGCTGGTGGTCAGAAGGAGTTGGAAAGGGAATTTAAAGTTATGGCCTCGTTACTAAAATCACCCTGCTTCTAGATGCTGAGTATCGCGATGGAATCCGTTACTTGGAACATTTGAGGAAAAAGCAAACCGACGCAACCTCCTCGTCTTTAAAGGTAAAAGAAACCCCCCCCCCCATATTTTCGTACGCATATACACGATGTCAGACGCTGACCTCAATTCTCTTTTTTTTTTAACATACATTAGGTTCTTCAACGTATGTTGAAAGAAAAGGCAGACAAAGTCAAGATTGCCTTGGATGTTATTTTGAAAGTGGAAAACAAGGGATTGCAGCAAAGTGAAATCTTTGTACAGCAGGCAACCAAGACGGCCGAGCATATTCTTGGCGACAAGGACATTGAGCAGTTCCGCAATGAGTTCAAGCGTGAGGAATTTGCAGTGTCAACGCCCATCTTTTATCATAATTACTATGCTGGTGAAAGCAAGGACTTACTTTTCGGCATCTCTCTTTTGGAGTACGCCCACGCTCACCGTCGAACAGTTCCACTTTTGGTCATAAAATGCGTCGAAGCGGTTGAGAGGATGGGTGGATTGAAGCGAGAGGGCATTTATCGAATCTCTGGCCGGCAAAGTAATATTGAAAAGCTTCGCCAAGCGTTCGAAAAGGATGAAGAAGCCACTGTACTTAACGAGAATAGTTACGATGTATTCACCATTGCCAATGTCATGAAGCAATTCCTTCGAGAGCTTGATACCCCATTGTTTCCTCTCAGTATGGATGACCGGATATATCATTCAAGTAGGTTGATCGACCCTATGTTTGCATGCCGAGGACAGCTTGACTTATTTCAATGAATTATTTTCCAGATATCAAGGATACTCGACTCCGAATCTTCAACCTTTATAAACACATTCTCAACTTGCAAAAGGTGCATTATGATACTCTCAAGGTTTTGATTGAGCATTTGTCGAGGTGAGTGTGAACTACACGAGTGATAGGTGGAATGGCAAGCTTTTAGAGACTAAATGGTGCATCCCTCGCATTTTCTTTTGCAGAGTGGCTGCCAATGCGGATACCAACAAAATGAACATCCAAAACCTGTCCTTGATATTCACACCAGCTATCTTCCACGATCATAATCAAGCACAAAACCCAGGCGAATGGTTTTCTGACTGTGTTTTGGAGGATCTTATCCTGAATTACGAAAAGCTATTTTCAACGGTTGATCCAGCTGCGCTCAATAACACAGTCGCAGTAGAGGATCAAAGGAGATTGATGGAGCACGAAAATGCGCGAAAGTTTGCCACCGCTCCTGCGCGTGGCTACGGCAAGGAGTCTTCGCTCGGTAGTAGTACCATGCAAGGAAGCCCGTCCTTACCACCTTCTGGTAAGATGCAACCACCACCTAGTCAGCAAGCTCCACCTAGTCAGCAAGCTCCACCGCCATCCAATTTCAATCAAGCTCCACCACCATCCAATTTCAATCAACCTCCTTTGCTGCCCACTATTCCCAAGAACAGCCCATTCATGGAAAATGCAAGCTTGCGCTCCGCTGACACACAAAGCGAATCCAACCGATTTGCCGAAGCTATTGCAACGGCAAATGCTCTCCACTCACAGCGCAGTTCACCTGTGCCCACCATGACAAATTTGGGAGGTGGCGAGTCGAAAACACCCCCCACACGTCCCACCATCCACACCAAATTGTCCAATTCTTCACTCTCTAGCCCTCAACCCCTTCAATTCAAACCTTTACCTGCAGCCGCGTCACCGGTACGTACGTCATCCCGTGCCAGTCTGATGCAACTACCTCCACAGCAGGTGCAACAGGTACGGTCAGCCCCTGCTACTCCAGCATCTGAAGCAAAGGGACCGTCTGATACGTTGATCGATTCCTATCATTCACCTTTGGGGTCATGGCTGGATGATGAAGTAGAGGAACCAAAAGAGGAGTCCAAGGAAAGGCGAATTTCCTTCAATGCTATTAAGCGTACCATGAGTTTGCGTAAATCGACTGTTCTTAAACCATCGGACCCTTCGTCTGCCAAGCGATTGGATTCTTTGCCAGCGGACGACTAAGCTCCTTTATAAAAAAAAAAAAAGAACGCTCTTATGTTTGATTTAAAATAGCTTTTTGTTTTTATTCCCACTTTTTGCTACGTTCTATGTGTACTTTTATCCGCCAAACCCGGGCGAGATTTGTATTGTGTTAAATTACGGCTGTATGATAAAGATAGTACCAAATTTTGCCTTATATAGCACAAAGTGTGGTTATGATTTCTGTTTTTTGTTACTACTTTCTGTGCCAGCCGACGGGCGCTTCATTTGCTGCTGGTTCTTCGGTTGCGTCCGATTGATCACTGGTGCGGTGGTTTCAAGCGTTTTGATCTCAGTAGGCATGTATCTATGTTCGAGCCATGGTGCGCTAGGTGTTGGGATCCCACTGGTCAGTTTTGTTAGACGGTCCCATACATCGCCAGAGCCCTAAGAACGTACTACATCAGCATCGACCGTTGGAAGATTTTTCGCACAATTCACCATCTCCTTACCTTCACCTGTACACCCATCACTCGCTTCAACCCTAAGACGCCTGCTAATGCTGTTTCCGAGCCTTTTTGCAGCGGGACAAGTTTTCGTCCGGCAAGAGCGCATAGTTGCGGGTAGTAGGAGCACAATTGAGGTAGTTCCGTGTCAGAACGACACACAAACACAATGGCATCTGAGTCGTCTGGGTCCTTGCGTTCAAGGCTGCGGGTGATTTCATTGAAGCCAGTGATCACGGTTGGAGAACTGGGAAGCTGCTCGGTTGCTTTGATCTTTTGTTTGCGCTGTTTTCGTCGTTCCAATCGGGCCTCTCCTATTGGTTTTAAAAGCTCACAAAGTGCTTTAAAGATCTCCAAATGTCGATCTGCTGGCGTGAAAGGCCTGGAAAGAAAGGATCGGCAACAATGAGTAATTGATCAAGTAATGGCCATAGCACTACTCCGACCGGTATGGAGAGGCTGTTGAACAAATCCTTACCATTTCAATATGAAAGGGGTATCTAGAACTGCCTTGTATACAGTCTTTTTCTTGACTTCTGTTTTGCGAAGGTTATCTCCGTGGTGTACTGCGACTGACATGTGTCGAGATGAATGCAACAGAAATATTTGCGGCAGAAGGTGACAGCGCGGTCAATCAAAAAAATATAACAGCAGTCAAACTCCAAGTGTAAAGCGTCTGCTGGATGCCGCTCTTTGTCTCTATGTTCGTCAAGCCCTTTCCATACAAACGGTACATACGAATTAATTAACTACATTAGGATGAATGGAAACATGAATGATGAGACATTTTTTGGTACGTCTTCCGTTGAGCTAAGCATCCCTTTTTACACTAATTAGTCTGTTATAAACTTAATTGACTTGGCCAGAAGTCCCGTCGATGAGACACCAAAGCTAAACAATGTATGCTTTTGTTGAAATAGACATGTTACCAGCGATGTTTTATTCAGAGGTGTGTGTTTTCAGTTGTTACTTTTTTTTATTGAGTATTGGTTGTTAACGTAGAACCCAGCGCAAGGAGCCATCTGCTCATACTTCGGTTCGCCAAGTTGAGGTAAAATACCAATTCTTTTGGAACGCCATGTCTTGGAATGAATTTGTTGAAGAGAACTTCAGCAAATGTGTCGGTGCATAGTTGCTTTCCGCAGGCTTTAAGGACCTGGATGCGTACGCTATCACCCTTTCTGCTTTGGGACCTCCATCCGGCGACTGACTTAGGATTGCTCCCCAGCCATGGTAAGATGCATCAACCGACAAGATCTGCATACACTTTTCGTCCCTTGTCCTTGGTGGCCGCATCTCCAAAACTTTAGCCACGTTTGATCCTAGAGGAGCCAAACCGTCTTGGCCGATCCGATGTCCCAGGTAGTCACCACTGGAACGACAAATGGTGCACTTCTTCCTTTTTAGCCGGATGTTGGCCACATCCAACGCCTTGAGGACCTGACGCAGATGGTCGATGTGTTCCTTTAGTGTGCGGGAGCACACCAAGATGTCGTCGATGAATACGAACACCGAGGAACCCAACAACCCTTGGAGAGTTTGCGCCATAAGTCTTTGGAAAGTGGCCGGAGCATTGGTAAGACCGAACGGCATGACCATGAACTCGAAGGTTCCGTACTTCGTGACAAAACCAGTCTTTTTGATGGAGTCTTCATCCATCCTAGTTTGCCAGAAACCCGACGCTGCGTCTAAGGTTGTGAAGTAACGGCACCCTCCAACCGAATCCAAGATCTCGTCGATGTGCGGTAGGGGGTAAGTATCGCGCACCGTCTTGGCATTCAGTTTCCGATAATCTATGCAGAAGCGGAGTGATCCATCCTTCTTCTTTACAAAGATTGCCGGCGAAGTCCATTCTCCAGTGGAGGGTCTAATCAGGTTGAGGTCCAACAACTCATCTATCTCCTTCTTCAGATGAGTTTCCTCTTCCCAGGTCAGACGGAAAGGACGGCTCTGTACTGGGACTTCATCCACGGTGTCGATCCTATGGGAGACTCCTTCCACCACTCCCATCGCCCTATTTGGTTATCTCTCCAGGTTCATTTTGGCATTGGAGGCAGAGCAGTAGATATCCAGCACAATTTTTAATCGATTCTATTTCCTTGTGTCGTTTAGTATTACAGCAACGTCATCGGCATATGCCATGACTTTGATTGGGGTAGGCCGTTGTGCTATGATAGGTGTTGGCACATTTAGTCCTCGCATTCCCGGGTGTTGCAAAATCATTCGTATCAGAGGTTCAATGGCCAAATTAAAGAGAAGAGGTGAGACTGGCACTCCTTGACGGAGTCCCCGTTTCTGTTCAAACAACATCCTTGATACCTTTAGGAATGGGAAAGTTTGTGACTGCTGCCGTCTTGTCAGGGTCAGCTTTAATGCCACCGCTGGTTGCTAGGAAGCCGAGATATTTGACTTATGATTTGGCGAAATGACATTTGAATCGTTTAGCCAATAGCTTGGCGTCACGGAGTGCGTTGAATAAATGTTGTATGTCTTCTACATGTTGCTCGAAGGAAGGAGAGAAAATCACAATGCTATTGCGCATGTAAGAGTCACGTGAGTGAATTTGTTAATTGAGACTTGAAGCGCTTTCATTTATGGTTTTATGTGTGAATTCAAGGTTCACTGCCACGGTTGTTGGAATGCTTTGCTTAGGTTCGCCAAGGAGCAGTCGCGACACTATATCCTTCGGAGATTGCCTTGGTTTTGCAAATATATCTTGATAAAAATAGTCAAACTTTGTCCCTGAGGATGTTTCTTACGATAATACCTCATAGAGAACAGACTTGAGGAAGACGATAAATGAAGAGAAGTGAAATTTGCCAAGGTCAAAGAAAGCTTGACTTAATTGAGCTAAAGGGAATTGGATTAAATCAAGAACAAATACAATGCAGGAAAAAAGAAGAAGAGACTTTCATTTCAGAATGATTGAGATTGTCTCGCAACAAAGTAGTGAAGAACAAAAGAAACGGGGAGGTACCATGAGGAAGAGTAGGACTAGTTCGCAGAACATATGCTACGGCACGGATTGCCTTCGGATTCAGTCCGTTAATGAACTGGTGCAACATATCGTTTTCAGACAAGGATGTTCCGGAAGGGTCCTTGCTCATTCCTTGTCTTCTTCCTAATGGTCAGCAGCTTCTTCAGTGGGGCGTATTTCTTTATTTTCAGCCCAAATCGTTCCACGAATGCAGCGGAAAAGTCCTCAAATTCAGTGTACTCGCCATCATAGAACCAGGCTCGCACTTCAGATTTAAAGAACATCGGGATGAACATGAGCTTATCTTCACGGTAGTCACGGTCGCCAAGGCCATCCTAATAGCAGGCCAACGGTCGATATTGGTCTTTCCTGACTACATTTAGTATTGGAGCGTGACTGGATCCTAATATTTGGTCTTTCTCGCAAGATCGGTCCAGCGGGCCCATAATGAAGGGCCAATCGCTAGACATTAAAAAAAGTCGGTCTCCATGGATAGACGTTTCTGAACCTGATGTCTATTACAGAGTCAGGAATGCGACCATCAATCGCAACCAATGTTGGTTGTCGGTGACAAGCCATTTGGTAGAGAAGGGTGAGGTTTCCTAAGAACGAATGCTATGGCAGGAAACCAGATGTACTGCGAAGTGTGTGATGTCCGCAGCAACAGCATTAGTTTTTCCTGGGATATGCTTCACGGTGAATAGGAATTCCTGCATTGCTATGAGCCACCGCTGTAAGTTTTGACTGAGCTGTCATTTTGTCCGCTGCTTTCCAGAGGAGGTCTCCCATTCTTGCCGGGCACTGACCTGGCGTCTTGCAAGTGCAGGCCGTTCATTTTATTTCCATTCGTTTTTTGTCCAAGCACAAAATGGAACGGCTATCGAGTATACGTTGTGATCGGTGTATATCTCGTATTGTGCTCCGTCGCAAAATTATCCATATTGACGGTAGAAAGAAGGTTTCTGGTAAGGCATGGGCTGCGCCAAAGCACGCATGAATGGAGCATGTGTCAATGGCGCATGGTAATGAAATGCATAAAAGTTATCATGCAAGCCATACGCTACCCAATCAGCATCGCTCGGTCTTTCCAATATGCTTGCAGGTGTGCCAATGATTGTGTGATGAGAGAGCTCGGATTATCTGCAAAGGTTGGTGACGCAAAAGGACGGTGTGGTGTCGGAGGATGACACAGCTGTGGGGTTTCTTCGTTGGCGCAATGGATTTCTTCAGAATTCGTTATGTTATACGTCACAAACATTTTTATTTGGTTTGTAGAATGTAAATCTTATCATGAAGCCTGCGTACTATGGCAAAGATTATGAGAATAAACCATTACGTGTTCTACTCATGTGTGCGACGGAGAGGAGGCCACAATGCTTGCAAAAATGAAATACTTTGGGAAAGCTGAGAATGTGAACTAGAGAACATAGACGCGAAGTCAGAACGACTCATTTGCTGGACAGTACATGTGGCGCGTAACCGGAAAGCAGCCTACTCAACTAGAAAGAGAAATCAGATCGTAAAGCATGATGGAAGCCGACACAAAGTGCAAGATTTTATGGAAAAAGTATAGCCCTTGACAACAGCAAAGTCTTCTCTTTCCAGGGCCCATTGCAAGTCCTCAGCGATGATAACAGGAGCCGACAGTTTCTCTATACGGATATTTCGGTTTATTTTATTTTTTCTATTACTTCTTCAAAACAGCAGCGTTCAATCCCTTCTTGTTTCTTGCGATTTCCACTGCGTAAAACTATATGACAGGTAAAGGAATTAGTGTGCATTACATGGTTAGTGCCGCATCAAAGCTTGATAACTTGCCTGCATTCGCATACCGAACATAGTGTTCTGTTCGGTGTAATCGTCTCGTGGATCGATACGAAGCAAGGAGCCAAAGTTGTACTCGTTCACTCGTTTTTCGTATTTGTTGATCCAATCTCTCCACTTGGCCTTAGCCTTGTCGGTCTTGAAGTGCTGCTCATCCAAGTGTTGAACATCAATCTCGGGGAACGTTTCAGTGAAGTCGGCATAGATTTCATCGTCAATGCTTAATGGCACAGAGTAGGTAAGTTTTCTGTGCATTTGTTCAATATCAGTCAACATTCAATCAACTGCTGCCTGCTTACCCAGTCAAACGCAACTTGGATCCGTCTATAGCGGATATCAATTTGAAATATGTTTCAGCGTGGTGCATAGCCTAACATAAGATATGTCAAAAGTCGTCCTTGCCGATCCGTTCCCGTGTTTGAAGCATTACTCACCTTGACAGCCCATTGCTTTTCTATTAGAGCGGATCACATAAGGAAACATCGGTAAATCAGCGTTGAAGGAAACCAAGAGATCATGTCGTATATTATATTTCGAGTGACCTACCAATATCTTGCAACTGCTCAAGTTCGTCGGCTGAAGGCAATGGCATGGCGATTTGTTCAAGGCTCTAGTAAATTGCGATATTACAACGTCTTTAAACGAAAAAAAAAAAGCTAAGTCACGTGAACTGTCCAACGCTACCATGGCAGGACCTTGACGACATGAACGGAGTTGCAAACGCTCGTCCAGCAAGAGCGCCTGCATCGCACTCTCATTGTTGCTCATGTCCACGCCGCAGGACTTTGCCAGACCATCAGAAGGCTCTGAAGCTGACACAGTACCTAATCAAAACGAGAATGAACAAGACGAACAGCCTAGCTCACATGATTCCGCTGTAGAACCTCACCAAGTCGCAGAAGATGAAAGCAATTCAGGCGAAGAAGACGACGACGAAGACGACGAAGACGAAGACGACGACGAAGAGGAAGAGGAAGAACCAAAATTACGATACAATAGAATAAAGTCCTCTGTGGCGGAAACTCTTACAAAAGATGCAGCCTCAGTACTTCGCGTCTCGATGCGATTTGTGGTAAGTGTCTCTTCCACTTCCAGCTCCGTTTATACGAGACTAAAGAGACATTCTTTGCGTAGGCCATGGGAACGCACTGGGGTGCTGTTCATATTCTCGATTTCGATGGAAACCTGATCAAATCTTGGCAAAACCACTCTGCTACTGTCAATGATATTTCCATTGATAACGCAGAAGATTATGTAGCCACTGCATCCGATGATGGTAAGTATAGACGCATTGATGGTTCAATCGTACATTACATCCAACTCATCCGTACACCTTGCAACTCTGAAAGGTAAAATTTTCGTGTGCGCTTTATATACCCCTGAAGTTCAGTCCTTCAACTACCGTCGACCTGTGAAGAGTGTCGCTATCGATCCTGAATACAAAAACAAGTCAACACATCAATTTGTATCGGGTGGTATGGCTGAACAACTGATAATGAACGAAAAAGGTTGGCTGGGACATAAAGATACCGTCTTGCACGCTAATGAAGGTCCCATTTATTCTATCAAATGGCGCGGTAACTTAATTGCGTGGGCTAATGATACTGGCGTTAAAATGTATGATACTACAAGCAATCTTCGAATCACGTACATTGATCGCCCGGCTGGTAGCCCCAGAGGCGACTTATATCGTTGTCGTATGTGCTGGAAAGACGATACCACGCTTCTTATTGGGTGGGCTGACATGGTGAAGATAGCCAAAGTCAGGGTAAGAATTCAAAATGTTCAGTAAAGGGCTATGATGAACGCCAATAGTCAATACCATTTTTATAGGAGAGAAACAAGCGTGATCAAGTACCAGGACAACCTAATCATTACGTGGAGATCATCTGTATGTTCCGGACTGACAATATTATATGTGGTATCGCCCCATTTGTCGACAACATTGTGATCCTGTACTATACAGACGAAGAGGCATCCAGCGACGAAGAGGAAGAGGGTGATCAGCGGACCCGTCCAGCTAGTCAGCCAGAAATTCATATACTTGACTGGTCCGGCGAAGAGATATCTAACGACGTGCTTGCTGTGAATGGCTATTCACACTACCAGCCCAACGATTATGGCTTAGAATTTTATCCTAAAGAAGACATGTTTTATATCTTATCACCCAAGGATATCGTGGCAGCCTATCCCCGAGATTTGGATGATCATCTCCAGTGGCTTTTGGATCATCGCAAGTACGAAGAAGCGCTTCATGCAGCAGAAGAAGCTCTGGCCAACGGAACACCAAGCGAGATCTTCCTTATTAAAGATATTGGACAACAGTACTTGCTATGGTTGATGGAGTACGAACGATACGAAGAGGCGGCAGCTGCTTGTGAAAAAATTCTGGAAAAAGACCAAAATACGTGGGAGCAGTGGATATTCAAGTTTGCTGAAATGGGTCAACTCAAGGTAGGGCGAGAGTATGAATGCATGGTGTCGATGTATTAGGTAAAGCTAATCATCAACATTATCTCACGTTTATCCTCTAGGCAATGGCCAGCCATATACCAATCCAAGCCCCTCAGCTTAGCAGCACAGTGTATGAGATGGTATTGGCCTGGTTACTGCAGCATGATCACAAGGTAAGGAGAGAGAATCCGCGTAATTTCATTTCAATTTACGTCCATGGAAAATCGTTCCTAAAGTGATTATTACCCCAACTTTATAGTCGCTTTTGGATACATTGCATGAATGGCCGCCAATATTGTACAATGTGTCGAGTGTTATCATGGCAGTGGAAGACTCTGCGGAGAAAGACAAGGACAACGTCATTTTATTAGAATGTCTTGCTGACCTGTGAGTTTTTCAAGTTTGGAAGTCACCCAGGCTGCTGGGTATTATCGGATAAAGGGGGAACGGACCTGAACTAATGAATTATTTTATTGGTTCCTAGATATACCTACAATGGAAAACCAGACAAGGCTATTGAGTACAATCTACGATTACGCCGGCCCAATGCATTTGATTTGATTCGAGAATACAACATGTACGAAGCGGTGCGGAACAAGGCTGTTTTACTCATGGAATTTGATCAATATCTTCTGGATGAACAAGCAAAGACGGTTCAGGAAGGAAGTCCTAGAAAACAGGCAAACGACATGCCAGCCGTTCAGCTATTGATTGAAAACACCCAGGCTATACCGGTGAGTTCATTTGACGAACGGTGTTTGCGGGAAAAGACTCACCCATCCTAATGATATTGTTACAATTTTTTTTTTTTTTTTTTACTTTCTTCAGCCGAAACGAGTGGTGCAACAACTGAAGCCCAGACCAAAGTTTTTACACACCTATCTTGATGCGCTATTCCGGCGTGATCCACATTTAGGTTATGAATTTCATGACCTTCAAGTTGAACTCTATGCTGAATTTGATCCGGCGAAATTACTCGATTTCCTACGAGCTAGCAATTATTATTCATTAGAAAAGGTAAGAGATATGTGTTACGTCAGTCCAGTGTAGAATAGGACCCAAATCTAACCTAGCTCTCTCATAGGCATACAAAATATGCGAAAAGCGGCAGTTAATACCAGAGATGGTGTTCATCTTGAGTCGCATGGGCAATAACAAGAAAGCTCTTATGCTTATCATCGAAAAACTGAGAGATGTTCAAAGGGTAAGTCAGCATGGAAAAAAGATATCGCGAATAAGGTGGTTTGGAAAGCTCGATCCATTCTTTTTACACTTAAACTAACTGACTTGGGGGTTTCGGTGTTACGAAAAAGGCAATCGATTTTGCAAAGGAACAAAACGACGACGACCTTTGGGAGGACTTGCTGAAGTATTCCATGGATAAACCTTGTAAGTTTATTATTTGACAGAGAGCCCTTGCGCTAAGTGAGCGATTCGGTCACCCTGGCCAACCATAATAAGTCGTGCGTAACAAAGTGAGCCCGCTAATGACCATTTCCTTTTTCTGTCTGTAGTGTTCATCAAGGGGCTTTTGGAAAACGTGGGCACCGATATCGAGCCATTGCGGCTCATCAAACGCATTCCAAATAAGATGGAGATACCCGATCTCAAGCAAGCTCTGTTAAAAATTTTGCAGGACTATCATCTACAGGTAAGGCAGCAGCGACTTTTCAATATTCGAAACTCAACAAAAACCGGAGATACAAACATCGTAATGAAATGAAAAAAATCTTTGTCCTTTCAATAGATGTCGTTGAGGCAAGGTTGCGAGAAGATTTTAGTAAGTGATAGCGTGCAGCTAGCGGATCGTATGCATAAAACTCAGAAAAGAGGTGTTCAATGCCAAGGTACGTTTTTCGACTTGCGGTATTCTAGAAAGGGTTTTCTTGTAAATTGGCATTGCGGCGCTAACGTGTCACAACGATTTTTTTTTTTCCTCTACTATCAAAGTGGATGCGATTTGCAATATTTGCGACGAGCCAGCTTTCGATGAAGACTTGACGGGTGTTGCCACCATCGTCTTCTTTTGCAAGCATGCGTACCACCAGCGATGCTTGATGGACGATACGGCTGACGAGGCCTCCCTTGGACCAGATCATGTGGCCAGTAGTTTAGCAAGTAAAGTGAATTACGCTACGCTACTGATGTCCAGCCGGACGATGGCATGTCCTATCTGCCAAGAGCAAATGGCTAAAGGAAATGGAGTTGTTCATCGTATTGCTGAACGACTGGAACCTACAGCTTCTAGTACTATTACTCTAGCTTAGCTTAATGTATAAAGACCAGACCATAATGTCGTACGTATAATTTGGAGCTCAGAATGTAACACTGACAATTGATTGAAATTTTATTGCAACCATGTCCATAACAAGAAGTCGTCCTCGACGCGGTTTCCTTCGTATTTAAGCAATTTAGCCTTTTTGCTTCTTGCTTTCATCCTCCTTTATCCACACCTTCTTTTTTTTTTTTCAACGGTTTCATCCACTTCGATGGCCAACTTTTCCATCCTTTTTTTCGCCCTGGTGGCGCTTTTTGTAACCCTCGCCTCTGCTCAAGGCGGTGTCAGCAAGACTGGCAAGAAAGACGGTGAAGCCATCTACAAAGCAACCAAACAACCATCTTCTGGAACATACAAAATCAAAGCGTACGGCACAAGCAGTTACATGAGCTACAACCCCAACGGTAACATCGTTGCTCCTGGAAAGTCTGCTTCCCATTGGACTTTGAAGCACCACTCTGGCTCAAAGTACTTCTCCCTCCATATCAACAAGAACACCCTCCACAAGTGCGTTTCCACCCGTTGGACCACCCATGGTAAGGGCGGTGGTTATGCTGATGCTGCTGTCATGTGGCAGTGTGAAGTCGATGGCGACAGCTATCACGGCAAGCGTTCTGAAATCAGCAACTCCACCCACATCGAAAAGCGTTACTCTAAGATCGTTACTGAAAAGCAAGAATGGGCTGCAGTCCCCGTCAGTGGAAAGAAGAACACCTACAAGCTTTTCAGCGCTTCTCATCTCTACGACATGGTCCCCCGCTGCATCTCCCACTCCAAGATCTCTGGCGGAACCAAACTCAGTACCTGCAAGGTCAACACCCGATCCAACAGCTTGTACTGGACCTTTGAAAAGGTTTAGTTCATGTCTATCCCCTCTCTCCGTGCCTGGTGCACAAGCTGTCTTTTGTAGAAATGAAAGTTTTCCCCCTTCTTGTAGTTCATAAATGAAAAAAGAAAAAAAAAGAACTTGTCCAGAATGGCTACAGCAGCTACGTTCACTTTTTTGTGCCCATGGCATACACACCATATTGATTGTTTGGCCTATTGTTTTTGACAACCGCGGATGAAATGGATGGTTAGACTATCCTTGAAACTACATCATTGGTGCACCTTGCGCAACGTTTAAACCAAGCTGTAAACCCACTAATGTGTGACAAGTCGCTCTTTTCCACGTTGGTAGCCACCGTCATGACCATTGGAGGAAGCCGACTTTGAAGCTGAGAGGAAATTGTATAACCTAGAAAGGGCCCACTGTGTCGAGAGTAAAACGTTTTTCCTGATGTATCTTTTTGCGTAGCTAAACTCATTCAGTCCACGGATATCTGACTTACGGTCTTGGCAAACGGTAACACATCGTATTCGGTTACACGGTCGTGAGACCCTCACATGAAACACCAAGCCATGACCCGGTCAGTTTTAGTTCATAGCAAGATGCTCAAGCCAACAGGACGATATGATACATGTTTGTTCTTTTTCATTAAAAAAGAGGATTGTAACTATACAATAAGTCGATGTTTCCGGCTCATTCTATTTCTTGGGAGAACTTGGTGGATGTATTGGGTGGCCGTAAACATGGTCCATTTCTATGATCCAGTGGCAATAGGCGTTAATTCACACACACAAAGGATGGCGGATACCACGAGCCAAAGAAATAAAAATGATATTCAGCATGAAACTCACGTTCTTCGTCTTGATTGGAATGCGTCTCTAAAAACTTCTTGTACGCTGGGTGATTGACATCTACACGGTTTCCCATGGTCTGATAAAGTCGTAGCTGGTCTATGAATCCCTGGTTAGGCGTAACAAATGGCCGCACTCGTTTGAGCATGGCCAAAGCCTCCTTGTACCTCATATTGTTAAGTCGCATCAAGTAAGCTGTGACTATGGTGGCACTCCTTGACACACCAGCCACGCAATGCACGAGGACTTTATCACCCGATTCTAAAATGTGATGGATGAAATCATATGTCTCATCGAAATACTGTATTATGTTTTGCTGTGGCGCATCTAACACCACAATGATCTAAAGCAAAGACGTGTAAGCAACAGCATAGGAGTTTACCGTCAAAGGGGGGGGGGGATGAAACCCCGATACTGGGCCGTCATTTACCTTGTTGACAATGCCTTTATCTACATGGTGTGGCTTAAAGTGACCAAGGGAAAGTATGTACGATATGTGCTCCTTCTGAAGAAAGTGAAGACTCTCTGCTGCCGTGAAGCCTCCAATCCATAGACCATCCATGACTTCTTGAGCTACGCTCGTCATTAAGATCCCGCCAGGTTGACCGTTTGCGTCATTTTCTAACGTGGAGTATAAATGTGAGTAGGAATCTAATGGTGGATGTCCTTCATGTTCAGTATCGTCAATGGCCATAGCGTTATCAAAGGCGACCATATTGATGCAAAATTGCCTGCGCGCCAATTCAAATGGTCGTGAGTGTGACTGGCCAGCATATTTTCTGGGTTTGAGCTTAAGCGGCCAAGCCGATTCAAACAACACAATGCCCGTAAAATGATACCTAGAAATATGACCACTAGTAAAAAATACGTTGGTCCAGAGTAAACCAGCGGAACTTTTCGAGTAAAAACAGTACATTATTCAACTTTATTCAACTTCAACTACATATTCAACAGTATTCTATAAGCTAGCAAAGAGGAGGATATAAATTTTGAGATAAGCTACAATGAATTAAGTAATTGTGTTTTGGTTTATACACCATTTAAATGCTACTTGTCTTTCGTGCCAAGAAGCAGTAAATGTTGAAAATGGTTTTGCTTGGTCCAAAGTTGGCGATGGCTTGATCCACCAATTTTTTACCAGTGTGGTCGTCAACCCCCATTTCTTTAGCCAAGAATGGAGCCAACCCTTGAATAGCAGCACCAATGGTGTCAGCCATCAGTTGATCAGCGCGGGAACCCCAGCCTAATAGATGGTCTGATTAGCTTCTACTGCAAAGGTACTCCGGATAGAATGTTGCATTACCTGCTTCAACGACATATGTAAAATCATGAATGATTTCAAATCCAGTTTCTTCCGCTAGTGGATGTAACTGTGCGCAAATGGTAGGTTCTTGCCCTTTCTTGCGCTGAAGCGATGCCACTGTTGAAAGGATGCGTAAGTTATTTATGCAAGGGCCATTTTTTGATGTTATGTTCTGAAATACTCACAGGCCTCGAAAACTCGCTTGACGGTTGGGTCAGTGGTCTCAGGCTAAAAAAGGTTCAAAGTCAGAGAAACCGATCAAAGAGCTACAACATGGAGGCCACAAAATGAGACTGCTTACGATGGCAGTGGTTTCGACGTGCTGGAAATAACCACCATTCTTCAAGGCTGCGTGGATGTTTTTGTAGGTAAGGGCCCACTCTTCCTTGCGAAGACCGAGTGCAAAGAACCTATTTGTTTTGTATGAGATTTACAGGTACAGAATGGAAGGACATCGAATTGAACTTACCTCATTTGAACGAAATCAAACTGACGGTCGTAAGTGAGAGGCTCGAGTAAGTTTCCTTTGTGGAAATGAACGTTGGGAGGATGAATTGCAGTGGGAAAAGTTTCTGCCATGTCCATGCCTTCGAACTCTGAATTAGGAAAATCGGTGGCCATATCCAACACCCAGCTACCAGGACCACATCCCACATCCAAGGCATATATTCCTTTCTCGAAAAGAGGCGCCATCATCTCCTTGTTAAGAATGTTTCTATGCAAGAAGGTTCAGCAAAAATGACATCATGCATGTTCGTATACCAGGTGTGTGTTTAAACTCCAGTAATCATCTCATTAGACGTACCCTTTCAGCTGTTCCTTGACCACAAAGTGTTGCTATGATGGTACGTTGGCATTAGATTGGAGAAAAAGAAGCTCTAAACTAAAGTGCATTTCGAGATTTACCTGATGAAGTCGATCTTTCTCGAAATCATCCTTCGGTAGGACGTATGTGCTGCTTTCCACATTATGGAACTCCCGGCCGTGCATCACTCGAGAATTCGACTGAGTGGTACTCCGAGAGCTCACAATAGAAGGGGTATCGTCCTTCTTCGACTTCTTTTGAAAGCGTAATGTTGATTTCTTGTTGCCCATTAGAATAAAGAAAAAAAACGTGCTTCATGTCCCTGAAGGCAGAAAACTGTAATTCACAAATTATTTGGCCAATCAAGGAGGTGGTAACACTGACACAAAACCAAGCACTCGGAAAGTTGAGTGTTACTCTGAGACTTCAAAATGTGCTGTTATATTAAAATGATTAAAAAGAAAACTATTCAGTTTCGCGGAGGAAGGAAGTATGGTATTAGAATTAGAAGCATAAAACCCTTCAATCTGAGCCAGCATGCATTCATAACAACTTGCCTTCTTCATCATATGTCTCCGCTTGTAATTGAAGGTCAACTTTACAAGCGAATACTTTTTTGGAAGCCAACCATGCTGTTTGCGGTGACGCTGTATACCTTTTTCCCGAGTCCGGAATACATATTCAAACGTAACATCTGCCAATATGTATGTCAATGAGGGTATAAAAATGTATTCAGAGTTGCCTCACAGCCTCCTTTCTTAGTCGTGGCCAGTCTGTACCAAAAATTGATTCCTGACTCCCAAGTCTTGAGCCTTGATGGTTTGCTTTATACCATGGACATTAATTTTGCCAGCTAATTGGTAATGGCCAACATGCAAGAGTGTACTGTAAGGTGTGGTGCTGCTTAGCAGCGAATGTACCGCTTAATCAATATCATGAGCTTACAGATGGACAAAGAAAGCAAACTTTTATCAGATTGGGTTGTACGCCTGCACAAAATAGGTTATCCTCGCATCTGCTGCGTTACCTTTGCCGCGCGGACGCCGTGGCTTATCTTGCATTGGACCGAACGCTCGCTTTTAATGACAATTTGATAAGATAGCGGAATGAGCTACCCAAGGGTCCCCTTTGATGTTCCGACAACCGAACCAACCGCTATAATAATCATCAATCCCAACATACATCACGCGACTACTGAATGAACTCAAAACGCTCTTAAATCTAAATTGTAATGCCTCCGCAGTGTAGCAAGCAAGGCCGAATGAGGCACAATTTTATGTATTTCATTAAGCCACATGGATAATTTTACCCAATGGTTTTGTGACTGGAAGTGTGCTGGCTGAAGACGGTAGTGCACGGGTGAGCCACCTTCAGCTGTACGAAGAGCGAATGCTGCCTAAAATTGGCGGAATTGCTATGTAGCATTGTATAAAAACTTTGTCACTACTTGAAGAAGCATTCACGGTCGGAAACCTGATGTTGTCACAATATATCAGTGCTATTTTCCCCACTACGTCTGCTATTTATAAGAGTGAGTACGTTGAGCCCCTTGTGTTTATGTTGAAGGAACTATGCAACATAATGCTTCTTCTTCTGCTTTTTGCAACAAGATGCTTGCACCTGCGTTATACTCATTGTTCCAAAACCACTTCGCTTCCGGAATCACTTTCCTTAAATTACTTAAACACGGCAGGGACGTCCATCAGAGCGAATCAGAGATGCGCGAACCTGGACCAAGGTACTCCGACGAATCGCTAGATGATGATAGGATATATCAGGTTGCAGGATAAGCCATGTTCATATTATCTGCGAATATAGATAAAATCAATTTTACAAGATGGAAAAAAAAAAATGTAAAAATGAGCCAAGTAGCTGTTAGACAGAGTGGTAGTGATAAAGAACGAAGCATTCATACCGTGAAGCGTTCAGCAAGATTATCTTCTCACAAGAAGCAGATTGTGATGCCTATGTCTACAAAGGATGCATGGCTTGATCTACTGGACCTAACAGATGAAACCTAGAAAAGAAAAGACTTTGCACTATGGGTCATTCACATTGCCAAGGAGAGTTTCAAAAAGACGAGTTCGAATATTCCTTCCACAGTGTGATTGTAGCTTCAATGGCATACTATCTGAGCACGAGCTACTATTGTAGAAGTTCGAGTATCGGCAGCATTAGGTAATTAAGCTTCTTCAGGTAATGCCCTTCTGTGCTGTTCCACAGTTTGCATCTGTTAAATTGATACATAATAGCGATACTTTCCAATAAGCCTTTAGCTTTTTTAGCCGAGAATGCTGCCGCAAGTTATATGGTGGATTGAAAGTGTAAAATACATACCGCTTTTCTTTACACTTTATGGCTGCTTGCTGATACCTCATCATTGCTTTGCTGGCCATCTTCGTACTTTAATTATACACTTCTTACGACAGCTTTTCAAACGCAATGTTTGTGTTTCTACGTCATCCATTTTCTCAGTGCTGAGAGCTCGACTATTTCTCACACATCTAATAAGAAAACGACAACTTTTGATCGCAATCCCTCTTAAATACCAAGAAATTGCCTTATATCCGTCACTCCCGTCCGTTGCTGCTAGAAGACACCGAGCTTTGAGTCAAGGAGCAGATCACGTGACCAAGGTGGTTGAAAAATGCAAAAAAAAAAGTGGGGCCATTATCATTTCCGGCCACATTTCATAGATTTGATCGGCATCGATCTAATAACCTGTCAAGTGCGTTAGGTTGTTCTTAAGCATCTCGCTGGCCAGCCCCACTTAAAATGACTGGAATCCCTTGATAACTACCCATAATTTTCCCCACTGATCGCATTTTTCTCCACACCTACTGAATGAAAAGTCGATCTGTCTCTCGCAAACTATACCCCTCTCCACTACGCGTCTATCCTTACAACGAATAGTGTGTAAACCTCTGGGGCAGGAATAAATTGAGATATAGACACATCAAAGCTATAGGAAAAGCTGGTGTAACAGAGTGGTAGAGTGCACAGACCAAATACACCAAAAATGTGGGGAAGCCAGAGTAGTTCCTATCGTACAGGGGGTGTTTACAGGTCCTAAAGGCTAGAAACAAACAAAGCTACACCATTTTATATAAATTTCAAGTGGTTTAGACTGCAATAGTATAATGTTTGCGCTAGTGTGGCTCAGTGTCGAGCGCATACAAGCGATGAATACGACCTAAAATAAAGGAATAGCATATGCTTATTAGGAGAGGCATTTGATTTCCATTTAAACTACTCCGTTTTTAATTTCTTAAGCCAAGGTAGCGCCAAAAAAGCTATTTTCAAATAGATCATCATTTAAGAAATGCATTATCATCGTCGTTACCGCCGTTTCCTGGACAATTTGGATGGCACTGCCGACAACCCACATAGATGTACTGTGGAGTTGAGACGGAGCCGAAAACTATGTGACATAAGTTTGTCACGTTCTTACTGCAGCTAAATATGATTTGTTCATGCTTGTACATGCCAATGCCAGCACTAAAGTTCAATTGGTGCTGATCAGTGCAAGCTGAGGCTGGAATTGTATGAATGAAGCAGTAAATCACATTGAGACTTTGCAGAATCAGATGGAATAAGATCTTAAACAACATACAGGTTAGCTAGTACCGTTCTTGTTAATCTGTGCATGCTGAAGTCCTAATCTCTGCTGCTTTGCTGCCACCATCTTGGTACATGTTTCTTTAACAAGGTAGAGCATCCAGCTTCAGTACTACATTCTGCACCCGACACCTGCAGGCGAGTGTAAAAGTGACTGATGAAAATTGTGCCTGGGAACATTTGCTGAAGAAAGCGGGAAGCCCAGGTGGGCATTTAAATTAAAATACCCGGGGAAGTGTGGAGGTACCAATTTAAGTGGGGTTGCCTTGTGTAAACCAGTAGGCTTTTTAAAGAGTTTATTTTCAAGAGAACAATAAGAAAGCGAAGGCAGTAAAAAAGTGCAATCCAATGATACCAACATTAGTTTTTAAATTTAACTTACTTACCTATGGGAGGCTTCCAAGTTGTAGTCATAAAACCATGATTTCACAAGGCTATAAGTGTAACCAGACAAAGCATGATCGAATTCATACTCATTTTATCTGTTGTACGTACTGATCTCAGGCTGATTTTATTGTGCCATTGCCAACAAAACGATATCACAACATGACCAAGGCTAGTATTCAGCTTATGCATTATTAACCTGTCAATGATCGTTTGAAAATAATACGTTTTGCTTCATATTCTCGCAACAGTAGCATATTTCGGAAAGCAAACGTTACAGTGATCCTGGTGTAACGGCCGTATTCCCGCATTACACCGCAGCACAGGGGGTTGAAAATGTGGAGACGGGATAGACCATTCGTATGTTAGTCTCGCGGGATTGGATCGCATGGGAAACAGCCGTATGAGACGGAAAAATGGAGAAAAGTACAGTGTGACATAAATCAAGGCCGTTGTAGCGATTTACCAGGCGAGCCAAAAAGTATAAATGTGGCCATATCGAGATACTGATTCTACCATTCAACAAAGGCATGACTAAATTAATCAATCTCTTGCTACAAGGGATCCTTCTCTTTAGTGCTTTGGTGTCTGCCGTGCCGACTGTACCTATACAGTTGAATTACTATAACTACACAAATAATGTCCTCTCTGGTCAAATTTACGTAAGTGCCGAACCCGAATATTCATAGATCATATCCATTGTAAAAGCCATTGACACCAAAATTCTTCATAGGTCCAAAATATAGCTTACCAGAAGGTTGTGACACTCTATTACTCTTCCTCTAGCGATGTGTGGAACATTGCTGGAGATTCCATTAGCGCCGCTTACCAAGGTGCAATCTCAGGAACGAACTATGAATTCTGGAATTTCAGTTCGACCATTGGCAGTTCTGGCATCGAGCATTTCTACCTCAAGGTAAGTAAGCTTGGAGCGTTTGAGCCATCAATACAACTTTGAAAGAAACTCATTGCAAATTGCGGTTGTGGAATGCAGTACGATGTCAGCGGAACAAGTTATTATGACAACAATGGCAGTCAAAATTACCTTGTGACTACCACCACAACTTCTTCAACCACAACCACCAAAGCTAGTAGCACCACCACTACTACAGCCTCTAAGAGTACCTCTGCTACTACCACAACCTCAACTACTACTACTACAACAACAAGTGCTATTGTTGCCACAACAACCACCGCTACTACCACATGTAAGAATATCTTCAACGTCAGCGACTGTCATTTTGTAAAAATAAATGCATATTCTCTAACAATTATTGCTAGCGTCCAAAACAACTACTACCAAGTCAAGTGCATCCACTGGTACCAGCTCATGTAGTGTACCAGCACCTGCACCTACTACTGAACTTACTCCATGCTCAACATGGAACTTGGACAGCTGCAATGGTTCTCAAACTTCCTACAATAGCACAGGCTATGATGATCGAAAGTGGCAAACGCCTGGCAAAGGAAGCTCCGATTACGTCTCAAGCTTCCAGGATTACCGTGAACTTACTGGTTATGCTGATGTTACATATAACTCTGCTCGAACAAGTGCTACTGTAACGGTCAATGCCTTTGCTCGTACTTGTAATTCCATTCTCTATAGTTTTGGAGGTGCTACTGCCACATCAAGCAACACCTACAGTGTGCCAGCGGGATTTACAGGCACCCTAAGCGTTGTAGCTACTATACCAGCACTCAATGCTACACTAACCTTGGATCGTAAGTACTTGTATTAATGACCATACAGACTTCAGCGAGTGATTAACGAGTGCTTATAGCACTGTACTTTATTTGGGACAAGCAGTCGGTGAATGTCTCGGCAACCAACAATGGTCAAAAAGTAGCTATTGTAGAGCTATTTGGATGGCCATACAACGACGTTGGAAAGGAATGTGTCTTTCTCGGAAAGGCTGGCTGGAGTGGTGTCCGCATCTGGCCTGCAATGGGTAACAAGATTCGTTCTATTTGTTTACGTTCACTTTTTATGAAAACATTAACACCGATCTTTTTCATTGCTTTATAGAACATCTGATAACCGATTATTATTATGAAACTGATGGCCAGTACAATCCGTAAGTGTCTTACAACCTATGAAACTGCGTTTGGTGCATTAGAAACTAATATGTGTGCTTCGCCTTCAGTTGGTATTTCCTGTATCAGCCTGTATCATATCGTTTGACCAAAAATCGTATGGGTACAAGAGACGAACTCAGAGCTATGATAAACACGTGCCGCAGCAATGGTGTTCGTGTTTATGCAGGCAAGTGAATAAGGTGGATGGTGAACTTTTTTTTACAGTTGATTCTGACTCCCTACATTAGATGCTGTCATTAATCATATGACTGGTGGTGTAAGTTGTTGAACCTGCAATGACCATTCTTTAAGAGTCAGTGTATCTCATATGTCTTTTACAACAGGGAAATGATATTCAATTGCATCGAACATCAAGCGGAAGCTCATGCACGTATTGGAGTGGACACAACACCACGGTTGGAAGTCCAGCTTATACTCATGATTTTACTTATACACCAAACAAGCAAACTGGAGCGAGACCAGCTCTAGAATTCCCAGGTATGGTTTGCAAATCTGTATGAAACGCATATCTACCGCTTGCTAATTCATCGAATCAGCGGTTCCTTATGGACCAACCGATTTTCATTGCGAACGATCTCTCAACTCTTGGAGTGACCCATCTGACTTGAATTATGGGTAAGCAAAATGTTCGAAACAATGAATGAGATAAAGAGGTTACTAATTGTCTCTTCGCATAGCTGGCTTGTTGGTCTGACAGATCTCAACACAGAGTCTGATTATGTTAGAAACAGAATTGCAACACATCTTGTAGATCTCCTGAGCATCGGATTCTCTGGTTTCCGTGTAGATTCAGCAAAGCATATCTCTCCAGATAACCTTGCTGCCATATTTAGCAAAGTTCGTCAACGCCTTGGAGGATCTTTCCCAGATGAATTTATTACATGGCTGGAAGTGCTTATGGGTGGTGAGAAGGATTTGCTCGCTTGCCAGTCATCTTCTTACAATTACTACACGTATTTGAATCAAGTATTGGCGTCCAACGGTATATCCGACACAGATATTCAGAAAATCAAAATTTGGAGCAGCGATTACCCCAAGGAGTTCCCCATTTGTGGATCTTGGATATTGCCGCCTACCAGATTTGTAATTCAAAATGATGATCATGACCAACAAACGTCAGGGTCCTCTTCTAGGGACATGGGAAGTGAGGGGTCTGTTCTTATTGGTAAGTGACAATTGATGACGCGTAGTACAGATGGAAAGGTATTCTAAAAAGGTTCCTTTTTAAACAGTTGCCAAAGACGTCGCCGCACACAGAGCCTTCGAAGTGGAGTTGTTTACCCGTACAGATGGCAACTGGACTGTTAGAAACGTTCTCTCTAGCTATTCGTTCATGAACAATGGAGCTTCTGGATTCCCTGACGGTCTTTCTGATTGCTCAACCTACGTAGGAACTGCTGCTAAGAGCGGATGCCTGTCCATGGCCTATGCTCCTGCATATGTTGCAGATTCCTGCGGATACTCAGTTGTTGTAAATGGAACATGGCAGCAAGGAGCTTACACGTAAGGGATTGCTATCTTAATGTTATCTTAGATTAAATGCAAGGAATCCTAATGAGATCTTCGTCGATTACAGCCGTGTTCATCGCGATATGTCCATCATAAATGCTATGAGAGGCTGGATGGGCTATGCCACTACAACCGCAACGGCATTGGGATTGCCTTCCACCTGCACATAATCCCTTTTTTCTACGCAGGAAGTAGCAAAGATCAACCTCATCTATATTGTGGTTAATGATTTATAGTGGATATGAACAGTTATAATAAAATTATGCCTATTATTACTGACCTTTTTGTTTCTGTTTATGGGTTGAATCGAGATTATTGACCCCGCAGGTTAAAGGAACACGGACGGCTGCTAGTTTTTGGACATCTGATGCGAGTTGTTCCTTGCCCGCCCCTTTTCATTTCTCTTTGTGAAAACCAAGAGCACATGCACACGGCTCAATAATATATCAAATCGTATTTATTTACTTAATTTTACAAAGGTAGCAAGCATCTCATATCATAACAATCCAAGTGGATATCGTATCGAGCACCGGTTTACTCTGGGATATCTTCCACGACGTACTTCTTGAATGCCCTAGCATCCACCTTGTTCTCAAACATAATGTCGAGCTCCTCGTATGTGCGACCTTTTGGTTCAGGTAGTCGATAGTAGGTCCACACTGTGCACAGGAAACAGAGTCCACCCCAGAAAAATCCAACCTTGCCTTTCCAGTTCAGAGCTGTTGGATTCAGCATATACGGTGTGGCCGCTCCAAATATGATGTAGAATAGGTTGTAAGTGTTTCTAGCCAAGCTGATGGTTTTACCTCGAAGTCTTGTAGATGATGTTTCACTAACCAGAGCAAAACAGACCGGTCCAACAGATAAATCGTAGGCAAAGACGAAGAGTAATAGCACCACCGATGATGCCCAGGGAATAGCGCTATTGGTACCTGGTATGACGGCTAATATACCAATGAGAAATAGCATAGTATTCATAAACACTAACCCTCCAAGGTATATGGTTCGACGTCCAAAGTGGGCCAGAAGAACCCAGGCAAGTATCGTGCCGATGAAGCCAAATCCATATTGGCTGACACCTAGTGCGTATGCGCTGGAAGTATCCAAGCCTGCTTGCTCAAAGAAATAAGTGGCATATCCCATGATCGGACTGCCACAGAGGGTTTGAATTGCCCATACGCAACAGCAGATTTCAGTTCTTCGAAGGTTGGATCCTCTGAAACAGTCTTTGTAGGAGGTACCTTTGGTGATTTCGGTTTCGTAGTGGTTTGTGCGTACCATCTCGGCTACCATTCTTTCGTTCTCCTCAACCGACAATATTGAAAGGCGGTTCAAAGATTTTTTGGCATCCTCTCTACGATCTTGTCGCACTAGCCACCAAGGTGACTCTGGAGCAAAACAGAGGGCGCAGAAAAGAGGTACTGGCCATACCCACTGTATTGCAAAGGGAAGCTTATATGCCCATTCATCATTGCGACCTTGCAGACTATCCAATACTCCAGATGCAATAAGCTGTCCTGTTACCCAACATAGATTGACATAGGTTGTAAGGTATCCACGAAGTGCTACTGGACAGACCTCTGACGCATAGGCTGGAGCTAGGGTGCTAAATACACCCCAAGGTATGCCACATAGAACTTCACCAACGAATAGGACAGGCGCTGTGGTTGAGAAGAATGGCACGAAAATGCACATGGTAATAGTGGCGAGTGAAATTAGCATCATTCGTTTGTGTCCAAGTCTCTCCGTCATGATGCCATTGATGAAGACTCCAATCACTACGCCGATGTTCGTACCCATTGATAGAGCCGTTTGCCATGCAGCGGAGATTTCATATCCATCTCCATACGGTTGACCGAACTGCTTCTGGAATGCTGGAAATCCATAGAGCGCGCCAAGTAGCGCAGTATCATAACCTTCCATAATGACGGCAGCCGATACAATTAGTGACCAGCCAACAGCTTTCTTGTATAACCGAAAGGCTTCCCATCCGGTCATGGTATGTTCGGAGTCTGTTGTTGCCACCATGGCTTTGACGGCGGTGTCGTTCCAGTCCTTTGATTTTTCGTCATGCGTATATGATGGAAGGGTTTCCTGGTGCACAACCTCTTTGTCGCCATTTAGCGATTCGGCATCTTGTATGGAAACAGTCATAGAGAAAGGAAGTTTATGGCCGAAATTATAACAAGTCTTAAAGTGGCACTCTTTAAAGCAAACCGAAATGTGTAGCCGCTCTCTCAATGGGCCCCAAAAAAATGCTGGATAGTGACCAATGAAGTGACGCATCGGCGCTGCATCGGCTATTCTTCAGAAATATAAGTTGTTATTTTTTTCAGTAGCGATTTGGCTCTCGCCTCAAGGGCTAAAAGATTAAAATCTGCGTCATATACATGGATGGTTTTCAAAGGAGTTTGAGCACAGAGTAGCACAGTCAAAATGTCCGGTCGTCGGTTGAGTGCTGACTTCATTGTTTATCGTCAGATCACATATCATTCAATAACAAAACGTACAGAAATGACGGATATCGCAAACAATTCCTCCTCAATACTTTTGTCAGGTGTAAGGCATTTTTCGATATTTAGGGGCTCTGCTGCTGATAACGTAACTTAATGTGCCTTGGGCCATTTCTCTTCGAGTTGCATGCTTGAAGGCGCAAAAGCTTAATCGCTCACATTAAGCTTTGCTCAAGCGGGGTTCCCACAGAGACCGACCGAATTTACACCGATGGCGGACCTACTTCGACTATCTACCGTACATATATAATTGGGACGAAGAAGATTATACCGTCGTCGCTTTACCGGAAAATACATACCCTGCACCATGCCTCTAATTCCTAACACAAGCAACACGGATAAGCGTTGGTGGAAAGAAGGAGTGGTCTATCAAATCTACCCCTCAAGTTTCAAGGATTCCAATGGTGACGGCATGGGCGATATTCCAGGCATCATCTCCAAATTAGATTACATCAAAGATCTCGGTGTGGACATTGTGTGGCTGTCACCATTTTATGCAAGCCCACAGGTTGACATGGGGTACGACATTTCTGATTATCAAGACGTGTATGGACCCTACGGAACAGTCGATGACGTTAAGGAGTTGATTCAAGGTTGCCACAAGAGAAATATTCGTATCATCTTTGACCTGGTGGTCAATCATACGTCAGACCAACATGCTTGGTTCAAGGAGAGCAGGTCATCCAAGGTGAACCCCAAAAGAGACTGGTATTACTGGAGACCTGCAAAGTATGATGAACAAGGCAACCGCATGCCACCTTGCAACTGGCGTAGCTGCTTTGGTGGCAGTGCATGGACCTGGGACGAGACCACGCAAGAGTACTACCTTAATCTTTTCACTCCAGAACAGCCAGATTTGAACTGGGAGAACGAAGATGTGCGCAAAGCCATTTATGATAATGCTATGCGATTTTGGCTTGACTTAGGCGTGGATGGTTTCCGAATCGACGTTGTGAATATGTACAGCAAACATTTGCCTTTTGCGGATGCACCTATTACCGATTCATCTTCTGCGTGGCAGTTGGCCGTAGAGCTTTTCTGCAATGGTCCTCGCATGTATGAATTTTTGGAAGAAATGAATAGCTCTGTGCTATCCCACTACGATGTCATGACCGTAGGAGAACTTCCCTGTACCCCCGAGCCAGAAGCTGTACTTCGATATGTCAGTTCCAGTGCCAAGAAACTCAATATGGTCTTCCAAATGGACTTGGTGACGCTTGGATTTGGTAAAAATGAAAAGTTTGAGACTACCGAATGGAATCTGCTACAGTTCAAGGCATTTTTGGATAAGTGGCAATGCTTTATCAACGGAAACGATGGATGGACCACTATATTCTTGGAGAACCATGATCAAGCCAGGTCCATTTCACGCTTTGGTTCTGATGATCCTGCCTTCCGCGAAATATCAGGAAAAATGCTGGCTACCTTCTTATGTACATTGACCGGTACACTGTTCCTTTACCAAGGCCAAGAAATAGGGATGATCAATGCTCCCAAGTCATGGCCCATCGAAGAATATAAGGACGTTGAGTCCCTCAACTTCTATAATCATGTCAAGAAATCTACCAATAGCGACGAAAAGGCATTGAGTAAAGCCCATTCCGCCATCCAAGCTGTTGCAAGAGATCACAGTCGAACACCAGTTCAATGGGATAGCTCTCAACATGGTGGTTTCACCACAGGTCAACCCTGGATGCGGGTCAACGACAGCTTCAGCTATATCAACGTTCGTGACCAAGAACACGATGAGAACAGTGTACTTTCTTTCTGGCGCAAGGCTATAGAGTTCCGTAAAAACTATAAAGAGCTGCTCGTATATGGAGAATTTCAATTATGCGATGCCGAAAACACAAAAACATTGACATATCTCAAGGTTCATAACGACCAAAAAGCGTTGGTTGTTCTTAACTTTACCAAAGAGGAGCAGACATTTATGGTACCAAAGGAAGCTCATGGCCAGATGGATTTGGTATTGAGTAACTCAAAAACATCTTCTGAATCCAAACAATTAGGACCTTTCGAAGCTAGAGTATATCTCATAAACTAGATGGTTGTAAAAATGTACTTTGGATGATAATATATTTTTTGTTAAATGAGATGTATGGGATTGTCTTATAGTGTTTGGAAGATTTATATAGGTGTCTTAGCTTGCTAGACATCGTCTTTTCATATCAGTGGCAGTAGATGCCCAAATAGAACGATAAAGTAATGTCAAAGATGAAGGGTCCACTAACTGGCAACCGCTATGGCGACTCAGTCTAAAATATTGTCCAGGGTTGGTTTCCAGTAGAAACAATACCACTGTTTCATAGTGATTCAGCACAATATTACAGCGAAGGCACAAGTTTCTACAGTCTATAACCTCACAAGTGTGGGCAAGTAGCTTGGCCTGTCGAACTGCTGGTGGTTCAAAAGTCCTTATCTCATTGGTTTGGAGCCAATCTCCGCACTCTTACAAACTGTCAGCCAAGCTTGCTAATTTTAACTTCTTAGCCACCTTTACAGCATTCAATGGCCAAAGAAGCGACCAAGGAAGAACGTGACCAGATCTTCAAGGAACTCAAGCAAAACCGACACAACAAGTTATGCTTTGACTGTGGTTCAAGAAACCCAACCTGGGCGTCCGTTACTTTTGCAGTTTATATTTGTCAAGATTGCTCATCCACCCATCGCGGTCTTGGTGTCCACATTAGTTTTGTCAGATCGATCGTCCTGGACATATGGCAGTGGGAGCACTTGTGGTTAATGCGTGCAGGCGGTAACCAAGCTGCGCAAGAATTCTTTTCAAAACACGGCGTATCTGCATTGAATAAGGATGCTCTCAACAAATACACTTCAAAAACTGCACAGCAATACAAGAAGCAACTGGCGCAGCGGGCAAAGACTATGCAAGAAAGGTATGTATGAGTTATGAATGGACGAATGCTTTGGATGGTAGACTGATGTTTGATCATAGTCATAGTGTCGCCGAGGACCTGACCGAAGCAGAACCATCTCTGATCGATTTTTCAGGCTCGCCACCTGCGCCAAAGAATGGCACGACAACTTGGTCAAAGGAGGAGGAGGATTTCTTTAGTGGTTGGGAAAAATCAAAGGATAGCACAACAAATCCTCAGCAATCGAACAACCACACTGCTAAAGCGAAAGCAAATCTATCAACGGCCAGCCATACCCGACAGCAAAAGGCAAAGCCCATGAAATTAGGTGCTAGACGAAATGCTGACTTCAACTTTGAGGAGGCGCAGGCAAGAGAAAAGCAAGCATCGGTCATGGCGGAAGAGGTTGCAGCAACTGCCATATCTCAACCTACTCATACCTCTTCCAGACTTGCATATGCAGGCGATTTCAATCAAAACTCAAACAGTTCTTCCGCCGCGGCTATGCCAAGTTCCAAACAGAATGGGTCAACCAATGCACCACAGCGATTTGGAGGGTTTGGATTTGTTCCCGACGCCAATACCATGGCTAATGCACAGTCGGTTAATTTGCCTTCCAGAATCACCGGTATGGGTTCAACACCTGATGTGGATGAAGTGACCGCCGCACGAGATCGATTTACCAATGCCAAATCCATATCGTCCGATCAATACTTCCAACGAGGCAATTATGATCAAACCCTCTCTGCGGAAAACAGTGCCAAGCTTGCTCAGTTTCAGGGCTCCAACAGTATTTCTAGCGACCAATATTTTGGCCGCCCAGAGTTCACAGAATCGAGTCGTCGGATATCGTCTGAATTTGATGCCAGTGATTTGACGAAAAAGTTTCTCCGTGGCGCTAGTCGAGGTGCATCCAAGGTATGTATATTCTTTGGGGGCTTGCTTGTCAACGCATCGGCTAACCTCACATTTCCATACCAGCTGCAGCGCATGATTTCCGACTTGGAGGTAAATTAACCATCGTGCGTGTGTGGTGGAGGCGCGCTATACATCAAAAGGCATGCATGTATTAATCCATTTTTCACTCTGTGCAGCGACGATAATTTCAAGGGCTGATCCCTATGCCGCCACTCCTATAATCGTTCAACTTTTATACCCTAGACTCCTTCAGCTTCCATGTACATAATACAGCAAGAATGAAGACACGCCAACAGCAAGGCTTATATGTGTATGTGTGTGATGACATTTTGGATTGTATTGACAGCAATGTTTTGTCTTCTTAATCATATAAGATACATAAACATAAAGAATAAACATAAAGAAGTAAGGTAATAAAATAATTATTTATCTGGTAAATTCGTAAGCACCGCCAGTGACAAATCTGGCCTTGCGAGCGTTCTTTTGATAGGCGTTGATGGTGATGGTGAAGTTGACACCTTCATCAGCGTGCTTCTTCAAATCTCTCTGGTAGTACTCAATGTCCTTTCGTGAGAGCTTAAACTTGACGGTCTTCTCTTCGCCAACGGCAAGGTCAACTTTCTCGAAGGCACGGAGTCGGTATGCGTCAGGAGCATATCCAGGACGAATGGATTGGGTAGTGTAGAGAAGAACAGGCTCCTTGGCGGGATAAGAACCGTCGTTCTTGACCTTGACGGACACTTCAATGGATGAACCATCAAGCTCTAGGGTATTGGAGGACAATTCGATGTCAGAGTAGGTGATTTCAGAGTATCCGAAACCATAACCGAAGGGGAATTCAGGTGAGTAATAGGATTCTTCACCACCGTTGATGTTGAAGTAGTTGTAAACACCCTGCCAGTAGGTCACATTGCTTTGAGAGCCGTGCTTGGGATAGGTGAATGGCAATCGACCGCTGGGGTTGACTTCACCAAAGATGATTTCGGCAATGGCCAAACCACCCCATGAGCCTGGCAAGTAGGCATTCAAGATAGCAGAAGACAATTCAGGAATGTCCTTCAAGAGACGTGGTCGGACTTGGACAAGAACAGTAATGATATCGGCCTTGGAAGATTCCTTGATCAAACGAACAAGCTCAAGCTGACCTTCACTAGTGGTCAAGTCATCAATGTTACCACCAAACTCGGCGTAAGTGTTTTCACCAAGGGCAACAATGACCTTCTCAGCATCCTTGACGGCAGCAACAACTTGATCACGCTCTTCTTGAGTCCATTTGCCATCGATGTCAGGGCCGCGAACATATTCAGGGCGAGTGCCGGTGACTTGTTCGATACCATCCACGATGGTGATACCACGTCCACCATAGTACTCCTCATTACCAAGAGATCCTTGCCATCGAAGTGACCAACCTCCGTTTTGGAATGAGATGCTGTTACCAGCAGGACCGACCACAACCACCTTTTGTTCCTTCTTTAAGGGAAGAGCATTATCCTTGTTGACCAACAAGGTGACGGATTCACGAGCAGCATCGATGGCAAGTGCAACATCCTGCTTGGATCCGACAGTGGTGTGCAAAGACTTGTCAGCGTATGGCTGTTCGAACAAACCAACATCCTTCTTCAATTGAAGAACGCGAGCAGCGGCACTATCAATCTTGCTCTCTGGGATGCGACCAGTCTCAACCAAGTGCAAAAGAGCCTCAGAGAAGTTGCCATTGTCAGGAACCATGGACATATCCAAAGAAGTGTTCTTGACGGTTTGCCAGGTGGCATCATATTCACCCTTGGCGGTTTGGTGATCTTGATACAAACGCCAGAGATCACCCCAGTCAGTAACGATAAGCCCCTTAAAGCCAACGTGTTCTCTGAGAAGGGTTTCAACATAGAATTCAGATGTGGGAACAGGTTGACCATTGATATCGGAGAAAGACTCCATGGCAGAAGCAACACCTGCATCAGCTAGAGAGTACAACGGATTACCATTTCAGGTGAAACATCATCCTAGTACAGGTTATAGACAAAAACTTACTTGCGGCTTGGAAAGGAGGAACAAAGTACTCCAACAAAAAGTTGTCTGGGATCCAAGCAGAGCCACGGTCTTTGCCGTTGTTGGGCTTGCCATAGGCGATCCAGTGCTAAAGGAAGTCAGCGTTGGGATGTGTGTTTTTTGGGGTTTTTACCATCGCTGTATCTATGAATGCTTACCTTCATGCAGGCAGCAACGCGGTTGCGATCCTTCTTGTAGTTACCCTGCAACCCCTTGACGGAGGCAACAGCCATCTCACTGGTCAAATGAGGATCCTCACCAAAGTTTTCATAGTTCCTGATAAATAGGAGGAGAACAGAGCGAGTTAGAATAAGGCCCAATGAATTTTTTCCCACTCCGAAGTGGTTTGATTCTTACCTAGCCCAGATCTTTTCAACGTTCAAGTCAAGGCATGGACAGAAGATCCATGGAATACCGACAGCTCTAGTGTCCTTGGCAGCAATACGGCTGGATTCGTAAGCATGCTTGGGGTTGAAGGTGGCAGCAGTGGAAGTTGGTTGAGGGAACAAGACGGCACCGTTGACATAGTTGGCACCGTGGACAGAGTCCAAACCGTAAATCATAGGGATCTTGGGACCGTGCTCAAGAGCAACCTTCTGGATACTATCCACAATCTCAGTGAACCGCTCGGGAGAGTAGACCTGGTACTTTCCTCCGTGGTTACCGGGAGAATCCAAGAAGGAACCAACTTTCCATTCATCAACCCAGTATTCAACTTGCTTCAAATCCAAGAAACCATCCTTATCCATAAGCTTTCCGATTTCGATTTGAGTCATCTGACCAATCTTCTCCTTGAGTGTCAACTTGCTGATCATGTCAAGGATGTCGGCGTCGATTTCACCAGGCTTAGCGAAGCCTTCGATGGGAGCAGGCAACTCGTAGCTATCGACAGGGTTAATGGGTGTATCATCAAGAATTTGGAACTCGGCGTCTCCAAAAGCATAGGATGGAGCTTCTGAAGCCACGTTCGTTTCTGGTTCAAGCTGCTGGTTTGCCATGGTTGTTAGAGATGGTCAGAAATAGATGTAAAGACAAAAGCCTGGCTGGTTTTATAGTCTGATGTTCGCGTGGCAACGGTCTTATAGAGTTCATCCACACTCCGCATATGAGCACAAACGGGGAATTTTCCCGCCCAGCTTTTTGGGTTTCACACATAATCCCCGTCTGTTCACACCAATCCGACGAAGAAGGACTTGATAATCTGTTATTGAAATTTGTCTACGCATGTAAAGTGAAGGAGGTCAAAGCTAATAAAACCGGTGTTTTGCATCTGAGTATGTGGAAAAGCCGACTGGGGTAGTCAATTTTAAGGAAGAGTCACGCTGGGGACAACGTGCCTCAGGTCCACTACTGCATCCTAATACCACTACTATCCGCGGCTTAGCTCTAGTGACATCCAATGGCCATGCGCTCCCTCCATATTGTATAGCAACTACATGTGGTACATAGTCACGCCATGTACCCTGCTGCTTCCACTGGGAAACCCCCATTGCTTGTATTATCAAGCATACAATCAAAACTCTATCAGCTGTGCCCCATTCCATTTCAACCCTGACTGCGTAAAGCGATGTACCCGATAGTGATACTGAGTGTTTCCCTTTGTGTTTCGGCAAAGTGTGGGGTACGTGACATGTTCCCTGTTTTCCCAGCTTTATCGGTCATCGAATATACCGGCGACAACTACAATCGGATAAACGCCGGTCAGCCAACTCTATTCTTTACACGTTCGATTGGCTCACCTATTCTGGGTAATGTCTATACCAACGCTTTCATGTACATATTTCTTTTCTTTGTATTGTAAATTGAAGGTGGCCGTTCAAGGTCAAACCGGCCAATTTCGACCAAGATGTCGCTGCGGGAATACATATGTGTGACACTCTTTGCCAGAAAGAAGGCTGGAGGCAACGAATTGTATATGGGTTAATGTTGTTATCATGTGGCTCACGAAATACCAAAGCGTTTCGTTTTTGTCTTTATCCAATGTGTTCCACGATACCTTGGAGAGTTGGTATCCGCAAAGCGACAGCACAGGGAAATGCCAGTGGCTTAGCGCGAGACTGCCATTTCGTCCACAAAATTTCGGTTCATGTCAGTCAACGTTATGAAGCTTGATATCCTGCACCATGCCATTCCCGCCACCGGCCCAAAAGGCCATGACACAGCTCAATCGAGAAGCATTCAAGAGAACCATCAAAGTTTATGCTGTCCGAATTCCATCTGCTAAGGTCATGGCGTTCCAAAAACAGATTCGCAGGTCGGTAGTTGAAACAAACCCTTGCACACCGAACGACACTCACTAAAACCAGTGCCTTTTGCGCAAAAAAGTGATCTATTCAATCAGCCTAAGCTCAGGAATGTAGTGGATGATGGAGAATCAAAGGAAACGAGGCTAGTATTACTGCGGTCAGATGTCACAAGCCCAGGTAACAACACTTTTGATGCCATGACGGAGACGATCGTTTCATCCTGACGCGCCATATTACACTTTTTGAAGAATTGAAAGAAGTATCCGATGAAGGAAAAAAGATAATAGAGTCAGAAGGATTGGGAATTGCAGAGCATACTATAGATCTGCAATACGATTATTGGACTTCTGGTAATTTTTGCATATGTCATGGCGACCGAGGTCGATACATCGATTAACCAATATAGTAATACACATTTGTGTACGTAGAGGAGGTGCTTAGAGCTATATTACCCGACGAATTGACTGAAGTGCCCTCTGCATTTACGGCAGTCGGTCATATTGGTATGCTTTCCTCCCGCATACCGATGACAGAGTTGGACATGTCAATGTTAACACCACTGGTCTCTTTCTATCTTAGCACACATGAACTTAAGGGAAGAGTACTTGCCGTGGAAAAGTATTATTGGCCAGGTCATTTTGGATGTAAGTGTAGATGCTACTAATGAACTTAGGTGCATAACGAGAAATATGAGCTGATGGTGACTATCGTCGATTTACAGAAAAATAAGACCATCAAAACCGTTGTCAACAAATTGGATGCCATCGATACCACATTCCGATTCTTCAAGATGGAGATCTTGGCTGGTGAAAACAATATGATTGCAGAGGTTAAAGAAAGCGGCTGCCGTTTCCGCTTTGATTTCTCACAAGTTTACTGGAACAGCCGATTACATACCGAGCACGATAGATTGATCCAGCAATTTGCAAAGAATGAATATGTTTGTGAGTATTTGAAAAAAGATGATGCCAAATTGGAGTTATGGCTAACTCTGGAGATCATAGGTGACGTCTTCGCTGGTGTCGGTCCGTTCGCTTTGCCTGCCGCAAAGAAGGGATGCAATGTGTATGCAAATGATTTGAATCCAGTCTCATACAAGTGGATGATGGAGAACATAAAGCTGAACAAGGTAAGCTCATTCAATGTGATTGAGAAAGTGTAATGATCTGGCCTTTTGACTTGGATTGGCAGATCAAGGACAACCTCCATGCATACAACTTGGACGGAAGAGAGTTTATACATAAAGCTATTGCCGACCTCGATCTGGCCATGAATGCTGGCAACAAATGGAAGACGTTTGATCATTTTGTTATGAACCTCCCTGCCACTGCTATTGAATTCTTAGGTAAATTAGAGTTATATTCGGGCTCAGTTTGACAATCTTTGGATGTTCACCATATTTTCACTTTTCACAGATGCCTTCCGTGGCGCTTATAGATCTAAGAAATCCATCTATGAACAGTCAGGATCCCCCAAACTACCTATGGTACACTGTCATTGCTTTTCTAAAAGTCCAACCCCTAATATTGACATTATGGAGGTAAGTTATTTGCGATGCGACAATGAAATCATCAGCAGTGAATAGCGTTGACTAATAAGCTATCAGCGCATTCAACATGCTACTGGAGAGCCAGTGGATGCAGCATCAACTTTTGTACATTGGGTTCGCAAGGTAGCACCTAACAAGGACATGTACTGTGTCTCGTTCCGCTTGACGCCAGACATGATATTTGCAGAAACAAGGTCAGCTTGAATAAGAGAGGAATTTTGGCGACAATAGAGAGAGTGTAATTAAATAATCGCATGTGCCCTGGTACATTTTCTTCACGATAGTTTGAAGCGCAGGGAATCAGGTAGTGGATCACCCAATTTAGAGACCAAAAAACCCAAGTTTGAAGAAGGTAGCGGATCGAAGGAATAAAATTTTAAAGCGTTGAATATGCTACAATAGACGGCGTGCTATTAAGATGAATAAAACGATGTAACTATGATAAGCTTTTAGCACTGCTTCAGAGAAGCTTGTTAGAACGTTCTTATTATTGTACCAGCAACTAAGCAGTCACTTGGTTCAAGCGGAAAAAAATCGATCTCCCAATCTCTTTGCATTCTTAACCACCATGGCAGCTAAATCAACGTCAGCATCACAACCAGAAGCTTCGCAAAATGGAAAGAAGAACGTAAAAGCAGAAAAGCCTGTTGCAAACAAGCAGGATGCCGATGATGAGGCTGAAGACGAGCCAGTGGAAAAGGGTGCCAAGGGTGAAGCCGTCAAGGACATGCGAAATGTTACCCGGTACTTTGAGGAGCAAGCAGAACGAAGTGTGGATGCCGATAAGATCCAAAAGGTACGAGCCAGAGACTATGCGCCGTCTTCTCTTTGATTCAATCACGGCATATTGACTGTTTGCAATTGTCCCTTTTACTTGTTTATTACTAGGCTCTCAAGACGCTGCAGGAAGAAGCCATAGCCCACAAGGTCGCTATTGCGTATGTATACCCGAATTTGATTACTTTAATTAAATGATACGCAAGCAGCAAATTCTCAATTGTACTTATCAACTCTTTCCCCTGACAGCCGAAAGCAACAGATCGATAGAAGCAACATTAGTAAAGAAAACACCGATCTTATCGTTGCTGAATTGAACGTTCCTAAGCTCGTCGCAGAAAAGGCCCTGCTTGACAACAACAACGATGTGCGAGCGGCTCTTACCCAACTTATCACCCAATGATGCTTTTCTAACGAGCATTCTCAACTGTATCAAAATCACCTTAACTGACCAAGGTATAGATCAAAAGCACCATGAAAAATAAAATACAAAGTTACATTTACGCTCTTTATGTCGCCATGATATTGGAGGTCATCATCCAAGTTTTGTTGTCACAACTGCAATTGCGGCTAGTCAGAGCAAAATGGAACTAAAAAATATGAATAGACCAATTTTACATTCGACTCAACGGAAAAATGGAGCGTTATCCAAAGTTCTGTCGTTGCAATGTGTGCTATGCATCTCCTCCTCTACGGATACGTCGCCCAGTTAATGGGCTCCTACACGCCATGGAATCACATATTGACTCCTTTTTCGAGCGTGTCAGGCATTTGAAAATTCCTGTCCTCTAAGGAGGGTCGATCGACCTGGTCGGGAGGAGTGCTTAACACACAGTTGAATATACCAGTTATAAAAAAAAAAAAAAAGAAGGGGTGTTCAGATGTGAAAATTCACACCTTCCAAAGGCCTTTTGTCAGTGTCCCCTTCTATAACGCCCCTGAGTCCTTGTCCTCCCTTCTTACCAAAATGTTTCACGCTTCCTGCTCACCTATCGCTTAACCTTTCCTTTCCCCAGCCTTTTTTCTTTCTCTTCGCTTTTCATCTTGCGTCCTCTCCTTTCTGAACAAAAAAGCGATGCCAACGCCTTCTTTGATGATCAAGACTCAGCTAAAGGATATCCCTCCATGGCAAGCTAGCGAAGACAGCGACAACGAAGAAGATCAGTTATACCACCCACAATCAGCATGTAATGATCAATATGAATATGAAGAAGACGATATCATGTTAGACCATGCCTCCTCTATGACCTCTTCTCCAAGTATCCCCGATGAAAACATTGACTTTGATTCAGTCTATGCTTTGCATGCTTTTGTTGCCACAGTCGAAGGTCAGGCTACAGCAAACAAAGGCGACGCTCTACTGCTAATGGAAGATGAAAATACATATTGGTGGCTAGTTGAGGTCCTTCACAGCGGAGAAATAGGCTATATTCCTGCCGAGAACATTGAGGTAGGGCCTACCCCCACGACTTTCATCACAGATCACCGCTTTGTTTCTTATCTTTTCATGTAGACACCTTACGAGAGACTAGCAAGATTAAACAAGCACAGAAATGTTGATATAACCACGCCTATTGAAGAGGATTTTGAATTGCAACACAAAAGCTCTGCCATGTCAATCTTGTCTCGAAAGCAGTCAAAGAACTTATTTGTTGAATTCGGCCCTCCTTGTATAGTCGAATTTGAACCAGAAACTGAAGAAGATGAAGAATACGATGGCGATGATGATGAATATCAGTGGGAGGATATGGATGAAAGCCATCGGTACTATGAAGAAGAGGAGTATGAAGAAGATTATCAAGAAGATTATCAAGCTTATGATGATATGAATAATTACGAGGAACAGTTGGAGTATCAGCCGGAAAAAGTACGAAATTTATTACATGAACGCATCAAGGATAGGAAGTTAGAGGAGAAGCAGAGGAACGAGATCCATCAAGCCATTAATGAAAGCCACAACATATCTGTTATTGAAAGCACGGAGACAGACAGCGACACATCGTCTGATGAAGAAGAGATGGCACTTGTGGCGCAACATCAGAGCTCTAGAGCCTCGTTCGATCATACCATAACCCCCCGCCAAGCTTTAGTTCGACCTATACCGGCTGCACGACTGGTGGATCCAAAGGTAGTTCGCTCCTCTCTTGAAATTACAGAAGTCGAACCAGCGACAAGTAAATCGGTCAAAAGGGACGCTATGACGCGCAGCCGCAGCAAAGACAGCATTCAGTCTTACAGCCAACAATTGAATGTTCTTCGAATATTTGCTGGTAATATAAGGCAGGGCACAGGATTCAAAACCGTCATGGTGAATCAGAATACCACGGCACAGGAGCTAGTCAAACAAGCAATGGTTAAATTTCATATTGAAGAGCTCGAATCCGGTGCTGCTAATCAGACTGAATATTACGCGACAGTGAAAGGAATCGATGGCCGTGAGTTTTTTTTTTTTTTTTTTGGAAAAATTGCCAACATCCACTGCTTAAATCAAGCTTTAATCAATCCTATACTAAACTTCTGCTAACGCTTCTATGTAGATGAATCGACATTGGATCCAGAAGATAAACCACTTTCCATCTACCAAACTCTCACAGCTCATTTAACGACCCCTATGCCATCAGTAGAGCACATTAAGAGACTGTCTAATACTCAGGTCCATGTCACCAGACTTGGTGTTATGGACAAGGATAAATGCCCAAATGGCAATGGTCATTTCGGAGAGGACTCAGTTATTCGATTCTATCTTCATCGACGCACCAAGAGAAATAGTGAGAGAATCGAACAAATGTATATTAAAATCTCGCTTTTCCTCGAAAATGTCGAACCCCATACACCACCTGCCAAACCGACTACAGGGTTCTCGCTCACAAATCGAAAGAAAAAATATCAGGCTACCATGACAGAGGATGCTAATCGAGTCGACAAGATCATTTGTGTCAACATGAATGATCTGGTCAGCGAGGTCGTATATCTTGCTTTGGACAAGTTTCATATTACGAATGGTGTGCCTGATGGTCCACAAGAGAACGGTTATATTCCCGAAGACTTGGTGAGATATCGTTTGTTGGTACAAAGTCAAGGTTCAGGTCAGTGTCTGGAATACTTCTATCCGTCATGCGCGCTATTTTTGTGAAATTTTAACTTTAAGGGAAATGAATAGAGGTGGAGCTTAATTATCGCGATAACATGCATGCCATCATCGAAAGTCATAGATTGACTAGTAGACAACAGGGCCATTTGGCGTTCATCCTGCGTAAGGTGACGGAGCCGGTCAAATCCAGTACATTCTCCAAGCGGCACTCTTCTCTTCGCATTCGTACTGGTAATAGTAGCAACTCTGATAGTAATCTCCTTCTTTCACCGGGTTTGGAGCGACAAAGAAGACCGAGCATTCTCGATATGCTGGTGGATTCTCCTAAGGAGAGCAACACTAGCATGTACGATATGCAGGAATCGCCCAAGTCGTCACCAAAATCATCACCAAAGTCATCTGAAAAACCGCCGTTACCGGAAGATGCTCAACGAAACACGGTTGATAAAAAGTACAGCAACTCCAGCCATTTGATCAGTGACATGTCAGAGAGCCGAAAATCCAGCCTTGCCTCACTATTGTCAGGAGAGCATCCCTATAAATCTGTTCGAAGCGCATCTACCACGCCCACAAGCCCACTAGATTTCTCAACCGATCGCTCACGGCAAATATCATTAGCTTCCTTGACATCGTCGTCATCCATCGTGTCCGAAGACGCTTCAAAGAGTGCCTCTGCACAAGCTTTGGGAGTGTCTGACCACACCACAGTGGAGAGAAGAGATAAAACCTTTACCTTGTCTTTCCGAAAAATTGTACCCTGGACTGGTAAATCCAAAAGACATGATGCAGCTCATGGAAACGCAACTAGTCAGCTACAAGACACTGAAGAGAATAGATTCAACCAAAGTGGTAGCCACGCGAGACCGCTCCGATCGACACAAATGGTCGATGGATCAAATGAACGTGTCTTTTTCCAGTCAACTAGCTACCAAGATATATCACCTAATTCTGAAAAGGCCAGCAGACCCAAACTAAGTACCGCTTCAAGTGCAACTGCCAAGCTATGCGAGCCACCGGCAACGATGGAGGACAAGGCCAAGGTCGGGGACGTCAAAGTTTGTAAACCAAGCAAATCAGCTGATGATGACTGTAACAGTTACGCTACCTATGCGAAATGGTTAAACAACCTTCCGTCTACTGATAATAACAGCGCTACTGTTGAAGAAATCGTTCCTGCGAAGGCATCTGCGTCTGATTCGATCTACCCAGACAAGTATAATGGTACAGCTGCTCCGATGAAAAAGGAGTTTAAATCCATACATGTTACACCCAGAAGCACAAAAGCTAATCCATCACCTGCAGCTTCTGCTCCAACTGAGCCACCCGTTAGTCATATAGCACCATCACCAAGCGCCAAAGGCGAGCAAGTGCATACACCTGAGCTTGGCGACCTTTCATACTTGATCACAAATGGCATTGGGTTCTTGGAGAACAAGGAGAGCTCCAAATGGGATGATGATGGTGGTTATCAATTTCATCCTTGGAACCGTCCAAAATCCAAGTGCTTATCAGGCGGTGATACCATGGCGGCTATGGAAGACGTTGAAAGTCTATCTATAGGCGAAACTTCCATCAACCTAGACAGCTCTCATGTTCCTCAAGAAAGTACATCTAGCTGTCTAGCATCCGCCTATGCCAAGAACGGTCCTGTCGTCGAGGCCAAAGATATGGAGCAGGTAAAACATTTGAATTCAATTTGTGAAGCAGTACGCGCACCTCCATGCTAATTCTATGTACTTCCTTCCTAGGAACTGGCTCGAATTGTTGCCGCTCATATTGTCTTTTAAGCCCATCCACATACATTCCTTTTAATCTAGGTTGTCACTTAAATTTGTGATATTTTAACTCGAGCTTCCCCTCCTTATTATTACTTCTCGCGAAAGCGCATTGATTCTAGAGAAAATACAAACTATGTACAGAGTAAATGAAACATCATATAAACAAGCACATGCATCCCATGCACATCTATTGCCCTTTATAAAGGCCCGAAGGATAAAACAAGGAATAGCATATCTAGACCATTTCCAAAGAATCAAAACGACGATCCTCGTCGTCGGTGAGATCGTTCTCATCCATGAGCGCTCGCTGATATTCTGCTTCGTGCAGACCGCCTCTCCGCCGCTTCCTTTCCTGCCATGACGTCCATGCATAATCGGATCCACAAGCTAGCAGAATACCGATACATGAGCCCACCAAATTGGCTACAATATCATACCCGTCGAACGTTCGATACTGTAATTAAAATCACGTTAGGGCGAGTCCAAGCTAGGGGCGGAGGTGTAGACTAAAATTACCGGTAATAAGCCTTGTATGAATTCACTGCCGAACGACATTATGAGCATAGCAACCGCTGATAAGCCGAGATTCTTCTTGTAGTCCAAGTTCCAGACCCAGTATATAGTGAATGAGAAGATGCCAAAGCATGTCGAATGAAGGAGCTTGTCGTTAATGTGGTCTAGCGATATTGGAGCAAAACCCAATATAGCCATCAACACCAAAAGGATCACCAAAACGACGAGAACGCGCATCCGCATCTTGAATGCTGGCATGCGGATGGGCATGATGGGTTTGACAAAAAAAAAAAAGGGAAAGAAACGTTTGGCAGGAGTTCCATATTTCATGCGGCACGTCAATTTATAATGCTGATTTTTATAAAGTTAAATTATGCTATCTCAGTCGCCTTTACACAGCTGATCTCCAGGTGCGGTCAATCCACTTTGGAATGCCTTTGAAAACAGTGGAAAGGTTCCATAGCGATTCGCCTTCAGCGGTGGTTCCAAGATGCTCGGACGACTCACGCAAACTGGCGTTGTAGCCTGGGCCATAGCTTCCAAATTCAGCCTACGTACAAGCGCCTATATTAGCCAACGTCCGCTGTATATTCATAGCATTGATACAGATAACTTACGTAATACACAGTCGACATATTTAAGGTTGTAGGAAGCCAAGGGATGAAGCCGTTTGGCTGGATATGGTCTCCCATGTAACAGCCCTCAAAAACAGTTCGGCTCTAATGTGGATCAATAAAAATAATAAGTATCGGTGCGATTCAGCTCAACACACACTCTCCTCACTTACCATATTGTTCCAAGGTCGGCCCAAAGCACACTTGCCAACAATATTTAGAGTAGCGTTTGCATCAGGCGACTTATCAAAAACATGCGTTTTAGTGTCGACATACAACTCATTTTTTTTTTACACCGTACTCCCTTACCTTGACAAGTTGACTGTTGTGCACATACAGGCCATAAGTGTTGTTGTAAACACCAGCATATCCATCAGGGGTACCCTTCCAGGCAGTAATACCGCCACCCGCTCCACGGGAAGCGATGGTAGAGTTCTCAATGTATCTACGTTCGGGATCAGTCAGCACAAGACACGGTACAGGAATAACACGGGTAGCATGATAAATGACTTACAGAGTACCAAAACCAAACAGGAAGTCGGTTTGTCCAGCAACCTCGCATCCTTCAAAATATACTGAAGCAAATCGTCCAGCATAGATGGTATCCTGATAAGAACGGAAAGCACAACCGTACTAAGGACCCCAAAAGTAACGTCAGTGTTCTCCTTCTCTCGCTATTTCTCACCATTTTCAATTACAACTTACGAAACTGGCATTGGCATAACTAACGCCAAGAGCAAGGGCCTGACCAGCAGAGTAATTGGCATATCTGTTCTCAATGTTCAGGTTGTAGGCCTTGAAGTCTGGAGATCCCCAAGTGTCATTCACAATCGGAGCTCCGTAGAATCCGGCGCCGATCAATGCAGCGGCACGGTTTGGTGCAACAGTAAATGTTACGGTGTCGGCGTCATCGGCTCCAACAGGGAGCATTGGAATAGCAGATGAGTTCCAGATAGTGACCAAGTTGGCGGACCAATTACCTGGCTGCGAAGTTTGTCCTAGCAACGTTAAAGATCCATGGCTTGTGACGTTGATCACTTCGTGGTATACACCACTTCCAATGAGAATGGTGGCTTCCTTCTTGTGGGCAACAGAATCAATGGCAGCCTGGACTGATCGAAACTTGGCCTTCTTATCAGTACCAGATACATACACAGTGCCTCCAGGACATCCCTCGAGCGGATTTTGGTGAACGGATTTAATAGCTTGACAGGTCTCGTACTGATACGAGAAGCCTCCTGAATGGTGGTGACTTGCAGGAGGCTTGGCAGCAACAGCCTGGAAACCAAGGAATAGAGCAACGCAAGTGGCCAATAGCTTCATGGTGTAAATGCGGCAATGGTAAGATTATAGACGAGCGTATTTATGTTTGCAAAAGTGATTATGTACTCTCGCAAAAACGGATATTAGCAAGGCTTTATTGACCCGGTACGACCGTTACTCAAATTACTAGCGATGGTTACTTCAGTGGCTTTACTACTCCGGGGTAAACCTGGAGAAATTTCACCCCACAATTTTCCGACTTCCTGGTCGCACCACCTAGCATGCCCAATGACAAATGAATTACTACTTATTAGTCTAAGGTAAAGCATATTTTTTTCATTCACAAGTTCTTCATCCTCTTTAATGCATAAACAACAACTGTTTAGGCTTGTACCATTCCTTCTCCTCGCTGGTCATGCATTGGCAAAGCCAGTTGGTAGACCTGAAAAGTTTGACTGGAAGAAAAACGAAGTAGTCTTCGCATTTGGTGACTCCTACACCTATACTCAAGGAGAATTAGGCTTTACCAACTATTCGTGGAATACGTTTCAGCATCTTGATAAGCATGGAAATGTTATAGTGGGTGAAGATCCCATTATCTTGAATGCGGTGAGTACCTTGACCTAAAATACCTGTGGCTGTATGGTAAGCAACTAATTCACTGGACATTGAAAGACTTCGGCTGGTGGACCAAACTGGATCGAGGATGTTACTGGCTGCTATTCTGGTCTTCCATCCAAGTGCAAACACTCTCTTTACAACATTGCCTTTGCCGGTGCGGATATCGATCCCACCAAGTAAGTGGAAACTTCTAAACAGCTCTCTATTGTGCTTGGGAGCGATTTCACTAAGTCATTTCGTAACAGGATTGCTCTTCATCACAACTTCTCCATTGACTATGTCACTCAAATTGACCAATGGTTTACTTACGTTCAACCCAAAATTCACTACAAGTCCTCCAACACTCTTGCTGCTTCCTTCATTGGTATCAATGATGTTAGCGATACCTCAAAGTGGACAAACGTTTCCTTCCCCGCGTTTTTCGATGGGTTGATTTCATCGGTATTTGATGGTCTGGTAAGTCTTTGTGAATGTAATGAAGATGTCCCATTAAAGTGTCTCACACATGAACTATAGGAGCGCCTCCACTCTGCTGGAATCAAATCTTTCCTAGTTCTCAATGTACCTCCTGTTGATCATGCACCTGGTTCAGGCGGAAAAGCGGCATTGGCAGCGAACGTTGCTACTTATAATTCAATCTTGGCCAATTACACATCTGCGTTCGCTGCGAACCATACCGATTCAAACGTCTTTTACTTTGATACCTATGCCTATTTGATGACGATCTTGAACGATGCGTCCACTTATGGGTTCAAGAACATCACTTCTTTCTGTCCCCGCTATGATGCCCCGGATTTCAACACCAATTATGCAGCTTACGGATGTTTAGCTCCCTACGAGTACTTTTGGTTCAACTCTGGGCATATTACTTATCCTGTGCATAAGCTTATGGCTGGACAAATTTCTGAAATGCTTGAAAAAGGCGCAACAGTATAAAGTAGTATAGAGTAATTCAGTTAATGAAATTGACATGCTCTCCATATAAACAAACAATAAATCAGTCGATCGGTATTTATTACACTCCATTTTTCTGAAGTTGATTTTTTCAGTCTTGGTTTTTGCACTCTCTTTTTCTTTTCTTCATTAGTGTGTTCCTTGTATGCCTGTTACTGCGCTTTCTTCCTATTCCACAAAATTTAAAGCCTTACCTTACGGGCGAAGCCGATTAATCTCCAGTGGGAACATGCCTCGAGAGTGCGGCGATGGGTTACACAACTTAAATTTCCTCAGTTCCGACTTCATCGATTTTCCCTCGAGTGGGTGAGTAGATTCGCACCGTGGTTAAGCTTCGTCCTTTCCTCTTTACCGGGCATTTTTAATGCTTCTATTCTCCTTGTCCCCACACTTGCCTGCCTACCCCGGAAAATTTTCTCTTGCCACAAAACTTCCGCTTCCCCGCAACTGTTCATTACATTTAACTCTCGTACGACATTCTTCATGTAATATAAGTAAGGGCATTCAGTGACATTTCGTAGTTCTTCAGTTCATCACAATCATGCTTTTCAAGGCTTGGTCATCTCTCGTGGTCGCAGTTGCTTCCTTGTCGGTTGCTTCCGCTCTTCGTCATGTTCCCAATCTCCCTGCTCCGGCCATCAGCCATCTCTCCAAAAACAAGCACCATTACCCCCAACGCCCACCCTATACCCGTGGTCATGGAAAGACATGCACTCTCACTCCCAAGGGCCATGGAGCTGATGATGCCCCTAATATTCTTGCTGCGGCTCACAAGTGCAACAACGGTGGTAAGGTCGTTCTGCCCGCCGGAAAGAATTTCACTATTGGATCACCTTTGGACTTGACTTTCTTGAAAAACGTCGATCTCGAGTTTGCTGGACGCATCACTTTCACCAACGATACCGACTTTTGGCAGAACAACAGTTATTACTTGACTTACCAGAATGCCTCTACCTTCTGGCTCATTGGTGGTGAAAACACTAACATTTATGGTGGCGGTGTCATCGATGGTAACGGTCAGCCATGGTATGATCTGTATGCCAAGAACCCATTGGTGTTGCGTCCCATCTTGTTTGTAATCTACGGTGCTCGTGGTGGATCTGCCAAGGATCTTTCACTTATCAACTCTCCTCAATGGTTCAACTTCATCGCTAACTCTTCCGATTTCGTCTATGATGGACTTCATATTGCCGGAAAATCCGTCTCAAGTAATGTTGCAAAGAATACTGATGGATGGGATATCTACCGCAGTGATGGTATTACCATCACTAACTCTGTTATCTACAATGGTGATGACTGGTAAGGTGGAAGTGTTGGTACGAGTGGATGGATTTGGGTCAATAGCTAAAATTTTCCGTATTTTGCACTCCTCTTCTTTAGCGTTTCCTTCAAGCCAAATTCCACCAACATTTACGTCTCCAACTTGTATTGCAATGGATCTCATGGTATCTCCGTTGGTTCTCTTGGCCAATACCCTGCTGAGTACGACATTGTCGAGAACGTTTACTCGTACAACATCTCTATGAACTACGCTTCCGATGGTGCGCGAGTCAAGGTCTGGCCCGGTAATGCGGCTGCTATGTCAACCGATCTCCAAGGAGGCGGTGGTGCAGGCTATGTCAAGAACATTACTTTCGATACCTTCTATCTGAACTCTGTTGACTATGCTATTGAATTGACCCAGTGCTACGGTCAAAACAACGCCAGCTTGTGTGTTCAAGCTCCCAGCAAGATGAAATTGACTGACATCAACTTTAACAACTTTTATGGAACTACTAGCGGTGTTCGCAAGGCCGTCGTGGCCACCATTATTTGCTCCGTTGAAAGCATGTGCTCAAACATCGAGGCTTCTAATATTAACGTTACATCGCCCGCAAAGTATGGTACTTCTCAGTACATCTGTACCAGAGTAGACACTAGCGACCTTCACATCCCCTGCACTAGCTCATAAGAGTTAGTTGAACGGAAGGATGGCTGGGCCGCTTCCAAAGTGCATTACTTATTAAAAAATAAAAGGACGTCATTATAGGCTTTCTAATTTTTATGTGTGTAGTGATGAGCTTGTGTACTACCAAGTATGTTTGTATGCTATAATTTGGGTATCCATTACAGCATCGAAAAGTTGTGAGGATGATTCCACACTTGACATGTTTACTTTGTATATGTAGCCTACCTTGTTTTACACAATATAGTAGTTGAAGCAATCTTTCATTGTTACTCACTAAATTGCTACACTCCTAAGTTATACTAGGAAGAGCCTCAACAAATTACTTGCGTCTTTATCTTTAGTTGAGCAATTTTCCATATCATAACTTCATAAGGCTTCAAAAATTTTCTTATGGCGAAGGACGTTCCCATATATTCTTTCAGATGATTATATTTTCCCACCACTCACGCCCACCTTAACCGTTTATTCGCTCCATGACCATTGCAAGTAATTGCGGCAGACATTCCTCCGTCAAAATTTAATCAACACCAGTGGAGTCACAGTTAGCTCTCCATGATTCACCAACAGTTGTTATTGAACAATTTCCATAGTTTCGATGTAGCTGCCCATGCAAGTCGAATTACTCGTCAATGGCTTGTTAAAGCTGTGAACTGCCCGCGTCATGATTTAGCACCGAGATCTCTTGAGTGCAAGCTAAGATTGTCTGTTGTATTCATTTGTTTATATTGTAAAAATTAAAGTAAATTTTAAGAAGCTTTGGTCATCAATGAGTGCTAAATAATCCATTTATACTACTGAGCCACAGCAAAGGTATGAATCTGACGGACAAACGCCAGAAGTACCCGCTAATATGCCTTTATTTGGAGAGTTCCATTAGTTGCACCAAGCGGCATCATAAATCGAGTTAGGCTCCATGATACAGCAAAGATAGAGGTGCAGTGGCTTTAGCAGTGTTGATCTTTCTGCGCCTCACTCATGGTATCCCCTCCCAGCATCATCTATACTTGAATATCTTCCAATAAAAAATATAGGATTATAGTAAAGCATCGTGCCTGTACGGCCCTCATAGCTGTATCGACAGTGCATGCTCTTAGTTTGTCATATCGAAATAAGTGTGCTAGGTTGATTTTCAGCCACAACATTTCAAGTTGAGAGCTTACAAAAATCAGGTGTAGGTTTACCCGACAGGCTTCGCCATACCATGAAGGTAACACCATGCTCCCCAACAATCTGTTTACCCAAAATAATGGGGTATGAGCATAGCAGAAAACCTCCAAAAAAGCCATGGTTTGTCTTCACAAGAAGAAAATTTAATAGCTACAACAGGCGCATGCATAACTAGCCACCACCTCCCAACGTAAATGATCGGAAGATCATAGAGACCCAAAAAAACTGCAACTTGTAAATTTAGGGTTTGTTCTTGTACACATAACCAGTCATGGATTAAGTGATGTATGGAAACAAACTGGTCCTAAGGTTTACTGCAGTGGAATTTTGTGTACCTATCTAATTATAGCCAAACTACTTTCAAAACTAAGATGCTCCACAGAAGGCAAATTATCTGCCTCGCATGGGGATGCGATGGCGAAGATCCTATCTATATATGCCAATTTAATTATTGGCATATGCTCCGGCACTTGCTTTGCTCGACTGACCAGCTTACACAGCTACCGTGACTATCCCATGACAGATGTAAACCGCAAAAACATAATAACCAGGGCTGTGTATATCTAGACAGGTCGCTTCCGGGAACGGACCTATTACCCGAGTTCTCAAATTGAACGTGTAACCGATCTTCCCGTACTCCAAAATATAAATTGAAAAGGGCTTGATGTCGACTGTATACTCAGCCACATCTGTTATAATTTCTAGACGCAGCTCTAGGAAATCGCATATCTCAGAATTAGAAACGCTAGAGCTAAATTCAAGTAAAGTTCGCATAATGGACGTAGTCCTTCGTTTTCTTTATTATCCACTTTTGTATAAATTACCAATAGGAGGCGTTAAAACCGCATTCGGTCAATGATACTTCAATGCATAGGTGCGATTGCAGATGGCTTGCAAAGGCGACAGAACTCCTTCAAGAGACGAAAGCTAGAATGGTTGCATCACATGTTTCCTACGATGCTGAAAGCAACTACGTAAAGCATAAGCAATGCCGTGGAGGTGCGCACCAAAGTAGAAGATCCAGAGCTTGGGGTTGAAGATCCAGAACTTGGGGTTGAAGATCCGGCACTCACAGTTGCCTGGGTACTAGATCCTGTTGCTGAGGTTGAAGAGTTGGATGTCGCATCAACTGCCTGGCAAGTGCATGTTCCAGTCCCTGTCACCTTCTGACTGCCAACTGCAGTGGTGATATTCCACGTTGAGCCATCACAAGTTAAAGTCTGCTTAATATTGTTGATTTCCGTGAAAGGACATTGATTGTATTCATCGCAGTCTGCTTGGAAGCTTTCGTTGGTCAGAGTAGCAGTGCATCCGGCAGAGGTCATGGTTCCTGATACGATGCAGTTGAATGAGGCATTTTGAGATTGAATAGAAGGACCCCAGCTGCATCCTGGAGAGGTGGTAATAGTCATCTTTTATCAGGAAATGTTTTATAAACTGGTAGTAATGGAAAAGGTCCATATTTATAGACATGCATAGTTTAACTTTTTTTTTTTTTCAAAGTGGTTGTGTTATTTTCTACTGTAGGCAATTTGAGGCTGAGCAAAGGTCGTGAATATTTTGCTGCCATCTTTGAACGCAAAAACTATCTGCCATAGTGTGACCTATAATCTTATACAACACTGCGCACAAAAACACATGCGAACTTCTCAAACAAGCTGTGATAGCTTCAGACTATACGTCGGTTCTTGAAGCCAGGGGTGGCAACTGGTCACAGTATGAATAAAAGCTGGTTTGGTGGGCCTGCTGGTGTTGTTCAAGCTTTCAAGTTTTATGTGCTGAAACCTATCGTTACCATAGACGCAAATAATAGGGCTTAGAGGATAATGTCATGTGAATGAATTGATAACATGAAACGACGATGTATTTCCACTGCTCAGTAATAATTCAGCCAAATCTCTCAGCTACATTAATCTCAACGTAAATCCAGGCTGCAGAATTGAAAAATACCAGAGCAAAGAAAATTGTAGATAGTTAACACTGCATTTATAATAAAGGCAACCTACCAAGAACCGGCCCATATCCCATCCAATCAAAAAACGCAAGTACAGAAAGGGTCATACTCTTTCCGACCTTCTCAAGGTCAACAATTTGAAGGCACTATGTACGCTAAAGCCGCACCAGAAGAAACGATATGATCCAACGGAAATTATGGATTTGGAAGATTTCTCTTAAACGCTTGATGCAATTTACGCCATTATATGAGATTCAGTTGGCTCAATTTGCCGTCGCTTCCTATTAACTACCCTGTTTCAAGCGATATCTTGAACCTCAACATGACCGCCATTCGTTCGTCAGAGCTTTGGCCATCAATGAGTGCTAAACAATCCAGTTATGCTACTGAGCCACAGCAATGTTATGAATCTGACGGACAAACGCCAGAAGTACCCGCTAACATGCCTTTATTTGGAGAGTTCCATTAGTTGCACCAAGCGGCATCATAAATCGAGTTAGGCTCCATCATACAGGATAGAGGTGCAGCGACTTTAGCAGTTTTTATCTTTCTGCGCCTCACTCATGGTATCCCCTCACAGTATCATCTATGCTTGAATATCTTCCAATAAAGAATATAGAATAATAGTAAAGCATTGTGCCTGTACGGCCCTCATAGCTGTATCGACAGTGCATGCTCTTAGTTTGTCATATCGAAATAAGTGTGCTAGGTTGATTTTCAGCCACAACATTTCAAGTTGAGAGCTTACAAAAATCAGGTGTAGGTTTACCCGACAGGCTTCGCCATACCATGAAGGTAACACCATGCTCCCCAACAACCTGTTTACCAAAAATAATGGGGTATGAGCATAGCAGAAAACCTCCAAAAAGCCGTGGTTTGTCTTCATAATAAAAAAAATTTAATAGCTACAACAGGCGCATACATAAAGCTAGCCACCTCTTCCCGATGTACGTTGTTGCCAAAGTGATTGTAGAGACCCACAAAAATAATGCAGCTTGTTGTTTTATGTTCAGTCACACATACCCAGCCATGATTCAAATGATTTATGGGACAAAACTGGGTCCAAGGTTCACTGCAATGAAATATTGCGTACCAAGCTAATTATAGCTATATTACTCACAAACGAAGATGTTGCCACAGAAGGCAGATAGTCTGCCTCGCATGGGGATGCGGCAAACTCAGAGGCGAAAATCTTATCTAAATGTGTCAATCATCATTGTCATATGGTGCGGCGATTACAGTGCTCCAATCCACACCCGGTTTACTTTTACTAATTGCACAGCTACCGTTTGCATCCTTTGTGGATTCAAATCGCAAAAACCTAATAACTAGGGCTGTACATACCTAGAAAGATAGCTGTACGTTTTGCTTTCATGAGCGGGTCTATTGCCCGAGAGCTTCTGGACTCTCAAACTTAACTACAACGAGTAAGCAATGTACTCGTACCCCAAAATACAAGTTTAAATGGGCCTAGATGTCGCTGTATACTCAGACACATCTGTTATTATTCTGAAACTCGGCTCTAGGGAATCATCTATCTTCGGAATTAGAAGCATTCAAATCAAGAATTAAATTCATGTAAAGTTCGGACAATACAGCTTGTCCATCTTTTTACTTTTATTATCCATTTTTGTATAAATTAACAATAAGGTGGCGTTGAAGCCGTACACTTCGATGCTATGTATGGTTGGTAATGTTATAGTTGGGCTTGCAAAGGCAACTGAACTTCTTCAAAAAGAAGAACGGTTCTTTCTAGCATCGTTACGTCAAAGATTTCCTGCGATGTTGAAAGCAACTACGCAAAGCATAAGCAAGACCGTTGAGGTGCGCAACATAGTAGAAGATCCAGAACTCGGAGTTGGCGGTATATTGGGCCCTGTTGTCGAGGCGGAAGGAACGGCCGCCACATTAAGTACTTGACAAGTGCAGGATCCAGTTTCCGTCAAGGTCTGGCCGTTGGTGGAAGTGGTAGTCGTCCACGAAGAACCATCACATTTTAAATTCTGCGCAATACCATCGATTTCCGTGAAAGAACATTGATTGTTTCCATCGCAGTATGTTTGGAAGCTTTCGTTAGTCATTGTTATTGTGCATCCGGAATAGGTGATGGTTGCTGTTATCATGCAGCTGGACGTACCAGCTTGAGACTGAGCAGTCGGACTCCAGTTGCATCCTGGCGAGGTGGTAATAGTCATCTTCTATCAAGAACGTTATAAAATCTAGTAGTAGTTAAAGGGCCAAATCATATACTCGGCATAGCTTAACTTTTGTTGGAAGGAAAAAGGGAAGTGGTTATGTCATTTCCACTGTAGGCAATTTGGGCTGAGCAAGGTCGTACAGGGGTTTTCCAAATACTCTTCTGATGAAGCTGCGATCTTTCAACACAAACACAAACGCCTTAGGAAGACCAGTAATTACTTATAACGCTGCGTACAAAAACACATACTAAATTTTCAAAGAATCTGTGATAGCTTCAGACGTTACCTCTGTTTTTGAAGCCAAGGGTGGCGACTGGTCATAGTATCAATAAAAGACGGTTTGGTGGATCTGCTGGTGTTGTTCAGGTTTTTAAAGTTTTCTGTGCTGAACCTTTCATTGCTATAGATGTAAATAATAGGGCTTAGAGGATAATATCATGCGGATAGATCGACAATATAAAACGATGGTGTATTTCCACTGCCCATTAATACTTCACCCACGTCTTTCAGCTCTATTACTCTTAGCGTAAGTCCATGTTACAATAGAAGAATACTAGAGCAATGCGAATTGTAGACAGTTAACACTGATTTTATTATAAAGGTAACCTACCAAGAACAGACCCGTATCCGATCCAATCAAAAACGTAAGTACGGCAAGGGCCATCTCTTTCTGACCTTCTCAAATACACTACAGAACCTACCGTGGTCAACGATTTGAAGGCACTATGTACGCTAAAGCCGCACCGGAACAAAGTACATGGTCCAATGGAAATTAAGGGTTTGGAAAATTTCGCTTAAATGCTTGATGATCTTTGATATGGGCACCTAAAGATTCAGTGAGTGAGGTATCTGGCTTCTGAGAGGTGGGTATTGGTCTAGATATGGAGTCGAAAATGGTATGACAAGCCTACCCCCAAGTTAAGAATCGGGTACCTAGCAAGTCGTTGGATCCATGTCTGGCATGTTTCTTGTCTGGTTGGTGTCGGGAAACAATTATGGGATTGGATACCAGGGCGCGAAAATAGCAATGTGGAGTACCTAGTGGCTGGGGTCATACTCGGTGTATACCCAACGAGGTACTGGTGTTGAATGGATGTTGGTGCAAAGGATTTAGGTGAAACAGTAAGACGTTCATAAGAAGATTCAAGTTGTCAAATCCATCAGTTCAATGGAGTGTAAAGCCACCCGCACGCCTCAGAAGGTTCTGTAACTACTTGTTTACTTGTTGCGTTCCCAAGATGCTAATGGACATGATTGTGAGTGCCATCTCGAACTAATTAAAATGTAGAGTGGCTCGCTCCTCTAAGTCGACATGTTTGGTCTTTTGTGAAGGTGTTAACCGCTCCTCACACAGTCGAAATTTGGTTAAATCTTAGTCAATTATAACTTGCAATTTACGCCAGTCTGTGGGATCCAGTAATGGTTAATTGTCGTCACTACCTACTAACTCATATTACAGGAAATTGAGAAACGTCTACCGAACAAAAGTCAGACCAGTAAGTAATCCAGCTTAATTCCTATTCTACTGATCTATTCGTTTGACAACTGTCCTTTTTCTACCAATTGGCAGATGTTCCTACTGAGATCCAACATGCCTTGCCACTGAAAGCACCCTGTGCTGAATATATACAGTCAAAATACCCAAGCGATATCTTGAACCTCAACATGGCCGCCATTTGTTCATGAAAGCTTTCGGAAGCATAATACCTAACCAACTAGTCAATCAGCTACAATATAAGATTAAAGTTAATCTGATATTTACCTTATCGAATCAATACTTGAACAACTTCTGCAAAGTAAACAGCCACGAAATGTGGCATCTACACCTGGGATACAGTATCAGCGGTGATATAAATTCCTCGTCTTCATACTTGTCCCGCCGAATAGTAGAATGTCCGAACAATGCCGTATTTCTACTCGTCTGGTCCAATTTGTATGGTTTCCTGTGAAGCATCGCCAGACATATAGTTAGCGTATTGCATACTTTGCTATATGTCCTCAAGGCAACATTACCTCATCCTCTCGTGCAAAATTTAGATGCATTGCCATTTGAGAATGAACCCTTTTAAGTTCAAGCCACTAGACACACGTCGCACTGCCATGGTTGGTTATGTTTTCGAAACTGAAAAAGCAGTTGGATGCAATGGCAAAGAGTTATGTAGAGAAGTGCCGAGGGTCTGTGCAGTGAATTTTCACTGTTCTGATTACTGGATCAAATTTCTGTGTGATCACAAATCCCAAGATACCGACAAGCTTGGGCAGGATTGAATTTCCTGCAAGAGTGAATAAACCGCTGGTAAATAGCTGCCGATCCAGCTACTTATATCCACATAGCGTACACTGATTAGTTCAGCTCGTATGCCGTCTACAGCCTTTACACAGTCAAATAGGATTGTGGGCTATTAGTTGGTATTAAGTATTTAATTAAAGCTTCCAATGACAGCGCAAAGCGCTAAGCTAGCAGCAATAAGCATGTTTGACTTTGTAAGAGAAATTCCAGCACTCTCATAGGAATAACTAAGTTTAGATACTGCTTTCTCGTATGTACATGATCCTGAAACTGAGGAAAAAGGGCTGCCGGTGGATGGGAATGGGATAGGCAGGCCGTTACAAGGTAAAGATGGAGACGTAGTAAGCTTGGGAGTGTCAAATGATACTCCTTTACAATTACCAGAAGAGTCACACACGCATGGAGCGTAAACATTTTCGTAGGTTTTAATGCAGAACAATTCAGTGATGACAAAGTTCACATAGCATGAATCAAATCCATCTATTTGTTCAAATGCAGTAGGTGGAGGAAGGTACCCGCAACCTATCGAGAACTTGACTGGCATTAAGAATTGAAGAGAGGAATTTGAGAGAAGTAAGGAAAGGTAAAAGATCTCATAATTGGTAAAAAAGATCGGGCGCTTTATATAAAGATACAACGTTACATCTTTCCGCCATCCTGTTTTCCTGGACACAAAACCGTAGAGTTGAGAGGCAGATCAATGCCCTACCAACACTTGGTGTTGTTGACATTATATGATTATGGCATTTTCTCTGTTTTGTTTAATGTCCTCTTCTGACCATACTATCTACTTTCACAATATTGATTGCGATTCAATGCGCTTTAGGTGTGGATAACGATGATTCTTTACTCAGTTTACGCCATTGTCATACTGTGGGCCTGAAATATAAGACGACAAGAAGTGTGTGTGGCTGAGCGTCTGTAATGGTTTGAGTGCAATCTATTAAGAATGCTATTGAAAAGATAGGTGCTAATATTTTTCTTTGTACAGTTAAATCGTCATGCCTGCAAAAAGATAACATCTTTCAAGCAAACAAGGTCAGAAATACTAACTCTGGTATTACATACGCAGAGATGCATTGGAAAGTAATAGTGCAAATTGAGTCTGTCGAACCAGTGCCACGCCAACAATTTTTAACTCATAATCCTCTCGCAGCCAATGTTGGGAGAAAAAATGAGTTGGTCAAGCATATACACAAGATATATCTATTCAAAAGCTAGCAATGACAGCGCAAAGCATTAAACTAGCGGCAATTAGCATGTTTATCTTGGTTAGCAAAATTCTGGCACTGGCATTTGTTGCGGTAAATACTGCTTTCTGGTATGTGCACGATCCTGAAACTGTAACATGACGGTTATATGTGAATGACATCGGCTGGCCGTTACAAAGTAAATTTTGACCAGGCAGGGCAGTGTCACCCGTTGGCATTTCCGAACAATTATCAGAAGCGTCACAATGGCATGGAGCATAAACATTTTCAAGGGTCATGGTGCAATACCCTCTACTGATGGCAAAGTTTACATAGCATGAATCCCATCCAGTTATAGGTCCGCCGGGAAGAATAACTACAGGATTAGGACCGCAGGCTGGCGAGAAGGTGACTGTCATTAAGGATGGAAGAGAAGGACTTGAGAGATGAAAGGAAAAGTGAAAAATCCTATAATTAGTGAAATTCGTACACTTTATTTTGCGATCTAATGTTACATCTTTCCACCATCCTGCTGTCCCGGACACAAAACCATATAGTTGAGATATAGGTCAATATAATTACCCACTTCGGTATCATCAGGGTGGTAACAATACTGTATCTTATCTGTTTTTTAATGACCTCTGTTGACGCATACTATCTGCTTTCGTGATTATACTGACCCCCGTTCAATGCACTCCAGGTGTTGATAGCTAGTGTTTTTAACTGAGTTTACGCCACTGTGATACTGTGGCACAGCATGTTACCATTTTGCATTCTGACTACGAAAGTCAACACTTTGAATTGCCTGAAATATTAAGAGACAAGAAGTGTGCGTGACTGAGCGTCAGTCATGACTTGAGCACACTCTATTAAAATTGCTATTGAAATGATGGATATGAGTAATGCTCTCTATTTACAAGTTTGAATGTCATGTCTGCGAAAAGTTAACGTCTCTCAAGCAAACAGGATGAGAATTACCAACCCTGGTATACATACGCACACAGGGCTTAGAAAGTAAAGTTCTAAACTGCCTATGTCGAGACAGCGCCACACCAACAATTTATAACTCATAGTGCTCTCGCAGTCAATTTTAAGTCAACAGATACTGGTCAATGTAATAAAGTGAGGTGGTCAAGCTACGTTATGCATTATATATATTTATTCAAATGCCACCGATAACAGCGCAAAGCACTAAACTAACGGCAATTAGCATGTTTGACTTGGTCAGTGTAATTCCAGCACTAGTATTTGTAGTAGCAGATCCTGCTTTCTTGTATGTGCACGATCCGGAAATAGCAATATCAACGTTGCCAGTGGATGGGAATGGAATCGGCTGGCCGTTACAAAGTAAAGATTGAGGCGTACCAGTCAGGGAGGTACCACCCGTTGAAACTCCTGAACAGTTACCAGAAGCGTCACATTGGCATGGAGCAAAAACATTGTCAAAGGTTATGGTGCAGGACAGTTCAGTGACGACAAAATTAAGATAGCATGAATCCCATCCAGCTATAGGTGCGAGAGTAGTAACGGTAGGGCTGGGACCGCAGCCTGACGAAAAGGTGACTGTCATCAAGGAATGAAGAGAGCGACTTGAAGGATGATAAAAAGGTAGAAGAAAAGGTAAAGAATCTTATTAGTGAAATTCGCGCGTTTTTATAGCAATCAACCTTACGTTGTTCAACCATGCCGGTGTTTCAGACGCAAGCTATATACTTGAGAGAGACATCAATACAATTACTGACATCCTGCGTTATCGGCATCATAAGATTGCTGCATTTTATCTATTTTCATAAGCTCTTCTTGTGCATACTATCTGCTTTGTTGATGAGACTGATTGCCATTCAATACACTTCAGGCAAGGGTCACTTTGTATTCTTGACTCAGTATACGCCACCGTAATCTTGTGGCACGGCAGGTAGACATAAAGTTTTCTGACTATGAAAGTCAACCTTTGCCTTACCTGAAATACCGGGAGACAAGAAATATGTGTGGCTGAGTGTCATTAACGGGCTGAGCGCATTACATCAAGTTTGCGCGAATGTTTCATGGTCGTATCTGAAAAGGGTAAAATCTCTCGAGAAAGCAAGGTCAGAAATACCAATTCCTATATCACATACGCAAAGGCAACTTTAAAGGTGGTAGTTCAAACTGTCTCTGTCAAATCTGCCAGGTCAACAAATTGTAACTCAAAATCCTCTCGCTGTCAATCATCAAGTCAACAGATGCAGATAAAAGGTGGAAAAATGGGCTGATCAAGTTAAATTACACATTCGATGTATTTCATTTAAAAGCTAGCGATAACAGCACAAAGCACTAAACTAGCAGCAATTAGCATGTTTGACTTGGTCAGTGAAATTCCAGCACTGGTATTATATGTAGTGGCAGAACCTGCTTTCTTGTACGTGCATGATCCTGAAACAGAGGACACAGAGCCGTTAGTGCTAGTGACTGAGATGGGAATTGGCTGGCCGTTACAAGGTACAGTGTGAGACGTATTGGCTAGGGAGGTACTAGCCGTTGAAGGTCCTGAGCAGTTACCAGAAGCGTCACACTGGCATGGAGCAAAAACTTTGTTGATAGTTATGGTGCAGGACCCATCAGTGATGACATAGCTAAAATAGCATGAATCCCATCCAGCTATAGGTGCGAGAGTAGTAACGGTAGGGCTGGGACCGCAGCCTGGCGAGAAGGTGACTGGCATTAAGGAATAAGAGAGCGACTTGAGAGATGAAAAAAAAGTAAAAGAAAAGGTAAAGGATCCTATAATTAGTGAATTCGCGCGTTTTTATATTGCAATTCAACGTTACATTGTTCAACCATGCCGGCATTACAGACCCAAAATATATAGTTGAGAGTGATCAAGCAATTACTGACACCTGGTATCATCAGCATCATAAGATTGCTGTATTTTATCTGTCTTCATAAGCTCTTCTTTTGCATACTATCTGCTTTGTTGATGAGACTGATTGCCATTCAATACACTTCAGGCAAGGGTCACTTTGTATTCTTGACTCAGTATACGCCACCGTAATCCTGTGGCACAGCAGGTATACATAAAGTTTTCTGACTATGAAAGTCAACCTTTGCCTTACCTGAAATACCGGGAGACAAGAAATATGTGTGGCTGAGCGTCATTAACGGTCTGAGCGCATTATATCAAGTTTGCGCGAATGTTTCATGGTCATATCTGAAAGGGTAAAATCTCTTGAGAAAACACAAGGTTAGAAATACCAATTCCTGTATCACATACGCAAAGGCAACGTTGACGGTGGTATTTCAAACTGTCTCTGTCGAATCTGCCAGATCAACAAATTATAACTCCAAAATCCTCTCACTGTCAATCATCAAGTCAACAGATGCAGATAAAAGATGGAAAAAATTGGGCTGATCAAGCTACATTACACATTCGATGTACTTCATTTCAAAAGCTACCGATAACAGCGCAAAGCACTAAACTAGCAGCAATTAGCATGTTTTACTTGGTCAGTGAAATTCCAGCACTGGTATCATTTGTAGTGGCAGATCCTGCTTTCTTGTATGTGCACCATCCTGAAACCGCAATATCAACATTGCCAGTGGATGGGAATGGAATCGGCTGGCCGTTACAAGGTAAAGTGTAAGACGTATCAGCCAGGGAGGTACCACCCAATGGAAATCCTGAGCAGTTACCAGAAGCGTCACACTGGCATGGAGCAAAAACATTGTCAACGGTCATGGTGCAGGACCTATCAGTGACGACCAAGTTAATGTAGCATGAGTCCCATCCAGCTATAGGTGTGAGAGTAGTAACGGCTGGGCTGAAACCGCAGCCCGACGAGAAGGTGACTGACATTAAGGAATAAGAGAGCGACTTGAGAAATGAAAAAAAGTAAAAAGAAAAGGTAAAGGACCCTATAATTATTGAAATTCGTGCGTTTTTATATGGCAATCTACGTTGCTCAACCATGCCGGTGTTTCAGACGCAAACTATATACTTGAGAGTGACAAAAATACAATTACTGACACTCTGCGTTATCAGTATCTTAAGATTGCTGCATTTTTTCCATTTTCACAAGCTCTTCTTGACATACTATCTGCTTTCATGATGATACTGATTGCCATTCAATACACTTCAGGCAAGGGTCACTTTGTATTTTTGACTCAGTATACGCCGATGTAATGCTGTGGCACCACAGATAGACATAAAGTTTTCTGACTATGAAAGTCGACCTTTGCATTACCTAAAACACCAGGAGACAGAAATATGTGTGGTTGAGCGTCAGTAACGGTCTGAGCGCATTATATCAAGTTTGCGCGAATGTTTCATGGTTGTATTTGAAAAGGGTAAAATCTCTTGAGAAAACAAGGTTAGAAATACCAATTCCTATATCACATACGCAAAGGCAACTTTGAAGGTGGTAGTTCAAACTGTCTCTGTCGAATCTGCCAGATCAACAAATTATAACTCCAAAATCCTCTCACTGTCAATCATTAAGTCAACAGGTGCGGAAAAATGGGCTGGTCAAGCTACATTACACATTCGATGTATTATATTTAAAAGCTACCGATAACAGCACAAAGCACTAAACTAGCAGCAATTAGCATGTTTGACTTGGTCAGTGAAATTCCAGCACTGGTATTATTATTTGTAGTGGCAGAACCTGCTTTCTTGTATGTGCATGATCCTGAAACAGAGAATTCAGAGCTGCCAGTGGATGGGAATGGGATAGGTTGACCGTTACATGGGATGGCTTGAGTCGCGTCGGCTGTGGGAGTGCCAGCTACTGATACCCCTGAACAATTACCAGAAGCGTCGCATTGGCAAGGCGTGAATTGATTATCGACGGTAATAGTACAGTTTGCTGCAGTAATGACAAAGTTTGCATAGCAAGAGTCATACCCAGCAACAGGCGAAGGAGTGGGAATAGGAGTAGTAGCAGGGCAGCCTGAAGAGAAGGTAATGGTCATAACGGAAGTAATGAAAGGCGTGAAGCAGTGGTAAAAAGATTCAGTTGGTGAAATGGCCCCATTTATATAGAACTCTTCAGCGTTACCATGGTGACATATAAATATGTATTAGCATGCATAGATTTGCTGCGCTTCAGCCTTGGATTTAAGGCTTTTACCTTTCTGTTTTAGATTTCGTGAGGAATGGTCTGGTAACTCGTTGCGTTGTGTCAGATTATCACGTTTTCCACATGTGCTGTTGCTATATATGGCGCCAAATATAATGCTGTTGATCCAGATCAATGTTCATGATGTAGGCGCAAACAGTAGTAAAAAGTAGCAGGAAATGGGTTGTAAAAGACACCAGAGGTACAGTGATATGATCAAGTGGTTTATACATTGGTTTATTCCCTAAACGTTATCCAGCGCTATGTTGAATTCTTACCGGGGTAGTATAAGCCTCAACTAATACCATATAAAAACTTTTCTCAAATATTTTCGCTGACGATGATAGGATGAAAATATAGTTCCTGTAGCACGATCTTCATCAGCGCCGCTGATAGTTGCTTAGCCACTACCAGAGTACATATATAAAGCGATAACCAGCCTCAGCAATGTGAATATTCGGGGCTATATTGTATCATGGTGTCATTAGCATTTGCTGGTCATGTCGAGGAGTGTTTGTCGATGTGAACGAATCACTGTCTGTGAACCACTTGCTCAATGGAAGTAGAATTTAGTGTTATTCATGTTTTTCTCCTTACTTTTTGTGCCACTTGTCATGCCATGCACTGTTTGTTTCATTTCTGTCCCCGGTAAATCGGGGCTTCATGACCAGATTGACCGTCAAATTAGATCAACGCTGCAATGTTGATGAAGCTAAAATGAGCTTTAGGGACTTGTCTATTTGACATAAAGTAATAAAGGATTAAGGCAAGACCAATTGAAGAAAGACAGATATTCAAAATCATTTTGTTTTACCATTGACAACATGAGCGACGTCTAGACGTCTACAATTTGGACCAGTGTGTACCCACTGGTACCGTATGGCCCAATAGACCACCAAAGCATAACATAGCATAGAAATGGTGCCCAAATTTTCTCTTGGAAAGACTGAATTTATTGATAGTGATCGCCTCATAACATGATCCTGATCATAGTAGAAGCTACCAGAGCAAAGACGAGAACTATTTCTCTTTTGCCAAGGACAAGAGGATTTGCTATAGAAGTTGAAGGGATTGTAGAGCTTGCGGCTGGTGCGGGTGATATAATTGAATTTGTCCATTTTGATGACGGCAGAGCTGTTGGCAGCGCAACTGTCGTGCCATTAGTTGTTGATTGACCAAACTGACATGTGCAAGATCCGACCACCGACTTGAGAGGTAATAGAAGTCCCGTGATATTCCAAGTTGATCCGTCACAAGGAGCTTCGGCTGGCTGGCCATCCATGGTCAAGATAACGCAAAGCTTTTGGCTGTCGCACTTCGCGAAGTACGGCTGGTCTATGAATGTTAGATTGCAGCCAGGCGTAGTGAGGAAATAAACCATGTTGAAGCTGCATGCAGAATTACTGTCGGATGGTAACGTGGAGGTACTATTATTAACGACGATGTTGCATCCTGGAGTATATGTTATAGTCATTTACGCAAACGTAGGAGCAATGGGTCAGTGCCGGCTGAACGAAGACTAGCGAAGTGACTTGGTTGAAGCAGTGTTTACGGAGAGTGAGTTTAGTGGAGAAAAAAAAAAGGCTGCATTGCAAGTCAAGGTGGAAATGCAATTAATAAATTTCAAGGTAACAGGGAAAATGTGGATTGGAGCGATAAAGTAGTCAGAAAAGCCTACGGTGTACAGAAGTCATGGAAATGATCTCTTGACTTCATTGAATTTGCTGCCACGGTTAATTTTTGTAATACCAGGCAGGGGCCACACATTTGTCGAAATTTGCCAAACACACACTCATGGGGAATTTTCCTTTGCACCATCTGCAACACGCAATTAGTGTGTACAACAGCATGGCTTTGCCGCAGCTTAATATGTTTTCATTCCATACTGAGCAACTACCTGCAACGAGACGGTGGCGTAATATGATAGAGATACCATCTTGTTTTGCTAATGAATCCAAAATTGCCTATGCAAACTAACACATACAGAATGTGATGGGCGGGGGCCTTGTAGCTGTCAGATTATATTAGAAGTCTGCCGTTTACATTGATGTTTTCCCTCAATGTGCTGATTGATTGCTTCAGACGACGTTGGTGCCAATACTCATGTCTGCATATGTATGATTGTCCAATAGTGAATCAAAGGTAGCAAATGGAGAAAGTTGACCATTATGTTACTGATGTGCTCTTGGAACGACAATGTTCTCAGATAAGGAGACATGATCAATGAAGAGCCTGCCATTCGAATCTTAGATTCTGACAGTAAATCAGGCAAGTAAATGTATTTCTATTTCTTGCTGGCTGATATGATTGCATATTGCAAACACTGCATATGAAATCAGTCAGTATAGCGTAACCTACACAATGACCTTTTAGCAGTACTAACGTGAACGCACATCGATTGGTCCCATGAATCAAAGAATTATAGGAACAAATGGCTTCAAGCAAATTTTAAACTAGTAAGGACCTGCTTGTGTTCCTAACCTTTTTCATGAAGGATCTTTATTGCTATCAATATCAAATCATATCACCATAGAAGAAATAAATAAAGCAAGAGAATGTTCTTTGCTTCCCATTTTGAACGGACTAGCCGTAGCAGCTGTGTCTATTGCGTTATTTGAGCCAGATATCGAAATTATTGCGGATGTAGGTTATATATAATTGTATCTATCCAGCTCATTGACCTTTAGTGTTAATTAGGGCATCAAAATCATAACCAATTGAGCAAAACTGAATTTAAGCACATGCTTTTTCAGAGCGTAAACGTACTAACCCAACCTTCAGACAACAATAGTTGAATACCCTCAGGATACAAGGCGGCAATATTGGTGTTGGCCACGCCTTGCTTGTATCCATGGAAGTGGCTAAATTCAATGGTCGAAGTATTCTAGCTTAGATGGTCTTGGACTGCTACTTCGAAAGAGATGAATTGTTTATGAACTAAATAATTATAATCGTAACAACAAAATTGTTTGTCGAGCGAATTCGTGGCTCTTGTTCCTGCATGACATATGCACGCCACTATATGGCTGCAAAAGGAAGTCAAAGTGATTCCGCATTCTAATCTGTAACATTGTTTGACATTATAGTTACTCCAATGTGCAAATGAAGGACGGGACAACATTTTTAGCGTGTGCAGTCGGTCGGAATTTGGGAAGTCAATAGGTGAGATAAGAGACGAAACCGAAGAAATTGAAAAGCTTCAGCGAATTTCAGCAGGGACTGCTATTAAAAGTTAATGTTCATGTTTTTAGAAACTGGAGGGAAACTTCACTTTACCCACCCCTTGCCAGTTCAGCAACGCTCGTATAGTGCTTTGTTCGTTTGGAGAAAATTGAGCTATCTCCTGTTTTCAACAGCCTCAGGGTTCAGTTATCCTCGATTGGGTATGTTGAAATTGTTTACCAATTACGACCCTGGATTTTAGCGACAATCAAACACAGTCGGGCAGTCCAACTTTCTACGAGTATTTTGAGCGTGTTGCCTTGCTAATAATAGTGAGCTTCAAACTTTGGTAGTATTTTGGTACCTCGTGCATAGCTGGGTCTCGCTTGTACGGACTAGTGTTACGATATACAAGTTCTGAAGTCACAGTAGAGGTTTCTTTTTGCTATTTGAGAAAGAAAGACTAGATCGGTCGCCTTTTAGATAAAAGTAATTTGACCTGGCTTGTGCACAAAGTAGCAATGGCTGAAAAGGCAATCAAGCCCAGCTACAAAATGAACAAGCAAAGGTGAACCCTAAGGATTTTAGCAATTTGAGAAAAAGGTTATTATGATTTACACCAATCGATTGATTGGGCACAAGCGAACGAGGCAGGGAAGAAATCTTACGCGGGCTCGGCTTGTTACACGATTCGCATGCACGGTGTCGGCCAGGTTGCTCGAAACAGGCTTATAACTTGATTTGGGATAGTAAATACGTATGGTGCTTGACACTATAGAAGCAAAAAGGGGGCTCGAGTATGTGCGTTACTGCTGTTTCGTGCTCCTCTCAACGCTGAATCTCAGGTTCAAGAATCCGCTTTATGCAAAAGCTAAAATTTTTTCTTCAAATTCATGCCAAAAGGTGTGTACATCCTTTTATGAATTCAATCGCCGATAAATTGTGATCCAGCTTAATTCGTCCAAGATGGATTTTATTGCTGAACGATATGGTTCATGATCCCCGCGTTCAACGAGGAAGGAAAGATCAAAGGGCCATTCAAAACAATAAAACCGGTGTTTCATATTTCACATGAAGCTCTCAGCAACTCCATAGGCAAAAGTCAAGAAAGCGGGTTTATTAGGTGGCACTTTGTGTAATACAACTTTGCCTCATGCGGGGATTTCGTGATTCGAAAGAAGAGGAGGAAGGTCGCCCACTTTGCTGAATGGCCACTAGTTTCGCCTGCCTCTTGCAGGCTTCCAATATTTCTATTCTAATATCGATGGCCAATCCGGGCATTGCCACAACGTGGGTGGACCACATTTTGACTTGAGGACCCATCTTCAGTCGAGTCAGTTACTAGGGGACGCATTTGCCATGACAAAATCCACGGAGATGAGAAAATTGGCTGTTGGGTTGTGCGCTGATACCCTGCTAATTTTCACTTGATTGCCCGAATGAAATCAGAAATGTGGTCTTGCTGAACTTGGCTATCGCCACTCAAAGCGGCAGTTTAACCTCATTAAATTGTGGTAACACAATAACTTGAGTATCGTTGCAAAGAAGTTGCGTTACACTATAAAGACTGGGTCACCTCTCTACACACGTTAAATCCTTTTTATCTCGCTTCTCTTTAACGCTTTTTGCCTGGTTGCAAACAAGTTCTCTTCTTCACCACCCACCCCAGTCCAATTCCTTAACACCACCAACCTTTTTTTTTTCTCTTTTTGTCACGAAGAAGATAATGTTCATTCGTCATTTGCTTCTATCGACTACTGTCGCAGCCATGCTGGGTTCCATGGCTACCGCTTTCCCACTCCCTGGTCACTCTAAGCGTGCTGAATCCAAGAGTTGCGCTACCGTCGTCAAGGGTACCACTTTGACCTCAACTCCTTTCTACATCACCTTCAATGGTACCATTGAAGGCGATGCATGCTCGTCCATCAACGGCAGTACCAGCCATTTCACTCTGCACTCGTTCAACAGTTCAGACTACCTTACTGCTGTCAACCTTGATGGCACCACCACCAACGGTACTTCTTGCGACATTACCATCCCTGACAACCGTTACCAAACCGTCACTGGAAAGAGTGTGTTCGTTTTCGTTCCTCTCATTACTGCTGATGGTAATAAGACTTCCATCAGCTGCGGTAATGATAAGCCCGTTGCCTTGAACGTCAACTTGGATTCCTTCAACGTTCCTGGCGTTAACGTCACTACCACTACCATTACTGGTGAGACTACCACCACTCATGCTGCTGCTCCTACCCACCATGCCCAAGAAGTTCACCATACCACCACCACCACTACCGAGGAACCTCATACCACCCATGAACCTCATACCACCCACCATACCACCACTACCCACCACACCACCACCACCACTACCACCACTCACCATGCCACCACTACTCATCATAGCAATGAAGACGACAGCTCTGATGACAGTGGTGGTGCTGACTCTTTCTCTGGAAGAGGTACCTGGTTCATTCCTGAAACTGAAGGTGGCGCCCAAGGTGCCTGCGGTCCTTTTGAATCCAATTCCGACATGATTGGTGCTCTTGTGAGTACAAAGTCTCGTTTACTTTCAATCTTTATGAAGCCATCTTTACTAATTTTTTTATTTTTTCTAGAACGCTCCTCAATACGGTAACCTCAATGGCAAGAGCTCCTGGTGTGGAAAGAAGGTCAAGGTCTCCAGCGGTGGCAAGAGCATCATTATCACCATCAATGACGCTTGCCCTGAGTGCGCCCACGGCTCTATTGATTTGACTCAAGCTGCCTTCGAAAAGCTCGGTAACCTCGTTACCGGTGTTCTTCCCATCACTTGGCACGAGATTTAAATGGTTTTTGCCATGGACCCAGCTTAGAAAATTTCCCTTCATTTTAGTTTTGTAGTAGCTACTTTCTCTACCGTCTGATTTTTTTAATGTATCATCGTTCTCAGTGATAATAGTAAAAATCGACACGACCCCCTTTCCCTCTATGCAAATCATCGTTCAAATGACGTGAGACGTTTTCGCTACACTGGTAATATCTGCTGCGCACGCTCCAGATGCGCACGGAATGAAATGCAGGGTGAGCGGTAAATATTTACATGCATTCATGTCAGCCGGTTGACATATTGTGGCGGTCAAAAGTATCAATGTTTTCTTATTATTGCATTTTAATTATGTTTTTTTTATTTATTTTAAAAACTTTTCACCCTCTTGGTTTATCGCTTGTATTGCCCGGGTGTACCAGGTTTGGTCAAGGCCGCAGGAGAATTAATGCCGGTATCCTTTGGTGTTGCTTTCAACCAATTGGATTTGCGGCCCTTTTCATAGATCTCTTCGAGCACCGTTCCAAAAGTACCATTCTCTCGTAACTCGAGGTACTTTTTATACAACAACAATGCCTACACCAAAGGAAGAACTTAGTTTCTGCGTAGCAACTTTCAAATCATCTGCTGTCTCAACTTACCGTCTTGGCATCTTCAATACTGTTGTGCGTAACTTGTTGAATATCCAGCTGAAGCAGAGCCCACGCCAAGAAACGTAATGAAATTTTTCTGTGCCCAGTGAAAGAAACGATAAATATCCACTGTGTGTCGAATTGACTTCTTAAACACCATCACCTACCGTTGTCTGTTTCGCATGTAGTATATATCTAGAGTATCTATGACTTGCTCGGGGGGTACCAAAATATCTAAAGTGCACTGTCAGAATCACAATCGCAAGATCTGACAATGCATTCGTCACCAGAAATACTTACTGATGATACGGAAATCGCTCTTCAAGCCGTGACCAATGAAGATACATCCAAGATCAACCAATAGTCTTAGCTTCTTGTACGCAATCTTGAGAGGTACAAGAGTGTGTTTCGAGGTCTGTGGATCAAGATCACCCGCTACATCGGACAAATCCCCAAATTAATGAATTTATGCCAAATTGGCTTAGATATGGCCATTTAATTTACCTTCAATACCACTGTATTCCGTAAGGTAGTCGACAATGGGTTCGCTGTTCGCAATATAATCATCGATGAAAGGCGTTCCTTCCATATCCCCGCTTTCGCCTCTGAGCACACTGACGCGAGCAAGACTGAGTCGACTGGGCCGAATGACAGACTTGGTACCATCGCTACGAATTTCGGTTTCTTCTTGGCTCAATGCTACAAATTCCGCATCGATCGAGATCAAAGTTCCAGCTTTTGGCATTTCATCCTGGCTAAGAATTTTGTAGGATGGGGGCTCAGTAGACGGGTTTCTAAAAAGCGAGAACCAGTCAGTGAAATGTCTTTCACCATAAGCTTTCCTTTTTGAGTGCACTTACTTCGTAATGGAAATGTCCTTAAAGAGGATCGATAGGTCAACATGCGAAGGTAGCTTGGATAAATCTAGAAGCTGGTCTAAATCAACCCGGGTATATTGAAGGATGGAAGGTATCTATTTTGTCAAAAGGTTGAGGTTATCATCCATTGCCAAGGTTTGATGTTTGCCAAACTCCACTGTAACTTACCTTCCAACTGCCTTTGAAGGAAAACACCTCATCAGCTTCGATATTCTTGACCAAAAAGTCATTAAAGAGGTACCATGGTGACTTTTCGGATCCCTCCAATTCTGCGGTGGGTACTGGTGTTCAAATGTTCAGTAAAGAAATGTGTAGGGTGATGTCACAGATGAAATTATAGACATGGACATACTTCGGATCTGGGAGACCAAGTGTGGTACTTCTCTGTCACTCTGCACTTGAGATACAATAGACTAAACCAGTGCGTTAGGCTAACTTGCTGAGAAATTCCTCGCCAAACTGAACTGGAAAAAAAGGACTTACCGAGAGCTCATAAACAGCTAGCTGCTGAGAACCCACAAGGAGCTCAATCGGCACTGGCTGTCTTGGATCTAGCGCTTTGATATCAATTTCATCTTCGACAATCCTAATGAGCAATCTGTTTGGAACATACAAGGCATGGTGAGTAGTCAGATTAAAGCATCGGTGTGAAGCATTCATACTTACCGTTCCGGTAACCAAGTCTTGCTAGTGCCACCAGGTGATTCTGCACCGCTGTCACTATCGGTTCTAGGACTAGTGGTAGTATTGTGAGCTGACGCTTGACTGCCTTTTCCATTACCATTAGCATGGTGTCGCCATAAGCTCGCTTGCTCCGAAGATGTAATGCCAGAGTTAATGGTCAAAATGCTAGGAAGTTCGCGAAGCAGCTTCTTGGTAGCAATCGGTTGATATTGCTGACAATTAACACAATAAGCTTTTGTCTTGGTTTCTCGATTAATGCTCGTCTTAAGCAAACTTGCAAACGAGCGCTTCTTGATCCTTTGATCCTGCTTGACATTTGAGGACGCCAGCTAGGTCACAAAATAAATGTTTTAGTTTCTTTCGTCCAATTAATGCGAATATCAGCATAGTGTTGCCCACCTTTTTAGGGTACATGATATCCACCACGTAAGGATAAGTGGTTCTAATGATCTCGTTCGAACAGTGCGAGCATTTGCTATAATTGGTGGTTTTGAGACCAAACACCTGCTGAATGGTGGATGGCATATCCGATGGAGATTCCACTTCAGATGCAGCAGTGATGGATCGTAGAACGATCGGATTAGAGTTCGGCGTAAATGTCTCTTGATGTAATTGCTCAAGAATAAAGCGTATGAAATTTTGAATGAGCATAGAGTAGGAAATTGAATGATCGGGTTGTTCAGGTTCGAACAGGCCAAGCGCACCAGCTACATGAGCATATGTTAGCGTAATTGTAATGGATGTGGGTCTTCCAAAAAAAAAAAAAAAAAACTTACCTTGGGGGATGGTGCGGAAAGCTCTCAAAAAGTTGGTAGCCTGGCAGTTTTGACCATTTGCATCTTCCAACATTCGAAACAAGAAGCCAAGTTCACAGCAGAGACAATTCTCCTTAGGACAATCCATAGCAATATGAGAAATAGCGATTTTTCTCAGTGGCAACGTAAAATGAAGCATTTGTAGCATGGAGTTACAGTAAGAGTTGGCGATATGAGTCTCCAGTCCACCATACTGAGTGTGATTGTAAAATCTGAGCGGCAAGAATCAAAGGGATGAGTTGCAAGAACATGACCTGGGTATACGACATGAACCAGAGCTTACCCGAAATCGAAATCTTCAACACCAAACCTACTGTATTGAATCTCAACGCGAGCATACGAGCTTGGCATTTTTAACCCAGTTGGATCAACCGATAGCTTTCGCTTGGGTGTTTCGCCACCATCCTGTACGTGAAGTATTAAGCACAAACGAATTCATATGGAGAAAGAATCAAACGTTCCATATTCCTTACTAGTGAGTCGTCGCCTTCATCCACTGGTCCACCACGAAGCAACTCTAGGGCTTGCTGAGACCTGAATTTCGGCGCATTCACATTCTTCTGGTTGTTGCGGCGAACAACTTGGTTACGTCTCCTAGTACCTGGGTTAGGAGCATAACCAACAAAGTCGATCGTCTTCATATTCCGCAGGACTTCTTCTTCGATCTGTGGCGGAGGGAGTCCTACGTCAAACGTCATATTCGATGGCCAAGAAGACAAAAGTGGCTCGGTGTAATGTGGCATGCCAACAAGCGAGAGAGGGCTACAGTGCGGGCCGAAAAGTTAGCAATATGTACTCATCTCCCAAGCATTAAAACAGTCTGTACCTGAAATCATCCATAGAAACATTAGGTCGAGCTTGAGGCGGGTCAGGTGCTTCCAGTGGATCAGAGTATGCATTGATGGAATAATCGGGACGGTCTGCGTATTGAAAGACAAAACTTGATGCATCTCCAATGGCGACAGTTTCACCCGTACTAGACACATCAATCGACGTAATGTAGCTGCTTGTTGGTATTTGATAAAACTGGCCAGCTGGAGCATGCAAGCCCATTGCCAAATTGGTAACATCGCACACTTGAAATTGCCCTGACTGCGATACAATGAATACGGTGGTACTGAGTCTCGGATGCATCTTCAAGAAGACTGGTCCGCTAGGGAAAGGAATTGGGGCCAGTGATCGAATGGCCATTCGAATATCATAAACTTTGACCAATGGATCAATCATCAAGGAACCTTGACTGGAACATACAGAAGGAATTCCGTGAGTACACTCATAAAACCAACAGCCTCCCAAAAAAAAAAAAGAAGTAAACGGTCATTGCATTACCGATTGGAAAATCCGCACGTCAACATCATGTTGCCAGATACCTCCAGATCTGACAATGTTCCGGTATGAGCTTGTACGCGTTGTTCAACTTTCATGGTACGTGGATCTCGTAACGTGACTTCACCCGTCAAGCTACCACAACAGATAAGACGAGATGACGACGCTTTCTTCATCACCACCGTGTTTGCTGCTCCTGAAATCTTGCGACTAATCGTACCATAGTTGACGTTGACCACTAACAACTCGTCCTGTTGACCTGCAACCAGTAATTCATTGTTCGCCAACGTTGAGGTGGTCATGCAGTGCAAATCCTGAGTATTCTCGTTGCTGTGAGAGAAGAAAGGCTCGAGCGATAAGACAGCTGCATATTGCTTGGATTCATCCTATGCATACTTTACCTAATGTTCCACTTGACCAGACCTCGACGGTTACGCATCTGCAAGGAATTAGAGCTAAGGCTGATAATACCTCGGTCGCTCAGCGCAATCTGTCGGATTTGTTGATCGCTGTGACCTTTGAATGAAGTATATCGTTGCATTCCATCGTGCGCGTAATAGGATGTCACACGACCCTGTAGCATGTAATAGCATGTGAGCGAACGAGCAAGAAGTGGGCTATGCATGGTGAAAGGTTCTGACCTTGTCGTTTCCAGACCAAAGAAGATCCAGGTATGGATCCCATACTAGAGAAGATATTGGTGATATTTTGTTAGGATCATTGTCGCATGTCCTATGCACTTCAGTCCATTGGGACTCCATATATGTATATCACGGGTATCAGTCCAATGCGCGGTCGAACGAGGTTGTCGGACTGCCTGAAAGAAAATTGTGACATTTTACTTTTCAAGGTTCATTTAAACATTTAATCGTCACCTCATTGGCTGGTTGACGGAAGCCAACCCAGTAACTCGACTATCGTTAAAGATTCTTAAAATAATGAAAAGTATTCAAAGCTTTTCAAGGCAAACCACCGAATGAATAAAGTATAGCAGTATTAAGAAGCAGTAGTCACTTCATATTATATTACAAGGGGTAGTGGTTATGTGCTCTGGTATCTTCAGCCTCTACATAGCTCTACCTATTGACTGAAATACGGTTAAATTCGTCACATCTAGTTTTTCCTTTGAAATACTGGTCAATATTTCTGAGAGTGTCTGGTAAAGGCTTAATGTGATAAGATGAACATCAGCTGTAGGGTACTGGATAATAAATGGAAATAACTGAAAAACACCATCGGTCAGCGTTTAGCGTCTAAAAGGCCAGCCAGTTCCGCCAACATTCATTACCGGGCGTGGAAAGGAAAATGCTGGGATAGACGGAAATGCGGGCATCGGTCGGCAAAGCGGTGAGCTGGAACTCTCGGGCTTTGCGATTTTTAACCCAAACTTGGTTTTTCCATTGGCTAGGATTATGAACTGACTATCAAACTGTCATCAAGGAATTCCATGCATGCTATGGTTGAAATAGAGGACTTTCCATGTTTTTTTTCTTCTTTTTTTTTTTCAATTGCCAACCGAGCAAATAGTCAGTCGAGCGTGCTGCATGTTAATTATGGCAAACTGGCGTCTGCAGAACGTTACCAGGCGTCAGGATATGATTGGATGGGAGTGGTAAGTACGACAGAATAGAGTCCGGTTCAAACGCCTTTTGATTTTGGGGAACAAAAAAGTATTGCGGGGAAGGTTGCCGACAAAGGATCTTATTTTTAAAGGAAAGAAGTACTAGCAATGTCTTCTTGACCTTACAAGTCGATAATTGCCTGATTAGAGGCCGTTGCCGAGATCGCTGAACCCTGAAAATTTGTCAGAATGGCTTAGTGACTGTTGTTTCTTTCACGTTTGAGCTGAGTCGGTGCGTGGATCTGACTTTTTTTTTTTTCTATTTGGTTTTGTCATATTGTAATCCAGAACTTACATTTCTTTTCCTTTCGTTCCTTTTCGTCTGCCATGCCCCTCGCACTTCCTTTTGTGTCTGGAGCCCATCTTTCAATTGATGTACCATGGCCAGTTGTACTTTTGAAAAGCCAAACCTCTGATATATGTCATGTCCTTGGAGGTGAAGTGCTGTTAATGCTGCATCGCCCTATGGTGGCCACATCCATCTCCATCAAGTTAGTAGGAAAGAGCTATACTGTTTGGCCTGAAGGTATGATATGATTTTGTTTTTTCAAAAAGTTATGTCTTTCAATTGCTGTGCAATTTCTTATGTAACTTTTTCCAACCAGGCATTGGTGCGCGTGGAACCAAGCTCTATCATGAAAAGACGATTCATGAACAAAACATAATTTTGGCTACCGAAACCCTCAACTTGTCTTCTGGAATGCACAAGTATCCTTTCGAATTTTTAATGTCCAACAAATTGGTCGAGACCATCGAGGACGAGTTTGCCAAAGTCACATATTACCTCACCGCTTCCGTCGAACGTTCCGGATTTGGGTCGAAGATAAAATCTCGTAAAGATATTTTGTTGCTTCGAACTGAATGGAACGATCAAGCATTAACCAACAATGCTCTTCGCGATACATCTGTCAACGTCGAACGTCATCTTAAATCATGCGACGCTTATATACAACTAGAGAAAACCACCGCCTCCTCAGGCACTGACATTGCTGTGGATTTGACCTTATCTCCACTGATGAAAAATATTCATTTGGAATCTTTATCCGCTGTTCTCAGCGAACGTCGAGTCTACCGACTTCCCGAATTCCATGCTCGCCGAAATGAACTCACGGACCAGGACCTTAATCTTAAACGCATCATCGATATATCCGAGTTCGCTGAAACTGGCGAAGAGCAGACAGTGACTGAAAGTGATTTGCGCCGAGCTTTGTCTTCTTACTATGCTCAGGTGCCACTATCGGGATCGGCTTTCCAACGGCGCTTGATCTTCACACTGCCCAACTGTATTCGCACCAATCATTCTACCACCTTCTCTGAGATAGACTTTAAGCACTGGCTCAAGCTCGATATCATGATTTCACGTCCCCCCACCGCTGGAGAAATGGCAGCTGCTACTGAAGAAAAGCACATCGTGTTTGATCGAATCCGCCTCGATATCCCAATGACCATTCTTGACTGCAGACTCAAGGAGGATTTTGCCACACTTCCCACCTACCAGACAGCTATCATGGATTACAAGTTAGACGAGGATGAAATGGAGATCAAGGGCTTCCAATGTCCTTGCGTCGTCGCTTTCCGCAAAACACAAAAGAAGTGCGCTCACCCACAACACATACCAGGAAGCCATCATCTGCAGGACGAATACCCTGCTTACTCCCCTCCACATTATGACCGTTTGGAAGGCATCCGACGTTTTGAAATGTTGCACAGCTCTCTCTCTCAAGGCAGCTTATCGTCTGTCAGCTCGTAAATAGTCCACGCATTCACCCTTACCTTAGATTAATCTTAACTATTGCATTATGAATTACCCCCCACCCATCATTGTTACTGCATGTATCTATAGACATCTCCATGACATCATAACCTACTCTAGAAAGGTTCATCCCATATTTGGTACTTCCTTGTTGAATGTATTAAACAGATAACCCACAAGCATTGCTTCTAAACTGGTGTATTTCTACTGTTCCACCTTTCCAGCGGTTTGAGACTTGCCATGTCCGAATCCGAACGCAGCAGCTGTGTCTTCTGGATCCAGTCTAAAAAAAGAGTGTGTTAGATAAAGTCTTTGCCATGAGACATTCAAAGGCGGGGTACTTTACTCTCTGAATTCATAATGGCCTTCTCCATCGAATCGAAGCAGGTATTCGTGATGTCGCAAAAGCGAGGTTCTGAAACATTGAGGAAGGGTAAGCAAAGGTGTCTCGAGGTGTTCTTCATCCGGCGCTACTCACCTATGCGACACGGTAAAGAGAGTGATGCCAGCCTCTCTTGCATACTGGTACATGATAGCTTCGACATCGATACTGACAGCGCTCGTGCATTCATCCAGAATCGCCTGTCCCACAACATTAGTGGCAATGATTATCACCGAGAGCTCTATTGTGTGTACTTACGAATTGGGGCTTGTGATAAAACAATCTAGCCATGGCCACTCTTTGTTTCTCTCCGCCAGACAAGCTGTAAACGATGCATAAGCCCAATGGTGCTCCTGAAACATATTTTACAGCCAACACTTACACTTCCGCCCAATCCTGAACTGCACTCCATCCTCCCTCTCGCTCAACAAGGTAGCCAAGATGAACAACGTTCAAAAGTTCCATCAAGCGTTCGTCGTCAAAACCCTTATCAAGAGCGTCCTCACGAGTATCAGGGTAAATGACTTGGTCGCGGAAACTACCTAGAGCCAAATAGGGCTTTTGGGGAACATAAAATAGTTTGGATGCTGCTGGCTTGGTGACGGTTCCACCCCACAAAGGCCACAAGTCACCCAGAATTCGGAACAGTGAACTTTTTCCACATCCATTGGGTCCAGATATCAAACAGTTCATTCCCGTTTCGACTCTGAACGAAAGCTCCTTCAGCTGTTGGGAAAGCGGAGAGCTTCAGCATCGACCAACGACACGACCTTATTTTGAAAAGACAACCTACCAAGACATCTTTGTTGGGTGTCACAATGGGCACGCGGGAAAAGTTGATGACACCATCCTGGATGATCACCTTTCCTTTCAAATGTGTAGTATCGATGACTGAATAGAGGTGATGAATATTAAGTTGTAAGTCTGGGCTACAGTAGCCGATAGGAATACCGCTTGCGACCGCGAATACTTACTCTCCTTTTGGTTTGCTTCTCCTGTGTCTGCAGTGACCATGGTTCTAGAATACTTTCCTTCGCCGACATCTTGCATAACATCAAATAATTCTGACACACGAGACTGAAAGGGACAATGAGGATTAGTTAATGTGAAACGTCTGTGAAACGGACTGCGGGGGTGGACATACTGTGTAGCCAGCAAATCGAGTAAGGTCTCGACCAGTAAGGATGAGTCTACCAACAGCCTGCGACAAGTTGACCAGATAACTCGCTATGGTATTACGGATTAGTAAGGGCATATGTTATAGATGCAGTCAACTAGTTTCACATACAGTTCCTGGAGTAATCCTCCATCAACTTCGCTGGGTCACTGGCTTCCATGCCCATTTGTTCAGTTGCTACAAAGGCGATAATAGTTAGCGGTAACACCAGCTACGAATGACATAGTGTATGTGAACATACCATAGCGTGGATCAAAAACAGGTCTGGCCAAAAGGCTACATGACAAGATTAAAATATTGTGCATAGTGTGACGATATAAGGTATGAAACACACTCACTAGTAGGCGGTCATGGTGGCACAATACTTTACAAGCACAGAGTCGAATATGCCATTCACAAATCGAAGAGTATAGACTTTTCGGATATGACGAGAGATCTGGAAAAAGTGCTATGAGTAAATGCGATGGTTTTACAAGACACCTCTCATAGTATAGGCACTGTACCTTTCTAAAGCTGCTCTCAACTACCTCCTTTTCCCTTTGACCACCTCCATAAAATGCGATTTCCTCTGAATGCGCTATGATGCGAGACTACATAGACAGATAAATATAATAGAGCCATCGATGAATTGCAAGCAACAAAACTTACATGGGTAAAGCGGAAATCACCCTCCAACTTTTGCTCAATAGCCGTATCTACACAGGAAAAAAAAACGATGAGATGCTAGAAGGATTGAACGAGACCGTCGGACATTCAATACCCACATTTGCCAAAGGGAGGAGAAAAGGCACGAAGGATGATTCCAGACATCACGAAATAGGCAATCATGAACACTGGGGCTTCTCCACCGCTGAAAAACCACCACCGCAAAGGTTATTACAAAGCACTCACCACGGTTCTCATCCCTACCAACCTCACTTACATTGCTTCACCCAGCTTGTATGCAAACAGACCAATGTCCACAAGTGGTTTGGCAATATCTGAATACAAGTGCGACAGATTTTCAGAGAATTTGTCAATATCCTGCGTTAACAATTGATCGGCATTTTGCAAACGATTATCCAAGTTTGCAATCTTGTAGAAAGTGATAGCATCTAGATATTGGTTATGTGCATGCTAAAATATCGAAATAACATTAGATAATGGTATATACGAAAACATGAACCACATGTCTGGGAAGGGGTAGTACCTTTGTGAGACGCTCACGGAAACATAACGCCAGAGCGCTGATGGTCAATTTTAGGCAGTTGTTGACGATACTCATGGGCCACTGGAGAAGTTTACTGCAATTAGACGAATATACACCACAACGCAAGGTAGTATTCAGTTTCTCACCATCATTAAGCCAAACTCAAATATAGCTTTGGATATAAAGGCCTCGCGATTGCGCGATACAATAGCTTTGACGACTTGGCTGTACAAGGGTAGGTAGGAGTTTGAGCTGAGCTGAGCTGAAATTGAGCTTCGTGATCTCCGTGAGACCGCATTTCCACTTACCCGTTGAATGCCGAAAACCAAATGTCCAACCAGGTACGGGCAATCAAGACAATAGCCAAAGCTGCCAACAAGGTAGTTTCTCTGGACACAGCACTTGGGATGCATATAGGCAGCAATTTGGCCATTTGGCGGAAGAATGTGGCATTGACGCCGACCTTCTTTCTAACCGACTTCTTCTGCGAACGCGTAGACGACTTAGGGTTGGGTTCTTTGAAGGTCGACTGTGCAAACTTGGCAATAGCTTGCTTGTTTCTGTAGAGTGTAAAGAACAAAACGAGGGCTATGGAGCCTACTGTTTTTTTCTTGGAAGACAGGGTCGACAATGCAGGAGCCATTCTTCCAACAATGGGATATATGTTCTAAGTAGTTTATAGAAGACTAACGAGAGTACAGGGTAAATGACATCGAATTGAAATAATGTCTTTTGATTATCATAAAAAATAGCTAGTCATTTCACGTGAGGTTCACAAGTGCTCCTCCTCAAGCCATGGTCGACGCCACACCTAATGGAGTTTTTTGAAGCATGTCAACAAGCTTGTCTGACTCTAACTTGTACAAGTAACCATCCTTTGTGACAACGTAAAGGCATCCATCAGCACCAACTGTGCCACATTTGATTTGGCTCTTGACTTCTGCTATTAAAGTAGCGTCGCCAGTCGTGGTGTCTATAGCAAATAACCCAGAACCAAGTGTGGCGTACAGTGTATCATTTGCGCTCAGCAACGCTGAACACGTCGACCAATCAGTTTTCGATTCTATCAGAGTTGGATTTTTATCTCTGCCAATGCAGTAGAGAGAATTAGTTTGTGTCGCTACGTAGATCTTGGACAAATGAACCACAGCTGCCCGGGTTCTACTCCAGTAACTGTCGAAGAGGCCTTCTTCTTCAATCCAAGGCTTACTTGACCCGGTGGCAGGGTCCACTACCGTCAACCGGCTACCAAAGCAAAGCAACTCGTTTTCATAGCTGACCAGTCTACAGAAGGCCCAAGTGGAAAATCTCGACAGTGGTCGAACATTTCGTTCGCTAGTATCGATCTCATACAGGCTGTTGAGATTGGTGGTAACGTAGATCAGTCCATTGGTATGCCGCACTGCTGAAAAGGCGCTGACCCAGTCATTATTCCAAAAGTGAGTACCTTCCGGTAAGAAGTTGTTGATTTCTGCTGGTTTTTCCAGGTCATAGAAGAACAGCGGATGAGTGAAGACGAGCATAAGGAGAGAGTGCCTGGAGGCGACGTGTGACGGTGGAAAGGCGTCCCAGGGCGGAGAGTCAACTTTAACGGCGCTCGTTTTTTGACTGTCGCAAAAAAAATTCTTTTTTTTTTTTAGTCTCAAAGAAGAGATTTTTTTTCTTTCTTTATACTTTTCCCTCGCGTTCTTCCTTGTACTTCAAATATGGGCGGGTGCGTGATCTATTGTTTGATATCAAATAACATGAATTGAAAAACTAATCAAAAGAACACTTTAGTGTGCAACTTGCACCAAGAGATTTTATTGAGCCTGTTGACTTGAAACAAGATGTTGCCTGGGATCAGTGGCACGATATGATCTCGGCAGAAGACCTTACTGAAGAAATCGAACATATCATGATGAAGTATGCTTCATTCTCATAGACTTGAAGTTGGCTTGATGGCAACATTACTAACTCTGTCACCTAGCGAATCCGTTCCTTCATGGATCAACGAATGGCAAGATCAGGTAGAATCCCCCACCTTGGAATCTTCTATCTTTCCCCATACCCTCGGGGATCTGTTCGGTGGCGACGAGATCGCAGCTGGTCTTTACGATGAAATGACGTTTTATCCCAGTCACGACTCACCAGCCGTTACCGAGCCAGAATTATCGCCACCATTATCGACCTCTCATTCCACCTGTGGTGAGAGTATCGACCATAACCTTACACAAGACATTGACGACGTTCAGGTTGCCATGTCTTCTGAATCAGAATCGTCTGACAGTGATGACGAAGAAGAGGAAGAGCCTGTGTTGCTCGCTGACTGCACCCAGCCAGCTTTCGATCAACAAGACGGTTCAGATTCTGAGGATGAGGAGCAATTCCTTTACCAAAAGGCATATGCTAGTCGAGGAAACAGCTCGACGCCTGTCGCTTCTTTCATGCAGCGAAGACAGATGGAAGAATCTATTTTGGAAAAGATCACAACCCAGTTGGATGCTGAAAAGCTTCCTGCCATCCTTACCATCATTGGTTCAGATCAAGACGAGCAATCGCATGGTGGTGAAGTTGAAATTGATCTTACTCGATTGGATCAAGATCGCTTGGGTCGAATTTTGGCGTATGTCGATGCATGTGTTTTAGAGCAACACGGTGGTCCCTCTGTTCAACTGAATGATTATTTGTGTGCTCGCCCTGTTATTCAAGAAACCAAACAAACCCCTAAAAAATCAAGAACCAGACCTGTTGATTCTGACGACGACAGCGACGATGATAGTCAAGTGTATGAGTTGCCAAAGCGACGAAGACGCCAACGACAGACGCCTGCTCGGAAACGTACTCGCAAGCAGAGATCACCTATTACAAAGCACGGCAAAATGACAGAAGATATAATAGGTGGCCATACGGTCATTGTTGATGAACTGTCACTCGGTTTAGGTGGATCAATTGGTGACGGCCCATTGTCTTTGAGTACGTTAAATTCCGTCACTGTCCATCAAGCTGGCGGAAAGTCCAAAACTGGCCACAAGTCCATTGATCCCGAAAGTATTGCAGCATCACGACCAAAGCGCCGGGCAGCTGTACACAAGAGAAGAATGTTGGAAGAATTACTTGCACCCTCTGACGACGATGATGAAGATATATCCAACGAAGTTCCCCTCGTTGTTCATAGTGATGAAAAAATGGATATGGGCGTCACCGAAGATAAAGTCATAGTCCATGAATCAGTATCTGCCTCCTTGGCTGGACCATTGGCACCTACCTATACTCAGCATGTATCTGATGATGCCGATGAAGAAGATATTGACATCATGGACTAGATAGATCACATTGTACACAATTGCATCTCACCTCTTTCTTTTTAATTTTTTCCACCCTCTCCACCCTTCGTTTTGCACATACACTCACACATGTGCAATCCCTTTGCACTTTACCCCCATGCCATCACCCAAAAAGTTTTTCAACTGTGTTATTTCCTTTGCAATCGATAACCTTTGTTTTTTTTTTACACTGGTAAAAAGTTTAATAAAATAAAATAAAATAAAAGCATTTCTGAAAGAAACAAAGAAGCGTGCTGAATGAGGGCAATGGAAATAACATGGGACGAGTAGTGAGGAGGATACTAGACTAAAGGTGCGACCGAAGGGCAGCGTAAGTGAGAAAACCGTGACGAAATTAAAGAACATGGATGCGGTTTGTGTGATAATACTTGGAGTGAGGAAGGCACAGAAGCAACAAAAGAGATGATAACCGTGGTAATGGAGAAAACAAAAGAAAAATGGAAATGTACACGTCCCAGCAGGGTAGCTTTCTATACTTTAATGAAAGGCTTATAGCCTCCTATATTGATTCTCAGAGCAAGAGCCATAATCGAAGCGAGAACCGTAATTGCACCTGAAAATTCAATGGCAGTAACGTAGTTGGAGGCGTCAAAGATTTGACCAGCCAGAGGTGTACCTGCAACAAAGTTTCCAAATTAACCCCTCTCCGTATGAATACATGTATGCACGAGGGTAGGTAATGCTTACCTAACAAAAATCCTGGTCCAGTTGCGAGAAAATACATTGTCATGCCCTGAGCGAGGTGTTCGATGCCAACAATTTCGATCGCGATAGCAGGCAGAACGGATAGGAAACTGGTATACAGAGATGTGTAAGGAAGATAGTTTGCCTTACCATGTGTTGGTTTAAATTGGTACTTACACTCCACCCGATGCACTATATACGATAAAGTAGAAAAACAATACACCATATGATTTGGCAAATGGCCATATGAGCATCGTACTAGCAGCAGATATGAAGGTAAGAAGAAACATGACGTTCAGTCGACCACTGTACCAAGCAACGTTAGAAACTTTTTTTTTTTCTGGGTCAATTCCTCACACAGAAACCGGTACTTACAGCGACCGATCGGCAAGCGTTCCGAAGATGACTCTGGATGCTGCATTTATACCAGATCCAACGGCAACAATCAATGCACCTTGACTGGCGGTAAGGCCGATGCTTACACTGTACACTGTAGATGGAAACAAGAGCGATGAGCAAGACAGCGTTTCACGATCAGCACACACTGTTCTAATCATACGTACTTGGGACCAGATAAAATGGAACAAGGTATCCGAAAGGGACTAAAGCTGAGAATCCAAGCAATAGCCACATGGGGGTGGTCAGCAAGGAAGTATCAATCAACTTAGCTCGTCCTGTTGTCCTTGGCATTTCATACTTTGGCTTGCCTGCAAAGAGGAATAGGAAGTCGTTTAGAAGGCATGTACAAAAATTGAGAGTATATGGGTATGTTAGGACTCACAAAGTAGATCGCCGACAATCATGATTCCTAGGCCAATGATGCCATGATATCTCAAGGTTGCTTTGTATCCGTATTTGGAGATGAAACTGGAGATCAACTAAATTGGTACAATCGCCATAAAAGTCAGTCAAGATGTCTACCGCGTTAGACAGAAAGTTAAAAGACCTACCGGATTCAAGCAGAGCCCGCCAATGCCCGAGCCACAAATGGAAATACCACCAGCTAGTGAGCGGTTGCGCCGCAAGTACTGGGCTGGAATCATCATAGCTGGTTGAAAGCCCATGGCGCCACCAACGCCATACATCAATCCTTGAGTAAGATACAGCTGCCAGAACTCTGTAGTGAAGCTAGCACAAATCAAACCCATTGGAGCAAGAATCTGTTACACCAACCAAAGAGAAAGTAAATAAAAGGGAAACCCTAAAATCTTTCGTGAAAAGGTTCGCTTACGGTGCCAATGTGGATAGTTCCTCGGTATCCGATCTTTTGAATAATGAGAGGGAGAACAAGTCCTAGCAAGTTGATCAGACCAGACTGCATTGAGCCTATGAAGGAGACTTCCAAAGCTGTTCGTTCGGGAAATGCTACAGTCAGATAGCTAAGTAAATCGAATGGTGTGCAGATGGATTGTGTAAGGTAAGCATCGAATATAGCGCACAATTGAGCAGATCATCGAAACATAGGAGTATAAAAAAGAGGATGTTAAAGATACATGCGTTAGCGAAAGTGGAAACATTAGGAGGTCAGAAGAGAGTGAAGGCATCATGACACCACCCAAACAACATATTGCCAACGAGCGAGATCAGCTTCTGCTTAGATGCGTCAGTCTACCAACACGCAAAAAATGAACAAAATTAAGAGAAAGGAATTTGGGGTTGAACACTTGCTTATTCATGTAGTTTCCAAAAGCAAGAGTACTACCGCTCAGGAAAAAGTTGACGAGGAAAGCGCCCAATGCGCATACCCAGCCGCGGTTACGAATTCCTTCATATTCATCATCAGGTTCGCCGCCTTTCTCTAACGATTCCTCAGGCGGGGGACCGATGATGGTTTCATCAACAATGGTAGTGTCGTAGGTAATTGACTGTTGCGATTGAACAGTGGTAGATCGAGTCAAAGACATTGTGTGAAAGAGATGGAGATCACTGATAAAACAGTTACGTAGAGTAGTAGAAGTGAGTCAATAACAGATAAAAATGGCTCGTTTGCATACTATGGCCTCTAGGAAAAAGGATGCTCTAGGTGATGAAGACGGGATATAGAAAAGAAAAAGGATATTCACACTACCACGCACTACTTATATAAACTTTCGCATATACCACGATGACTCTTGATCCAACAATGAAAGTTCGGTGATTACGCAAACCTAACCACCACCCTACCGGGCTCTCGGGGGCTGGCTGGCTTGACTTCCTTATGCCTCATGTAGCGAGTCTAGACTCGGTCGTTATTTTACCTTCCTTTTGCTTGCGAAACCCCTTTTGATATACTTGATTGCGCTGAACGGTAGGTAAGCTGATCAATTATTTAGGTGTTTGAAGCAAACGTCTCAATTATCTATCGGCCTTTGTCAAAAACTCCGTCACGGATCTACTGCGGCTAGCCAACGTCTATTTCAACTTTTGCCCCGGACTTTAATCCGAAAGTGTAAAAAAAAAAAAAAAAAGTTTCCTAAATCCTTATGAGCTTACGCAAATCCAAATGGGAATCCGACGAAAGTGATTCAGAAGTCCATGATCCTTCAAGTAAACGATCAAAGCCAATCAAGAAAGCCAAGGTGGGAGGCGCGGCTGCACATTCTCAGCGTGATGCATTACATACGCAAACATCGCAACCGACTACCTTGTCGGCGACGGAAGAGGAAAGGACGACGCGTATGCCTCCGGTACGACGTGTGGTTCCAACGCCTCCGAAGCCACCCATGCCCACTTTACACAGCTGTCGCCATGTAGATAATTATGAGAAACTCAACCGAATTGAAGAGGGTGCGTATGGAATTGTCTTTCGAGCAAGAGATCGAAAAACAGGCGATATCGTGGCATTGAAGAAGTTCAAGTTGGAAAAGGAAAAGAATGGATTCCCTATTACTAGTCTTCGAGAGATCCGAACGCTTATGCTAGCCAAGCATCCGAATATTGTAAACATTCGTGAGATTGTCGTTGGAGACAAGTTTGACCAGTAAGTTCACTCAACTACCGTCACGATCGGGAACCCAGTTGTATCTCATCATTCCCCACAGGATTTTTATGGTAATGGATTTTATTGATCACGATCTCAAGGCGCTCATGGAAGACATGAAATCTCCGTTTCTGCAGTCCGAGGTCAAGACCATTATGATCCAGCTGTTATCAGCGGTGGCTCTCATGCACGACAATTGGATGATCCATCGCGATTTAAAAACAAGCAATCTGCTGTTGAACAATAGAGGCCAAATTAAAGTGGCTGACTTTGGGCTGGCAAGGACGTATGGAAGTCCATTGGGAAACATGACTCAACTTGTCGTGACTTTATGGTACAGGTAATCCTATCATATGAACATTTTTGGGGTGGGGCAATGTATGTTTATAGAACTCATGACGACCATCTATAGAGCGCCAGAGCTGTTGTTGGGGGCAAAAGAGTATTCCACGGCCGTCGACATGTGGTCCATTGGCTGTATCTTTGCTGAACTGGTACGCAAAGAGCCTTTACTGCCTGGTAGAAGTGAAATCGAACAACTGGATAAGGTAATGCATCGATGTTTAATATTTGGAAAAAAGGGGCGGTAACCAATGGGATTTGCTTTGCGCCATATAGATATTTAAGCTTCTCGGAATGCCGAACGATAAGATTTGGCCAGGTTTTTCAGATCTGCCGCATGCCAAAAATATTGCTTTTGTGAACCAACCGTAAGTTGAAACTACCATGAAGAATGCAATGGATTTATATTCAACTTTGTTCTTATTTTTATTTCTTAGCTACAATAATTTGCGTAGCAAGTTCTTATACCTAACAGAAGCAGGCATTGATCTCATGTCAAAGTTGTTAACGTATGATCCCAAAAAGAGAATATCCGCTGAAGAAGCGCTCAACCATCCCTACTTTTCGTAAGTAGAATAGAACCGGTATCAAGCGAACATGGCGCATGTCACAGTAGCTCATCCACGTTCGTTTATTTCACAGCGAAAGTCCCGCACCGAAAGACCCGGCAATGTTCCCAACTTGGCCGTCCAAGGGCTCAGGTGAAAAGTGAGTCTTCATTGATGGGCAATGTAACTATTAAACCTTGCACTAACAGACAGTTTCCTTCAGGCGAAAAACATATCTCAGTCCATCCGCTCCACAAGCGTCTCATGCCGGCATGGAAGACGACGATACATTGTCAGGAACGCTTTTTGGCGGTACGTCCGAATCAACGGGCTTCCAATTGCGCATTGCATAAAACATAGACAGCATACATTGGGTCAGGCATAAAATTGTTGATGTTTTGAAAAATAAATCAAATGTATTTCACAGGATTTTTCACAAACACCCCCCAGGATAGAAGAAAAAAATAGATGCGTAATTTAAAATACAGTGCGCTTATCAGTCATGACGCGAACAATGGATCCTGGGCCAGCAACTTCGGTCAACTGTGAAAGGTACATTAGTACATATACGATGTTGTCCATTCTCTTATGTGATCACCTAATATACCTTTTCATGCCAGTTCAATATCATGCCAGAGTTGAATTGCTCAGGCTTTGAAAGCGCGGCATACAAGTACTTCATGAGGACATCCTGTTGGTCCAAATTCAATCCTTTGATCGCTGTTGGGATATCGTTTGCTCTAAACTGGTTGAGCACATCAACCACGGTTTTTATGTTCTTTGCCTAGAGTCATTGTTAGAACCCAGGCCGAGACAAACCCAGCTCTCTCCATACTTTTACTTTACCTTGGCACTCTCGAGGTTGCGTCCATAGGGCGGATCCTCCAAGGACTTGGTCAAGGCATCGCTGTTGTTACCTCTACGAGATGGCAATGCAGAAGCGGGTTTTAGTACACTTTTAATACTGGTAAGGTACGGTACATGCGGTGGGGGGCAATGCCATTGGCTTACCTGGTGAGTAGATTTCTAACATCGGTAGCTCTGGCATCGACAACGGAATTTATCTCGTCGATGGATCGACCAGACTCGGCGTCAGCCAAGATTTCTTCTTCAGTGTAGATGTCTTCGTCGTACTGGTCAATGTCAATGCGTCTGAAGGCCATGATGTGGGTTGGTGCTGTAACGAAGGTGAGTACGCGGGATTTTAAAAATTCCCTTTAACGAGAGAGACTTACCTTTGCACGCCCTACGTCATTCTCCAACCCCTCCCCTACCATCTTTAGCCTTCAGATAAAAAATGCTGCGTCGATCCGTCACAAACCTACGAGGTCCTCTTCTCAAACAACAACAGCGAGCATTCTCAGCAAGTCGACCAAGTCTCGCTAATGACACTCGCCGTTCTGCTTTGATCTCACAACAAACTGTCAAGGAATGGAAGGACCTGACTGCCCCACAAAAAGTCGTGGCTGCTACCAAGACCTCTGCTAATATAGGTTTAATCTTGGCTGGAGCTGCTGTCACTGGCACCATTCTGTATTACGTTGGTTCCGAGCTATTCAGCTCTCAAAGCTCGACCCATATATTTTCGGACGCGCTGGACCGCGTGCGTCAACATGAAGAATTGAGTGCTATGCTAGGCTCTCCTATCAAAGGTCATGGAGAACCAAGTCGAAGTCGATCACGCCGAAATAGACGGATATTACATCAACTTGCTCAGGACTCGGAGGGAAAGGAGCATTTGCTTATGCGTTTTTATGTTGAAGGACCCGACAATGAAGGTACCTGCATGGTCAATATGGTGAAGGACGATAGGGGCAAATGGCAATATCGCCAGCTTTATGTGGATGTTCCTGGTTAGTACACAGCGCAGTGGCAGGCCCATGTGGATTTGCGCATTATGTCGTTAAACTAATCGTGCTTTTACTTCCCAGGCCAAGGTCTTCCTTCTCGCCGTATATTCATTGAAGGCTCAGCGAATATGGCTAGAGGAGCATAGAAGCTGAAAAGGATACGACATTGAACACAAGGTTCAAGTAAAATGAAACTGTTATAGAGGCTGGTCGGTATACCATCTCAGTAAGTGCTGACCGGTAAAAGTTGGACTGGGCTAGTAGCATATAAATCGAATGAATTTATCATGATCCAAAAGCAAAAAATAAATAGTAACAGAGTCTATTCACTCCATCGTGAGCAGCTATCTATCCAGAGTTGATATACGTAACTTGTATGAACATTTGATTGTCGGACCCCTATAGTGAGGCATGACTTTCATAAGCGTTATGGTCATCGACATATGAACAACCACGGCTTGCCAATGGTGGAAAGCAAGTGTGAACAGCGTTTTGCAACTAGTGATGCATACCTATATTTATTCAAAATATATTTTCATGACATTGGAAGATTATCATATCTCAAATATGTCTGTCCTCTTTGTCTTCTCCAAAAGTTGCTGGTTTTAACCATCTCCTTGTCGCACAAAAACCAATACTTTTGAAAAAACACTGGACCAATCTCCCAGCCTTGCGTAAAGAGTGGGTCACCGCCCCAAACATTACAATGCTCGTGAAGGTCATCCATGAACCTCTCAATGTCAATCACACTTAGATTCAATATAATTCGATCCCTCATGGACGCCCAAGGAATGATATCAATAACAGGAGGATGTGTAATCGTCAACTGCAACTGGGAAGGTTTGAATATATCGGGCGATACCGTAAATTCGGTATCCAGCATGGTTTCCCTGATACCGGTGAATAAAGAGCAAATTCTAGCCATGGTAAACGATTGTAGGTCTATTCGTCTTGGTACTGTGGTTCCCAGGGGGGTTTGGCAGCATTCGTTCATCAAGTTCTTCAATATGGGACTGAATGAAGATGCCTGTTGTGAAAAGTGAGGATGTTCCGGTATTTTCGTTTGGTCTTCACCAACATGGATCAGTTTCGCAATGGCGTTGATTTGTTCTGCTGAAGCTATCGGTGGTTGATAGGATGATTCTATCTGATTGTCTCTATAAGCGGACGACTTGTTGGCCAACGTATCATCGTCGGCATCTATTATGGTAAAGCTAATGTTCGAGTTAGTTTAATTAAAACTCCCTCTATAGCGGAACTTTCTAGTAAACTGTTTGTTGGCTTACATGTTATCATGGCTCTTTTCACTTTCAGACGTTTCAGAGCTAGTAGTCGCTTTTTCAAAGGTTAGCTCTACATTGACAGGGAGGGCAAGTTCATTGGCCTCTTGCTGAATACGCAATCGACTTTCCTCCTTCAACTGCTCTGCCATTTTGACAATGAGGGCTGACAGTTGTAAATTCTTGTCATTGGCAGCCTGAAGTGCGGTTCGGTGATGTTGAACCTTGACGTCTTCGCTTTTACTTAACAGTGCAATTTGCTGTTCGAGATCTTGGATATATTGCTGCCGCCTCTTGCCTGCCAAACAGTATATTAACGCCTCAGTGGCACACAACCGGTACAAGCCTTACACAACTTACGATATTGCCTCTGTGCTATCTTATTATAGTCTCTCTTCTTGGAACTTTCCTCATTGCTCGAAGATGGGTCTTTTTCCAGCATGTTGTGTGGATGGAGAGCAGGTTCATATTTTCCTGCTGAAATTTTAAAAATTCGTACCATGTGATTAATAATGCTACGGAAAGTAGCCCACAGCCTGCACGCACCGGCAGTTCTTGCCACTTTTCGTACGCCTTAACGTTCTAAGACTCAGCGCTGTTGGCCCGTGCTTCAATCACTCATTCATGCAAAAATGGTTGCTTTATTGAAAATTCTCGATGATGGGGCAATGCCGTTGCCTAAATGATTTTATTCGGTCCCTACCATTTCATGATAGTAGCTTGGCCAGACTTGCTGCAGCTTCATCTAACTCAGTCTTATCATTGCAAGTTGCGAAAACATATCGGTCTGGTCTCACGATTATGTACTTGCTGTTAGCAACCTCTTTTTTGATGCGGTAAATATCAAAATCTACAGGCTTGAGGCGTCCTTCGCATAGGGGTGAGGCAGCAAATTCTTCAATGGTAGCAATGCGGGCGATCCGGAAGCTATCGTTTGTGTTACGTTCTAGTGGATCATGGACAAGGAAAGTTGCATCTTGGATAGCCAACTCGCCGTTGGAAAGGTTCTCAATATCAACAAGAGCGTCAGCGGCATCGGCAACCTCGGATAGTTTGTCCACTAATACGACCAGTTGGAAGAGGCATTTTTTAGAGCCGTCAAATATCAGATCGTCAGTGAAAACGATCTCCGCATGGTCATTGCCAGAGGTCAACCGTTTGGCAAATCTTTGAGGGAAAAGAAGACCACCAGCACCTTTTGGAATAAAAGCCATACCCTCTTCAAATTTATACTTGTGCAGTCCATTTCGAGTATCGCCTTTGGCCAGAATACGGCGCACTTGAGGAATTTGTTGCAGAGTCCAAAGACCCCAATCTCGGATGAAGTTTTTGAGGAAATTCTTCTCTGTTACGAAACGACCGTTTTCGACCGTTGTGTTCAAAGACCTATCAAGTTGTTGTTTGCGTTCTGTGTACCATCCTTTGAAGAGCAATTCATAGTCCTTGAAATTGGATCGACAGGCTACCGCTAATCTCCACGCCAAACCGGAAGCGTCTCTAAACCCGGAGGCAATGCCTTGACCACCAAAGGGAGGGAACACATGGGCTGCATCACCACTAAGGAGAACACGACCAAGAGACCACTTGTTACAACTGCGAGCGGCAAATGTAAACGGCCTGCAGCGTAGAGTTTCAATGCAGTCTTCAGGATAAGTCACGTCTTGCGGGAGACCATATTTCCTTCCAGAGTGGGTAATATACGGGAAGACGATTTTCTTGATACTCTCATATTCAGACATCTTGTGCCCGTCTTCCTCTTGGATGACGACAAATTCGAATCGCCACAAGCGTTCGTCCGGTGGGCCAAATCTGCCGCAAACCGCGGGTCGTTCAGGATTACATAGAAATCTGAAGTCTGACGGAAAGAACTTCTCATAAACGTCTTCAGGGGTGTAGCCAAGCTTCCACAGCGGAAAATTTGGATGCGAGTCTTCTGTAGGAAGGGTAATCTTCCAGTTGAGTGCAACCCAAGTCTCATTATACTTTGTATTGGTGTTTTCCATTATAATGCCCTTGGGCTCTAGATATTGTTTTCTGGTAAAGCCAGTCTTGCCATCTGCTGCCACTAGAAATTTTGAACAAATTTTGACGATGGACCCTTCCTTGTCTTTGTAGTTGACATACACGTTCTCTTGGTCTTCTGAAATGTTCACAACGGTTGATGACGGACGAAAATCAACAGTAGGTTCTCTTGACATTTTCAATCGCATATTTTTCTCCAATGCCGGTTGCTTGTGACCAAGAAGGCCCATATGGCCACCTCCACCATCACTAAGTCCCATGTCGAAGGTGAGGAAAGGTTGTCTGTATAGGTCGTTGTGGACTCCAGCGACAAATTTCACTTTTTCCACGTATGTGCCAATGTCTGTGTACACATGACTATACAGCCCAAGGCCCTGCACAAGTCGGATACCGTCTTCGTCTAGTGCAATACCCCTAGGATCAGTGACAATTTCTTGCTCCTTCTCGAGGACTATGCACCGGATATTCATGATGCCCAGGTATCCAGCCAGCAAAGCTCCAGTAGGGCCGCAGCCGCAAATGATAACATCAGTGTCTTGTGTTGGCGAAACCATAAAAGTGTGGGTGTTAAAGAAGGTAACAGGTGCTTTTTTTTGGCGGATTATATAAATCTATGATTCTGGATTCAATCGGATAAATTGGGAACGCGAGGATGTGTGGGTAATTGGATGGTGGAAGAAATTGGACGGAAATCTTCGCCTAAACTTTCTAGGCGTCCCGTGAAACAATGTCCGCGGTTACAGCCAGGCACTACATAAAACCAGACTCTATTCTGTCAGCATTTTTACACCTTCATTCAGAAATAACATCATGTCCTGGACTCATTTGATTCGCTTTATTGCCAAGGAAGACGCCAAGGTCCATTTGGGTCAACTTGTCGACACTGCTCGTGATATTGGTTTGGACAGTATCTCCGGACATCCCATCACTGCCTACGAGGTACAAGGAAGTGTTTTTGATGGCAAGGTTACAGGAAAGGAGCTTACAGTCCAGCAACTGCTTTGTCCAATTACCCGAGACCAATGCGACTACATTCGTTGCGTTGGACTTAACTACAAAGATCACGCCGAGGAAGCCAACCTTCCTCTTCCCAAGGTCCCCATCCTATTCAGCAAGCCTCGATCAGCCCTAATTGGTCCCTACCCAGAAGCCGTTAAGATTCCAAAGTGTGCACAAGATGAAACAAGTGACTACGAAGCAGAGCTCTGTGTCATCATTGGAAAAACTGGAAGAGACATTAAAGAAGAGGACGCATACAATTATGTTTTGGGTTATACTGCATCCAACGATATCAGCGCTAGAAAGCTTCAACTTTCTCAAAGTCAGTGGTGCTTTGGCAAAGGTCTTGATGATTCTATGCCCATTGGTCCTGTGGTTGTGTCGCCTAGTGTTATTAAGGATCCCCACACTCTCTCCATCAAAGCCATTTACAATGGTACTACCGTCCAAAGTGGCCACACACAAAATATGATCTTCACCATTCCTCAAATGATCGCATACTTTTCCCAAGGAACCACCCTTGAGGCGGGTACTATCATTGTCACCGGTACTCCTGCTGGTATTGGAATTGTCAAGAACCCCCGTGTGTTCCTTGAGGATAAATCAGACATTCGAGTTGAGATTGAGAATATTGGAACATTGATAAATAAGGTTGAATATGAATAAACTTTGTTGGCTTAGTCTGATTACAACAGAAACTATTTAGATAGCGCCATTAAACGTAAATGCCTCTTGAGCAATAAACAAGCACCTTTTCTTTTCAATTCTATCACTGTAAACAATGAAGAACATGTTGCAAGTTTGTACTATCGTGTAACTTTTACATCCTTCTCATTCCTTTTCCAGCAACGTGAGATCCGGCTTGGCAAATTCCCGCTGAGATTCCACTGACCTCAACCACCGTGGTTACATTATCTATAGTATTAGATGATGAGCACATGATGAGCTTCCGGCAAGGCCAATTCACAGTGCTACACTAGTGTGCCAAAGTAGGCAAATATCTGCTTATGATCTATGCCAAACATCTTTTCAAGCAGTTTACATCGAAAATGAAGAGACTCTTATCCATCTATTTAACTCAATTTCTGCTATGTAATTTATTTTAAATTCAGATACAATTACTGTGCTTAATGTGTGCTGTAACTTCTGGCACATTCACAAACTACATAGTGTATGTTAACATTGGCATCATTGACATACGGGATAGGGTGAACTTTGGCCGAAATAAAAGTTAAACCGGCCAAAGAAAATGTGCTGATGTTCAATCTGTATTGATAACTTGTTATTAATTGGATTGGAGCACGTTGGATGTGTATGAGAAGTTTGAATGATTGGCCAGGGAAGCAAGTGATTGCGAAAGTCAAGACAAAGTGGCATCCCGGAGTTTGATTCTGCTCTGAAATATTAGCCGGCAAGCCTAGGCAGCGTTAAGGTTCCTCTCACAATGCCCCACACTTCTTGAAACGATTGACCATTCATCGTATTTGATGCGATGAAAGTAGCATACTATCATTCTCAATTGAAATAAGAAGTGCTTCATTGCTTATACGTTGGAAAATATCTGCCAGATGCCTTGAAATCAGCTTTTCAGTGCCGCCTTGCCCAATTCACAACAAGAAACTTTGCTCTCCCACATCCCCAATGGGGAATACTCCATCGTCCTTTCCCATAAGAAGTTACACAGCCTATGTCCTCTACAATTCAAGTGAGTCAATATCAGCGGATATATGACGCCGTTCGATGTGCGAAAAAGTTTTGAGCGGCGTTCGTTGCTTGTGAAAATAGCAATCATTAGACCGGCCTATCAAATGCATTGGGTTGGTATTTCCGGGAGAAGGCAAGGATGAATTATTACTTGTACTCTGGCGTCTCCCCGCAGTCACCTGATTGAAAACTTAGAATATATCAGCGCTGTAAAATATCTGTATCCTGAAACGAAAAAGCTCTTATTCCAACATGAAACCAAATACATATTCTATCGTGCCAGACACCGTGGAAGCTGAAGGAACAAGCGAGACGCTCGATGACTTCCGAAAAGAATTTTCCATTGATCAGCAAGCACAGATTCGTCTTGTCAAGGTTGCCCATATGCGTTACAGACACCCTGACCTGGAGGAAATAACCAGCTTCATGGAGGACTTTGGGATGATTGTTACCAAGAAGTCTGAAGACAAAGTATGGTTCCGAGGATATAGTAGTGATCAATACGTCTACTATGCCGAGAAAGGTGAACGACAGTTTCTTGGAGGAACTTTTGAGGTTGAGTCCTTTGCCGACCTAGAAAAGGCTGCTAAGCTCTCTGGTGCTACTGAAATTCAAGAACTCGTTGAAGCTCCCGGAGGTGGCCATCTCGTTACTGTATATGATCCTCTCGGTTTTCCTGTCAACTTGATGTATGGCCAAACTCCTGCAGAAGTCCCAGAGCCTCCAACCCAGCCAGTTGTCAACTTTGTAGCTGAAAAATCAAGAAAGAGAGCCTTCCAACGGTTTCAGCCCGGTCCAGCTGCTGTACACAAATTAGGTCACTTTGGCATGTCCGTTACAGACTTCCCATCACAACTCAAGTTTTACGTGACCAACTTCAATATCGTTCCAACTGATTACCTCTATGTCGAACATGGTGGTCAGAAGATCAGAGCATCCGTCTTTGCTCGTATTGATAGAGGTGAAGATTACGTTGACCATCACACCTTCTTCCTCTCTCATGGTGCATCCAATCACGTTCATCACTGCTCCTTCGAAGTACAAGATTACGATGCACAACAATTGGGTCACCAGTGGTTGGCCAAGAAGGGTTACAAGTCTGTCTGGGGTATTGGTAGACATATTCTTGGATCTCAAATCTTTGATTACTGGTGGGACACGACTGGCAACATGGTTGAGCACTATGCTGATGGCGATGTTGTTAACAACAAGACTCCTATAAACTATGTAGCAGCTGGAGATGAATCTCTTGCAGTTTGGGGTCCTGAGCTTCCCAAGATCTTCCTCTCATAAGCCACTTTGTAGATGATGAGATGGGTGCTGTACATGCGCTTATTGAACCATAGGTACATTTCAATTTAAAAATAAAAAAAAATTAACTCCAGGATTAAGTACCAAGCACTTTCACTGTGGTATGAGAATAAAACTAAAGGATATGGTAAGGTATGCCGCCTATTATGATGTTGTAAGACACATAAATGCACCACCTTGAGTGCAGTATTCACACCTCATAGTCACTGGGGTTTCTTTTGAGTACAGACAGCCAGGTGCAGTTGGCGTACCTAAAGGGATTTTCCAAAATGACTTTTCTCCTCCCAATCCATAGAAAATACGAATGACAAGATGCCTTTTAATAAGATTTTTTTTTCGTCTTTTTGGAAACGATAGTTTTAACGTACAGCAGGAGAACACAATTTTGACATGTAAATTGAGATTATTGAGAATGGAAAAAGCGAACTAAAGAGTTGATGATAATGGAAAGGGAAAGGAATGAACATGTTGGTACAAACAGAGTTTGATACTGAAATACATTCGAATGAAAACAAGTATTAATCCAGCTTTGGCCGAGAAACAGGCTGTGCAGGAATACCCACCATATCGGAGTTCTCGATGAATCGCTCGCCCTTCATCAGCAAAGAGAAGTCTCCGAGGTGAGAGCCATCTTCCAAGACACCATCGTACAAAGCAATAGACCATGCTCCAATCTCGCAGCCATTGCCGATCTTCAAGTAAGACATCTTCATGATGCGGTCCTCAAAGAGATGGGTTTGCAAGGTACAGTCGGCTCGAATAGCACAGTCGTCTCCGATGGTCAGCAAGTCAGCTTCAGTCACCATGGTGGTTTCCAGCCAGACGTTTTTACCAATCTTGGCACCTAGGAGTCTGAACCACCAGCACACGAATGGCGTACCGCGAATATGATTGCAAAGAACCACATTGCTAAGGGCTTCTTCAAGAGCCCCGATGAGTTCGGTTCTCCAAACGTAAAAGCTCCAGAGTGGCGCTTCTCTTGGAACGTATTTCCACATGATGACATATTTACAAAGTGCAACCAGAAGACAGCAGAAGACCGCAGAAAAAATGTAAGCGAATGGGAAGACCAGCCAAAAAACCAGCTCGTTGACCCAGTCAAATGCGCTAATGTAGGTAGTTGCGAAGAACAACACCAGAGAAGCGATACCAAAGATAAGTGTTGGAAGACCCACTCTCCAGATTTCAACCGATAGACGGGCAATGTAGAGATACCACGGAGGATTGAATGTACGAGAACTGGAAACCGCCTTGGCAGAAGTTGCTCTATTGGGAAGAAATAATCCTGGGGACCCAAGCCAAGAGGTGCCTTCTGCCACTTCTTGTGAGATACCGTTTGTAAACCCTGGGTCATATGTACAATCCAAGGCTTCCTGAACTTCCAGGGCAACCAACGTAGAAACTTCGCTTTTTGGGGTGTCAGGACGATCACACTTTGGCCTTGGGCTTTCTTGAAGAGGTGGTCTGGAACTGACGCCTAACAGACAGTTATTCTTGATTTCCACACCGGTGGGGACAAAGGCAGAGTTTCCAATGAAGGATTTTTCGCCAATGATAGTATCGGATATTTGAACCCAGCCATTGCAAATTCGAGGAGGACCAAGGTAGGCAGCATCAGCAATGAAGCTACCATCTTTCATGACCAAGCGATCTGGTGAGCAATGGAAAACAGTGGAGACTTCGGCAAGTTTTCCTATCTTGGAGCCAAGCATTCTGAACCTGAAGAGAGGCACATATCGAGTAGTCCATATTAGTAAATGTTCAAGAAGAAAGACATGTAAACTTTTAAAAATGTTCATGGTACTTACCAGATAGGAAGGAATAGAGTAGCATACATAGAATGCAGCATAGCCAAGCTGAGTTGCATAAGGCAATCTACAAACCACTTGCGACAGTAAAGCCAGCTGTCGACATGGAAAATTTTTCTAGTGGCTTTCGATCTACCAAGTAGCAGCCATTTGATAGCGGCAATTTCCAGACATAGGACAAAAATGAAGGAGATTACAAGCAAGACCGACATGACAACTAACCAGTAAACCGAAGTGGTCCGCTCGTCGCCATCTCCTGCAATTTCTGAAGTGAGAGGATATGCAAAGGAAGGGTGGTTGATAAGGATGACCATACTGACGCTGCCGGGGATGAGAGCAGCCATAAACACCAGCATCATGCCAAGGACGAAGAAAGCTTGAATACAGATGGCAAGCCAGTGAGGTAGTCTCCTAGGATCAACAACATCCGGGTAAAGTTCCTTGGAGTTCTCAGCGATATCTGCAAATTCACAGCTTAATGCCGCTCGCTCACATCGTTCAATGGGAGATCCAGCATATGTATTGCCACTTTCAAGAACGGTTTCTTCGGGTACCATAGAGAATTCAGCAATACCAACATCGTCTTGAACGACAGAGTCGACGGCTAAATGAGTGCGAGCCCCAATGTAGCAGTTGGAGCCAATTTCCAAGGGACCAATAACTAGCCAGCCTTGATATCGTCCATTAGGTTGTTTTTTGCCCATTTTCACAGTATAGCCGTGTAAATGGACATCAATACCAATGCTTGTGTTATCACCGATATTGACCATATCAAGACACGAAACATGGCCGGTTCCCATGTATACATTCTTGCCGATTTTTGCTCCCATAGCTCGGTAGATGTAAACAAGAAGTGGAGAACCTTTGAAGAAGGATAGTGGCAGCATAGTTGTCATACGGTGGACAATCCACCATCTCCAGTAGTAAACTCCGTAAAGAGGATAGACACCAGGCTTGAAACGACCGATAATGATCCATTTAGCTGCGATACAAACAATTGGATAAATGGCCCAGGTGATCAAAAGAGAGCATATCATAAGAGCAAAAGCACTATAATCAAATCTTGCACCATAAATGTTTTGTAGAGTATCATAGTTTGGAGTGTCAGTAGGATGTAAGAGTAGGTCTGAAATAGTGATAGTAAGGTTTTCGCTAGCCTCAATGGAAGTGAAGCTCTCAATATTCACATAGGAATACATGAGATAGGGCACCATCAGTTGCATGGAAGCAAACACAAACACCAGGTAGAGGGAAATGAACATGAAGATGTTTTTGACGAACCAGTTAACGTTGGCGGGACCAGGGGGGATCACTCTTATGGGCGGTGATCCAAGAACGGTGTCCATTTCAGAGTTAATAGAGGCTGAGCTTCCGGAAGACTTTTGGGAATAAAATTCAAGACGTCCTGAGAACTCCTCCAATTTGCGGTACTTGTAAACATCAATCATGGTCACATCTCGGTATTCAGCCAGAGCGCGTAGGCTTGAAACAAACTTGGCAGCTACCATGGAGTGGCCACCCAATTCGAAGAAGTCGGAATCCGGCTCTAAGGTTTGGTCAGTCAGATGCAGTACAGTTCTCCATAGCTGTGCCACCTTTCGCTGGGTTGGCGTCAACAAGTTGCTTACGACGGTCAAGTCACTGTCTGAACTGGGAACCTGAATATTGACTAGTTCAATGACAAGTATCAGCATTGGCTTGGCATTCATGTGAACATTACATAAATACTAATGGTTATTTTCTCTTACACTTTGGAATAACGGGTTCTGGAAGGGCCTTTCGGTTGATCTTTCCACTTGGCAAAGTCGGTATTTCAGTAATGGTTTGAAAGATGCTTGGAACCATGTAATAGGGAAGACGAGCCTTGAGAACCTCCTTGAGAAGTGGTTCGTTAAACATCAGGTCATGTTTGAGTACCAAATAGGCTACCAATAGCTCGACAGATTCTTCTGTGGGGTCGTCACTCTTGCTTTTCCAGACATTAACGACTGCATTTTCAACTTCTTCGCAGCAGCTGACAATAACGGATTCGATCTCCGATATTTCCACTCGAAAGCCTCTGATCTTGACCTGCATATCAATGCGACCGAGATGTTCTATGCTACCGGCTGGTAAGCCTGATGGGCCTTTTCCGGTATGGGAAGGAATGAAGCGAGCAAGATCTCCAGACTTGTAGAGACGTTGAGAGTGAGCAGAGCCGTTTGAGAAAGGATTGGGAACAAACTTTTCCTGGTTTAAATCGGGGCGGTTCAAGTATCCACGTGCAACACTAATAGAAATCAAAGTTAATGATAAATTTCTGGATAAAGTTGAAGTCCCTTGAACTTATGCTTACCCAATTCCTCCAATGCAGAGCTCGCCGATGGCACCAATTGGTACAGGGTTCATGAACGCATCCAGAATGTACACCTCGTAGTTTGGAACAACCGTACCAATAGTGACGTTCACATCTTCAGGTTTGCAGTCGCCAAAGGTGGCAATGACTAAATCAATGTTCGTTAATAGGCAAAAAAAAATTTGGATGAATGTATTTCATCTTGTTGCATTTAATCATTAATACCTGTTGCCTCTGTTGGTCCGTAGGTATTGACCATTCGTCTTTTTCCGTTCAGACTCCATTTCTCAATGACGTCTTTTGGGCAAGACTCACCACCGACAATCAATAGTTTGACGGTCGGCAGTAGGTAATCATCGCTTAATTCATTCTCTGAAATGCCAATGCTCATCATGTTCAACATGGTTGGGACACAGGAAAGGACAGTGATATTTGCTTGGTTGATGAACTGTGCTAATTGAGCGCCAGAGTGCATCATATCTTCCGTAGGGATGTATAGAGTAGCACCGTTGAAGAAGGCCAGCCAAATGGTTTCAATGGATGCATCAAAAGCCAATGAAAAGTTTTGAAATACCACATCCTTATCGGACAAGGGAAAGATAATCGACTCGGATAATACAAGATTGACAGCACTGCGATGTTCAATTATGCAACCTTTGGGGTTTCCGGTAGTACCTGAAAAATAATCGAATTCAATATTGATGGTTTCACTTTTGTTTATAATTTAGAATCTTCAGTTTGAATGGTCAAAGCAAAATTTACCAGAGGTGTAGATCACATAAGCAGGTCTTTCAACACTTGTGTTCTTTCTTTTGTGAGTGACCATTCCATCGATGAAGGCGCATTCTCGGTCTACGATCTTGGTGCTTGAGATTTCTTCCCATATAAGAACTTGAGTTCTAATGCTTTGACCTTGGCTTTTTTGCTCTTCTAGAAAGTCCTTCATCTTGAGTCCGAGCTCAGAAGTAGTTATGATAAACTTGGCTTGGCAATCTTGCAGGATATAGCATATTCTTTCCATGGGAAAAGCAGGGTCCAGAGGAACATAGGCGGATCCGCTTTTAAGAATACCCAACATAGCAATGTAGGATTCAGCACAGCGGGGAAAAAGATGAGCAATGAAGACTTCTTCATCATCAAAGGTGTAGGCTCGTCTTGTTTTTTTGTTGTCTTGAGGGTAAGCGTTGATGTATCTTGCAACAACGTCGGCCAAAAAATTAGCGGTATAGTAAGTATACCTTACAGGATTCTCAGGATCTTCTTGTACAATGGCAAGGTTTTCAGGATGCATTGATGCCTGCCTTTCAAACAGATTTTGCAAAAGTGCGGCGTTCATTCCAAGCTTCTGATGGACATCAGGGTGAGGGCACTTGTTCCAAACGTTTAACAGAGTTTTGTTTTCTTCGGATTCAAGGATAGGAACTTCATACAGAGCATAACTGGCAAACTCAAGTGGAGCAGTACGGAGACCGTTCAGCATACAAAGCCAGTGGGACTTGATATTGATAGCGTTGGGATACACAGAGGACAAGAGGTTGGAGAACGAAAAGATGGTCATGAAGCAGTCTTGAATGTCAATAAAGTGCAAGTAAAGTCCACCGGTTCTGGACATTTCCACTATTTCTGGAGACTCGTTGTCGCGATCGTTGATATTGATGTATAATACGTCTTGTATGTTAGGTAGAGAGGACTCTGGCAATTCTGCTGACAAGGTGCTCAATACATGGCTGACCAAGTTGAGGAAAGTTGATCTTGGAGTAATGGAAACATTGAACTCGATGGTCTTGATGGTCATTTGTACACTGGAAGTTCTGTATGCGACATTCATTTTGAAGCTGGGAGATGATGTGTAGCGAAACAGCAGTAGTCCACATAGAGATACAAAGACAGGCAAGGAGCCTTCCATGCCAGCGTTGACGTTGTCATCAGAGGAGGGTCTCCATTCAGGAACAGCTCTTAATAGAATCGACAGAGAGTTACCAAGAGTAATCCTCTCATCAGAACCAACAAAGCAATGGATGTTGAAAGGAAGGTTGCTAATACTATTCAAGTTGGTATCGCTTGAATGCATTTAGAGTGGGGTTGTGGAGGCAATTCTTCTTCTCCATGAGCAACCCATTCTATTTAACTACCTGAGCTCAAAATACGCATACAGTTACCGACCATCAGTCAATTCTCTATTTGACATCAGAATGGCCCCCCAAGACTAAAATTAGGTCTGGCGTCTGTTCATCGCACCATCATTTTTGCAAGCTATTTCAAGGATTGGTTCTTTTTACATCAGTAGAAAAGAGCGTTCGTTTTTTAATGTATTTTAGCAAGTGATAGAATTATCTAGGCTGATTCATTTACAATACTCTATTGGTTTTTTTAAAAACATCTAGGCTATGAGTTGTTAATGTTGCCGGCTCACAGTCATTGTAAGCAATCTATGGAGCTCACCTTCAGCATCATCCACCATGGCGCTGGAATCCTCACCCCTTCTCTCTAGTTTATAACGTTACTAACGTCGATCCGCCCCCATTCTGGTGGAGCTGGGTCAGACATTCTTTGTGGGTGCAACTGGGGCCCAAACCAGGAATACAACTGCACTCATGCAGCCACGAATCCGTCGGTTAGCTCCCTTAGATTCTTGTCTGGCTTGGATCAACAATACACTAACTTTGTTGATGTAGGATTGATTAGGATAAAACAAGTGGTTGAATAATACCTTGTGCATGGCCATTGAAACATAACATTTACTTGTATCAGCTAGTACGAGGGCAAACTAGTCTGTCTGAACATTCACAATAACGATGCACTGTAACTCATTCAGCGAAAAGAACGTGATGCATTACTCTGTTTTTGGCTGTCCTAAGCCTTTGAGAAAATCATCATGCCTATGCCTCAACCTATGAGGATCCCCAAGGCACGTGCGAATGAACATTTATCATGCCCACGTCTGATTTGAAAATAGCGCTGTCAAATCCTAAAGTAGTCGATCCTAAAGTGACACAAGTCGGGCTCTATCTCGCTTCCGAAACTTCACTCTAAACAAGAGCCAGTTGAATACATATGGAACAATACCTTTTTGAAAACCAATGTGAAACTCATCGAATGATAAGTTTGTTAGTAAAGAATGGCGTGAACGAATCTAGCCAGCCAGCCATCCAGCCGATACTATTAATACTCAGAATTATGGCGCGTGATCTGCACTTCTGAGTTACCTTCTGTCTCGTAGCACCATTTGGAAGCAACCAGAATGCCTTTTGTTTGTAACATCCGAATTGGTACACTTAACGAAGTAAAAACGGTGGTGTCATACTCAGGTACCCAGTAACCTTGGTTGCTTTGATGTTCAAAAGCAACCCCCATCTATAACTCCATCGACGTTGGTGAGTTTTTCTGATCTAAAAGGAAGCGGTTTGATCGACCAACACGATCGTCATTGGTTAAAAATTTGGCCTATGCTGTAATACGCAATCTGCACTTTTGCTACCAGGGCAGCGAGGGGATGAAAAGCCACGTTTTTTGACCCCTTGGTAGCTCTTCGTACAAAATTTTCTTTCTTGACGATATCAAGATTAAATCCATATTTATACATATTATATAGACTACTGCTTACTGACCTGAAAGGAAATTTGCAAAATCATTTAGACCAAACTGTGATATTCCAATATACATGGTATGAACCAGTATTGACAACCTTTCCATGTGCATCTGCATGCCTATGCCCTTGAAGCCTGTAACGTGGAGGCGTTTGTTGGTGCGGTTGGATCATCAAAAAGCCTTATTTCCTTGTTAGTTCTCCGCATGCTAATCAGGTTGACAGAGCTCTCCAATATCAACAATCTAAAGTTCATCGATAAGATTATGTGTCAATAAGGACAATAGGTGTGTCAAATTAATTTGGTTCACTGTTACATCTGCTGAGACATTAGCAAAGAAAGTCTATGCTGGTTTGCAGGCGTAGAATGCAAGAGCAAAAGTAGTCATAAAGAGATAAAATCAATAAAGTTGGGCTTTACAATAGAGCGATCTCAAATGTACACTTCCATATTCTATGGTCAAGTGAACTAAAGAAAGCCATAATAATAGGAAACTTATTTAATGGTTAGTAGGCATCTCTCATTGACCAAAACAAAGACTGATAATGATTATAATATATTCATACGAACACGCTGTACAAACAGCCATTGTATTAAAACTCGAATTCTTCGCATTTAATGATAAATGACTCGCTACTCCAGCTAGCTAGCTACCAATGCACTCATGTGTGAAATGGAAGGTTCTGACGACTCCAACGTAACTTTCAAATGCAGATCTGCGTGTCTACCGGTCTCTCAAGTCCAAATAAACAGATGTTGGATAAACCATTTTCCCTCAGCCTTCGTGCAAAAGGTAGACGATGCAATGCATTGTCCAGATGAAGCTTGACAACAGTGTCAAGAATGGTCGAAACCACATCAAGTATTCAACAGTAGTTCATATCACATCACGACCTAGGCCGTACAGAGACCGACGATGATCTATTCCCGGTATAACCTGTATTTGAATGATCAAATTTAACGACATTATCGCACTGTATTTTCTGATCCGTCAAAAACGGTCTTGAGAAATAATGACAATCCTTCAATCAATGGCTTTATTTTTTTGGTATTACCCAAGTACTACTGCGTCAAGAGAAGAAAGTAGATATAGCAAACAAAGTACGTTTTATCACAAATTCTCTCAATATGCACACGTTACCCATTCTGATATCACTTCTGAACAGTAATAAAAGATTTGACATGATCCTTTTTGAAAATGCTCTCTGCCGAGCGCACGTACATAGCGGTGGGTAACTGAGTTGCTGGGTAATGTTTGTAATTGTGAGGATGAGTATAAAATTGTGGAGGTGTCGCCATTTTGTCGGTAGTACGCGGCTAACTTAGGCTCAATGGAGCACTAACCGGGCCATTGGCGTTTTGGGTACTGGCAGTTTTTGCCACGGGCATGAAATACTGTTGCAACGGCTGTTAGGTTAGTTCATGATAATTTCCCACCGTTGTTCCCATAGCCAGGGAATCGGATTGCAAGGCTACCTTTCTGATGTCATAAACTTGGAAACTGGGAATATACACACCTCAACCGATCGCAGTATATGGCAACTCGAGCTATATCATTTTGCTGGACACTGACAGCATGGCACAATGACAACCTCCAAGTATGTGATAGAGTCAAATAGTCTCGAATACGACTTGGATGGTCTGTATTTTGACAAGCTTGCGCGGCTACTGCGCACGCACCGCAAGCCCCATTACATTTGAGGAGCTCTCCAGCTTTCTGCTGGCCATTGCCCTGCCCTGCCCTAGGTTTGCTGGGACCTACTATGGTCTTAATCTTTGTTTAATGTAGTTGTTTACAGTTAGCTGTTTACATATAGATAGAAGTGGGTTAGTACTTCTTTTAGGCAATTTCTTGAATTTGAATGTAGAGATCTGAGTTTGGAGATCTTTCAAAAAAAATAGTAATGCGCAACCGAAGTAGCAAAAATCACCTGGCTCCATCTGTAATCTGAACTCAATCCCTTCAAAAAAAATTATTTCCGAAAATGTCAATTGCGCATTCATTTGCAACATGAATTGAACACACTGCTTGTTCTGGAATCACTGTAGGTCACTTTACAATGCCTTAATCTCGACATAGAAGAGTCCGAGCTTCCACACGCCTTAGACCAGTATTTCGGAACCGACGGTGGTGGCGCCGCGTGAGGATGGACGCATACTCATACCGTGGCCCTGCAAGCATCTCCTTATATATGCTCATTGTAAATATCAGGTTGAATGGTGAAGTTTGGAAGGCTTGCACGAGAGATCATCCTCCACCTGATAGAGTACCTAATGCAAGCTTTTCATTTCCTAATGCAACGACCTACTCCTTTCGATCGGATTAGAAGCTCACGTGCAGCCTCCTGCACACCCTGAGCTAAGCTAAACCAATTACTTATATATTTACCCACTTGAGAACTAGAATCTTAGACTTTACTCCTTTCGCCACGGTTTTTATATGGCTAGCTTGGTTTTGGTTGATTAGTTACGGCAATACTTTATAATAATGTTTGAAATAATGATCAGAGCCATAGCTTGTATAATCAAAATGCCGCTCATTATACGGTACTATAGATTTTAAGAACAGGGTATTTTCAAGGAATGTAGCTACCAGATCTAACAAATCTATGCGTAGGTCTCGTCCTTGCGGAGTCTGTACTTGAGTTCATCATCCCAGAGCAATTCGTTCTTGTACTTGCGAAGAGGAGCTTCAGGGAAGGTCTTGGGAGAGATACCATACTTCCAGGTGGAGGGGCAGATAGCGATGTAACGAGCATAACTGAAGAAAACAAAGAATGAGTACGTGGTGAAAGACTAAAATCAATAAAACATCGGCGAGGTCTTCACTTACCCGCCAGTACCACCAGCAAGCTTGGGGAAACCAATGTTAACGAGACATCCCTTGGGAGCAACCTTGTCCAAGTTGGCAACACCTTCAGCCTGAGGATGACCGTGGTGCAAAACCCAGTCCTCAGATTCCAAAGTAGGAGTGTCATCAGTATCCAAGGGTTCGTGACCGTGGAACAAGATGCTTCTCTGGTTGTGGAGGTACTTGATGGCAGGAAGTGTAATACCAGGGAACTTGGTCAAGAGGGGAAGTTCCAAGGATGGCCATTTCTTGGACCAGTCGGAGCGAATGAAGACAACAGAGCCCTTGGGGATCTTGCCATATTTCTTTTCATAAGCGTGGATATCAGCGACTTCCATCTGGTATCCAAAGTCCTTCTTGACCTTGGCAGTGATGTCAATGACAACCAAAGGACGAACAGCAACAGTGGCAGGGATTTCGTCGATGGCAGGGCCAAAGGGATCCCAATGAGCAGGGGGATCGAACTGAGTACCCAATTGGTCAGTCTTGAAGTTATAAGCGGTAGCTTCAAAACCATCCTTGGCATAAGTGTAAATCTCGTTGGTCTTGGGGTCGATGGCGCGAGAGAAGTTGGAGTTACCAAAACCAGCCCAGACGGGAATGTAAGGAGTGATAGTGTGGGTCAAGTCAATGTACTTGGCGCTTTCCAAATGGTCATAGTACAAAGACCAGAGACCATTAGACTGAGCGGTGGCAGATGCAGCGAAAGCTGTCTGGAGGAGTGCGGCCGAAGCGAGGACGGTGGAGATGAAGCGCATTGTTTCAATTGGGGTTGTAAGGAGTGTGTGTACGTTACCGAGTCTCAGGAAAAGAGTTGACGGAAAGAAAGCGACAAAGGGAAAAAAAGAAGGGCGAGCAAGTACAGGGATGTCAAATTCCGTCGCTATGCTTTATGCTGGTATAAATATGATATTGCATTTCCGTAACACTAGCTCTCGTGCAACTCTGAAGAAACTCAACCCAACAGCACGAGGTGGAAGACTCTATTCACTAATGACCTATCATCGCACAATCCAACCCCATTCGTTGCCTTGCGCAACTTATACCGTCGTCGAAACGAAATTGAGCGGCAATTGTGGGAGATATTGGTCATCTCTCAAACTCTTCGGAAAGTCTTGATTGAATGAGTGTGGTATGGCTACCTCCCAGCATCGCCCATCATGACCCGGAATGTTTCAACTATTGCCAGCAACTTGGTTTCATTATACTTTATATTTCACTCGCAGTCAGAAAGAGAAAAGTTGGAAAGCAGTAAAAGAAGATAAAAATCTGAGAATCTTCTGGTCAGCTTAAAGTAATGGGTTTTTTACACACTTTCTTGCTTTTCTTTTAAGCCTCTTTGAACAGAACAAGCAGTGCATTATATAAGTGTTTGTGAAATTAGTCCCGCCAATGTTTAGGCTTCCTAACTGACAGGCTTATGGCATTTCTTAACTTTCCATGACTTTTGAAGCACTTTACGCTGTAATAAGAACCTTTTTTTTTTAGTCTGGTAACACTACAGCGGTACCTCATTACAGATTTCAATGAGAAACACAAATCCATCCAAGCTGAGTGCCATACAGATTGTTTGTCTGCAGCCAAACGGCTTTATTCCCTTTTTAGGCAGGAGAGGAAGATTCCTGGAATTCGAAATCTTGGTTTTAATACAAAATCGCGGCCCCAAGTGATTATCGAGCAAAAGGACTTCATGTATGTCCCTCGTGGGCCTCTTTATTAATCTGGGTAATAGTCTCACATGCATAGAACGTCTTTAGTACCTTATTTTGTTAAAACTACTCCACACCAGACAAAAAGGCGACGATCTACACATTGCTTGTTCATCATGGAGCATGGCCCTGTCACGGCGAACTTACCGAACTTTGATCTCGAGGTACACATCCGAACCATCTGTCACACCTGTCCCATTAATTTGTATGAACCCATCGTATTGGGTTGCGTATCAACGAAGGATTTTCATTTGGCGAGATGGTTTAGCCACCTCCAAAAGGGTGTTGTGTCCAACGTAATTCTTTCACAACATCTAACCCGCATACAGATGGTCCTTCGTGCATATCTATAGAACACCACGTTATAAATTACTATATGAGAAGCTTTTATTTTCAAGAGATGGACTGCTTGCTTTGCAGTGCAGTGATGGGAAGCAAAAGTGAAACCAGAGCATAACGTTTGTTTATCCGGACAGCAAAGTGAGAAAGAAAAGGGTTGGTCATCCATTTTTTTCTCAGTTTCATTTACGGTTTGATATCTCCTAGTAAATACCCGGCACTTCTTGAAATAGACATACCCCCCTTTAAGGCTTCTTGTAACCATGCACACAATTTCAAGTCAGCCAGCTTCTCGCCTTTGTCCCCATGAAGCGCCATCCAAAAAATTATCGGTTATGGACAATTTCTGTTATTCGCAATCGAATGTTACATCCATATCTCTCTACTAATGATATCATTGGACCACCTTAATCATCTATCTCCCTTCTCTCTCTTCCTCTTCTTTTTTTATCGGAAGTTTAGCTAGAACGTGCATCTTACCCCGAGCATTTCTGGCTCAACCAACCACAAAGTTGCTTTGTCAATTATAAGAAAATCTTGGAACTTCTCTGCACTCCTTTTATCTCTCTACTGCTTTTTTCTTTGTTGATAAACGCTATCTCCAATATACGTTCGCCCAATCGGCATTAAGGACAAATAGTCCATTCAACACCTACTTCATATCCTGAACACCTAATTTAAAATCGCAATGAGTTGGATTGACGAAACTCAGAATTATCAAAACCATACCCTCATTGTCTCAACCGATGATCTCAAATCGCATAACCAAGTTATTATCTTGAACTCATGTGGATTTGCCTTTGCTTGCTGTTTCATTTTCTTGAACGCAAGGATGGCCTGGGCCTCACCAAAACGCATTTTCATTCTCAATCTCTTTCAATCCCTATGTGCGGCTATGGGCCTATTCTCCTTGGGTATCTTCAATCAAGTAGCCTATCCTCATTCATGCGCAACAATGATGTTTTTCAACATTTTTGGTACAGCATTATGCATTGGTTTATGTCAACTAGTGTGTGTCGAGCGACTGGCAACCATTGTCAATCGAAAGTGGGTGTGGGGTATATCCTTGCCACTCATTTGTAGTCATATAGTACTCTATTGCTACATGTATCTGACCGAAGAGTATTCAATTGACCAGGTGAGATAAAATTTTTGTAAACACTAAAAAAAAATTACTAGCCTGACTAAATACTCACATAACCATTCAGTGGGGCGCTTGCTCTAATCCCGACCGTCGTGAATTCGTAATCGCCTATATGTGCCTAACTATCGCCACAGACGTCTACATTGTAAGCAATGAATGGAATGCTTAGAAAATGACGGGTATGCATGGGCTAACGTATCTTGTGTTTGCAGAGTGGTCACTTTATCTACACTCTATGGGCATATCTCTACCGAGCACGGAAACTTGGATCAGAAAGTGGAATGCAAGGCTATTTTAAAGAACTAGTCGATATTAGTCTGTACTGCGCTTTGATCATGAATGTATCAGCAATTATCTATTGGGTTGTCCTTCTCACAAATTCTTACGGCGACATGTACTTCCTTATCTTCGTCTTGATTGTCCTCACGCCTTCCGGAACCACTACTTACTTGTGTTGGAGGGTGACACATCTCAAATCGAAAATGAGACTTGAGTCTCAAGATCATTCCTCAACCCAGCGTCATACTTCCCCTCATTTACCACACAATTCCGTACGATCGGGAGACGATTTTTACGTTTTGGAAGATCAAACAGGCTCAAGAAAACATCGTGAGCCTAGAATGTACGTAATGGAAGATCAAGTCACTCCACCACAGAGAGCTCGTTCCCCTAGATTATAGATCTTATGCTCTCCGATCATGCCACATCCCACCACATATGCAGCTTTGTAGTTACAGACATATTGCACGGTATCATACCAATAAATTAAACTCCATGGGTGCATACCCAGCCTCACCCCATTTGTTCGATTGCCATCAACAGGTCCATATCCTGAAGTTTGTTCGTCAGACTTCGGATTTTGAATACTACAGCGGCAAACTTCTTATATGTCTAGACTAAATTGACCGAATGTAGCAGTTCAACCATTTCATCGCATATGTGACACAGCTAGTAGAAACTTTGCGGGAAACTGAGTACTTTAATGTAGTGTGATGTTGCATTGTGAAAGTGTAACATCATACATCTATGAATAAAATGGGTCTAGATATAAATTGGGAACTGGTATCATGTCTGAGTGTGTATCACCGTCGATGTCTACATATATACAATAGCATACTAGATGTTACAATTTTGATGGCGGCGATGTAAGGCAGAAATGGCGGTAATCGCCGCCTTTACCTGTGGCGCTTTTGACACGGTGCAACGCAGTGGAGATTGCAAGGCGTCAAAAATGTTTGTGACACCCATGCAGCCGATGGGAGTCGAATTTATAAGTGTCTACGATAATCTATCGATACCCATTTCTCGCAACGAAATTGCCAATTGTATAAACTGTTGCGTTGTGATATTTTCTGGCCTTGCATTGCTGTCGATGCTTGACGGAAGTGCAGTTTCCAATTTCAACTGCGATTGAAGAAGGTTCAAGATATGTGACGCCGATTTTCGCTTCCGCGTGAAGAAAAAACGTAGTACATCCTCCAACAAATCGAAAGGCATTTCTTGGTATTGTAATGGTCGTAGATGAACGATGGCGGCATCGACCTAGATTATTCCGTGATATGCAAATATAAGTATTTTACAATTTAGCGCAACATATCAGCCTGCCTGGGCTGATCCTACCAAAAAAATAACTTCTTTTACCTTTGGTTTCGGTAAAAATGCACTGGATGGGATTAAGTATGGAATATTGGCACTGCAAAGTGTCTGCGTAATCACAGATAGTCTTCCTCGATCAGGTGTATTCACCGGTGCACATATACGTTGCGCAACTTCCTTTTGAAACATCAGTGTCATCCATACCTCCGCAGCACCAAACAGACCTTTCCTTTGCTGAAGTAGATGGAGCCATTGTATAAGCAACGGTGTTGCTACATTGAACGGCAGATTACCAACAATATGTATTCTCTTCAATGGATCCACACGGTGGATGCCCGCCAGCTGGAGTATATCTGAGTGAGGAACTTTCATAGCATCTCCTTGAAGAATTTTAAGCCGGTGATCATTTGCATCTGCGAGTTGCTATAGCGTACGGGTCGTCATGAGTCATCCCGTATCCCTGCCCCGTATCGCTTCTTTCGAATGACTGCCTTACCGTCAAAGTTGGAATAAAGCGAGAATCTTTCTCCAGCGCTACCACATGTTGGACGTTCGTATCGAGTACAGACCGCGTTAACAAACCTGGTCCTGTTCGGAAATGAGCACTGTCAGCCAATAGGAAGCGTTAAACTCTGGTATGGCTACTACTGAAAGCTACTAACCGGGACCGACTTCGACAACGAGAGAATCAGCTGCTGTGATTCCCGCACAGCGCACAATCTTGTCTAATTTATAGACGTTAACTCAATTGTTCGTAAACCATAGTTTCATTCCGTCTTGAAACGGTCGGACCGACTTACCTGTTATATTCTTGTCAAAAATGAAGTTTTGACTGAGGGTCTGTTTTGCAGAAAGTCCATAGAGCTTTACAAGATCTCGAACACTTGGTAACTTGACATTCATTTACGTGCGAGGATCATGCAGGAATCACGTTTTCCTTCACACATTCGGTCCGGAAAAAAAAAATCTCTCGAAAATTTTGACATAAGCGGACTTTTAAATGGCTCTTTATACCGTCCAGTCCATTTCTTAACATTGAGAGAGACATGAGTGTCGTTCAACATTTCACCCTTCCCCAACTCCATTCCGTTCAATTCTCACTTTACAGCATACTGTACCATTTTCTTTTTTAAATAATATTCTATCACTATTTCGTCATCGCCATCGTCAGGTATCAATGATTCTAACTCGACTACTCCAATGCGACATCATCTTATCATATCAGCTTGTCATTCTTAGAGCCAGACTAATTGAACACCAGCACTAGGTAAGTTGACTTTCGGGTATGAATGATGAAATTCACGTTAGTGGCAAGCATTAATGTACAATTTATCCTGTTAATGCCTAAGTTACATAGACTTATACAAACCCTGCAACATCTACGCGCTCACCAGTATACTGCTCTTAGCATGGATAGTAGATTTAAGCATTTGGTGTAAAAGGTACAGTAAGGGATATGTCATGTATTTTTATGACAGAAATACATGTATTTTCCATAAAAGTGTTGTAAAGTCACCTGACCTGACTCCACCTGTGCCTAAACCATCCTATGCCCTAAACCGCTCACTATGATCTGTACCTATGCCCGAATATATCAGAGCGAACAATCCACTAATAAACCATAGACGTTCTTTCCCTCTTATTTATAACTGACTGACTTTTCGTACCCTGTCGAATTCCTCTGACTTTTGGCACATAACTACCTCTGAAACCAGTAATCCCTGACTGACTGACTAATATGATTACTTACTTCTGTATGGTACTATGGTTCCTCTGTGTTAAGACCTTGGCAAACTCTCTGACTCTATCTATCGGACTACCTCTTTCTAGTATTCGGAAATGGCGCTTATTTACACGTCTTAAGCAATTCAGTGCTGGACGCGTGACTGCCTCCTATGGATC